ATATATATATATATATATATATATATATATATATATATATATATATATATAAAACTATCGTTTCGCAGTTACGTGCTAACTGTATATTACATTAGGTAAACGACAAGACTGCTGATGCGCTTGCTTTGTTATTTAATTTTTTCTTTGCTGAGCAATTCTACGGGAAAGGGGGGGGGGGGGGGGGGCCGGTTAGGTACGTGTGTAAATTACTTCTAAAATGTAATATAATTACAATTACAATTTGCTCCAAAAGTAGTTTAACCACAATTGCAATTACTACTACGTGAAAAGTAATGCATTACAATCACAAATTAGTTATAAAAAGTAATACAAATACTTTACAATTACCTAGTTTTGAGAGCGACCGGCCGTCTAGGGCCATATAACTTCAAACGACTTGTTAAGAATGCAACGCATTTGTTCATTCCTTGCCCAATGCTTGAGGAGGCTTAACCATCGCTGTATAAATGTCACCTATCCTACTTTCCTTTTGCGAACTTTGTTAAATTAATCATAGAAGTTGACAGTTTGGGGTAATGATGTTGAACATTCTTATATTTTCAATAAATAATAATAAATTAGTTCATATACTCGAAGACGCCAGATTGCTAAAGAAAAATTGGGTTGACACGCTTTTGTAAGTCAGGCAAATAAAAATGATACAAGCAGTCATATCTGAATATTTTAATAGTGTTAACATAAAACTACAATCCACACACGCTAATACGATCGCATTCACATAGAAGCGTTTCATAATTTTGTGAATTATTTAGATCGAGCTGAAATTATAATGGCTCAGAAATATATAAGAACCGTACGGGAGCTCCCAAATCACTGATGACAATATTTACAGGAGGGAGGTCAGTCTCCAAAACGCTTACGCAAATAATGTCCGAAGTAAAAGCAACAGAAAATAAGCTTGAAAATAATTCAACGAAACAAATATGCGACAGGACTTAAAAAAAAAAAAAAGATATAAAAACTGGCAAAAAAAAAAAACTAATTTTATAAAGAATTAAAATCTTCAACCTCGGCTGAAAGCTGCAGCTCAATGTTGTGTCTTTAAATATTTTCGCACGGTTACGCGATTGTTTTACGCTGGCACCGCAGAGGGCGCCACGTACACGGCGCCGTTGAGGGAGGCTCCAAAGAGGATTGTCTCTCAGCCCGCAGTGAAAGCAGCAAAACAACAAACAACGCGACGCCATTTTGTTGTGCGTGCGTGCCTATGTGTGCGAGTGTGTCACTTAACTCAAGGTCGCTTGTGCCATCGCCGAGATTTTCAGAGGTGTTCCGTCGCAAAAATCTCGCAAAAGTAGTCATAATTGTGCCTGCAATTTCGCAATTACTGACGCTACAAACCAATTAAATTAATATTACAATTATTTTTAGCCGTAGGTAATTAATTACAAATACAAATTACAAAGAAAGTAATTAAATTACAGTAATTGAATCACTACCCGAGTATGGGTAGAATTTCTTCAGATTTTGCGATAGAGAGTGTAGGTGGTGCCTACAGCGCTACGGTGATGTTAAGCAAGTTCGGGCACGTGTGATCTGGAGGCGTGGGTGCGACTTGAAGAACAAACAGTTCTTCTGGAGAAGAAGAGAATGTCGACGAGACTCAATGGCAGTGCTCCGCCCTTTTTGGCTCGGACGTTTGACGGGTAAACGTTCTTCGGGCCGCAGTAAGCACTTTAACAATGAATGAAGGAAAGGCCACTGACGTCAAGGCCGGATTTCTATCAATTGAAGACTCGGAGAACTTTCTCCGGGCGGACTTGCGTGGTGCATACAGCGGGGATGGCGACGCAAGCAGCACACACCTCCGTAGACGTGTGCGCTGCCGGCGAAGCCAGGGATGCGCACGCTACCGAAATAAAGTAACTAAATACCGCTATTCCTTCGTCACTCAAAACGTAACTACGATACTCCTTGCTGCGATCACAAAAGGAACGCGTTAACTCGGCTTTATAGTAGCAAGTTACTTTCTCGTTGCTCTAAATGTCTTTTTTTATTTCGTTTGTTCTCATAGAACTAATAATTGAGTGGCTGGTGTTAAATTTTCAAAGCCTCGTTTTGACGCGTTGTAATTAAATGAGAAAATCTCCAGTTTATGCAGAGATCATCCTTACTGATCGAGAGCCAGAAAAGCCTGGGCAATGGTTACCGCAACTTTAGAAATAGCCAAAAGTTCAATCCACCTGAATTGTTCAACGTAGAAAATATATAAAAAAGTACTTTTTGTTGTTGCTGAGGTAGTATATTTTTCTTAAAGGGGCACTGAAGTCATTTTCCGAAAAGATCATTTTTGATTATATATTGTTTAAAATGTGTTAGTTGCCACATATACCAAGTCCTACTCCTACATTACAAAACCGTCTATTCATCTCAGGGCAATTGAAAAATATGAGTACGCTTTTTTTCTCGTGGACTACACTGTGTGAACCAATGGAAGCCCTACAACACGCGCAGGTTCCGAATGATTTTATTATAACTCGTTTCGAAGAGAGTCTGATAGGTACACACTCGTATAAAGCTCCTCTTTTTTTTTTTCCGCGGGAGAAGCCACCGCCTGCAACTCGCCGATAAGCGCCCTTCGTCGACCACTTTACTCGGAAGAAATTCTTCCCAAAAAAGGCGTGTCGCAATCTTTGAACACGCTTTTAACGAGGATATAAGCCACGCACGATTGTGATTTCGGGTTTGGCGGGATGATTAGAGCGTCTAGACTGAGTTGTCACCACAAAAGGCCGATCCCAGGATCGAGTTCAGGACCCCTTTAAAGATGAACATTTCCGACCATTCCTCCAAGCGCCCGCATCGTTGGCGACGCACGCCAGCGTTCGCCAGCGGTGTGAAACGGAGCCGCAAGGTCTTCAACGCTCTCCTGAAAGTACGCTTTATCCAGTTGGAGTGGACGTTATGCTGACTTCCACGTATCCGCATCCTCTTCACGTTAAGTGATGATACTGGCGTCTTAGTTTTTACTTTACTTATGACGTCGTCACGAGGGTTAAAATTTCCCGCTAAATCTGGTGGGAAATTTTTGTGCTAAATTTAGTGGGACGTTTCCATTAGTGACGTCACACGTGAATTCTCACGTCGTGTCACGTGACGTCGCAGGTTAAATGGACGTGTGACGTAACGCGTCAATTTAGCGGGAAAATTTCCCCGCTAAATTTAGTGGAAAATTTTTCGCTAAATGGGAGAGGAGCAGGAGTGGAGGATGAGAGGATGCGGAGGGGGAGGAGGGGCATATTCTCCCCTCCGTACCCTCCCCTCCTCAAAAGCTGCGCTCCAATTCAGCATTACAGAGAATCGTAAAACTAATTTTTAATGCCATCTCTACGCACCCATTTGTTTTGTTTTGTTTTTTCGGATATAATTGGAAACATATTAGTGGCGTATTCAGGGGCGAGGCATATCGGGTTTCAGCCACCCCCCCCCCCCCCCCCCCCGAAATCCTCCAGCCGACCCTAAAATATACACACACCTTTTGACCCCCCCCCCCCCCCCCCCCCCCCCCTTCCGCCTCCACCTCACCGCACCTCAAGCCCTGGACATCCAAGCCACCTCAGCCATCCTCCGAAAAATATTCCCGGCTACACCACAGAAACATACCTTTTTCAGTTGCGCATGTTGTACCACTGCTGAAAGAACCACAAAGAACCACTGCGCCGCGATTACGGGCGTCACTTGAAATTCACGTGCTGCTCAGTGGCGCCACCTAGCGCGGCTCTCGCCGCGACCAGAGGCTTTTTCACCAGCTGTGCACAGGCGCCGCCATAACTGACCTTCAATTTTTCCTTCCTTTAGTTCCGTTCGCTCCACTTCATACTGTGGTCGCGCGAGAGGTCATCGACCTTTTAGACACCACTGTCCAATTCTCCTCAGCACAGGGGCATTGCCTTCAATGTTGCTCCGGTCATGCGGGTAGACACGTTCTAATGTATGCTGCGAGAGCTCCAAACGTGCAATAACATGCAAGAGGACGCGCCGCAAGTGAAAGGTCCTCGTTGACCTAGTATAGACAGCTCTGGTCTAGGCTCGCGTCCTGTCAATAGGCTTTAGTTGTTTATCGATCACCGGTAAATTTGGTGCGACCCGAGGGCGAACTACATTCGTAACTTATACGGCATTCAATGCTAACCCCGAGCTTGTAGCCCATAAAAACACCTATAAGAAACGAAAAAAAAGGAAGCAGGGCTTCAAGACCTCTTTTAAATCAATCCGAAGATTTCTACGAAATCTCTCAAGCAACCTCACGTGTACCACAAGCAGCCAACGCGACCCTGAAGCGAGACAGTCATTTCTCCGGAACCAAAGCCGCTCCTTGAAAGAAGCACAATCCACAAGAGCGAACGCGGTGTTGAAATAAAAGTTCCAGCTGGCACATTGATGCAGTCACGGAACAAAAAACCGCACTCGGAGGGGAAAAAAAAGAAAGGCTCACATGAAAAGCTTTACACCGCAGCGAAGCCGTTGCGATGCAGCTACGGACATTGGTGGGGTCAAGAACAGCTGACGATTACGTAAAAGCGGCCCGTGCAATGCTCCTTTAGCTGTTGCGTAAACCGCACGACCCCTGCAACCTTAGCAGACAACAGAGGGACGCCCACAATGTCCACATAAACGGTGGCGCCTCATCGCAGCGCTTCTGCTACTGTCTTGCGCAAATAATTATGTTGTCCGTACCATTTATGCCTCGCGTCAGCGGGAACGCATGCGTAGAAGGCGTACGAGTCTTAAAATAAAAAAATAAAAAAATAGATACGTATATGCGGTTCGGTTTGCACGATTCTGCGAGAATCTATGCGGGCACTCGCCTTATTGCGTGGCGTCTGTCGTAGAAGCTTTCTCGAAGTAGTTTCTTGCCAGATTGTGCCCTAGCGTGTCTTTCTAAAGTCCCTAAAAATAGATGTACATTTCGGGTATACAGGTTCACCAGTTGATATTGAATGCAGGCAAATTGCGAACAAAGAACAGTTCAAACCAACTTCCACAAACACATTTATTGCCACAATTTACATACTAAAAAGACCGTCACAACCTTTCCCTAACCATGCACAGCAGCAACTGGCTTTCTGTTAAATGCATAATTCATTGTCTCCATTCACTTTATAGTAGGCCCTTAGAAAGGTGAAAAAAATGTCATCATTCCACGTACGTAGAAAACATCACTTCGACGGTACCACCAACTACAAACCTTCCATGGAAAAAAGCTATCAGAAGGTACACTATTTTTTTCTTACTTTGATACCATCCAAACTCAGCGTACAAAAAAAAAAACAAAAAACCGGAGATCCTTAACAGCACCCTGATAAGAAACGTGCTCCAAAAGCACAGAGTTCGTTGGCACACAGAAACTCCAACACACCAGACACATGCAACACTCATCTCCCGAGTATTTCACAGTTTCGATGCACTATGGTCAGATGAAATATAACCAATAGGTATAGTAAGCCTCTAGGGCGTGTAAAGAACAGCATAATCACAAAGGAGATAATCCTATTGCCGGTACAGAAAGAAAGCAATCAATGATTTAGCGCTGCGCAAGGGAAATGACGCCACGTCAAAAACGGTTCAGGACTTCTTATACAATTCGTCTATATGCGGATAAAGCAAAGATAACTTTCAAAGACAGAACGTGAAATGGGCAGAAGGCATCTTGGTAAGAATACTAATTTAGGTGCTAATACCCCCCTTCAATTTGTTTTCAAAAACACTAAAACAAAAACAAGGTTAATTTAAAAAAAAATAGCGGCAATACTGGCAAAAGGGTGCTTAAATTGACAGGGAGAACACTGCGCAGTTTGTAGACCAAACGCGCCATTTAGTAAATCGGAGCATACCCTGTAAAGTTGAGTGAGAAATCTGTCTTTAATGTTATAAAAAATGATTTTTTTTTTTGGAGCGCACAGAATATTCTGCCGCGCTCGTACATGGTGCATGAAAGAATTAGAAAGAATTCAACGACTTTACCGCTACTTTGGTGGCCAGGAAACTTGTCTGCTATACAGAATTGTCCGTGATGTATCAGTATGGAACATAGAGGGCTACACTCTTTTATAAACGCAGTTTTCTGCTCTTCTCAAAAGCATGGCATGACGCCGAGCTCTAAACTAAAATACATCAAAGTGCCACAGAGCCTCTGAACCAGAAACCAGGGTTCAAAGTGAACCACATCTCTTTACACACACCTCTAGCATTGTATGAGAAAACTAAAACAAAATTAACTGTGTAATTCTTTAGTCATAATTCAAGTGCAAACTAACTGGCTTTTGGGTAACTTTAGTGGAGCAATACTACTCCCCAAATTATTCCAAAGGATGTGAATTTATGTAGTATGAAGTTTACACTACCTTAAAAACAAGCAGGGCAGACCCGGGTAAAATTCTTAACATCATATAATACTGAAACAATTTTAATGGGCACATGGAAGGATCAAGGTTGTGGCCAAAGTCAGTCTCGAGGTTCTCAACTCTTTCTTTAGATTTATGATACCAGAGTTGTGCATTGCCATTTTCTGGCTAAGATGCTAAACATGATTTTCACTGAACTAAACAAGTCCATGGTTATAACAAGGGTTCTGCGTTTTCAGTAAATACCAATAAACCCCGATAAATAACGCCCCCAAAGTTCTCGGAATCGGAGAACATCGAAAAACTTAGATCTGGAGCTGCCCTTGAATAGGAAAATCCGCGGTTTGGGGGAAAGCAATCTGCAGCACTCTTTCTGTGACCCTGAATACAACCCATACTATTTGTCATTAAAGTTTTTTGTTTTTTTTTTTTTTAGCTCCTTTGCCATGGGCCACCCTCTCCTGTTGTCGGTACCGGGATGATGTTTTCCAAGTATTTGAGTCACACAGACATAAGTTCCATGGACCCTTGAAAGGGTATCAAATCTATAGATATACAGTCGTTTTATAACATTAGCTCCGATAAACCCCAATTTCTTGGAATGCACTGAAAGTAAACATCAAAAAACACTGATTCTGAAATAGATCAAAAACCCCGAATTCGAAGGAAAATAGACCCTAAAACAAAGAAAAATAGACTTGGTACAATGTAAGCATACGACCATTTCAACTCAATTTCAATGAGTACCTTCAGATAAGTGGCACTAAATCTGCAGTGTAATTTGGTGTTCGGTACTTAAAAACTGCTCATGTTCAGTGTGATAGATCCGAATTCATTTATGCATCTTTTGGAAAGGTGGTGTGTTTTAAAGGGGAGCTAAAGACAATTTCGGACTTGCCACATGTATATATTTCAGTCCTGGTGAAGACAGATTAGCGCTCAAATTTGCATCGTCCTAAGGTTGCTTTTTTTTTTTTTTTTTTTTTTTTTGCTAGAAAGGGTTTGATGCTCTAATTGCTGACAAAGTGAAAGTTACATTTTAGCCACTGCCTCGTTATTGCTCGTGCCTTACAAGCATCATATAACCAGACAATAGATTTTCAGGCTCATACATATAAGGAAAAGCGGCAAATGGTTTTCGGTGATGATTTATTTCTAAAAAATGGGTGTACCTCAGTCATTTCTTTCGTACAGATGCTAAAATGGTAACTATCTGCGAGTCATAAAAAAATAAGAGTTCAAGTTTAATTTATGATTAGTATAGACACTTATAATGCACACTTATCATAATCATCATAATGTACTTGCAAACCACCAACAAAGAGTTTGAAGACGGGCTAAAGTCCAAGTGCCCTTTAGCGTCAGCATTCGGAGCTTTTCATTTTCTTTGTATACTGCAACCCAGCTGCTCTGTGTCGTGAAAAAAAAATTAAATTGTTCTCGAGCAAAATGTTTCCACAAAGAAAAAGTAAAGTTGCTCTTGCACTTTTCGCGAAATGCGACAACCAATTTAGTTTCACACATTGTCATCCAGCGCTAACCTGAATAGAAGAAAAACACTGGGGCAATCCATGGCGATCGATTCTCTGACAAAACTCTCATGGCAGTGCCTTCCAAGGTCAGTGATTTCAGTGATTAAGGGCTGGCAGTATGCTTGATTCTAGGTAAGAGCATGCACCCGACCAGTCGAGAAGGGTATTTCTGACAAAAACGGTCCTTGCTCAAAGCAAAAATTCCCAGATATGTGTTCCTCAGTTCTAATCGATTTTGTACCTTTGACACCGGTGGATGTTTATCGGTGTTTTGCGAAGGAAACCGGAAAGTCTACAGCCTACGTATGCTGCATGGAAGTTTGCAGGAAACTCAAAGTAAGTTGGTATTGATGCTGCTATCTGCTTAAAATAGAAAACATGAGCATGTCATGGACACTGCATAGAACCCCAGTATTTTACTCAAAAACACTGCCAAGTTTCACGACATAACAATTGTCACTAACTCAATTTACCAGAATTTATTTTATTGTCATGGCAGATCTAGGAACCGCTTGGATGTTTGTCGCAACAAAATGAATGAGATTATGATATTGCTTGAAATTAGAGAAGGGGCCTTGAAGCAACGAGTGTAAATAAAAAACACTCTGGGAGTATCGGCACTTATTCCATAAATCGAAGAGACACATACCTGTTCACCGAACTTAAAGGGGTACGGAAACAAAATTCCAGCACTCATTTTTTAACCTTAACGTGTTGCATTTAAAGCTAATTAAACAATCTTTCAATGTGCACTTGGTGGATGCATGTGGAGCCTATTTGGGAGGTAATCTAGCAAAGTTGGGGAAGTTGCTACGTAGTCATGACGTAGCAAGCTCCATGAGAGCAGTGCTGCTCTTTGGAATTCAACATTTTCCCCTTCATAGCTTTCCTCAACTCACAAACTGCGCATTGTTCCAAACCCTCGTTTGTGTACCTGGACACAGCCATTCTCCCCCCTAGAAGATTAGCCCATTGCTCAAAATTTTGAAAAAAGTTGCTTTTCCCACCTTGTTCACCCCTAAGCTGACAGTGCTGTGGAAGCTAAGTGCTCCTTGGACCAGCCACACGCTCGTCACCCTATGGGTACTTCGAACGGCTCAGTTGTATTGCGTTGACGCTATTGACATCACCACAACGCTGACAATGCCACCAACGGCGAAGCTCATAACCACGCCAGCCTTGCTACGTCATGAATGCGGGGAATCTTTTCTTTCTGTTTTTGTTTGCGCCGGATATCCCATAACGCATCACGCTCTCTGTTCGCTTCTCTTCAAGCGCTTGCTCGAGTGCACCGTTTGGAACGAAAAATATAGTCAGTCGTTCAAAACACAAACGGGCGATAATCATTTACAGCTATTATCCGTCGTGCCTGACTCTTCCGACCGAAATTTGAATATCTGCACCCCTTTACGGTAGCAATGCAGGCAAGTTGGTTCATGACTTAATAGATTAAAATCACCACTTGCATAGTGCGCATCTCTTTTTGCGCATTGCTTTTAATTTATTGTTCATTTAATTGCTTCATCTAGGCATCATATTGTAACAGACTGCTAGTGCAGAGCTAGATAATCAAGCAAAAATCGTTTCTTGAAGAGCGATCGACATCAAGCCAAAATCTAAAGGTGCACTGCACAAGACTGCTAGCGCAAACAAGTGATCACTGTTCTTTTTTTTCCTTTTTCTTTCGGAATCAAATGGCTGTCATCAAAACTACTAGTGGGGTGAAAAGCAGTCACTTGAGGCACTGACCTGAGTGAGAAAATTTTAAAACACGTAATCGCAAGTAATAAGGTTGTGCTTCTCGAAAAAATATGCGGACAAGGAGGTATACACGACGTTTCGGGCGGACGCCCTTCTTCAAGTCTTGAAGAAGGGCGTCCGCCCGGAACATCGTGTATACCTCCTTGTCCGCGGATTTTTTCGAGAAGCACAACCTTATTACTTGCGATTACATGTTTTGGCTCATTGTGCTCGGCAGCGACCCCATTCTCTTAGAAAATTTTATGCCTGCCAATACCCTTTCAAAGTAAAATGCATAAAGTACCAAAGTTGTGTTTGCACTAACAGGGTTGTGCAGTGTACATGTACTGGACAGGGGACATGACTACCATGACGACCTGCAGCAACCTAGGCTGGCAAAACAAAATACAAGACTGCATTCCCTTTGACATCAGAGCAGCGCACAAATCGTTTTCACAGTTCGAGGAAAGTATGCGGGCATCGTGGAAGAGAAACAAGCATTTTAGTTCCAAGAACGATGCAGAAATACAGAATCATGAATGCTAACTGCTGCTACTGAAAAGAAAAGCAAAATGAGATATACCTGGAGGGAAAACAGGATTGTGAAAAATAGAACAGCTGCAGAAGTTGTAAGGGGCGAAAGCAAAACCAGATTACCTTTTTTTTTTTCTTTTTTTTTTTCAGAGGACGTCATTGCAAGGTTGTTTTCTAATACACCTACTGCCATAAGCAGCTGTTGGCTACAGGAGGTTTTCCATCTACCCAATTTGTTGCTCCTGGTGCTCTTTGCTCTCATCATAGTGTGTGTTGGCCCATCTCAAGCAAGCATGACTGAATTAAATATTTATCACCAAGGGAGATTTCTAAATGACATTTAATATGTCAAAGCCATATGACCATTTTTTCACAAGGTAAAGTAGTTGAAAGAGAAAAAAAAAAAGCATATGAGCCTCCAACACCTATTTTAGTTAGAACTATTGTGTCTGAACAAAACAATAAGATGTGCCAAGCTTAGTTAACATAAAGGCCTTATTCAAGAAATAGTAAGCCAAAGTCTAACAATTGTTTTATGAAATCTTTTAACCAGCTTGTGTAACCCTGCTCCGTACCCTCTTTCATTTAAAAACAAAAAAAGACTCACAAGAGAAATGGCAGTCTTTGGTCAGTTGATATTTCAAAGGTGCCACTGAGAGAAAACAAGGAAAAAAACTTGAACTAGTCATCAGAAATGTTTGCAAGCTACCCTGCAATCAGAACAATAAATAACGGGCAATACCTGAAATTGGAAAAAAAAGTTCTCCGCGTAAATGACTGTCAAGAGCCTTTACAATGCACTCGCTAACATCCTTCTTTTTACCTGCTGATCACGTGTCGTCCGGTGTCGCGTGCCGTAATGCAGAATGAAGATCGTCATGGCTTCGTCAATGACAGCATCAGCATCTTTGACAAGCTTGCTTATTTCCTCCGAGGACGCCTCCTCTTTAACCGCCTGCGGAAGAGCACTGACCAATACATCAGAAAGTTTCTGCAGTTCGTAGGCAAGCTCGATGCTATTTTCTCCATAGATGACTCGCACAGCATCCACAGCGGGCTTCAAGACACCCGACGCTGACCGGAAGTCGCCCAAGGAACAGAGACATTTAGCCACCATGTCCTTGACCTCAAGGAGCTTGAGGTTGTGTTTGTACATAACCTTCTCACGAGTCTTTAGGCACTTGTTCAGCCGCTGAAGAGCCTCCACATGATTTCCTTTCTCAGCCAACTGGACACCCTGAACGTAGAGGTCGTGCATCCGGAAAGCTTTCTGCTCACTTCCTAGACATTCCTGAGTTGTGCCACAGTCAAGGCAAGTCGCCTTTCCACTGTCGTCTGGCTGCTTCAGCGGTCCTTCGCAATACTCGCACTTCAAGGCCTGAAGACGTTGCTCAGCGTCCTCACCGGAGCTGCAAGCCGTGCAAGAACACACGAAGAAATACTGCTCCTGCAGTAGCTGCTGTCGTTCAGCAAATGACATCCGACGATGGTGCGGACCGTAGCAGTTGAGGACCTCCTCACCCTCTTGGATTCTGCGGATGGCACGAACAACAAGCGTTGACCCACAGCGGAAGCTTGAGAAGATATTAGGGTCGCACGAGTGGTTCATCAAGCTGGCACTCGGGTAGATGGCGGTAGCAATGCGGACTTGTTCCGTTGTCATGACGACATCATCTTCCTGGGAGGTCTTTGACTCCAGGCTGGTGATGGCATGAGCATTGCAGACGAGCTGTTGGATGTGACGTAGCAAAAGACCTCCAACAACCGTCTTCAGAGCTGCAACGTCCGTCGACGCCAGACGATAGCTCGAGCCATTCCTAGAGCCGAAACTGAGTTCGCTCATCTTCCAGGAGGCCTCGTCGACATTGAAGAACAAGACGTGATCTAGAAGCATTGACAGCAGCGCCGCTGTGAGGGAGTACTGCAAGAGGTCTTCCACATGCATCTTTTCCGAGTGTGTCACAAGCTCATGGACCGACCCATAGCCGCCGTTTTTGTCCACGTCGACTTTCCCTTCCGCGAGATGGCGACAGAAATCCGCAAGCCCCGACAGCCCCGTGACGAGCAGCACCCTGACAGCGAGGTGTGCAATTCCGACGGAGTACAGGAGGTTGAGGTTCCCACACTCCCAGCGGTGATAAGAGTTCCACGAGTCCTTGGCGCAGGCGAACGAGCAGTACCGCACCTGGTTGCACTGCGCACAAGGCACGGCGTTGAGAAGCCGCTTGTGGCAGTGCTGGCAGTTGGTCTTCGTGTGCCCGGGAAGTAGAACCGATGCATATGGACGCTCTACAAAGATGGCGTCCCCTGGCTGAAGGTCGCGGTTGGCCACTAGAAACCGGCCCTTCTCCGTACTATACAGCATGTCCACCGCCATGCTGCAAGAAGGCACTGTCCCATGGGCACCGTAAGCAACATCCGGCACCTGCGATTCGTCGTCAGGGTCTTCCTCCTCGCTCGTCGGCGTGGGCGCACAGTCCTGAGAGCAGAGAGCCTTGAATGTGTCAATCTCCTTACACTGTTGCGCGAGCTTGCGTCCCTCGAGCGCAGCACGACGCAGCGACTTGTTGGCGAGATCGAAGTTCTCGAGGGCCTCCCGGGGCTTGCCGAGACGGAGGTAGCACTGCCCCTTTCGCAGGTACAGCTTGTACCGGAGGTGGACGGGGTAGCCCAGCTCGAAGGCGTATCGAACATCGCACAGGGCCTGCTTGTACTTCCCCGCGTGGAAAAAAGCGGCAGACCGGTTCGCGAACCCCAACGACATCTCTTCCGAGTGGCCGTCCGCGTCCGGGGTGTCCGGAAACGGCGCCGACAGCACGCTCTGCGTGTAGAGCTCGGCCGCCTTGGCGTACTGCTTGCGGTTGAAGCACAGGTTGCCCTCGCTGCGTAGTTCGGACGCCTTCTCCCAGAACTTGCGGTGCTTGGACGAACAGAGCACCGTGAGCCAGTGCTGGAGTCGAGGCCTGGCCACTTCGTTGCGGAGGCAGAACTTGACCCTGTCCTCGTTGGACTCGAGGGCGGCGAACGCGCTAAACCCGTTTCCTTGCCGAATGCGGTCGCAGGTGCTGTCCAGCACGTCTTGCCAGCTTTCGATGCGCGCCATTTGAGTATGATGATCGGTGGGATCGCCTTCCGCCGTGACGCTGTTAGCCCAGATTTCGTCGAAACGCAAGTGTCATGCTCGCTAGTTCGCGTTTGATTACCACAAGCGTTCTTCAGTTTGTTTTTTTACACGAGGATACGGAACACCTGACAAGAGAAACGGATTGGGCTTCGGCACAGCCAAGCTGCTCCGCGAATCGTCCAGCCACAACACGATCGAAAAGATCACCTTACATACCGAGCGCCGCATTGAATCGTGCGATCGTCGGTGGGAGGCTGACCGTTACGCACATTTCGTGTTCTTATTTAAAATCACGATTCACAAAATCACACGGACACCAATCGCACAAACACACACAAGCACCGACAACAGCCAGCTCCCACTAGACCTGTGCGCCGCCGCGCCGCGCCGCCGCCGCCGCCTGTTTTGCTCCCGCCGCCCTGCGCCGCCGCCGGAATCCCCAGAGCCAGCACGCCGCCGCCGCCGCCGCACAATAAATTCGGCGCGCCGCCGGCGCCGCCATCTTTTTTTTTTTTTTTTTTTTCTTGGGGGGGGGGGGGGGGGGTGCGGGGGGGGGGGGGGGGGGGGTATTGGTGTTTTTTTCTGCTTCTGTGAGTTTTACCTACTATATTATGCATAAAAATGAATAGATACAATGGTGTCTGTATGCTTTTTTCCCTTTCATTTTTACTCCTGTAAATATATCAATAAATGTAGAAGTTCCATAGAAAACGGAGACGCGGAACGATAAAAAAACGAACAAAACAACAAGTCTCAAACACAGTTTGTAGTTTATTTGAACAACGAACGTTGTTACATAACCTCGAGACCCTCACCACCAAAAAAGAAACACCTCCTCTTCACTAGGTCACCGAGAGCCGTACATTCAGACAGAACCCATATGATTCATGATTCAGGCATATCTAAATAATTCACACCAACCAGCCACCCTGATGACCTCGCTTGAGGGCTGACCAGCCACATGCGATAACAGGCAACTCCAGCTCCAGCACAGCCCTTACAATTCTTAGAAAACGCATAAAACAAGACCTTATAGAGACACACACAAAAAAAAAACGCTTCATGTCACTGTCCAGTGCCAAGGACGGTGTGCTTACACAATTACCAGAGGTCAAAATACGCATGGTCTCCCTCAGAACTCTCCTACCACTGCTGATTGTTGGGCGAGTTGGTATTGCCGTGAGAAAACATGATTGCGCTTTAAGACATAGACAGAAGAAGAACACCACAGAGCGCTTACTTTCAACTGATGTAATCCAAGAGCCTCAGCGTAGAAACACACTGCGTCACCGCACCACATCTCAACCAATCCGTGGCCCCGCCGCGGACCGCAAATACACTATCTCTTTTTCTGCAAAGTCGATTGAAACCACGCATGACTGCAGGTGAAAACCATTATTTGCTCCTTCCACTGTTCTCGCTAGGCACAAAGATAAGACTGTTAGAGAGATAATTGAGGCGGACGCCATCAATAGTTCCGGCACGTGTTGTACACGTGTTTTTTTCTGGCACCCCTGAGCACCACCCGAAAAGGGCTAACCTTTCTAATTTGTGCTGAGCTTTGAAAGCTAAATTTACACAGATCCTCTCTGCCACTGATATCAAGTATGAGAGATTCCAAGGTAGTCGGGCACACACACAACATTCTTTACAACCGGCTTTTTTTCTCACAGGAGCCGGATCAAACGTACGTTCCTCCTTATACCTTGAGCACAACTGTAACAATCCCATCCTGGTGTAATTGTTAAAATGGTTGTGAACGAAAATTGAGCTTGGCAAAAGGTCTTGACGGTTTTTATCAAGAAATGCCCGACAGAAGTGGAGCAACAGTCCATTGTCACTCAAAAACTCTGAGCAATTGATTGAAACATTGAATCCGCATCACGGAAGAAGGTGCGATGTGACAACTGTAGACATCAAGAACTACTCTATGGATAAGTCGGAGCTCTTAATAAGGGTCAGGAGGTGGTGTGATGATAATCTAGTAAAGTTGCAGTCTGCCACTGGAATTGATGTAGATCGATAGTTTTATCAGCATTCTGGAGTTTCATTTAGAGTCCACTGCCGTAGACTTTGATGGTTCTCTTTTTTTATTCAAAAACAGGGTGTGTGTATCGGGTCGTAAATTGCTCCAGTGTTGTCCGAGATTTTTTTTTTTTTTTTTTAAACGAGACTTATGTACACGTTGACACGGTTGTGCGGTCCTTGTCGATTGGACCGCACAACTCTGCCATAGCAAACGTCGAATTAAGTACTTATAGACCTACTGTTGCACACGGAAAAGGGCCTGTGCTGGAGGTACGGCAAGGAATCAGCCAAGCCTCTGTTGACAGCTGACAGCTGTCACTTGAAAATAGTTAAGAGTGGTGTAATTGCGTCTGCGATGGATAACGCGCCTGTAAAGAATTCCGTATGTTTTGGGTTGGTGAGGCAGTTGAGTTGCAAAAGATGCGTCGTTTGGAAGCGGGCCATCACCACGGTGTAATTGTTAGAGTTGTGCTCAAGGTGCTAAAGGTTTAATCCGGCTCCTGTGGAAAAACCGGTTGTGAAGAATGTTGTGTGTGTGCCTTACTACCATGGAATCTCTCATAACTTTATATCAGTGGCAAATAGGTTCGGTGTAAATTTATTTTTCAAAGCTCAGCACAAATTAGAAAGGTCAACCCCCTTTCTGGTGGTCTTCAGGGGCGCCAGAAAAAAACATAAGAACCCAGATGTAACTTTTCAAGCAGGAGTTGTGTACGGGACCCTCTCATTTCGTCGAAACTCGTTTCGTGGAATTACGTATCGCAGACAACTTTTCATGGGCACACGTTTCACGGACACACGTTTTGTCGACACGATCGTTTCATCGACACTCGTTAAGCGAATTGCACGCTGTAGGGACATCTCGTCACGCGTGTATCATATTAGTAAGGATTATGATGGAGTTGCCTGTTATCGCATGTGGCTGGTCAGTCATCAAGCGGGGTCGTCTGGGTGGCAGGTTGGTGTGACCATGAATCCTTTGGATCTGTCTGAGTTTCAGTGACCTACACTCTCAAAAAAAGGGTGTATTCTCACACCCTTTGTCCCATATAAGACACCCCAAAACTTCAGGCGTCGATCTGGCAGTACTAACTTTCACGAGAGGCTTAAAAGCCGTGTGGTACAACTTATTATCAATCAATCAATCAATCATTTTATTTTTTCAAGTAAAATACAAATTCGACTTGAACGGTCCGCTGGCACAAAAGGCAGACAGGTTGCCTGACGAGGTGCCAGCGGCCGGTAATTAAAATAGCTAATGTATGTTTTACTAATTACAAAAAAAAAAAAAATAATAATCGGTGTTTTCTTGGCCCTACTGCAAAACCTCAGTATTTTCTTTCTGTCGTCTTTGATACGTACTTCAGATATTTAATAAGTTAGATCGCTCCGTTATCAAGCCCCTCGTAAAATGTATGGCCGTCTGTGCGTCGAACTAAAGTTTTGGGGTGCGTTATATGGGACAAAAGGGTGTATGGTGTTACCGTATATTTAAAGAGTTATTTTTTGGTGGGTGAGGGTCTTGACTCTTGACGTATATATATAAGAGCGTTCGTTGTTCAAATAAACTATACCCGTTTTTTCAAGAAAAAAAGAAAGTTTCGAGCATTTATTTATTTATTTATTTATTAAAGTACCCTCAAGGCCCAAAGGCATTACAGAGGGGGAGAGCACATACATGAAACAAAGATGTTCGTATACGCGACGCAAAGTCTTACGAGATTTGGTTGTCGGAGAAAAAAGTGATGATTTTGGCGCTGGAACGTGCACGTCTTTATAATATATATAGTAGAATCCAGCAACATATATCTTAATTCTCCGTATAAAGGTGGAAATTAGTAATGGTTCGTGGAGAGTCGGACTCTTTCTACTAGAGTTCTTGACGTGAAAACGTGTATAGAAGTTGTGTTTGAGACTTGTTGTCTTGTCCGTTATTTTTATCGTTCCGTGTCTCCCGTTACTATGGAAGTTCTTCACCAGCTCGGCTGTGTTTTTAAAGCGTTATAACGGACTGAACGGTTTTGTAGACTGCAAAACGATTTCATGAAAACTTTGCGAAATAATTTGATGCAAGAGGGCTATATTCGCGTCCGTTTTCGGGCTTCTTTCAAACGTATTTTATTTTGATCCACACGCCTGGCTTGTTCCTGTCACATCGTGTTTCTAGGGGTCCTCCTTTCTCGTTTTCACGCGGAGATCCAGCATCGGGGGTCGAAGTCGAGCCCCCATCCGGTCGAGTCGGGGAGGCTCTCCTTACGGGTCTTTCCCGCCAGCGTATTTGCTTACACTCCCGAGTTCAAAATCCTTGCGCCCTCGCACATTTTGTTAATGTTGTCATGATCCTCTCGTTACGCGTCTAGCCATCGTGGAGGGCGGCGTCGGCGTGATGCGCTTGTAATCGGAGGATCTGCTGCGGTGCAAGGCGAGTTGGTTGATATCGACGTCAATCGCTGCAGGTTGTTCGTGAAAAAAAAAAAAAAAGAGCTATCGTGCGGCAGCTAGGCGGCAATCCAGGGTGCCTTGCGGGGTAAACCTGGAAATGGTGTAGGTTTGATTGTTCACGTTGGTGATGACTTAAGTGTCCGTGAGAAAAAGCAGGCCAAGTTTCGAGGTAGGAAGGCCGTTCGTGTACCATACCCTGTCCCTGACGCTGTATGGAGCTGGTCGATGTTTTGCATCGTAGGAGGAACGCTTCATGCCGTGAAGGTAAGCGAGGTTCGCGTTTGCAGCGTCGCAGTTCGCGCGGACGTCGCCGACCTCGTCGGGAAGCGGGGAAAATTCCATTGGTCTACGTGGGACAAAGTTGAACAGGAGTTCGAACGGTGATGTCTGAAGTCCGGCGTACGGCTGCTGGTTCACTTGAAAGCTGGTTGCCTGGAGGTAATCGCTCCAATGGTCGATGTCGCCGTTGACGTTCTTTCGCGCAGACATGGAAGGATTTTTCCGTTGGCGCGTTCGACAAACCTGTTAGCTTCGGGAGTGTAAAGTACTGTTAGGGATGCTCTGAATGCGCCTGTCGGCGAAGTACCGCGAAGCCGAACGAGAGGTTAAGACCCTGTCGTTGTCGGTGATCGAATAACGTGCTCGGTCGACTTGTTAGGTACGAGGCGTGCGACAAGCGCGTGGTGAGGTGGAACGCGGTGATAAAATACCTGTTGTCGACGGTCCTCGTCTTGCGGAGGATCTTGGGCCGCGGCTGCCAGCCGGCGACATATTCTCTTACAAACGAGACTAAATAAGACGCCGAAGTACTTGATTCTTCTAACGGACGTACTCTTCACAGCGAAGGCAATATCCAGAAAGCGAAGGCTCTCCCGAAAAAAATAAAATAAAAAAGTGTGTTTCTTTTTATGGTTATTTGCATCTTGTTTTCCAAATTCAAACGACTCTTTTCTCTCTCCCCCTCACTTTCTAATTTACACCCCTCCCCTCCCTTCCCTCTTCCGCGCCACGCCGCCGCCGATCCGTTGATCCCCGCGCCGTCAACACGCCGCCGCCGGAGGTACAAACACCGGCGCGCCGCCGCCGGCGATTTCTGACCGGCGCACAGGTCTAGCTCCCACAATGTGCAGCGGGTCACGTGATGTCGTCACGTGATGACAAATTCCGATGGAGCGCGAAAGCCACGTAGAGTGGTTTGGTCGAGACGCCGTGGCCGCCGCCATCTTACGACGCCACTCGAAAACGGCTTCAGCTTTGAAGCATTTTATTCGTTCGTGACTGAGAGATGCTCGATGATAGTATGCCATTGCATCGAGGCGCTGATATACTCTGTTAGCTGATCTAAAGAGTTTAACAAGTAAGTATGACATCTTCTATCGCCCAAAAATTAATGTTAGAAGAAGAAGAGCTCCATGTGGAACATCACGGTTCTTCGGTGCTGTTCGATGCTGCAATTTCACTAATACGTTACCAATACTCTGCTCTTCTGGATTCAGGGGTTCAATTTAGGCCGTAAGTACTCATATTTAACAGGCACAAACAGAAAGTCGTATTTTTCGCCCACAATGTGCGAAGAGCTGAAAGGTCGGAGGTGTGGACGCGGTTAATTCTCATTGCCGTTGTGGTTCGCGTCGTGGATGCCACTGACGAACGCCACGATTGCTCGGTCATGGGTGAAGTAAGTGGGTAAGCGCAGTGGAAGTTTCTGAAACCATCCAGTATGACGCGTAGCAACTAAATACTGCCAAAGTTGGATTTCGTGTAACACGAGTACTGTTTGAAACAGAAAGTAAGGGCACTTGAACAAAAAAGAAAACCCGGCAATTTAATTAAAGAACTACCGATACCTGAATTCCAGATTGTTCGCCTTGTCTATGTTTCTTCTCGGTGATTTCAGTCTCCCCAGCATTATTTGGTCTGTCGGATATCCTACTATATCTTCCAGTATTTCTGCGTGTTTCGAGTTTTTAAGTCTGTTTAGATTTTTCTTTTTCGTTGCTTGTGTCTAAACCAACGAGAATCACGGTAACTTCTGAGAACGTGCTGGACCTTGGTCGTAATTATTCGCCTGATCTGTCGCGAACCGGCCGAGGTTCGAGTTCGACCAGGTTCGACCTTTTCTAACTTTTAGCTGAAATTCGACGAACCTTGCATTGAGGTTCGACTCGTGTGCGCATGCGCGACAGGCTGACCAGTTGGCTTCGGATTGGATGGTAATGGCTAAGGGATAAACCAAGGGCAGCACTGATTGGTTATTTCAGTTAATACAGTACAAAAAATTAAGTTATTAATTCCTTCAGTGATTAGAATTGGTTTCTTTTAATTGCAGCTTTTCACAAAACTAAAATAACCCTTTGCATTAAAAAAAAAAAAAAAAATTCTCCAAACCTAGATATGCTTGTATCAGTCTGGCCACACTGCCCACAAAGTCGAAGCGGTCGAATCTGGCTAAAAGTTTCGAAGGTTCGTCGAACCGGTCGACCCAGTCGAACCCCGAAAGTTCGACCTAAAAATCCGGTTCGACAAAAGTTCGCGACACCCCTAATTTAAGCCTCTACCTTTTTTGCGGTTTCCACGTCTTCGTTCGGGCTCGGTTCGACTTTGTGGGCAGTGTGGCCAGACTGATACAAGCATATCTAGGTTTGGAGAATTTTCAGGCAACCCAGGCGTCCCGTGGTACAGTCTCCGGCGATATGAAAGACCCACTGGGAGCGCGTGGCCGAGGCGGTGGCTGGCGGGGGCGCTGCGAGCGCTCCGAGCAGTTCTGTTCTGCTTCGAGGGGAGGACGCTCACTCGGGGCTCAGCTAAAGCGCGCGCTTATCAGTTTGTGCTGAGCCCCGAGTGAGCGTCCTCCCCTCGAAGCAGAATGGAATTGCCCGGAGCGCTCGTAGCGCCCCCGCCAGCCACTGCCTCGGACACGCGCTCCCAGTGGGTCTTTCATATCGCCGGAGACTGTACGTTCTCTTCTTCACTTGTCTCTGTCCCTTCTACTCTTAAGTTTCTGTTTCTACCCCAGTCTCGGGTTAAGTTCCATCATGGTAAATATCCACCAGCTCGCCTGTACTTTAACCGTTTTTTCATTAATTGTCCCGTCGTGCCGATTGCGCGCGGCGTGTGACAAAATCGTGACGTTATAGTCCTGGTCAGCCGAAGAGAGAGAGCTGGCCCGTTCCGGGGGCAGCTCTCTGTCCCCAGCCTCACCTCCTTTCCCCGTCTTCCTCTCCCTCCCCACATTCCCCAGTCACCGGGAAAGGGGACAGAGGACAAAGGACGTCGCGAAGGAGGTTCCTTTTGGCTTGTTTTTGTAATTTGAATGTGCCTAAACCTTTCGGAATAAAGCAAATTTCGAGAAAAGAAAAAGTTCATGAAGTTACTACCGCTCAGGTTCGGTGCAAATTAAAAAAAAAAAAAAAAAAAAATACAGTAAAAGAGACGTTGCAGGGCTCCTTTAATAACTCACCTTCCTGGTTTCAGTGATCCCTGTTTGCTTCATTTTCACCTAAGCGCCTGTATATCACTTAAAAAAAGATTATAGAGTTTTCCTCGACTACGATAAATCCGATTTTAACACCATAAATAGAGAGTTGGAGTTCCTTTCCGATTTTCCTGAGTGCACAATTGAAGGTAGCCAGGGACGGATTTAGGAAAAGGGGGGGCGACCGCCCTCACCCCCCTATAAGCTCCCCAAGGTCAACTTTGTTTTAATAAAATCATCGATAGACACCACCCAAAAGTTTAATTTTGGTGGTATAGCAAATAATCGGTCAATAAAATACATCTGGGCAACGTTTCGACCGTAACGTCATATCTCAGCAAGCACTCCTTGCAAAATCTTAGAGCACATTATGCACACCTATACATTTCTCGATCCTAACTCATTCTTCTCTTCATCACAGCATGGCTTTCTCAAATCTCTTTCCTGTGAAACTCAACTTCTAGTCTTCACTAACGATTTATTCTCGATTCTTAACTGTATTTTTCTGAATTTCTGCTAAACATTTGGCAAACTTCCCCACAACCTACTACTCTTAAAAAGTAAGCTCCATCTCGACCCTAACCTGCTAACATGAATTAAGTATTTTTTTTAACAAACCGCTCCCAATTTGTATATGGACATAATTCTAATTCTTCTAGAAGTTCTTTTACATCCTAGGACCCTCACTATTTCTCACTTACATCAACGACTTACCCTTGTGTGTTTTGTCGCATATTCGCTGACGACTGTGTAATTTATCGCGAAATAAATAATGACTCTGACACATTTCTTTAAAACACCTAAATTTTGTTTCATAATGGTGTAATCAGTGGCACATAACCTTTAACATAGATAAATGTAAATGAATGAGTTTTTCGCCGAAACACACTGCCTTCCACCTACTTCCTTAATAACGATCCCTTGCAATATGTTACTTCCTATAAATACCTTGGCTTACACATCACTTGTAATTTATCCTGTCAAATCCACACAGATCACATAACTGCTAAAACCTCTTCCATGCTAAGATACCTTAAACGTAACTTTCCTTTAGCTCCCGTATCACTTAAGTTGCTACCATATAAATATCTGGTTCGCTGTAAACTAGATTATGCAGCTGCTATTTGGGATCCTGGTCAATCAACACTCATTTCTAACCTCGAGTCAGTTCAAAATCGCAGCGTTCGCTTCATTCTTAGCAATTATCATTGTACAGCTAGTGTAACAGCCATGAAATTCAGCCTATCTTTACCTCCTCTTTTGTTGCGCTGTAAATGTTCTAGGCTATGCCTCTTTTACAAAATCTATCACTCTATTCCTAACCTAAAAGAAAGACAATACTGTTGAACCCATCTTGCATTTCTTCACGAATCGATGAACAATTTGAAGTTGGACTTCCTCAGTACCATACTTCTGCCTATATCGATTCCTTCATTCACAGAACATCAAAAGCGTGGAACCACTTACCGTCAGTTTTAACATTAATACCATCACTTGATTTGTTTAACACGTCTATTACTAATTATATTTGTGAAAATGTATGGTGACTTTATTTTTTATTGCTTCTTTGTATTGCTTTTGGTTTTTGCTTCTGTATTGTTTTCTTGTGTGTGATTATGTGCCCACCCCATCTGTAATGCCCGTCAGGGCCTTGGGGATATTGCAATAGAATAAACTACATGGAATGCCACTGTTCCACAGGTAATTTGTTGGCGGACGAATTTCTTGCAATAAATTAAAGAAATGACCCAAAAGCCCTGGCAAAGCGATGAATTCATGCTCTTCGAGGATCGCACCCTCATCAAGTGCAACTTCTTCAAGAAGGCGAATTTCACGGTTACCCTCGCTCCCGGCTACCAGGGCATTCCAGAAAACCTTCTAATCAATCTCGTAATGTGGGTGGTGAGTTCCCTTACTGCAGTTTGGGGTTGAATAAATGCTAATCGAAAAGAGAGGATATAATTCATATTTTTATTTCAAACAAACTGTCAAAGAAACACATCCCGCATATCACATGGACAGAGGAAGCTTCAAAATTTTTAGAACCTTCTTCACTGAAACCTACCTTGTTGACTGAAATATCTGGAGATATCGAATTGACGACTTGCGGACCGGAGCGCGCCACGTACTGTACAGCGCCAAAAACGACGAAATTTTGGGTTCGATGCTGGAAAAAGGGTGCAAAACGGCTTAGTGGTGCATGGAAGACTTGTCGGAAACTTACGAATCGACGTAACCGTGATAAAATGCGCGTTGCAGGTCGATCCTCATTGCTCTGTCGGCTGGGCGAGCCGTTTGATTTCCTTCTCTTCATGACAGCTGTCCAAGCTTCTGTTTTGCGAGACAGGTGCTTATCCGACCGAAATTTAAAAAAAAAAAAAAAAAAAGAAGGAAGTAAACCAGGCAATTCTGTTTGTAAAATTAATTTCTGCATTCTTTGACGATACAGTGCGCTGCCATTATGGGAGACAATGCGACCCACGACGCAGTTCTTGCTTGCGAAAAAGGGCTTGTACAGCCATTTTACTTTCAGCTTGGATGGGGGCGCTCGTATCTTTTTGCGCATGCGCAGCAGCCTTTTTGGAAAAGGGAAATTGTTTTAGCTCTGAATTACATAACTAGGAACCCGTTGATTTGCGCAAGACAAGAAGTAGACTACCGTTTTGACGTTTGTCGCGCAATACTGTTCGTGTTGAGTGCAAAGCACCTCAAGGGCCATAGAACGTTTAACCTGTCTCTACCCCCCGATGTACGGAATGCATTTCTGTCGTTCAAAGTTTATTTGAAATGAGAACTTTAAATCAGCGTTCTCTTTCCGGATAGTCCTGCATTTTAACAACTAATATGTATATATATTTTTTGGCTCAGGGGTGATTTTATACAGAAAAAATATATATATATAACGTTAGATTTTTACTTTGACCGTGTCGCAGGGCTTTGAAGAGAGCCTAAGCATTTATTTTTGTCCACTTCGTTGATTTACAGTATCTTTTTTTCAGAGCCTCATCACGCTGTACAGTGTTCTCAATAGAACGGCTAAGAACTACAGCAGAATGGCGCTGCTCCACAATCGAGACGACCAGAAGTGAGTGCATTGTGCGAGTTTATTGCTATATACCAAAATAATAATAAAAATACTCACAAGAAATCAATATGACAATCCAAGAACTATACTGAAAGAGCTATAGTTGATGCAGCGAAACTAAAACGGCTTGTTGAGTTTTGCCACGTATCGTTCCGACTCCTCGTTAATACACACCTCGCGGTGTAGCACCGTTTCTTAACTCGATATTTTAGGACGACCTCCATTCAGTGGAGCGAAAATGAACCCTAGATTAAAATGCATCTCAACACCAAAAAAGGCATGCCTCGTTATCGCATTAATATGGATATCCCACTGTATGGAGAGTGTTTTCAGAAATGGTAAATACATTCATTTGGGTCTCGTACTACATTACGAATGATGATTGGGGGAAGGGAGACGACCACATTAGGGGGTTTCCGTAGACCGCGCTTCCCTTTCCACTAAGCCCTCCGCAACGAAGAAGCCGCTACTGCGCCTGCGCGTCGACGGCCTTGACTGTAGAATTCCAGATATCGTAGCGGGTTGTGGAGAGCGTAGCGGGACGGCGAAAACGATCTTCGAAAACTCTCTATCAACAAAGTCATCGCCATAATTTCATTGTTCACTAAGCAGCTTCAGCGTGTTGTAAAACGCGCGTCGCAATCTCATAAACTGTGTTGGAACTTGCAAGATATGGTTCCTATACCAACGCATGTATGACGTCAGTGCTGAGCAAGCACATTCCCCAAAGACGCCTGTTTATCAACCGTCTGCAAAAGGAATTTCCAAAAATCGTTAGTATGTTTGCAATATTATTCTTTTGCCCACAAACCTCTTTTTTTTTTTTTTTTGCATACTGCATGCATAAAAGGAAACTAAAAGGAACTTCTCTCTTGCCCCACTGTCCTTAAAACTACTTCTTTACAAATCATTGGTACGAAGCAAACTTGAGTATTCTTCCGCTATCTGGGACCCCGGTGTAACGCTTGCATTATCATTAGAAGCTGCTCAAAACCGTTCTGTTCGATTCATACTACATAACTATCATCGCACATCTAGCGTAACAGCAATGAAAACTACCCTAAGCTTGCCTGACCTCTCCCTACGTAGAAAAATATCTCGTCTATGTTTATTTCATAAAATTTACCACCATACTGCAAATCTTCGTCAGCATCTGTTAACACAACCATCATACGTCTCATCACGTTTCGACCATCAAAATAAAGTTGGCATCCCTCAGTGTCGCACCTCAAGCTTTCATCAGTCTTTCATACCCATGACATCACTGGACTGGAATCGCCTTCCCGCACCTGTTGCCAGCATAGCCGAGAATGCCGGATTCAAAGCTGCACCTTGCGAATATTTTTTTGGATTTTGGTTGACAGTGTTTTGTTTTAACAATGTTCTGTTTTTTGGATTTTTATGCTTACCTGCCTAATTACTCTTTGTTTGCAATTAGCTGTATGTGCCCACTCCCCTCTATAATGCCTTCGGGCCCTGAGGGAATGAATAAATAAATAAATAAATAAATGTTTTCAATGCGGAGTGCAAGTTCGTCTGCTTCTTGCACAGGGGTTGTGATGATGGCAGAACGCAGGCATCTAGCATTGAGGTCTACCCACTATTCTTCCAATCAAAGCCAATCAGAACTCGGCGTGGTTCTGACGTCACCGCAACACCTGCGCAACGTTACTAGATTACCTCAGTTGTGAAACTCCCGCGGAAGGGGGCGCCCCCCTCCCCCCCCCTCGCTCACTTCAGTCCGCCTCCCGTCGCTTTAAGCGCCATCTAGATTTCCGTTTCGTAACTGTGTGTTTCATAAAGTATGGTGGAACGCCATCTAGACGCTGTGCTTCGAAACGTACGTATTCCAGATTGCACTGCAGTTCCCATAGCTGCCGTGTGGCGCGTCGATTGACAGGAGGCGAGTCTTGGTGAGTGAGGGGGGGGACTGCTCGTGCAAGCGGTGTCTATGAGCAGTTCCGTTACTGGGCTAATCTAATAACGTCGCCCCTGCGCAAGAAGCAGACGATTTGCTCTCCGCACAGACCACCAAGAACATAATTGTAATTTGTGTCATCTTCTTTCAAAGGTGGTCCCAGCTCATTTACGGAAATCGAACAGAACTCGAAGCGGACGAAAGCCTTGAATCCCTTGAGACTGTAATACGGCACGAGACAGTAAGTGAACTCACAGGTTGCGGGAAAACAACTGAGGTTCGCCGTGATAGGTACATACAGTCGCGGACGATATAAAAAAGCCCAGGCAAGCGCGTGGCTTCTAATAGCTATCGCGCTTTTTATCTGAAGAAAGCTCAACCATCATCGAGGCTTCAGCGTTAAATTGTTGTCATCAGTTGCTGTGTTCATGCCGATTTCGCCGAATGTAGAGGCGTCCTGCGACAAATGACAAAAGTCAAGCGTGGCCGAATCCAACGGGTCGGCAGGTTGAGCAATCAGTTTTTTGGGCGTGTGATAATAAGCTCGTGGGATAAATGACGATAAGCCATTTTTATTTTATTTCACCGAGCACCACTTCTATCGGCGTTGACTCAGATATCGCTTGCCAACCAAGTGGGGAGTAAGCACAGAAATCGAACAGCCGCTGAAATGCCGCTCATTTACAAATAGCCTCGATGATAGCTCAGCATTTTTTTTTCCGTTAGCGCTAAAGGTTTTTGAAGCCAAGCGCTCGCCTGTGCTTTTTCATGTCCTCCACGACTATACTTTAGATTCGTCGGTTGTACCGACACATAATTTAAGGTAATTCTTCTACTCATCTGAAACAATCAATACCTGGTACCAAAAGCTAAATTTCTAAATAAATAAAAAATGTCGCCGAATACGCCTAACTGTTATGTGGGGAATGTTCTGGTTGGTCAATCGAAAGCATAAACAAATACAAAAAAAAAAGCCCGGAAATTGAATAATTATTCGTGATTGGTTCATACCTTGAGAGGCAGCCGACGCTACTCTAATAGCACCAAATGTTGCCATAACGTTACTACAATGTCACGAATGTAATGTAACGTTTGGGCACACTCGGGTATACGTTATAGAGACATTTGAAGAATAACCTAAAATAAACATTTTTTTCGTGGAAACGTGATTTCGGAATCAGCCCGGAGACCGAAAAAATGCATACTCGTTGCATCTCATAAAAATAAACATGCTATAAAAATGTCATCTCACGAACGCAATTTAGAGCTGTTTCTGTGGTTCCATCTGCCGTTTTCTGAGCACAGACGTGTGCACCAGGGGCTTTCCTATTCTACTTCGAGGACTTGTCAAATAGTAACGCCCGTTGATTTGTAAATATCGAAATAATGCAAAGATTGAAAAGGAGTTACGTATCTTTCTCTTGGCAAAAGTGTCCTCCGTTCAGGGTTACCCTTCTACATAGTCCCCGTTTCGTTCAATGCCTCCAGCGTTCTGTCGACTCGAATCCAGTTTGGAAACACCTAAAATTCCCTGCACCACTGACTAAACTTGACGTCACTCATTTGCTTGTCAACGATTTTGGTTTCTGTCAACTTTGTACTTCAGAACCCAACGCCTGATATTGCTCACATCCATTTCAACATCATCTTGCAGATTTCTGGGGCGCCTGGGAATCTAAACAGCCGAGCAGTCCATTTTCGTCAGAAACTCAGTATACGGCTCTGTGCATCAGGTTCTCATCCACCGATTCCATTCGTCAATCTAAAAAACAAAAAGAAAAAAAAAAACACATTAGTAGAGTATCGTCGTGCGCATAATATATACAAAGCATATTAATATAAGTCGCCTTATAAAGAGGTTATGAACACACAGGGCCACAGGCATTACTTTTTGACACTCCCTCGTGTATTCGGCTTGCTTCGATGTTTTCCAGTTCGTGAGAGAGGTGCTTAGGTGTACTGGACTACTCGACGGAAAACTCCGGAAAAGTGTGCGTCTTTACGATGAACTGAATGGAACGTTTTGTCTGTTCCTTTATGCCTGACCCCCTCTCCTCTTCATCCCCCGGACGTTCCGTTTTCTACTCTGAGTATTGGTAAAGCATTGAAATCTTGCAGGGATTCCTCAGCTGGGTTTGGTCAATCTTCCTGATAAAGTAAGTATGGAATGCCCATATATGTTTCGTCGTTTGTATTTTCACGTAGAATGGGCTTTATCAGCCGAATTCCACGAGAAAACCGTCGCGAGGAACCGTCGCGTCAGATTCCCGGCTAAATGTCACGTGTCGTCAATTTTCTCGCGAAATATAGCGGCAGAAAAGAAGCCACGTGACAACGTCACGTTATCACGGCATGCGACCTTAGGCAATGTCAATTTTCCCGCTAAAATTACACTAAATCAACAAATTGCAGAACGATAGAAGGCACGCGAAGCGTTTTATTTTCGGCTTTCTGAAAAACCGCACGAATGTGACGGGTTTTTTTAGTTCTGGTTTGCTATCGGAGCGTATGTCGGCCCCGACGGCACCGCGCCCCGTGGAGAGAGCAAACCGAAACTTAAAAACTCGTCGATTTTGTGCGGTTTTTCAGAAAGCCGTAAAATGCTTCGCGTACCTTATTCTATCGTTCTGCAATTTGTTGATTTAGTGTTTTTCGATGATGTCGAGAAAATTTTCTAATTGAAACTATGCCCTTAAACCAAATATTAAAAAGTTAATTACGCAAAAATAATTAACAACCTAATTATCCCGGACTTTAATAATTTTCCCAACTAGGCCCTCTGGCCCAGGACCAAAACAACACAAGCCTTCTTTTGCTGCGACGCGTAGTTTTCGCAATGTGGAATTTGTCCACCTTTCGTGAAACACTGTATATACATGTTTATTTATTTATTTATTTAGTTCCTGGTTCTACACAGCCGGTGTATCGGAACCCTCACCAGAATAATGCGATTAAATAATGCGTTTCTCGAGTAATTTTTAAACAGAGAGAGAAGAAGAAGAAAAAAAAGAGACAAGAGTGGAAATGCTTGAAGTCGGAAATAGAGTGCGTCATCTGCGACGTCAGGGATCGGGGTGCGCAACGGTTTTGGTACGCGCCGTCTGATGGCCTGGCTCACGGTTCCGCACCTGCGATAAAGGAGTACTTGTAAGAATGAATGAATCAACACTGTTCATTGTTCAGTGAACCGCGGTTATGTTCGAAGCTTGTGAACAACCTCGGAGTCAACGTCTTAAGCTCCGTTTGGTAAAAAGTGCACGGTCGTGGCGCTCTTTGTCTTTGGTTGGTATGCTTGCCATCACCGGCCTATAGCGCAAAGAAAAAAAAACAAAAAAAAACGCTGAATCACGGCGAAGTCACTGTGCGTGCTTCGTTTATGTCGGTGGTTCAAAGACGACGTGCGCCACGGCGACGCACTTTTGTATAAAGTCCCTGGATTAAAGCTTCCCATACAAGTAGCGAGATTCTTTGAAGCGCCGACTGCGTGACGGTGCAGGTTTTAGGGAAGCGAATGGCAGCGCACACCAGATGTTTTAACTGAATGCTGCCATTTTGTTTCAGCGGAATGTGCTTTGTCATATACACATATGACAAAGCACATTCCGCTGAAACAAAATGGTTGTCGTTGCTTGTGAAAGAGGTATCGAGAGACTTCAATTTCGTACTCTGCTTGGTTGGCTTCGTCAAATGTTGTATGCCGTTGGCTGCGATTGGGCTTGAGCTGAAACGGAGTATGGCAAGTGCGTTGTTTTTGCTCGCGTCAAATCATTCAACCGAGAAGAAGAAATGTATATTGTTAAGATCAAAGGGCCGCATTTCGGCAATATTTGAACATATTATGGGCGTAGATGTTATTCATATCGGCGACGCCTTTTTTTTCTTGAATTGTCGTCACTTCCAGTATGGGCGACGAAAAAAAAGTAAAACGTTTCAACCTGTAACTAGTAAAAAAATAGAGGCGAGCCAAAACGAGAATGTGTGACGGTTAGGCTTATATCCTAAATGTCTTCTATTGGCGTGGCAACGGCAAAGTTACGTTTTCGCCCATACTGGAAGTGACGTCAATTCAAGATGGCGGCGCCCTTGTGGAAAAGGTCTATACGTTCAGCGAGATTTCGGTACAGTACCGTATTCGGAAAACACCAACGCGACTATTTTGGTCGCTCACACGAACACTGTACACATTAAGCGCTCTAGGGAACACTCGTTATGTTTATTTGTACTTTTATTTACTCGCGATTCCTTCGGAGCAGGCCGGAGGCTCTGCATTGGATTGGAACGAGAATTCACACCAGCAGCCTTGAAAACTCGCTAAATGAGGAGCGGTGTTAAAATGTTTACCAATTTAATTTTTTAAACGTCAAAATGATTTTTCATTTTTTTTCTATAAATATATAAGCAACCGAAACGGTGGAATAAAAAAAAATACATTCTGCGTGCACGCGTGCGTGTTCGTGTGTGTGCGTGTGTGTCGTTTTTGTTTCTGCAGTCGCGTGGTTGTGGGGGGTTGTGTTATGTCTAGTAATATCCCCAAGATTGTTTTCCCTCTGACTTTCTGTTCAGAGAAGAATAATTTTGACATACGCCGTGGCGTCTTCGTAAAAATGTACATATTTCTTCAGTAAAAAAAAGAAAAAAAAAAAAAAAGCAGTGGTTAGGTGGCGCGAGCTGCCGCCCGATTCAAAGGGTTCAACCTATCTATTCGTATTAACTCGCCACCTGTACGCCTCTGGTGCAGGGACCGGCACGTGTTGAAAAAGAACGGTCCGGACGCAGTGCAGTACCTGACCTTCCAGAGACACATCATTGTCTTCGTGCTCATCGTGTGCCTCTGCTGCGTGGGGATCATCCTGCCCATCCATGTATTCGGAGACATCGGTAGGGACCCATGCACTAGTGTGCCCACAACATCGACCTATGCACTCTTATATACATTTGTACAAAATGGTAAAAAAAAAATCTTGTATAACATTTGAACCTATATGCACTCTTACAATATATAGATATACATTTGTACAAAATGGTTTAAAAAATGTGTATATCATTTGCAAAAGATATAATGCCTGTCATTCCTAAAGAACACGTAGTATTTTTCACGCAGATTCTAAAAATATGTAAAATGGAAAAAGAAAAGACAACAAAAAGGTAGAAATGAGGGCATTGCAAGACTGATTTGTCAAGCGCGACGTCATAAATGGGCGATGACACGCGTTTTCCTCAACGCTTGCAGAAGGAGACGCGCGGAAGTTCGTCCATACCACCCTCAACAACATGGACCCGAAGTGAGTTAAATATGTCGTTCCGGCGGCGCCGAAACGAACGCCGGGAATGATATGGGCAGAATCGGTTGTATTAATAAAAGACGAGCGCCTTAGGTGAATTACATACGAATGCATGAAAGAATAAAAACAAAGGGCGGGGAAGGAAACAACTTCTGTTTCTGACCCCGTCCTCTATGTTTTTTTTTTTTTTTAGTCCTTATTTGAATCGGTTGTAGCAGACGAGGCGAAGCAGGCGAGCGTTTCCGCTACCCTCTTTTCCACGCTCTCTCCAGTGTCACGTGGTAGTGGCCGCGGGGGCAAGGAGGACCGTACAGAGCTTCGCGCGCAGCCTCTCGGGATTTTTGCAAAAGGTTCTACGAGACCCTACCAGCCGGTTTCAGTTGGGAAATGGGACAAATATACAGGGTGTCACAAAAAAAAATTTACACGGTCTTTTTTACCGCAAAAATAAACTAGGCATCGCCGAACGCTCATTCTCCGCCCACAGGTAGAGCTAGAGGTCACAACCAGATGCCAAAGTTTCAGCCCCATCCGATAAGTTAATCAAAAGTTATTAGTGATTTTCTGAAAATCTCAATGGGAAAATGGAGCCCATTTTCGCCCGTTTTCGGTTTCTGGTGCCATAAAGCCCCATGTGTTTGAAAACTCCGTCGGCCGCCATTTTCCCATTGAAATTTTCAGAAAATTACTTATAACTTTTGGTTAAGTAATCGAATCGGGCTGAAACTTTGGCATCTGGTTGTGACTTATAGCACTACCTTTGGGCGGAGAATGAGCGTTCGGCGATGCCTAGTTTATTTTTGCGGTAAAAAAGACCGTGTAAATTTTCTTTTGTGACACCCTGTATACCGCGCGCAGTTCACAACCTTGTCCAGATAGTCTCTAGAGCAGCGGTGGCCAAACTGCAACTCGCGAGCCTTATGTGGCTCTCCACTTATGGCTCCCAAGCCCGTCTGTGGAGAATCACATCCAATTGCAGGGGGAGGAAACTCTCCTTTCCCCCGCAATTTCAGAAGGACTATATTTCTCACAGAAAGCGTTCAGCCTTTCCACTTTCGTGAAGAAGGAAGACCAGCGGAGCTGTACTTGGTACACTGCCGCAACGCGCACGCGCCCGTTTCCCGCTTCTTCTCGTCCGACACGCCGCCGATCGTGCATACGTCTCCGGCGACCTGGAGTCCGTCGCAAACAGCGCACGTGACGCCAAACGAGTAATCCACGAACTCCCTCCGGAACATCGCCGTCGCGCCCGGGAACTGTTCAGCCGGCGTGGAGTGCAGTCGTCGCCGGGCCTCGCGTTTGCGCTTGGCCTCCGTGGCACGATCGTCGTCCGTGGCGTTGGCCCGCCGGCGCTTTTTACATCGCTGGCTTTGTTCTCGGTGGCGGCTTTCCAGGCGAGCAACGTGCTCTTCTTTGGCAAGGGAATGTGAAGCGCTCGACGCAGTGGAAGTCGAGGCGATAGCGGCTTTGCGGCGGTTACGGACCCACTCACGCTGCTGCGTACGTCGTCGCTCCTTCCGCAGCCGGTCTTCTTTCCCCGAAAGGGCGCGCAGCCGACCCATCCTAAGTCCAAACCGAAGCTGGGAGGAGCGTAGGAAACAGCGCGCAAAACAGACGAGAACGAAGAAACACGCGTGACGAGCGCTGCGCTCGTTACGTGTGCTTTTTCTTTGTCGTCGTCTGTTTTTCGCGATGAATTCCCACCAACGCGCCGCCCAACTATCCATTCTTCTATGATAGCTGCAGAGCCGTATATTGGGAGAGTTTGGCCAGTGAGTGTGGCGACGAAGGCGCCGGAGAGGAGAAAAGTGAAGGAAAGGGAGGAGAGCGCCGAAGGAGCGAGAGAGAAAGAAGGGAGCAAAGAGTAGACGACCGCCATTTTGATGCAACGCTGTCGGCGCCGAGCAGCTGAGGCTAGGTATAGTCGCTATGAACTTATTTCTTTTCCGCCCGAGTCAAAGTTTGTGTTCAAACGTAGAGAAACTTCCTTTGTTAGCTTTTTAAGCCTGCGAGGAAAAACACTATATCATTTTCTCGCCAGAGGCTGTCAAATAAAAGGAAAGAACCGAAATTTATATGCCGATCCCATGCAGTCCGCCGGGCGAATGAATGAAAATGGCGGTCCTCTTTGGTTAGCCACGCTCCGCGACAACTTTTCTTGGCAATGCAGTGGAAGGTACAGGCCCGCGTCCCCTCTCCCATTTTGAGTGTACGCAGGCTCTCCTCCTCCCCCATTTCCGGGGAGAGGAGGAGAGCCCGCGCACACTCAAAGTGGGAGAGGGGACGCGGGGCTGTACCTGCGTACACTCAAAATGGGAGAGGGGACGCGGGCCTGTACCTTCCACTGCATTGCCAAGAAAAGTTGCCGCGGAGTATATAAAGGAGCAGCCTGGAGTTCACGCGCATGCGCGCACGCCTTTCGCTCTGCGCCGTGGATCTGATTGGCTCACTCGGGAGGAGGGCGTTACGGCGGCGAGATCATAGACTGGCCAAACTCTCTGGATAGCTGGAAAAGTTGGCGCCATCTATGAGCGACGGCGGCAACCATACTGGTTGTGTGCTTGCCGCCGTCGCTTATAGATGGCGGTAGCTGTCCAGAGGCGTTTTTGTCGACAAGCATTTTGTACCAGACACGATCCTCGGGAACCTAGCTCATAACAGCTCCGCTGTAAAAAGATAAAGCATAGAAGGCAACTCGAGTTTTGACAGCCTTGTTCCACCATATAGCTTGCTGGCAAGAAACTTCTGTGGAAATTCAGATGTGCGTGCTGCTGTGGTATACTCTCATCAACAATGTAAGCGGTAAGATCAAAACAGCATGCACCTGATGGACAAATACCTAACCGAGCTGCTCAAAACTGCAACGACATCATTCAAGTCGAACTACAAGGAGCTTATTTCAGGAATGGGAACGCACGACAAAAAACAAAAATAAAACATGCAATAGACCCTTTCCGAAATTCAGTCTGGCCACTTTGATCACAATCATCATCATCTGAAAAATGCCATATGTGCCATACCAATGGCGGCTTTCGATCTACTGATGAAGGAACATGTTGAAGATACTCCTAAGCTGAGGATTCGAGTCCTATACATTCTAGACGTTAGCGCGTTGCGAAACCAAAATTGAATGCAAGCGCTGCGTAAGTGTTCATTTTTCTAATTCGAGCCCAGTGAACCTGTTAGTGGCACAAAATCGACTTTGAAACCCCTTGACTTATAGAACTTTATCAAGGCGTCTGTCTGGGTTGGCGCTTCGTTCTGACTGGTTGCATCGTTGTGGGAATCGACACTGGAAGAGATGATCCAGAAAAACCTGGATAGCGAAAAGTTTTTTCTCGTCTGCCGTTGACATGCAAAAGTGACGGTGCCCGATAAAATACTGCAGGCTACGGGTTCATTGCCGCCATTCGTATGGCAAAAGTTAAACCGCCATTTCAGCCACCAGATGGCACTGAATTTCGGAAAGGGTCTATTGCTCCAAGCGTGGAATTCGCTATATAGTCATAAACAAAAAATCACAGTAAAATAAAACTGTCACGCGTGGTTTTACCGCGGCTCTTTACTTAAAATGGCTCTTTTTTATGGATCTTTGCATACGTCTGTCTCGCCTTTCCAGGTTTATGAAGTACCAGAGTAGACAGTTTTTTCATAGTACTTTTTCTTTGTGCTCGCAGTTGCTTGCGCGAAGCCACATAATATAAACGAACACGTGGAACCCTTAGAGTCACCCTGACGGTGCCTAAAGCAAACTTCAGCATAAAGATTTTGGTTCTACCTTAGTATAAATACACCTCCTGCGTCGCTCTTACCATCGGCAACTCAGTCCAAGCATTCCAAAGGATGACAACCCAAAACAACGGTGTTCTGCGTGCTCCCTGATGTACATAAAAATACAAATATCAAAATGAACATTGGCGCCTCAGAGAGTTGTCAGCAAGAACCAAATCAATAAATAAGAGATAATTTCGCTGTCAATTCTGACCCTGCAAAGCAAAAAGGAGAAAACGCATCTACAGCATGCTTTCCAAATTAAAAATAATAATAATTATATATATATATTATATATATATTTATTTATTTATTCAAAATACCCCTAAAGGCCCTTTGTATGAGGGTACTACAAAGGGGGGGGGGGGGAGCAAATATATCATAGTACACAGATAAAACACAAAAATTACAAAACGACAATATGAGAACCTTAGCTCTTGGAAGTTAGACATAACTAGTTCAGTTGCAATGTGAGCCGGTAGGTTGTTCCAGTCGATTATGGTCCGTGGTATGAAGGATCGTGCGTAACTAGATGAGTGGCATGTGATGCGCGTTACTTTGGATAAATGATCGAGACAAAATAATGGGGAAAGGGGGGGGGGGGGGGGGGTTAAAAACATCGTCGTGAAGCGATGCATGGTGATAGAGCTTGTGAAATAATGACAGACGGGCCCGTTTACGGTGGCGTGATAGGTCATGGAACTCAGCTTGATTTTTGAACACTGGAAAATGGAGAGTAGTCAGAGCAAATGAAACGCGCAGCACGGTTCCGCAGGGACTCATTGTTGCTTATTCGCTCAGGATCCCATATCGCAGATGCATATTCAATTTCGGGGCGGATTAGAGTGATATAAGCAAGTTTTCGTGAGTGGGCGAGTGCTTGTTTAAGATAGCGCTTTATGAATCCAAGGGAACGGTTAGCGGAAGCAAGGGTGAAATCAATGTGGTAGTGCCAGGACAAATCAGACTGAAAGTGGACACCCGGCCAGGTACTTATAGGCTGAGGTGAGTTCAACAATATTGTTATTCAGAAGGCAAGAAGTTGGAGTCTGAGAGGAGCATTTGGTAAACGACATATGTTTTGTTTTGTTGTGGTTGAGGGTCATTGGCCACGAAAAGCACCACGTGGTTAACTAATCCAGGTCTGACTGGAGAGCTTGGCCATCGATGTTAAAAGAGATGGTTTTTTTTTTTTGTTTTTTTTTTTTTTTTGAAGATAAGGCAGCATTTTTTTTATCTTTAGGGCAGCAAGTTTGTGGGTCCATGTGGTTTTCGCCTTCCTATTCCTGCCGCTGGGCGTGATGTTTATGCGACACTTCTCAGCCAAACTCCACATACATCCGGAAGAGAGCAGGGTAAGCTTGCATCAGTATTAGGACTAAAATCGTGTTTCGATTTTTTATAGCGATCTTTGGAATGCCTTTGGGCTTCTGTATATGGTGTCCCAAGCGGCCATTCCGCTGTAAAACGAGCCTGCAAAAATCGGCGCGTATACGTAGAAAGCCCAAACTTTCCCCAAAGATGCAATGAGGAGGTCAGTCTTACCGTGTGAAGTTTAGTTCTCTTCCTGGAACAATTAGGAGCGAAAAAACTGTGCCGAAATCCATGTTAGGCGCGTTCGCAGACGATTAAATTACCAACGCTTTGTGCCGTCTCCTTTTTTTACTTCTTTTCAGGAACAGAACGGCGTTTTGAAATTTTACACGGAAAAACTGACCTACTCAAATGCACATTCCGTGAAAATTTGAGCTTTCTTTGTGCAAGCGTCGCTTTTTCCGGCTCGTTTTACAGCGGTAGCTCCGAAGGCCCTCTGCAGCCTACTCTAGAATTGCGCATTGCCGCCTATGTACATGTTACAAGGTCAATATGACCCACGAAACACACCGAATTGCAGTCACTCCGATTGGGACGGCCTAACGAACGTTACAAAGGCACTAAGCTAAGCATCAGAGTAATGACACCCCAGGTGTGGAGAGATGGATGGATGCTGCAGAGCTGTGTATAGAGAGAGTTTCGTCAATGGGAAGCGCGGGAAGAACCAGGGCCAGGCACGTAGCCAGGATTTTGTTTCGGGGAGGGGGGGGGGGGGGGGGCCGGGCCCCATGCCCCCCCCCTGGCTACGTGCCTGACCAGGGCGTGCACCAGATACAGAAAGAGGGCTTGAGTCTTGACATGCCTTCTTGGCCAACCAGAAGCCGAAAAGAATCTCCTAGCGGTGGTAGCGAGAAACAGTTTTAATCGTAGGTATATGTTGGTACATGGTTTTAATAAGCGCGTAAGAGTGAAATGTAGTAACCCTTTTTGGTTGAAAATATCGTGCACGTGATGTTTTGATCATGACCATGCAGAAAGATGTAAGAAACGAATGTGCCGCTCAACTCTGCTTTGGTGGGACAGAGTGTGACCGCTCGGACGGCAGATTCCCGGCCCTCGGCGCCTGGCGTACGGGTTATGTCGATCGTTCCGCTAGTCGCACTCTTCCACCTGGATGACCTTGATGGAAGCGTCAGGTGCGCCATATTTTCGACCGACAGTTACTCCGACGCACTTATTAAGCTTAATTCTCGCGACCACCGCCAGGATATTATTTCCGGCTTCTGGTTGGCCACATTCGAATTTGTGAAGACGCCCTGGAACACGCCCAGCCCGCTCTCGGCCAATGGCACCTCCTGATTTGTCTCCCAATGACCGGCCAAACCCTCTACATATACGGCTCTGATGGATGCTAACAACTGTACCCTTTATAGCGGTAGGTAGCTCGCGCCACCTATAGCCCATCTTTGTGCTTAAAATTATTGTTGCCAGTTATCTGAAGCTTTATCCCAGATCGCAGGAAACGGGTTTGCGTCCTCCAGAAACGTTAAGGTAGTCTTCGACAGAGCAAAACAATACCGCGCACGATCTTCCATGGCAGCGTGCCTAAAGCTCAGGGTAGTCGTATTTTCAATTCGTACGATCGCCAAAACACCCTTTTCAAAAGTCCGCGGAAGACTGCGTCATCGCTCGGCGTGAACTCGGATCTAATTACGTGTCCAAGCAATGACGACCGTTATTGTTGCTTGACGGACTTTTGAAAAGGGACCATTACGCGCGCCGCTCTGCCCCGAGCACCAAAATGGGCGCGTACTTACAGGGAAATCGGGGGACGGAGTGCTGATACTCAAAGCGTATAGTTGGTGGCTCTACAGAACACGCTCTACATCGGGCAATGTATTGACGTTTGCTGAAAACCCACGACTAAAATGCGACGAAAATGGGCGCGGGTCGCTTACAAGCCGGTCGGCACGCTGATATGCAGGTCAGCCGGACTCTCATGATCGTCGGAGTGCCCCGGAAGAACTGCAACGGCCAGATGTTCCGCCAGCACTTTAGGTTGGCCCAGTTGCCCTTTCTCTTTTTTTTTTTTTTTTTTATTCGCGAGAGAGGCGGGTAAATCTCAAACCCTACAGAAAGGCGTATGATCAAACCCCGAATTCTGTACAAATACACGCATGTTACACTCGGGTTCACGTTGTCCGGGCGCAGACGATCATGGCGCGCTTGTCCTCTTCGGTCATCTGCTATCACCGGCTAAACCAATCACGTATAAAACGCAGGATCACGGCTTATTTATGTGCGATTGCTTTAGCTGGCGATAGCAGACGCTCAAAGACGACTAGCGCCGTTACGATCAACTTTTGGCGCTGTTTGATTGACCACACTGGATCCTATAGTAGCCTCGGCTGCGGTTTCACGGGGCACTCAAGTGCTTTTTGCAGAAGCTTGCTTTTGATGGCACTTTGTTTCAAGGCTTTAGTGAATAAAAAAATGTCCAATTCTAGATGGCGAGACGTCCTAGTGAACTCCCAGCAATAGAAATTACACGGGCACCATTTTCTCCTAGGGGAAAGGGGGGGGGGGGGGGGGGGGGCATCCTCGGGTCCCTACCTCCTTCGTAAAATTCGACCAAATAAATAGTGAGTTGCGTAGAGCCTCCGAAAGTTACTATTATTTCTCTTTTTAGGCGCATTGCGTGCATTATGTTTTGACAAAACGTCGAATCTTTGGGTATGTGAGACGTAACAGCAATTCTTGTTTGAAAACCGCACTCCGACGGAGCGCCCCAGTGTCCGCTTTGGTTTCCCGATTGGTTCTTCCATGGACATTCTTATCTGCTAATGTCGCAATCCCATTGGCTATGGAGCGATAATGAGATGATCGGGTCTTACCATGCCATGTGTTCCTTCATGCCGTCAGTCGCTACGTTAGCGAGTGGAATCTCGTTAATTCGAACTCTCTTAATTCAAACTCGCGGATAATTCGAACTAAGATGCAGGGTCCCGTCCCACGTGTTTCTATACTGCCCGACAACTTTTCTTGGCAATGCAGTGGAAGGTACAGGCCCGCGTCCCCTCTCCCATCTTAAGTGTGCGCGGGCTCTCCTCCTCTCCCCGGAAATGGGGGAGGAGGAGAGCCTGCGTACACTCAAAATGGGAGAGGGGACGCGGGCCTGTACCTTCCACTGCATTGCCAAGAAAAGTTGTCGCCGAGTATAGGTAGGAATTGAAACTCCCTGTAATTAAAACTTTACATTATTCAAACAAAATTCTGCCCCCCCCCCCCCCCCCCCCCCCCTTCGGGTAACACATTAACGAGATTCCACAGTATTAGCGGTAAGATGTTTTGGGGTGGCGCCTTCGTAGGGTATACTTCTATCCCGACGCCATTACCTTGCAAAAAACCAAGTTCGATGGTGTTTGTAATTCGAATGGTCACGGTGCAACCTTGAAATCATTAGGCTCTGAGCACTGTCAACACCGTCAAAATTGAAGTTCTTACTTTCATCTTATTTCCGTCGGATAAGACATCCTTTGCTGACGTCATAGTCAGCATCCGACCAATCATGGAGGGCCGACCACAGCAACGCTTTCGATCGCACACTTCGCCAACAGCTCGCATTAAAATTTGAATCGCGCATGACATACGGCAAAGTACAGGGTGTACCCCAACCAGATTTTTTTTCTTTATTTTTTTTTTCACCGCGAAAATAAATTGCATCGCCGAACGTTAATTTAATGGCCAATGTATAGCGCTAGCGGTCCAAACAGGTGCCAAAGTTTCAGAACTTACCATTATCTTATTCAAAAGTTTTGGGGCCGGCGGAGCTCTTCAATACATGGAGCCGTGTGAGACCAGTTACCGAGAACGAGCCAAAACTCTCCTCATTTTCCCATTGAAATTTTCGAGAAGATTAGTTATAACTTTTGAACATATATATATATATATATTCTAAGCTCATTACAACAGACCTGGTTACAACAGATATTTGGATATAACATACCGATTTGTGAAGTTGGGCTGGTTTTCCTCTACATATTATTGACTCAACTTCATATCTGCATACAACATACTCTTCTTACAACAGACTAAAATCTTGGTCAAAATCAGGGTCTTTTATAACGAGCTTAGACTGTATATATATATATATCATTTCTGAAGCTTTGGCATCTGGTTTGAACTGTCAGCGCCACATGTCGACGGAAGATTAGTGCTCGGCAATGCAATTTATTTCGGAGTTAAAAAAAAAAGAGGGGGGGGGGGGGGGGCGGGTACACACGATGTACATGCTTTGGTGTCCATCCTATTTTTTTCGCATCTTCACACATATACACTAAAGATCTAGAATTTCGCTAAAGCAATTGGCGAGGAGATCGAACTATAGGGGGCGCTGCGTTCACCAAAACCAATACCGCCTGCGTGGAAAACAACTCCGGCGTTCCAGTTGGCTGCCGAGTTGTTGCCGCGTTCCCTGCAGGTTTGTTAGAGTATAGTACGCTCTTGTTGCGTACCGCAGTGCTCAGCGCATGCTTTAGAGCCTAGAATCACTTTTCATTGCTTTCCTGCCGAAAAAAAACTCAAATCGCAGTGCATAAGTAAGAGTAGGGAAGAAGTTGACTGCACACGACGTGGTGTGTGGTCGTCACTTTTCAAGCGATGCCTTCCAAGTAAACTACGCTAATAGACGAGGCATGTACGCGCGTAATTCACGCTTGCATCGGCATCCGTTCAAACAGTACATTGTATTTTATAGGTAGTAGATATTCTGCCGGCAACCGGCACAACAAACCGAGCAAAAAAAAAATGCCGATAGTTGTTCCCATTGGGTTTCGTGTAAAAGGAATAGTCAAACCGGGAACTTTTAGTTGTGTGAGTATCTCAGTGGAAAGGTGTCCGTTACACGTGCCGTGGGTCCCAAGTTAAAATCAAAATAGACAAACTTTTTTTTTTTTTTTTTTTTTTTTTTTTGCAAAACGTTTGACGATTTTTGTTTAGTTCTTTTTTAGAATAATCATTGCCGTCCGAAGCTCCCGGCAATCTTTTTTTTTTTTTTCCCCAAGTGGTTGTGCCGGCTGCCGGCAAAATATCCCCACGTTATTTCATAACAGTGCACAAAAGGAGGTTCCTGATACGCGACGCCGTTCCGTCTGAAAATCTTCCGAAGGGATCACACGATCGGGTCGTGAGGCTTCGGAAGCCACCGAGAAGTACTGCTATCATTTGATCACTATTTTATTCCAGGCTAGCTTTTACGCTAGAACATATTAGGTAACAGTATCAGTTCGATATTGCGATATTTACGCAACTGCGTGAATCATTTTGCGTTTCCTATAATTTCGATTGAGCAATGCAAATGTGTGTATGACTAAGTCCTCGCCGGTGCAGAACTCATTGATATTTCATCGTGAACCGTGTACCTTTGAATAACCGATAGATTAAACTGAAAAAGACAACTTGTAACGTTTAATGCCAAAGTGCAGTCTAATTAGCCACATTTTACGCTATAATGTTCACCACCGTGTTCGGCATTCCAAGAAAACGTAATGTAATGACTATTTTGGTTGATGCTTTGGTGAAAATGTCTCCGGGGCGACGCTGCCCTCGATTACATGATCACATTTCAGCACGTCCTCGCCTTCAACGAGGCACCTCTTGCTCTCGCCGATGTGGCTGATGATCGTTGCAAGGGACAGGGACACTGAAAAACAATGCGCGTGTTTCGTGAATACGGTTTCTTCAACCTAGGAAGCGCACGAACATCGCCACACCGCGTCAGTCACGCACGACCTGGCAGCCGGAGCGACGCGGCCGATTGCGAGCGTCTACACGTGGGTTGGTTTTTGCTTCCAACGAGAATGCGGCGACATTTAAAGCTAAGTGAGACAGATGCTTTTCGAGCAGATAAATATTATCCACAAACCTTTCACGAGCCTCAAGTCCTCGTCCTCCATGGCTGAACGAATACTAGCGGCGGGAATGTTATTCCCGCAGAATAGTTCGGACGGCGACCGCTAGCCAGCGCCACCGTTCGATCTATTGATTGAAGCGGGCCGGAAGCGGAACACAACAAAGTCTGCGGGCGACTTATTGCGGAAGGAAGTCCGACCTCACTTTGTTTAATCGTACCATTTCCTTGCTTTCCGGGTGGCGTCGGCGCAGCGAGGCCTATCCCGACTGCCTCATCCAGGACATTCAGTTCGCCTACGACATAAGGGAGCTGGTTGTCCTCGATAGCAACAGGTAACAACCAGTTCTGTGTATAGGCAAGTTACGTCCGCGACCACGATCAAACGGCCTCAAACGGCGTGTGTCTGTAAAGGCTAGATCAAACATTCGCGTTTGACCGTGACCGACTGCGTGGTAACCGCCGAACGAATACCGCCTGAACCCATCTAATCGGGCGGCGGCTCGCGCCACCTATCCAGAGCTTGTAAATCCAACGACTAGAGAACGCACTGGAGCCATCTCTCGGGAATCCCTGCAAGGCTTCTGATTATCGAATATTTTATGCGTCGTTCTTTCGCCTTTTGCTTGAAAAGAGAGAAAAAAAAAAAACAAAAAAACAATCTAACAGTTAAAAGAGACTATTTCTTCTCATAGATAGCGCGTAGATTTGATCTCGCCAATACTACCGGACCTTGAGTCTAGTGACACGGAGATAGGAATGTGTTCCAGGGCGACTCGGTAGATGGCGTATCTGTTCTCCCACCTAGAGTAACTGTATATGCTCGCGCCTGCGGAGCAGAGTATCGCAATGGTGCTCCCAGTCGGCCATGTTGGATCCAAGGCCGCACTGCGGAAAGGGACCGTCACTTCTGCAGGAGACCAGGGGGCGCGGATGGCGTGGCTGAGGCGGCGTGCTGTAGCGTGCGGAGCAGAAAAGATATAGTGCGGCGACACGCCACGCGTGCGCCGTCGTCCCTTCATTTGTCTTCTGGTTCTCTCTACGTACTCAGCAAAACGTAGTAGCCGAAAAAAAAAAAAATGTCGCCCCTTGGCCAGCCGTAGCTGCGCGTTGTTGTCTGGTTCGAGGTGCCCGGATGTGCCAGTTGTGTATCACTCCGCGAGCGTCGCAGACTCGAGCAGCTCGACCGCCCTCCGCGTCGTCTGCTTCCCAGACTTTGCAAACATGTTTTAAAACGTCGCTCACGTTATAAAACAACGAAATTACACTGTACCCAGTGGCTACACATCGCGTTCAATAACCAAGGAACCTTGCAGTTCGCTCGATTTTAGTGCATACGGTGTGTATATTTAGCAAAGGCAAAGCGACAAACATCCTCCTCCTCCCGAAACTCGGCACCTGCAAGGTCGCTTTCCCTCACGGTGGTTGAATCCAGCTCGCCGTACGTGACCGCTTTTCCGCTAATACAGAGTTGGCGCCGCAAGGAAAATGAAAGCGATACTCTGGCTCTGTATCGCATCGACCTGCGCGGTTGCAGCACAGCCGCTCAAACCTGAACGTGTGGGCCAGACTTTACGTCCGCGACTGTACGATCAAATGACCACAAGCATGGCGGGTCAATTCTGATGACGTCACGGCGCCGTGGCCGCGCTGCTAGTCGGTACTGCGCATGCGCAGACGCTTCCCCTCGTGCGACTCCGTGCCATACGTGCTAGATTTTCTACATCACATACCGGAGGCTGCAGCGCAGCCGGGCACAGATTGGACACGAGTGATGATGTCAGCGTTCGGCTGGGACTTGTGTCGTCGCTGATTGGATACGGGCTCCGGCCGAACGCTGACGTAGCGCTCGTGTACAATCAGTGCCCCCCCCCACCCACCCAGAACTGAGTGACTCCAGCAATTCTAACCCCTCTCGCAAAAAAAAAAAAAAAAGAGAAAAAATTGTATTGAGTAATTTTGTAATCGATTACAGGAAGAAAGTAATTGAATTACAAGGATCGTTACTCGTTAAAGGAAGTAACTGAAACGTTACAAAATTACAGTCAAATGTAATCGATTACAAGTAAACCATTACTTGTAACGCGTTACGTACAGGTCTGCCTACATACCTATATCTTGATTCTCCACAAACAGGCACAAATTAATAATGGTCATCAAAAACATTTTTTTTTTTTTTTTTTTTTTTTTTTTACTACGGGTTTTGAGGTGGAAGCGGGTATATATGTTTGCCTCAGATAGGAAACGGCATTAATCGGATTTTCGTCCGCAGGGAGGTGTCGACCCAGGCCAGAATGTGGTGTGAAAATCAAATCAACAGCACCGGCGAGCGGCCCAAGATGAGGCCCTATCAGTTTAGCAGGCTCTGGGTATTCGGCGATGCGTGTGGCTGTAAACGGGTAGGTCCAGATCTTGACAACCATTTCCGAGCAATAAAATACTACTAACGAAAAAACGAAATCAGGTACGCGATTATTTACGATAGACATGTTAATCTCTAAGTAGAAAGAGCCTGCTTGCAGATGGGCACGCTGCAGCAATCATTAAGGTCTTAAATTTTCCGGATAACGTTTCTGTCTAAGAACAAATGAGGTGCATAACACCCAGTCATCCTTCAGAATAACTCATAACAAAATAAATGGACTCTCTAAAAACGTCTTGTTTGGGCGAAAGGAGAAGCGTATTTTACACACCGCAGAGAATAAACTACGTATTGTCGAACACTCCACTCAAGTGTAGCCCTAGCAGCTAGATCCGGATAGCAAAGTTTTAAAAGTTACCGTTCTCCGATTCAAAGGCAGGGACTCAAACCGTAACCGAAACCGGAAACCGTTTAGGAACGAAATTTTTTTCAGTGACCAGAACCGGAAAGAAATCGTTATTTGAAATTTTGAAATTTACCAAAATTATTTACCCGTAACCAATATTAACCGGTATGACACGGAAAAAAAAATTAGTTTTCCTCAAGAACGACTTTGAGGAGGGATCCTGAAATGTCGTGGCCATTTGACAGAGTTACCGCCAGCGAGTGGTGCATCTGGTAATACATTTCCGTTCAATCTAAATTTAGGATTAAGAATACTTAGTTGGAATCAGTGGTCCAAGCTTATAATAATAATTAAAAAAAGTACCTACTTCTAAATCTTCCACACTCCTACAATAGCTAGATGTATATAGCATGTGTCGCTTTTAAAGTATTAACTAATAAAAGTTAGAATTCTGAGATGTCCCTTTAACTCGGTTCTTTCAAAACCACCGATGTTCCGGAGATGTCGCGAACCGGTCGAGGTTCGAGTTCGACCAGGTTCAACTTTTTCGACCTTTTATTGAAAAGTTCGAGAAAGGTCGACTAGGATTCGACTGTTATGCGCATGCGCGATAGGCTGACTTAGTTAGCTTTGGATTGGGTGATTACCAAATTATTAAGTTAAACGTTCTACTTTTAGTAGGGAACACTGTTTGGTTGTTTCGGTAATAAAGCAAAAATAAATTATGTTATTAACTGTTTAGTTATTAGAATTATGTTCCGTTGATTGTAACTATTTATAATATAAAACAACCTACTCCGTAAAAACCATTTCACCAAACCTACACATGCTTGCATCAAAGTCTACCCCCACTGTCCACAAAGTTGAACCCTGTAGAACTTGGTTAAAAGTTCGTGACATCATTGGACCCTAGTTGCAACTTATCTGTAGGAGAAGCTCCGCCTCCAAGCCCCGCAGAAAAATGGCGCAACTATATAAATGCACGATTTTTCTAGCCTCACGAAATTGGACAGCGAGTAACGCGAGACACGTGCGCTTCTATAATTTCTATATAATTTCCATTTGCTTGGAAATAGCAAACATGACGTAGGTATAACAGCGCACAATAACGGAGACTAGGGAAAGGAACGAACAACACAGGGCATAGTTCACAGCTTTCTGTGTTGTTCGTTCCTCTCCTTGTAGTCTCCCTTGTTTTGCGCTTTTGCATTTACATTATGTTGGACTTTCACCAACTAGCCCAGCTCTTAATTTTATTACTTTGTTCCAGATAGCAGTATTTCACTAGAGCAGGGCTATAGTTCTGCTCCTTCCTTTAGTGTGAGCGAAGCCTCTTTGGCATATTTTAGGCTGCAACAAACTATAGCGACGAGAAGGTGCGAATGGTTCTTCCAGCAGCCAGTGGGAACTTTCCGAGGGTTGTTTACAAACGCTGCCGAACAACAAAGTAGCAATGTTTATTTTTATTTTTATTATGTAGAATGCGAAGCGGAGTAACATGTATGCTTGGGTATCAAAATAAATATAGCAAATAGAAGTAGTGAACAAGCGTTGGAGTTAGAAACGTGTGCAACGTTTGACCAATTATAAGTACTAAGACGTTTTTGAGTTTGTGTCATATCTGGGACTACTTTAAACCGTTTATTATAAAACGACTCTCTAGCTTTTTAATAAAACAAATTATTGGAGAAACCAAAAAAAAAAAAAAAACGCTTTTAAAAAACGTGTGATTGGTAATCGAAATCATAAAAATTAAAACCATAAAAAAACTGAAACGAAGCCGATATCAACAGAAAACGGTAATCGTAACCGTAACTGAAACGCTATTAGGGAGTTTTAGCAAGTCGTTTTTCAAGCACACGGTTCCGAAATCACGAACGGTACAGCTGGTCCGTTCCGTGAAACCGTACGTCAAATTCAACATACTTTAGCGAATCGTGAAAGTGGCGCGACCGTGTAAACGATGATGATGATCATGCTTAACGGTGGCGCCATCTTCTAGCAAACATGTGAAACATTCTGCAACGTGTAAATCCGTGGCGGCTCGTGTTTCCGGCGTACGACTGATGTAAACAAGACGGCTGGCGTAACATTTGCCGGTCGGAATTTCAAGAACTGCGATGCTAGATAGAGTAAAAAGTGTCTGAACGACCGTAAAGGTATGTGGTGTGTCTCCGTCATCTTGAACTTGAACGATCGTTCACATTGTGTGCCGTCGAACCCAACGAGCTTTTAAGTCGAACCAAATCATTTCGTCTGCTCGCGGTCGCCACGGCAGCTAGTCTGCCCGCAGATCGCAAAAATTTACTAGCATGCGCCGTTTACAGCATTCACGATCGCTTACCATTGTGAGCAGTCCTCGAAATGATTTGGTTCAACCTCTCAGATGAAGCAGACTAGCAGGACGACAAATTGCCTCCCGCTGTACTAAGCCTAACGCTCGGCTGGGTCGGCGAAGGTGGTCACCGAACCAACCGCCATCTTTTTTTTACCCGAGTCGTGAACGGTGCTGGCTGCGTTGCGGTGACGACTCCAGCGGCCGGAATGGGAGAAACGAACGAGAAGAGCCTCCCGACTCTCCGAACGACTCGCGCGCGCATGCGCAGTGGCGTCGCGGATGCGTTCGAGGGCGAACCGTTCGTGTGGAAACGACCTGCTAAAACTATTCTTCGGTTTCAGTCCCCGTTCAAAAGTTATAAGCGATTTTTGAAAACTTTTAACGAGAAAAGGGAGCTCGCGTTCTTCGCAGCAGACGCCATTCATCTCAGCCTATTCGCGCGCATAGTTAGCCGCCATTTATGAAAATCGAAGAAAACGTTAACTTCTGAATCTTGGAAGTCTGGTCCCAACCGCTAGCGCCACATTCGAGCGAAGACTGAGCAATCGGGATGCGTAATTTTTTTTGCAACAAAACAAAAAATAAAGTTTCTTCTCTTTCAAACACCCAATGTATCAGACGACAAACTCGACATCGATATGTATACCTTTTGCAAAGTCTTGTGGATCGATTACACCAGACATAGCTACGCTTACTATAGCTCTGAATCTCCCAGCAATACTCACTACACTGGTCTCTTTGGTCTCGATGGCAGGAATGGAATTGCTGCGCCAATTGCGCCATGGGACGCCTAATGACTTCTCATGCGTCACACTGATACACGAGTGTAAATAAGAACAAAATTACGCCAAGGTGCGCCCAAGCTGAAAATCTACACGAGCCTCGTCGAAATTAGCCCTCTAGCAGTTTCCGCGAGACAGCCGATGCTACATCCTGGCGTTTGTAGCACACTGCGTCTCGACATAACCTAAAACAAAGTATAGCTGCCGTTGCTGTGTGCTTTTCCGAAGTCCTGGAGTTACTTCATCTGAATAGTGTAAATCCCCCCTATCCGGGGAAAAGTCTCGCCATTCATTGTTGTGGAAATGCTTGAGACACGTGCCGCGCACCACTTCTGGGAAGAACATGGCGTCTAAAATCTCTACATTACAGTGTTCTACTCTCTATATATATATTTACTCAGTGCTGCGCTGTGCCACCATGATCTTCCCAAGGGCTGCAGGTTGCACGTCCCTCGTGCATCCACGCACCTTGCGCTACTTTTCAAACATGAAGGGGCTTTAGAATAGTGGAGCAAACAGCCCCGCCATATTGCGATATACTCAAATGTATTTAAGTTGGCGCGCGCCTCCCTCCTGGCTACTTTCGTGACTATATACGTTTCTACTGTTTACAAAAATCACAGTCCACACGTGCGAAATCACAGTCCAGCCAGCGCTCGCTCGCAATTGCGGCTAGCCAGAAAGTGTGCGTGCATATAGCACACGAAAGCAGCAGTGGACGCGCCCTAATACGCTTTTACGGAAAGGTGTATTGCAAGCCCCCAGCCAGCGTTTGCTCGCCCGGCGGTTCCGAGCAGAAAACTTGGGGACGTAACAAAGGCAAGCGAACAGTGAGGCATATGACGGAGCGAGGTACGAGCTGAAAGCTATTTCTATATACATGCTTGTTTATGTATTTACCTCTTTGCAGGTCGGTTTTATCACGTGTCACACTGTCATGTGCAGTCTTGCTTTATACGTTCCGTGCACTTTTGACGTAATTTTGTGAAAAATGGTTCAAATAAAATGGTAATTGAAACTACCGCTAAGTTCACATGGCGTTATCTGCATGCCATATTCCCATGGGTTTTGAAAACCAGGGGACATTTACCGTCAATTTTAACGTTCTTAAGACTCTTCCGCTGTTCCTTACTCGCTGCAAGAGCTCGTTTCTGCTGCTCTAAATCTGCTCCAAACTGGAGCTTTTTTCCTGCTCCCAAAATTGCTAAAAAAACTGTTTTGCTTAGTTTTATCTTTGCCATGGTCACTGACAGGATGAGAAATACAAATGAGGTCTTTCAGTTCTCGTGGCTCCAGCGCAATCTCGTATCCTTGACGTACGCTTCGGCGACTCGGGGACTTCGAGCATGCACGTGCAGCCAAAGCACGGCGGAAGGCAACGTGCGACTATACAAGACATGCCCAGCATTAGAGAGTTTTAGTTATAGACCGTTACGATGACTCTGACAACGATACTTGGTACTCCGCCACCGCCTTTGCCCATGTATCGTTATCGGGGGTCCATCGGTGGTGTCTGAACGACCTACTAAAGGTCTCTATAATGCTATAGATAGCCTCGAAAACAAGAATGTGAAGCCAGGATGTGGCCGCTGCAACTCCTCGGGTGAACGTCGTCACGGCTGTTCTAGGTGGACGCTCTCGACTACTACCTAAGAGAAGAGTCGGACTATCTGAGGGAGGTGGAGTTGGAGCGCGAAAAGGCACTCGGGAGGCCAGTGGGCTTTGTCTTTGTCACCTTCGAAAGCGAGGAAATGGCCATGATGTAAGTAAACCGGTTGCGCTCCTTCCTGTGAAGATTTTAGTTAACATACCCGACGAAACGGGATACCACAAATCTTATCAGCAAACCGGGTGACGTCGTAAGTGTCTCGATTCTCGAACGTTGCCGCTTCGTCTACATCACAGAACTAAGGTCACACATGGCAGCATACCAACAAACCCACTCATCATTATCAGAATAATAATAATAATAATAATAATAATAAACGTCCTAGGAAGAAGAGTTTTTTTGTTGTTTTTTTTTATTGAAAAATGTACTGTCTAGAAATACACACATTCCCGTTTTGACTTTAAGTCATTTACTTAGATTTGAAATTTCAGCACTCTTGTAACATATGCACCGGGCACAAACTGCTTTGTACTCGCCTTTAAAGCTCAGTCTTTGGAATACGTTTAGTGTTTTCTCAGCTGAATTCAACTAATGGAATTTTTAGATATTTACCTTAGCTGACATATCATAATCAGAGATGTAAGCTGAAGTCAACTAATGGAATTTTTAGATATTTACCTTAGCTGACACATCATAATCAGAGATGTGTAGCCCATCGTCAAAATTGACCAGAGCACCTAATATGGTTTATAGCGGGAAAAGAAAGAAGGCAATCCCGCAAACCAAAAGGGAAGAACCCAGATATATCACGCCAGTGCCCCGATTACTCGCCTCCCAATCCCACGGCCGCTAGCCGTCATTTAGGAGGGGGTTTCTCGCTCATTAACTGATTAGTATCGGTACCATGTGCCCTTCTTAAATTAGCCACTGAATAGCAGGAAGTAGAAATTAGTTCCATAAAACCTAACACCTGCTGTGGCCAATTTGCACAACAGACTGCAAATCTCCGTTCGAAAAGTGCCAGTTAAGATTAATATCTAAAATGCCGATTAATTAAACTTTTAGCTCGCTAAGAAACATGGCACGAGTGTAATTCTCAGTCGTGGACATCACACTTGTACCATGACCATCGCCGCCGCCGAAAACGTTAACATATAACTTAGTTGTTTCAAGTGACTTTTCTTTATTATGTTCGGCCTATATGCTGCAGAATATAGTTTTTAAATTTTCTCCTAATCAAGCTGTCTACCTTGGAACAAACGAGTTAAACGTCTATAAAGGGTGCTGTTCCAAAAAGGGAGTTTTGTGATGTAGATTAAAGACTCGAACAAAAACGAGCGTGCTTTTATTGTTTTGCCACATCTTCGCCAAAGGGTCTGCAAGGACCACAGAACCCAGTGCCAATGCTACTCTCCAAACTCCATGCCGACGTCCAGCATGACCAAGGACCTTCGTCCCAATACTTGGAAGGTCACATTTGCACCTCCGCCCAGCGACATCTTTTGGTGAGCGGTAGCCAAGAAACCACGGACTGCTGCCAACCGGCCTACTATACTCGTTTTCCCCTCAAGAACCGCAGTAGAAAAAGTCCGCCTCATCGCGGAGCATTACTAATCTGCTCCTTTATTTAAAGAATTAATAGCTGTGCTACACAGGCAACTCGAATGCCATTTACAACGAATGACATTTGAGCGGACGGCCAATCAGCGCGCGACATTCCGGGCGTAGCGCATTCCACGCGCGACAGATTGCGAGCTGATTCGCCGATCACACAAATGTCATTCGTAGTAAATGGCATTCGAGTTGCCCGTGTGGCACGGGTATAAGATATATGGAGGTGCATTTTAGATTATATATATATGTTATCTTATCGAGACGTAGACGTTTCGAACTTCAAAAGCGTCTCTTCTTCCTCCGACAACCAAATCTTGTAAAAGAACTACTTCGCGGCGCGTAGGAACAATGCGAAAAACTTGCTCTTTCTTGAGGTGAAAACGAGCGTGGAAACCAAAACTGAGTGAGGGAAACTGGAAGCCACATAACCGATCGACTCGTCCTAGAACATTTCTTGACTTTAACCAGTGCGGTTTTCTAGCGTTTGCTACCAACGAAGTATCAGAAAATCACTTCATACGTGGGACGTTTCTCTCAACTAATCCTATTTGCGTGGTTCAGATACCGTCGATAGGGAGTTTTCGTAGATCGCTTTCGCCGTCCCGCAACGCTCTCCCCAACGATACCCGGGACTCTACAGTCAAGGCCATCGGCGCGCATGTGCAGTAGCGGCTTCTTCGTAGCGGAAGGCTTAGTGGAAAGGGAAACGCGGTCTACAAAAACTCCTTAACAACCTATGTCTCAATTATAATTCAAACTTTTTATTTTAGGGGCATGGCTCCTCCCGAGGCTTGCTCCCCCATTGTCTGCGCTCTTAACCATAAACAAAGCTCCATAGACTCCCGGAAGCAATCCACATTTTGTTCACAAAGCGGTGTCGTTAGCGCTTTTGCAGAAAACATGCAGAGTTAACCGTTCGTTGTTCTCCCTCATAAACAACTCGTTCTCCATTCTTATATCTAAAACTAGTAAATAAACTCCGCAGTAACGGCAATTCAGCCATCTCGGTACCTAAAATCATGGTTGCCACTTGTCTTTAAGTTTTGACTGAAACCGCAGGAAACGCTTTTCTGTCCTCCAGAAATGTTAAAACAGTTCGCGACAGGGCATATCGTCAGAGCTGCCTGAAACCGTGTAACTAAAGCTTAGCAAATCCCGCATTTTCGAATTGCAACGATCGCCAAATGCTCCCACTCTGCACCAACGACCAAAATGGCGGCGCTTACAAGAAAATCGGAGAGTGGAGTGCCGATGCTCTGCACGTCCTTTAATGACTCTGGTGATAATTTCTCGCAGGGAAAATCTGTCCGTTGGCAAGTGGGCCTGGTACATCCGCTCGTTCGTCATCAACTTCGTGCTTTTCCTCATTCTGTTCTTTCTCACAACTCCCTTCATCATCGTGTCCAACCTCGACCGCATCTTTCGGTCTGCGCAGCCAATGGTAAAATATAATTCCGCGCACAAACTCGTTACCCCAACGAAAAAACAATTTTACACCCCGATGGGTGCAAATCAGCTTGTCCACAGCAACACCCCTAAAAAAGATTATGAACCCAATAAAAGTGGAATGCCGGCGATCTTAGCAGCCTTTGATATTTTTTTTACGAGCAACGAGTTTAGAAACAAAAAGCAACACATGCAGTTTTCACATGCACAGAAACAGCAAATATATACTGACGCAATGAATCGCAGTGTATTACTCGAAAGAGGGCATAAGTGTCTCCGGAACAGCGGTTTTTTTTTTCTTTACGCCCTTAAAGGTGTCAAATGTCTCACTATGTAATTGTACTGTTTGAAGGGTAAACAGCATGTTCGTTGTAACAGCACATGTACATAAACCAGTAATTTCCAAGAGTAAGGCATCTGCGCATACCCAATTCCCTAGAGGGTAGCCTGACATGGACGTCAGGAACCATGAGTTGGAGTAAGTCCTTTCCTGTTTGAAGGGGCGAGTTGGCTCTTGTATTTCTTTAATCTCATCAGAGATTTTTAGGTTAGACTGTTGTATACTTGCCTCCTTTACGCACAGAATCCATTTTTCTCCAAGTTCCTGCCGACCATGATGCTCTGGCTGGTGGCTGCTGCGATGCCCGCTATGGTCACCATGTCTGACGTTTTCATAGCACACTGGACCAGGTCAGTCCAACTTAAATATATTTCGCAGCACTTTGCTAAAGTGATTAATATGGAAGTGGACGCTGGGTGTCACAGCATATCTTATAATTGAAGAATTTAATGTCCAAATATATAAACAAACAAAAATGTCAAGGTTTTTTTTTCGTTTGTTTGTTTCTAACAGGTCATCAAGAAACCACTCCGTTATGAGGAAGATATTTTTGTTTCTTCTGTTCATGGTCCTTATTCTACCTTCGTTAGGCCTAACAAGGTGAAAATAAAAAAAAAAAAAAAAAAAACGAAACTTAATTCCGAGTACTGCATGACAGTTCGAGTGCACCTAACAATCTCAAGTTCATACGGCTAATTGGGTTCGATGACGTGTATCGCGGAGTAAGTTTGCCTAACGTTTGCTCCTCGAATTTGCATTGGCGATTTTTAGCTGTTCAAACGTTTCATAAACGTGATTATTTCCCTTGCAGTGCTGAGGCATTCGTCAACTGGGCATTTAGACCGAGCAATCAGACCGAATTTTGGAAGTAAGTTGGCATATATGAAGCTTAGCTAACTCAATTAATTTTAAAACTCAAATTGCACATGTTTAAGTTTTTGAAAAAAAAAAGTAATGAAGATTTCCGTACAGGAATTCCCCCACGTTGATGCATTGTCTTGACAACCGTGAGACTTCTGCCACGTCATTACTGGTGTTCTTTCGTATTCAAGTCGAACTAAAACGTGGAACACACGGGCGGATGGAGAGCTCCGCGTTCGCCACACGAACTGCTTTCCCATGAATTTACTATCAGATACGAATGAAAAGGGAACAGCGGAGCGCGTGACCTTCGATACATGCTGCGCAACCGAAAGCAAAGAGGAACTGATAAAAGTCCGAAGTGCATAGAGGGGCTACAGGGTGTGCACATATTAGAGTAGACGTGCACCCTCGCAGACCAGTTGCTAGTTGCCTCTATGTATCGCAGCATGTATCGAAGACCACGCGCTCCGCTGTTCCCTTTTCATTCGTATCCGACAGTACACTCCGCGACGCTGTCAGCGCAAACAAGACATCGCAGGTTTTCTGTTTTGCTCCCAGTATTGAAGGATTGTCATCAAAACTACTACCATTGTGGTGGAGAGTGCTTAGTTGACGTACTATAGCCTAAGTGGTGAATTTTGATGCCTGCCAGTACCCTTTCAAAGTAAAACGCGGAAAAATGAGTCGTGTTCGCGCTAAAAGTGTCGCGCAGTGTACCTTGTAAAAGAAACGGATCTTCTGGTGTGCAGAAAAGTGTTGTATAACTTTGTCATGCAGAGCCGCTGCTGACAGCACTCGACGCTCTTTTCTCCACCAGGTGCCTCTTTCTCCCAGACAGCGGCGCCTTCTTCATAAATTACGTAGTCACCTCCTCGTTCGTTGGCACCACAATGGAGCTCATTCGCTTCCCACAGCTATGCCTCTTTATCCTGTACACCTTCATGTCACGGTCGAAAGCAGAGACGTTCGCTGTTCAAAGAGTGAGTGCGAGTATTCCCTAACTCACGTCGCCGAACAACAGCTAAATGGCTGAAAACCTAGACACAACATACGTACATGGGACGCTGGACATTGTAACGTCTGGTAGATATCCACAGAACGTGGATATCTACGAGTTTGCTGAATTCGTGTCTTGAAAGTTGGCTTCTGGTTTTTAAACACGGTAGATCGTTCCAAAACTAAACGCTTCCGCATACACCGTATCGTTATCGTAATTACAGGCACGACCTACTAAAGCTCCCTACTACCTTTGCAGTGGAAACGTTATTTTCAGTTGATTTTTACAATATATCATCAATCAAGAGTCAGACTTCCAGTGTCTTTGCTCTTGTATGGGTGAATTGGAAGGGCTGACAAAGGGCGCATTCCTTGAAATCACTAAAACATTAAGCGGTTTGAAACATCCATGTAGTTCCAAGATGTCAAGGTGCTTCAAGGAGACTAACAGGCTCTTTTGAGTTTCTGAAATTGATATACACCAAAAGTGTCACATTTAACGTCTTTTTTTTTTTTTTAGGAATATGCCCTTTTTTGTGGTGGCCCTTCATCATGCTATTGCTTTCCCATTTCACAAGGAAGCCACTCGGGACAGATATTGTACAAGAATTTGAGCGAACTGCACGCGATAATGTAACTGGATTTAATGACTGGTTAATCAAACTCATATCGAGCAAGCGGATGCAATTCAGATGGCACTTCGTGATATCCATTATTTTCTGCAACAGTCCTATTTGTTACTTGCCCAGTTGTGACAGACAATGTACAGGCTGTCACAAAAGAAAATTTACACGGTCTTTTTACCGCAAAAATGAACTAGGCATCGCCGAACGCTAATTCTCCGCCCAAAGGTAGCGCTAGAGGTCACAACCAGATGCCAAAGTTTCAGCCCGATCCGATAACTTAATCAAAAGTTGTGTGATTTTCTGAAAATTTCAACGGGAAAATGGCGGCCGATGGAGTTCTCAAACACATGGGGCTCTATGGCACCAGAAACAGAAAAGGGGCCAAAAATGGGCTCCATTTTCCCACTGAAATTTTCAGAAAATCACTTAAAACTTTTGATTAAATCATTGGATCGGGCTGCAACTTTGGTACCTATGATTGTGACCTCTAGCGCTACCTTTGGGCAGAGAATGAGCGTTCGGCGATGCCTAGTTTATTTTTGCGGTAAAAAAGACCGTGTAAATTTTATTTTGTGACACCCTGTATATGGCTTGCAAGTTCGTCTGCTCCTTGCCCACCTCGTGTGTTTGTTTACCCCCCAAACGCGCCCACATGCTTGTTTTTCCCCCGACCTCAACCAATCACGCGTGATCTTGGCTGCCTCGTCATCGCGCTTTCTCTATGTTGCCCTTGCGTTCCGACGAGCGAAGGATGCATTTTAGAAGACTTGCTCACCGTATAAAACTGCCTAAATCAGTTCAATCGAAAATTTCCATCGGGGAAGCGGAAACAGAAAACAGCGAACTCACCTGTGGCGGGAAAACGAATCCAGGCTAGACTGCAGCGAAAAGAGTAAGGGGAGTGTGTATATACAATTGTTGTATTTGCGCTTTGCAGGCGTCTCTGTTCGAATTCCATTTCGGCGTCCACTACGCCTGGTACCTACTCATTTTTGCGATCATCATGGTCTACAGTTTGTCCTGTCCTCTCATCGTACCTTTCGGCAAGTTCCGATTAAAATAAGTAAAACATAATCTAATAAAAAAAAAAGGAAAAAAAAAAAAAACTTGGCCGATTACTGGTTGATAACATCACGATACGGGCCAAACAGAGCCCTCTGGTATCTGGGAGGGGCAAAGCGTCGACAGCGCGTGTAGACGCACAGCGGCGAAATCCGCAACCATTTCATCTGCTCGGAGGCCCTCTAGCTTTGCGCAACAATGAGACCGGTTGTCGGCCGTCACCACAAAGAGGCATAAAAAACGGTTTCTGTGGCGATTAGTTCAGTCGGCGACATCAGGCGCCCAAAGCTGACCAATGCCGAGACGATGCCCTTCTGGCGTCGCTCGATTGCCCCAGTCTGGTTGTAGCGTTGGAAGTGAAGCCTAAGTACGGTCACTCCATCTCTTGTTACGAGAACGACGAATCCTTTTTACGAAAAAAGAAAAAAGACCTAAATCTGTGCCAGTGGTTACACTGCAAATCTTCCGAGGTCGCCAGCACGCGACGGCACTTACCTCCGAAGCCAATCACACTCTACGATGCTTGAACCAGACTTCCTTGCTTAGAGGCACGCTAAAGTGAAGTTTGAGATAGGTTTTTGCATCAAAAAAGACAAACCTACACGTGCTAAACGCCCTAGGAAAGAAACAAAAAATAGCGTTCTTTCAATTACCGTATTAAAATTATGTTTAAAAGTAGAAATTTTACACGGCGCACACGATCTACATGAATTTTTTTTCTACATTGTTTATTATGTCAAGACGAATTTTGTGAACGGTAGAATAGGTTAACTTACGACTTATGTATGATACCAGCTTTTCTTTTTTTGTGTTTGCAAGTTGATAAAGCAGGCATTTGTCAAGGTGTGCTGTGTATAATTGTTACGTTGGGGTTAGGCACTAAGTGCAGATTATAGACAGCGTGCAAACTAAAAATAAATAAATAAATGCATGTTTGTAGGATAGAGTACTATCGCGGGAAGTCGCGTGGCCTTTTAGAGGGACACGCCTCATACGGGGTTGGAAATGACACAGGACACCAGCTGAAAGGCTTTCTTTTTATTTGGCTACGTCAACCCACATAAATGCGAGCACACTACACGCTCCAGTCAGATCATAAAATAAACAGGTCGACATGTAAGCATAAGAAAATGCTTATTCGCCGGCGTCTGTACTTCGTTTCATCTTACGTGCGGATGCACCCAACGCTACGGGCTGACGGGACCAATCAGATACCGCCAAAAACGCAGCATCATGCTGTTCTATCATCGTTGCACCAATCATAAACAGAAAAGGCCTAGTGACTGGCGCTGTTGGCGCTGCTTGATTGAACCTATACCTCGTAGCGTCGGCTGCATCTGGACGCAAGCTGAGACGAAGCATGGCCCATCGAAACGCCCAAAAAGACACGTTTACCGTCTGATACATTATTTTACATTCCCCGCTCATAACTTCAGTACGTGACTCCGCAAGAATCAACACAAAATACGAAGGCGACAAACCTTGAGGCGAAAAACCTTGAGCAGATTCGCTACGTAGCGATGTGTTCATAAGAAACAAAGTGTCAATAAAGTTAGGTGTTTCTTTTTTTTTTTTTTCTCAGAAAGACAGTGAGGAGCTAGAACATTTTATAGTTATCTTAACCGTATATAGTTATGGTTGATGAAAAAATTATACAACTCTCATATTTAGATGGCACTATATATAAACTTTGTTGATCTGCAATAGGTTAACAAAATGTCCCGCTTCCTTTTTCAATGCAGGTCTGGTATACCTTTGCTTCAAGCACAGCGTAGACCGCTACAACATCTACTTCGTATACAGCCCTTCCAAAACGAACAAATACATCCATGCGACAGCCATAGACTTCGTAATCTTGTCGCTGATCTTGCTCCAGCTCACGCTCTTCATATTCTTCTTCCTCAGAGCAGGTCAGTTGTCAATGCAGAGCGGAAGTTTGTCCGCTTCCTCCACAGGGGATGCGATGATGTGAGAACGCCGAGCTCTTATTGGCTGATTGAAAAAAATGGTCGGTAGACCTCAAGGCATCTAGAATTGAGGCCACCGACTATCCTTCCAATCAAAGCCAATCAGAACTCGGCGTCGTTCTGACGTCACCACAACCCCTGCGAAAGAAGCAGACGACTTGCTGCTCACATATCAGCGGGTCCAGAACAGAATGCGAAGAAAGACAGTTGAAGATATAATGGAATTGAACCGTCTGGAAATCTGAGACTGGCAGGCAACATTTTAACGAGAGATAGCTCCAGCAACGCAAAGTTAAAGGGGCGGGGCGGGGGGGGGGGGGGGGGGGGGGGAGCTTTGGATTTTGGCCAATTGTGGAAATTAGTCTATATTTAGAAAGTTAAATAACATAAAATAACTTTTTCTTGCGTGTGCTGTTGAAGTAATCGAAGGTTGGAGCCAACTCTCACACCGCCTTTCGAGTGGGGTGCACAGTATCTAGAATGGGACCTACCACGTTGGGTCCTGACTCGGGGATCCCCAGGCCACCCTCTGCGGTTGTCAATCTTTGAATATCCGATTCAGCTACAAAAGAGCACCGCACCCCCTTAGCGTCGTGGAAGGTTCAGCGAGAGATCGTGACAAATGAGAGTTTGCCACGGGAAAGAGGGGAAGGTTAACAGCGAAGAAGAAATACTTTTGTTGACTTTCGTTTGATGGCACCACATAAACTTGTGTACTCCCAATGGTGTGACACTATGGTTCACATGACCACCACGTTCAATTGCAAAATTTAGATTTTTAAAGATATTTTTTTTTGCAATTAAGCAGCGGAATTTCATTATTTCGGGGGAACGTGGTGCGTTTTTTCACAGTTGCGCCAAGATAAGCAATATAAAAATACAAGCTGCAAACTGGTTTAGTGTTGAAATCATTGCAGTGCCCCTTTAAGCATCAGCAAAATGTTGGCCGCCAATCTGGGTTTTTTAAAAGGTTCCTTCTCAAACACAAATAGAGGGAGTTATGAGAATGGTGAGGATGACAATGATTATATGTTGCAGCTTTGTGAACACAAATGTACTTTGTGCCCCAGCCAACAACAGAAGAAAAACTCAAGTCTGGAGCTGTTACGCCACCTGGTGAGCCCAGACAGGCACGGCGGTGGCACAGGGAGCCTCGCACACTAGATTGAAAATTGCCTCCTATGAGGTTATGCTGCAACAACGAAAGCACGATGGCAATTCTCAATAACCACAAGTACAGTAAATGTGCGCCAGACTAGAGTACCGACCATGTTTGTCAGTTCCACATGGCAGCTGATCAGCTGAGATAACGCAGACAGAAAGGCAGTCAAAATCCAGATGGTCTGTCACAAACCAAATTCAAAAGCAGTAAAAAAAACATTTTTTTTTATTTGGAGGGATGTTGTTTTATTTAGATTAGCAACTTTCACTAAGGGAAGAAGCCACCATCTCGTCTATAAGTACTTCTTTCAGGCTGCACACGTAATGAGCACTGTTGCCAATTGATGGCAATAAGGTTCACATTTTATTACAGTAGCAAGCACTTGCTAGATCTCGAACTTCAGGATGTTATACCTCAAACCAACCGAATGCAAGATGGCAACAGTATTAATCTTCCATTGTGCAGGAAGTAGCAACGTAACCCTGGTGACCTGCATCATCTTCCTCATGTCCTTCATCATGTTCCTGGGCCACGCCATGATGAAGTGCTTCCGCGACTTTGGCCCGATTAAATACGTGGTGAGTCGCTGCCACTGATGTCTACTGTAGTAGGCTGTATCACAAATCGAGGCTTGTTTTGCTGGGGTCGAGTGGCACCACCGGCGGCCATTGCTTGACACCAAGAAAAACATTAAACATTGGATAAATGTGAAAAAGTGAGATCCCTCCAATTTGTATCATAATTTGGACGACCAAACTTCGATGAATTTTTCTAGGAATGGTGAGAAATTTTTGTGTTGCGATGCCAATACTTCCTACATTAAAGTCTTGGGGCGAAAAATATTTTTCTATCCACCGTTGACTTTCTCCACGGGCCCCACGAGCAGCCAGTGGGAGCCGCGCCGTCATGCAAGCAGCCAGAAAGGTTTGCTTCGACGCCATGCTCTTCTATATTTTTACTACGAAGGGTTGCGGATTGCGTTTGATGCATCCATTTTGATTCCCAATCAAAGTAGACGACGTCTGATAACAAATCTACTCTTGCTCGCTAAAGTAACTTATCTGTTTTTAAAACATTCTCATAAGAAACTGTATTTGTGCTGCGAGTTATTTCAAGTGGAAACGGAGGTTTTGAAGCATGTCGACGATTTGAAGAGTCGAGCAGACGACTTCTGGAGATCGCAGCAGATAGCAGTGGTTGGCACGCTGTTCGTGTGATTTAATAACCTCCTCTGCAGTTTCCGCTGACTGCAAAGTCTTTACTATTTCTGTAAAACCTCATAAAAGTTTCTTTGCAAGATGGAAGCTTTAAAAAGTTCATTTTTATTCATTCCTCTTATAGATTTGCATGTATTGCCTGGTGTCAAGTAATGGCTACCGGTGGTGCCACCGTTGGGCTCCCATGCGCGATCCAACCTACCCCAAGAGATCCGTGGTTGCTACCAACGTTGGCCGCTACTGATCATAGCTCTCGCTCTCAAACGCGTGGTGTACAAGATTCGCAGCAGTCGTGCCCCAGACCTGCAACGTAGCCTAGGAACAAGCTACAAGCCCCCCCCCCCCCCCCCCCCTTCCTCAAAAGAAATCGAAACTGTATGTTTCTGCTTGCTTAGTGGGTTTTAAAGGGATGCTGAACCAAAGAATTTAGTGCCCGTAATAAGTGGCGCACGTTCTTTCCACCAGCCAGCAGCCGCCGGTGTGCGCGAGCACACGCAACAAAAATGACGTCACAGACCTCCATTCGCGGTTGAGAGGACAATGAAATGCATGGGCTTCGGACTAAAGGAGAATAAAGACAGGCTTTTCATCTCTACAAGTGAAAGCTACGTGCTTGTTAGACCAATTCATCGCTTACTTTTTACACCAGGCACCACTGTGTAGATGAAAAACTTGTCTTTATTCTCCTTTGGTCCGAAGCCCATACATTTCACTGTCATCTCAACCACGAATGGAGGTCTGTGACGTCATTTTTGTTGCCTGTGCTCGCGCACACCGGCGGCTGCTGGCTCGTGGAAAGAACGTGCGCCACTTATTATGGACACCAAATTCCTTGGTTCAGTAGACTACATTTTAGAGAGCAGCTCTTACGCGCCCGTTCCCGGATTGAGCGGTGTCGGCTTTCCCGTCGGCGTAACAACACGCGTTGCATTATGGGACGTCACAGTTTCCCTGCAAAATTTAGCGGGGAAACTGAATTCGTGTTGAAGCCATGTGACTGACGACAGTTTTATCGCTAAATTTAGCGGGGGAACTTAACCCGCTAAATTTAGCGAAGCAAAACTTTCAGTCGAACCACGAGGTTTGACAAAAATTTGCGGCATCTCTTCTTAAAACATTGTTGAGTGTATGCACCCTTCAGATGCAAAGGCACTGATCCAAAGCACGATTTGGCAGGCGGCCAAGCGGAAGATGTACGGACAGCGGCCGAGCCCGCGCAAGATGTCCACGGTCACCGTGGCCCCCAGGTCCGCCATCAAGAAAAAGCGCCACGTATCCATCTCGCGGGCGCCCAATCTGTCCCCGCTGCTGAACGACGTGGAGACGCAGGGTCAACAGACACCGACGCAATAAATACGAATGCACACACACTCTTAAACACGAGCACTCAAATATCATTTAGAAATAACTAGCGCCACCTGGTGGTAAACATGGTTCGAGGATTCCCAGGATGAAACAATGCGCGCACAAGGAAAGGAAATAAGCGGAACATCGAAGCGGCATTTCTAGCCAAATGGTTCCTGATCACCTAAAAAAGCGGCAAAAAATACACAAGCAACAGCGGCGCTGCACTGACCATAGCTATGAATTTGATGGTGACAGATGAATCCTTGAAATAGTTGCTTTTGGAATGCACCAGACAGCTCATTCTAAATGGTGGACACAATTAGATACGGGTTTGAAGGCGACAGACGATCCTTGAAACATTTGACTTTGGCATATGCACCAGACAGCTCGTAACAAAATGGTGGTTGACGCCAGAAAAAACACTCCTTAGAGATTGATTTTTCTTTCTTCAATAAAGTGTTGCAAGTAGTTCTTGTGTACTTTTTGGCGTTTTTTGAGACGGTCTTAGAACGAATTTTGTGGAAACATATAAGCCACATTGGCAGAAAAAGGGACATCGGAAGGATCTGGCCTCCTTTGTCGAGGGAGTGTCCGTGCTCATTTGAGCACATGCTAATGGATTTTCATACCGCAACCTCCTGCACCGGCGATTTTTGTTTAACGGTTTTTCACTTCTGTTGCAACCAGCTCAAAAATACCTGCCAATGTTGTGCAGGAAATCTAAACATCAAGGATGAGAAAAACAGTCACTGAACTTTACAAACTCTGAGCAGTTAAGCTAGCAGACACTGGTTCAGGGCAGGTGAAAACCAGTAACACGGACAAAGCTTCAACAAGTGAAAGCAGTTATTTCCAACAAATGGGGTGCCTTCTTATGTCACTACTTTAAAACAGACCCCTACCCATCAAGGCACCCAACACAGCAACTTGATGAAAAGGCTGACGCAAAAGAGCTGCAATGGGTTGTTGACTCTGCCAAAAAAATATTGGATGACCCGGATTTTGAAACATTTGCAAGTCACTGATGAGTAAAATGTATCTACTCATCAATGGTTCTGGTATAATGCATTCACCTTTAAGCTGCAAGTGTGGTGGGATCTAGGGACTCGCCTGACCAATCAACCGCGTCCCTTTTGTCACCTGACCCGGCTCCCTGTGCATGAACAAGGGCGGGAGCATGACCACGAGGTGAAAGATAGACGCAAGAGCTGACCAACAAGCATTCCACTGTGCTGTCGGCGTAGGGGTGAACGAAGTGTAGTGTACCTTAATTCCATAGACTTTTGAGGATAAACTTCCCCTACCCTGGTGGACATTCAAACAGTCATTTTCATTTCATCAGCACCCAAGAATCTCGCACTTCCGGGTAGAAGGTTGCTTGCGAATCAGGCTTGGACCTGGGGCTAAATACTGTAAACTGGATTCAGTGTCCACGTTTTACCGAAAACTGAAAAAGAGCTCGCAAAAAAAGAGATCTGCTGATTCAGTGCCAAGGTTGGCAATCATCATTTTAGAATCCTAATCAACCAGCCAACGAAGTTGGCCTCGTGACCTTTCACTTTTCTTACAGCAGAGTATTACAGTTGTTTCAGGCAGCATTTTCTTTTATTAAATTTTATACAAGGACACTTTTCCCAAGTCATCATCTGCTACTTTGACCATTTTTTTACGCTGGTCAATTCTATACATACCACGAGTCGGACCAAATATTTTTCACCAGGAATTCGTGCATCTCTGTTAGGTGAAGAGGCAAAATAAAATGTTAACTTGTAAGACATTCACTCCACAAGTTTCCATTACCCTTGGAATGATCAGGCAACAGCACCTTTCTGAATACAAAAGTTCACTTACCGAGAGCCCATAACAAATGAGAAATTTGACTCGTCTTGCATGAAACGACGACCAAGTGTCCAAAGCCACCAACGGTAGGCTTAGCACAACAGACAACCAAACTTCACTACTGATGACAAGCAGCAGACTACAAGTGCATCAGCATGCCTCTTTTACAGCTAAATGGTGTTTCTTGTGAGCTAATGCTATAATTCTCAGGGTGTGAAAATTGTTACTCTCATTGCTTGCACGCTTAGAATAGATAAAGCAGTTGATTTGGCACTTCCACAACATCCCTGAGAAAACAGCTCTAAAAACCTCTTGCTGCCAACACTGTTTCATCTTCTGCCAAGTCAACTGTCGAGAGGCAACGTGCAAACTCCTGGCTCTAGGGGTTATCGTGCTTTATGTGCACGATAACCCACAACGTGCAGCAAGCAAATCGTATTTGTTCCAATCAAAACCCCAATGATAGTTTTGTGCCGTATTCATTGCATGTGGTCATCGCCACGATCACCAATGTTAAGGTGCATTCACGCTGGCATTCGAATCTCAACCGCAAAGCAGATCTGCTCGTTTTTATCGTCAAATGCACGTGAAATTGTATTAGATTTTCAGCCGCGTTCGCAACCGTTTTGCGAATGCGGTTTAACTGCCAGTGTGAAAACGGCGTTAGTCCTTCGTGCTATGTCTCTTTAACTGTGTTAAAATTCCTTTGCAGATCTCCAAGCACAATGCACACATTGTGCTTAGTGTCTTGTGTCAAAGCTGTGACATATCTTTATCATAAGCTCTACCAGTTATTATTTTGTTGTGAATATGGCAAATATTCTATTCATCTCTATTTATGTCTGGTGTGTTCTCTCGGTATTTTTTTAAATGTCCTAATTAGCTGAATGCATAATTTCCAAACATACATATTTATTCACCTTAGTTTTATTTTTTAATATAACTTGAATGAATGTACTTAAACGGCTGTCGACTTATTTATATTTAGTTTTTCGTTGTTTATTTTTGCCTATTTATTTTCCGGACCTCGAGACTGCCAAAACATTTGGAGACCCCTGTTTCAAGGAAAAGAAGTCGCAAAAATTAGCAGCAAAACAATCAACATTTCCAACTGTCATGATTGTGCAAGATGGAAACGATCCACAATGTTAGGTGCCGGGTTGCACCGCTCTTTAACGCTCCCCCCACGCGTTGCTTGAAAACGGGGAATAAAGTGGCCCAGCTAGAGGTTTGCTTGATAATCAAACTTCTCCTGTTAATCCCTGCTTGTGCACCCTGTGTCAGCCGCGGACAAAACATTGCTGTCGCCCAATCCAGAATTGTGCTAAAAGAAACGTGGGGCCTTTTCTGAGCAAATTGCAAGACTCCCGTTAGAAATAATGTCTGAATGTGTACTGGCGAGCCGTGTGGAGTCCGACGTCACTGAAGCAATATTAAAGGGACTTCAAAGCCTCCAGCTGGTTGCAAAAAAACCAAACGACACCTCCCCGCACGCGATTATCTCCTTAGAATGAGACAACCCTAAAGGTGTGCGAATATTCGACTTTCAAATTCAAATCGAATAATAATCGTCCAAATAATTCTATCCGAATTCCTAGCATTCGAGTTTTCGAATAATTCAATACATGGAATATTGGTACTGTTGACAATATAATTCGGGTTTACTCGGAAACGCCGTTCATGTGGTCAAAATAGTTTGCACGTGCCTCCATTGGATGTAGGTCGAGCCTGGATTTAGTGGCCTTAACAATGTGACAGAAATTTGTTCGTTTCTCTGTTCCTCGATCAAAGCGGTTGAGAAACACAGCTTCTTGGATGCGTTCCATAAGAAACCGAAAACCATGCGCGTCGCCAATAATTTGAATAGGCCCTTCTGAAAAATCCCAGGAGACCTCGCAGCAAATGGGAATTGTGGGGCTTTTTCGATGTACGGTCAGCCCACTCGAACGCTTTGTACATTCTGGTAGCTACGTGGTTCATTTTCTCCCATCAGTAAGGGCTCGAAACGCTAAAAAAATAAAGCAAACACAAAAGGAAAGAACAGGAGGAAATTCCCCCTTTGCTTTCCTTCTGCCTTCTCTGTGTCCTAAAACCACAAAATGTTAAGCCAACATAAACTTCGTTCTCGACTCCTGGATAATCCATCTCGCATGCCGTACGTCAGAATGTCACAATACGTCAAGCATACCGTGGGGGCGCTACATATTTCCGGAAAGGTCTGTTCAAGGATCTTCCGTTGCCTGCACCCAACTGTGTGGACTCCGAACCTATCCTTGATTATTACATCCATAATCAAGAAATTCTTATGAAAATACAAATGACAGCTATTGCTCTCTTGGGCCAGGAGGCTCGAAAGTACAAGGTCTGAGGGAGCCCTTAGTTTCTCAAGCCTCCCCTCAAGCTCCCTCAGGCTCTCAATCCTGGCACTTTGCTCATCGTCTGGAGGGCGATGCGAGATGTTGCCCGATTGAAATGGTTCCTCCATATCTACCTATCCATTGCTCCAGTACGCTGCAGATCCCTACACGAAGGGTGGGACACTTCCTGCGGCTATGCTTCAAGTTTGTCATTTAACTGGGGTCATTCACCCTGTTTGGATTTGTGCTAGCCTCCCTTCGTTCTGCGTGCCCTGCGGGAGAAAAAACACAATAGGACTTTTTTTCTCATCTGTGAATTTTTTTGTTTAGTCAATATATAGAATAACATCTCTGGCATTTATATTCGATTCAACCATTATTCAACACTATTCGATTCGAGTTGAAGTTTCACAATTCTCACACCTCTGATAACAACCCATTGCCTATGGTGTTTTTCGGGTTTTCTTTCTTTTAAAGCTAACAGCTCCTTTTCTTCAAACTTGGACAAGCCGGACTTGGATTACTCATTGCCAAGAGATAATTCTATCACCATTTATTTTAAGGGGCTTGGCCAGCCAGATAAGGGGAAAAACGTAGGGCTCTAGGCAAAGGAAAAGCCAGCGTGAACAAACAAGAGCTGGTTTGTTATGTTTTTTTAACAGTGTTTATTTTGAACACTGGTTAGCCGGGTTGAATATATAATTTCATAGTCCCTCTAAAGCCCTTTGCATGCTGTGCCAAAGCATCTCCTAGTCCAGTGAAAAGGAGGGTCCTTCTAAATATTGTAAAGCAAACCTCGCCCGACACACCATTTTCCAGCCAGCAGCGCTGCAAGGAAGATGTACTTCGTCCCATGATCTTTAAGCTTTGTAGAATAGTGGCACATGGCAACATGTACCTGATGCACCTGTTCGTCTTGCCATAGCTTAGGTAAGGACGGACATAAAATAGAACTCTGGCAGTTATCTCACAAGCTTATCTACTAGGCCGTAGAAGAACTGCCGATCTTCAGTTGGCATTGAAATCGTAGGTTTGTAAATTGCGGCAACACGTCGGCACATACTGTGGTTAAGCTTGGGACCATTTTCAGCGGCACCACTGTGGGAACCCAGGGTCCAGTCAGTTTCAGCCTTGTCACTGTCACCCATTGGAACAGCTGTCTTTCTTTCCTATACCGTCAACTCTAAACAATGTTATCAAGAAAAGAGCCAAACTGTCAGGAGTTCAACTCAAATGATCACTACTAGAAGTTCCAGGGTCGTTTTGATAAGAACAAGAGACGGAACGCAGTAAGACAACAAGCACATTCAGTCGACTCTTGGCCGTAGAGCTACGTCGTCTCTAATTTCTGGTCGAGACGTTTGCGTCAATTTTCCAATCCACCGTCTTCGTCAACGACTCGAGAGCTCAAAGCGATTCGTGAGCCCAAGTAGAAGAGAAAGCAAAAAAAATAAATAAATAAATAACACCTGAAAAGCGTCAATGACACATAAATTGAGCACCTTGTCAACACTGATCAATCGGCCAGATTTGGCAAACGAAACTTACGTTAGGCGCCACCTCTTCGTCTTGATGGAGTTATTTTCTTTGCCAACTGCTCTTTGTTGTAGACCAGGCGCGCTCCCAGCTTCTTCATTCTTCCTTTTCTTGAGCCTTTTTTCTGAATTGCCATGCAGTATTAAGTCCGTCCAGGCCCTTACCTATGGGTCGGTGCCACCCCATAATGCCGCCACCAAATCCAAAGGGCGAGACCAAATTTCTTTTTACTTTATTCGGAACGTTGGGATGCCGGATACATTGACAAAGAAGCAAACAGAGCCAAAAAAATTCTCTTATAGCAAGTTGACACACAGCCCAACCCTACAAGAAAACACAAATATCAATCCACATCTTTTTTTTCTTCAAAGATACACAGTGCTCTGATAGTCATGACATGGGAGAGAAAAAAAGAAGAATGTTGGTTATGCACGACACCTGGATGGCACGAAAATGCCAGGTAAAACGGGTGGGAAAACACGAGAATAGACGTCGTTGCCACTAGGATAAGACAAAACAAAAACAAAAGAAAAAAAAAACAAAGGGCCAAATAAAACACAACAATGTCCTTTTGTCTCCACAGCTGTTCAAGCTTGGTCCATCACTATGATGTCATCGTCTTCGTTAGCAGGGGCTTCGTCGGCCTGAGCTTCGTCGGAGCACTCGTCAAGCACTGCAAACTCCATGTCCTGGATTCTGTTATCTGCAAATGTACCAGTGCCAGAAAAAAAAAGTCATGTGTCACACTTCAAAGCTGCAGATGCCATTTGATGACAACTTTAGCGAGACAAATTTAAAACATATACTCTGTATTTTCAGCAAACAAGGAGCAAAAACGTCTACTGCAAAATGTCCATACTCTTCAGAAGTAGTTGTCCGGAACTCAGGGTTGCCGGTCGGCGAAACTAAAAACACCAAAGTTACTTTAGTATTGAAACGGTAGCAATACTTTCTATAAACTGAAAGCACTTCTGTACGTTAAAAATTTGTATATGTTCTTGCGAGGTGGGTACCCGGTACTGGTTTACTACGTTCCACAGCCTAGCAGCATGAAACGGCCGCAACAGTCTGGTAATCATTGTGTTGCATGCCTAACTTATATTACTATACTTAGCATACATCAGCTCAAAAAACACAGAAATAAAATAGTCTTATTCAACTTCCATTACGCAAATACATTATTTGTCATTACGAAGCCTCATGTGAAAAGAGCAGATAGAGCAGAAAAAGTCCTAAACAGAAGCCAGATATGGCTCAAGAAAAACATTTCAAGTACCAATTTTTATCAGTTTGCCCTGCAAGTCTTTGGTAGGACAGAGCACTTACATAAATGCCATTACGATCTGCCGAAAACATAAAAGTTTCCATTCTGTTGTGGCTTCTTGCCACCACACGAGAAGAGTTTGAAGTACTCTGTTTTGCCCCTGTTAAGTCCTTCAGGCCTTTTTCTGTTTCCTCGAAAAAAATGCTTGTTTTCTAAACAATAGGTCATGGTCTGCTACCTCTACAGTAAAAACACCAGTCCTAGCTAACTACTGCCAAAACTTTGTATGTTTCATAAACTTCTTCTAAAGGTTTCCCTGCAGTTTGAGAGGGAAAGGAGGAATATTGTCCCTTTTTTAATGGCAGCATTCAAGTAAGCCAAATCTAACGATCCTTTATTTGAATAGCCTTAGGCATCGCTTTCGAGCAAATTGTGTACCGTAATATCCCTAGAGGTGTCCCAACCATAAAAGATAACCCACACCTACTTTTGGCAGGATTTGCTATCTTTCAGATACACCGAAAGGTAGACCACTTTTAGTAATTGGAGGGGGCACTGGCCAATGGAGACCTCAGAAGAAATGACATTGCTTAGCCGCGACGGGAGATAAGCGAACGTTGCCGACTGGGAAGGACAGTTGTCTTTGGTTCGTCGCCCGTCCCTGCCATCGCAAGTTGTGCAGGTCACAAAATCTAAAACTAGCATTTTTAAAATTTTTTTTTAGGACTTACTGAAAGGTAGTTTACCCTATATTTTCACCCGATTTGCTTTCGCTTTTAGCTGGGCCGCCTCTAAGGATGTTACAATAGCAATGTCTTTCGGCTCAAATTTGTACAAAAGGATCTCCTTACAAGTTGAAAGAGAGAAAGGGGAATGATTTTCAACCCTTCCGAAAAAAAGGTGTTGCAGGTCAGCATTTTAAGCTGAAAACCTTGTGTTCTGGACGGGACATACGCCACACAAAAGTGTCCGCAAACTTCCAGAGGAAATGAAGAACAGAGAAATCCGTAGGCATTTTGAATAGTTCCCAGTGTGTGGCATGGCGTAAAGGCTCGTTTATACTCCAACGTAAAGGCCCGTTCACACTCTTGCAACCGAGTACGAACGAGAGAGACGAGATCTGTTAAAACTTCTTAAAATTTCTTAGAACGAGAGAACACACTGGCACGCTGGTGCCATCTATGCGGTGACCCTGGAACTGCATTTCACAAGAGCGAAGGTTTTGCGGGATTTCCGAGGTCAAATGTACGTAATATCTAAAAGAAAGGCTCGTTTATAACGTTGACAAAAGTTTTTCGAGCCAAGAAAGAAAGGATAATGCGCGAGAGAAAAAGAAAATATGCCGAACCGCCAAGTTTACACTGCTACCTAATAGATGGCGCCAGTGTGTCCTCTCGTTGTAAGAGGTTTTAAGGAACCCAGTTTTAACCCCTTGCCTACTCATTTTTTTTTCTATAAAGATTGTACAGAAAGTTTTATTTAAATCAAGCAATTTGCGTCAAAATAAAGAAAAACGTTTCCTTGGCTTTCAGGCGTAGTCTCGTGCTCTATACCAGGACTTCTGGTCGTTTCCTCTTCTTCAGTAGTTCTTCACAGTATGATAGAAATCGAGAGATTAGCAGAAACCTCACATATGACATCGTTTTGCCGAGAATTGGGGTCTCCACTATGGACCTCTTCATTTTGACTGTGTTTTTTCACTTGCGTCATAATGATGCACAAGGCCAAGTATGCCTTTATCTCATCCGGAGTGGTGTCAAACCATTGCTCCTCATAGCATTTCTTGGGACGATCCTCGTCGCCCATCTCTTGTTCGGCGTAGCGATTTGTCTCAGCAGAGACAGACGCCCAAAAATCATGACTTGCAAACACGGAAAAGGTCGACAAGGCGCTTGTTTTCTCACCAAGACTGCGTTAAACCCTTGCTGACACACCTGGGGTTTCTACAAAGGTGAACTGAGCAGGCTGGTTGTCCCTCTTCTCCCAGTTCCACTGACGTGCAGACGCCGAAGTCGATGAAATGCTTCCAGGATTCGCATCGTTTTCAACACTTTTCTCACTGTCCGTTGAACTCTCATCGGATTCCGAGTAATCGAAAAGGCAGTAGGATTCATCGTCAGAAATACTGGCGCATTCATCACTTTCAAAAAGAAGTCTTTGTATATCTTCGTCCGCCAAAGCAGACCTCCGCGCCGAAGACATGTTTTTGGCGCGCTTGCTTACAATAGCGCGCTTATTTTTTGTCAATGGAGCGCCCTCTCTCTGTCAAAAGGCAAAGCAAACAAGAAAAGAACCCAAGGTAAACAGGAGCAACAGGGGTAGTGCTGCCATCTGCCGCAGAGCTCACAAAACAAGCTCTGAAACCGAAACACGAGTCACACTCGTGGTCGGGTTTTATGGTCCGTAAATGGCGGCACGAGTGACACTCGTTATTAGTAGGCAAGGGGTTAAGAGGTCGTCAGAGTGTGAATGGGCCTTAAGGCGAGTGCAGTGCAGCGACGTGGCCTAAGGGAAAACCAGCCCCTCTACGGTCTGCGTCCCGACACGACCGAAAAATTAGCAGCGTTCGGCATGCTCCAACTGTGCCGACGCAGAGATGGAGCACTGTCTGCACTGGCCGCATCAGGTTGCCAGACCAAGCTGCACAGCGCTTCTGCTCTCTAAACCGCTGTGAAGAGGTGCCAAGACCATCGAGGCAGCGTCGACGACAGTCGACGTGCTTGTCGCAGAACGTTCTGCACGTGCCCCTCAGACGGGGCACAACGGCGAGCGACGTCGGACGGGTTTGACTGCGGAGGGGTCAAATTTCTGACTGCCACGATGCAGCCAACATAGCAAGTCTGATATGGGAAACTGCAAGCACACGTGCTGGACTATAAACGAGCTTTAAGGTATGAAATTGAAATGGCACCTCCAACTTCTGCAAAGCTTTGTCGGATCCGCTGACACTCTATGAGTCAAGGACGGACATTCGAGGGCATCCAAAAGTTTTCCAGAAAAAGTCAAAACTGCATTCGGCCCTAGCTTTCGGACTATCATTTTGTTGGGCAAAACGTTTGTGAACACTTTTGTTGGAGTTGCCCCACCCGTAATAACGGGCTCCCGAAAAACAAGATATAACCAGACGGCGACGACTTGACCCTCCAAAGTGGAATGGGAAAACGAAGTTAAATGCGTCCAATCAGGAGGTTGGGGCTCGTTCACGAGCGCCACTGCCGTATAGAGGTAGACAAAGTCATCTCGCGAAATCGCACACCAAACATAAACTGAAAAGATGGCCAAGAATCTAATAAAATCAAAGTAACGACTGAACAAAGACGCATCCCAAAAGTGCAGACTCACCCTCCAACTCGTCTTTGGCATCCTCGGTCACTGGATCCCCAGCGCCGAGCAACGCATCTTCCACTGTCGCTTTGCCCTGTCGATTTTTCGTCCCAAACGATTTTGTCGGAACATGGATGGAAGAGAGAAAGAAAAGGGGAAAGGAACCTTAACTTTTTGGGCAGTCCAGCGTCAAGCTGGCAGCAGATCTTTCCACCAAAAAGAGTAAAATAAGATGCATTACATGTAAACAATGCACTCAGAAAGGTCACACGCTATGTAAAAGGCAGACAACCAAAGTGGATACTTACGCAGCAACAGAATGACTCTGAACATAAAGTTCGTCAAACGGGACTAGGGCTCGGCTTTCGTCTAGTCGTACCCGCACAGCTGCTAGTGCACCTCGGATTTTCTTTGCAGTCTCACCCTTGTCCCAGTGAAGTTGTCTACTTCGTGCCTTCTATTTTTGTCTTGTCGCGTCCGTACGGTCCACAAAACGGAGGCTAGAAACGTACGCACGCCCCGACGTGCCGAAGGAGAGGCACGCAACCACAAAGAAAAGAACATAAAAGTTCACTGCGAGATAACGGTGCATTCAAGGGGTTATCCAATATGCTGTTCGCGCGCATATCATTTGGGAAACTTTGCACAGAAAAAACGTTTTACAGAACGCACAACAGAGCGAGCATATGGTTCCCACTCACCCACCTATTTCTACAGTTCCAAGAAGTCTGCGACACATCTCAGAATTCAAAAACCCAGCACAGTCCTTTCCCATTTCTCCCCTGCATGCAAAAACTATACCTTCGCATGAAGCAAAAGTCACAATATGCATGTTTAATGTGCCTCAGCATTTAGAAACAACCTTGGGCAGCCGGGCAGCACAAACAGACACCATAAAGGCTGGATCACACATGCATCTCAGCGATGAGATAACGCAAGGTCAGCACTGCACCGGCACTGAGTTAGCACTGCACTGTGCGTGTAAGCATGGAAAGGTAGAGTGACATGCATCCGATCGCTGATACAGTGCGAAGTCAGCGCTTTGGCTGTACAGCTGAGCTGGCATTGGGACATATGTGTGAGCAAGCCTTAGCCCTCAAACCACTCATACCTGCAAGCTCGACGACTGGAAAACAAGAGAGTTCCCAACCTTAGGGCTTCAAAGCACCCCTATGCGCTCTCGCCGGGCACCGAGAAAGGTAAGCCACACTCACCAAGTTGGACGTCTGGGCCCCGGTTGGCCACGCCTCGTCGTCCATCTTGTTTGCGCCTGCACTCAGCAGAACAGACTCTGTCTTCGCCAGCGGATCCGCTGAAACAGAGTCGTCGTTAAAGAGGCAACCCCCCGTGATGTTGTCGTCCAGCGGGCCTTCGGTGACTTCCAGGATGGCGCTCTTCCAGTCGGAACAGTCGTCCAGAAGACTGTCAAGGCCCAAGGTCGTGATGACAGGCACCGAACAATCTTCTTCAGCGGCCGAACCAAACCGACGTTTTTCGGCGGTCAGCGCTCTCGATGCCTGCCCTGTGCTGGGGACCACTCGATCGTCCGTACTGAAATCCGACCACGGATGTGACTTGAGGGCTGTGTTTGTGCCTGCTGTGAGGCCCATGTCTTCTGTGATGTTCTCGGATGTCATTGAGAGGTCCTCGGTGATTGTGGAGTAGTCTTCCGAACCTGCGGCCAATGAACCGGGGGCCAAGCTGACCACGTTTATGATGGAGAAGCAGGGAGCCTCTTCAAAAGAGCCGGACCCCTCAGCAACCGAAGCCTGGATGTCACTCGCCGCACCTGTATTTGGGGCAATGCCTGCAGAAGCTGTGCTTAAGCTATCGGATGTCGGGACTAGGGTAGGACTTCTGCATTCTTGTGAACTGGTGCTGTCCACTTGAAAGCCAAGCTGAAAGGGATCCCCCATCACTGATGACGAAGCTACTTGCTTCATCGCTGAACTTTGTACACTCTTTCCGTCTGCCTCGGGGACTTTTCTTTCTTGCTCAAGTGCTAGGGTTTGGCTGGCATTCTGAGTATCCAAACTTGCTATGTCAGCCCTAGCTTCATCGGGCTTCTGTCTTGGTACGTCTTCTGCCTCCCAGCTGGTATCATCATGTTCCGAGGTAGGATTAATGCTCTGGGCCACCGAGCCCACTTCCGTGGGTTCTGAACTTGTCATCTGCTGAACTGCACTTGCTGCATCATTATCACATGTTGTTCCCATGGATGTCGGGGTCACATCAGTTTGTGACTGTGCAGCCAACTGTGTAATTGGCCTTTGTACGACCTCTTGCTCTGACAAAATCTTCATCACAGAAGGGGATGAGGGCTGGGGATCAAAAAATGTAGCTTCAGTGGCTACAACATTGTGTGTTGGAGCCATTTTCGTGGTAGCTACCAAATGCACACTTTCAGGCTGTTGCACTTGAGTGACCTCAGAGGGCACCTGAGAACATGTTGGCTGTGTTTGTGCCATCTCGGTTATTTGAGGAGTAGGTTGCACAGTTTCACAGGGAGATAGCTGATCTTGGGCAGCACTTGTTAACAATTCCTCACTTCTTGGTTGATGCGGAATCACATTCGAGTTCAAGCCGTCAGGCATTACCTCACTTATGACAGAAGACTGAGCTTCCGCTGAAACTTGGCTGGACTCTACCCCTTCTGGATGCTTCTGTGTTATTTCTGGCTCCTGCAGCGGCACAGGTAAACTTTTGCATGCAGATGAGTGGTTAATAATTGTAACCACATGTGAATCCGCACTTTCAGGCTGCACTGGAGCCAGTTCTAGGGTGGGCTTAGTTACAGCAGTTGTGCTGGTCAAGGATTTATCCTTAACTGTAGTTGTAAATGCCTTTGGACTTTCAGGCTGCACTTCCACTGGTTCTGATGCCTGAATAGCTGCGGCTTGAAGGGCAGCTAACTGACGTATTGCCAAGCTTGCCAGTGGTAAGTCGTCTTCTGACTGGTCTTGAGCCTCTTCCGATGATAGGGCTGTCTTGCTCTCGTTTTCGACTGATGCAGCATTTTCAGAAGGAGTCTGACAGACTTCTGGTGCCTGGACCTTAACACTTGAGTCACTCGGAAGTATCTTAGCATGCAATGAGTGCACTGGGGCTACTGCTGATGCTTGGTTGCCTGCAGTTGTAGCTGATTGGTCAGACACAGTGCCTGCAGATGCTTCGGCCCTTCCAGCCTTCACCTGGACATGCAATGAGTGCAATGTTGTGCTTTCAGTAACTGGAATTGACTGAGTACTCTCAGGTTGTCCTTGAACCAGCAATGTTTGTCCACTGTCAACAAGTGGCTGATTAAGAGGCTTACATGCAGATGAGTCAACATTTTCAGTCTGCATCGGTGCCACTACTGTTGTCTGCGCAGTGTCACTCTCCGTACTTACGGGTACCTGGGTCTCTGGCTGGGCCTCGGTTATTGAAGATTCCTGGACAGTTTCTTCAGCAGGCAGCTGACCAGTTGTTGAGATTGCACACGAGTCAGACGTTTCCATTGGAAAGGCTTGTGATGGCTGTACAGCTGTGCCTCCAGTACCCTTGGGTAACTGAGCAATTTCAGATTGGACTTGATCCACTGAGGGTATCTGGATGCCTTCAGCAGCAAAAGGTTCATCTGTTGTCACACTTGAGGAAGAGTCAGTACCTCCAGTCTTCAGTTGAGCCGCTTCCAATGTCGGCAACCTTTCTTCACTTTCACCATTCTTGAGTGGCTCAATAGTCTCATGCTGCACTTCAGTCCTGGCTGGTGTCTCAATGCTCTCAACAACAGGTGGCTGAGAAGTCACCATGCTTGCACTTCCAGTCTGCACTTCGACTACTCCCAATGCATGGACAGTTCCACTCTCAGGGGTTTGAGGTGACATTACTGCCTCAGTTTTCTCATTAGCCACTCCAGATGTCTCTAGAGTGGCATCGATTTTCACAGATGCCTGCTCCTTTGGCGGTACAATGCTGGCTACGCTGGTTTTAACGGTGCTCTCTTCATCCAAGTCCATGAGAACTGCCTCAACGTTCAATGCTGCAACTGGTGCAACAACTGGTGACACAACCGGTGCTGCAACCGGCACTGCAGCCGGTGCTGCAACAGGTGCTGCAACAGGCGCTGCAACAGGCGCTGCAACCGGCACTGCAACCGGCGCCGCAAACATTGTCGGTTCTGGTTCTTCTGGGGGTGGAGGAGGAGGTGGCTGCAGCAAGGCAGGCATGGCGGCGACAGGTGGACATGCAACTGGGGTGGTGTTTATGAGGCCTCTCATGTTCCCAGCAATCGGAGGCGGCCTTGTAGGGTCATACTGTGCCACAAGTGCACCACCACTGCCAACTGACTGAGCAGTTGCATGTACCATAGCTGGAAGGAGTGCAGGTCGGGCAATTAGCTCCAGCGCTGATGGTCAAATCCGAAAACATGAAAAATGAAGAAGCACGCCCATGCGAAAACGGTGGCGCGCAAGAAAGTGAACATGATCGGACATGTGGCAGGGTGAAACTCGGCTGCTGGAAGAGAGGGTTACATGTCTAACACACGCACATTTTGAGACTTACAACCCCTCAGATGCTGTGTGGAGGAAAATAGAGCAACGCTTTCTGCATTGTTTGCATCCCTAAATGTTGGCTACTCTCCCCAGTTTCTGATTACCAATGTACGCAATGATGTCTCATTAGGAAAGTAAACTCTTCTCATCATGTCGTAAAAAATGCTGATATAAAACAGGCCGTAACGGCATGCTTGCAGTATGGACTTCTTCATACTAACTACGAGAAAATCCTTGGCAAGTAGCAAGCCTGATAGTTTGGCCTAGCAAGAAACTGTCCTACACCATTCACCGAAGATGCTACCTAGTCCCCACTCAAGATTCCAGACAGTTACCACCTTGAGTGCCATGGACAAGCCTGATTCGTTGGCAGATTTGTAGTCATCGAAGATAGGAACAGTACCAAGCATGAACTAGCTGGCTGTCACTGGAAGGATTACCATGGGAATACGGACATGAACAAAATGTTGCAGGCTTCCCTGTCCTGTCGAAACAACTGCTAATGGCTCTGCCGATGCCACCACCTTCGGCTTTGTGAATCATCACTACCTGAAGCGGGCAGTCAAGCCGCGTCTGGCTTTGGCAGGTCTGATCTTGTGTCTGTTCCTCTAGCATACATGAGGTTATTATCATTATTATTATTACTAAGTAGACGGCACAAGTGTTGACATTCATTGCTGCTACAACGGTGGAAAAAATTCCACAAGACATTCACACATGCATTACTCTCGTAACAATGCTTCCAGTGGCAGCCACAGGGCATGTGTTCCCGCCGGTTGATGTTCACTAGATAATATTCCTATCCTTTATGACTGTGCGGTCCGAGAGCTACAAGCGTGATGTCGTGCCCCTTGTGAGGTGCCACTGTTCCACGAGCCATACACTATAAAACTCTCTTCTATGGCCACCAGATCATTCTAGTTGCTGAACAAAATGCATACCACTTACAAACTAACATTACTTGTAATGGTGTTATCCAAAGAACCAGTCTTCTCTGTCTCTCATAGATGGATGGATCAGGAGAAACTTTTTTTTCAAATACCCTTCGTAAATACCTAAGCATAGTTGAAAAACTATTTTTGTATCGCCCTCTATAGAACCCTTACCGGTTACGTGGAGCAGAAAAGAATTTTATTGTAGCAACTACTGTAGATGTCCAGCAATAGTTGCTACAGCACCCTAAGCAAATTCCTTTCATCAATTCAGCCTAGTAAAAACATCACCTTAGTTGGCAGTGTGGTAGACTCAGTTGAACGGGCAACCCGCCCAACTAAGCCCGCCACAATGCCGGTGCACGCTATAGAAGCAGACAAACAATTGAGGGTCCAAGTCGCGTGCAAACAAACAGCCCACGTTCGCGACTTTACAGACACCAACGGGCACCAAGAAATTCGAAGAATGCTCGCTTAACTGAAAGGACCTATACAAGGATATATAAGGATCTATAAGGAACAAGATATCCAAGTTTGAGCTGTGTCTTGTTCTTTGACTTCGACGTTTCTAATTTCCACACCAAAGTCTGTTCCCACTCTTGCGACTGCATACGGCCGAGCGGCTTAAACCGTCTTGGGATATCTTAAGACGGGAGAAGATGCTGGCGCCACCTGTCGGGCAACAGTGAAACTCCTGAAATTTCTGTACACTTTACATTTTTTCGAGCGTCATTTTTCATCTTTTGCATCAAAAAACCTTTGACAGCGTTGTAAACAATCATTTTTCGTAGACACTATAAGCATTCAATCTTGCAAAAACCTTAGCTCTAGTGAAACGCAGTTCCGGGGTCACCTCGCAGGTGGCACCAGGAGATTGCAAAAACTCGGTCGTAAGGAAACGCAAGTGTGCGAGCAGGCCATCAAAAGTCAACCCCAATCTGAGAAGAAAAAAAAAAAGGTGCCGACTCACCGGACAGCGGGGGTGGCGGGATGTAGGTCGGCGGCGGAAAGCTCGTGCAGATCGGAGGCGGGGGCACGGTAAACATGGGCGGCGGCACGGACAGGTTGGGCAGCTGGACGGCCGAGTAGACGGGCGGCGGTATCACCGGTGCAATGGGCTTGATGTCGTCGCGCTCGATGCCAAGAAGCTTGAGGTCCATGTCTTCTTCGGTCAGGCCTGGACCCGGTCCCAGCAACGACTTCTTCCTCACGACTCCGACCCTCAGCGGCTGCTTCTGCGTCGTGGCCACTAGGGCGGGCATGGCAGACGTCGGCACCGCTGCGCTCACGGTCGTCACGGTGGCAAAAGAGGTTTTGGGAGCGACCACTGCGCAGTCAAAAGGCAAGAGACAAGCTCAATCGTGAACGCTCGCTTTTGCCATTACAATACAATGCGGTCAAAGGGGAATTCCAGCCAAAATTCGGATAGTCACTGATTTGCCTCAAAATTAGTTGAACACATAAATAGACATACCTGAACTAGTGGCTTAAATTACGAGTCACAAACATCTTTTTTTTTATTTTGGGAGAAAGGGGGGGGTTATTGAATTTTTAAGCTTGGTATGAGAGGCCCTAGTAATCACAACAACAAAAATGGAGAAAAAAATTGCAGGTCTCGCAACGTGCGATGTCACCCCGCTGGAGTGCGCAAGAGACTTTGAATGTAAGTTTTGGCATAGCATAACCTTCATAGCTATTTTGAACTTTAAGATAATAAATAGAATGCCGGGAAGAGCAGAGCCTGGGTATTCCTAAAATGTGTTCACTTCGGACAGCTCCAACACTATATATTTCGTTGCTGTCAAAAAACAGTTTTCATAGCTCGAAAAACCGCCCGAGACCCCTTAGGAAAGTAAACGAGAAAACAAGAGAAAGTAACTGAAGCCGGTACAGACGCTTGAGACACAACCTCATCAACCCCTTAAGAGTACTGACTAACATTTCATTTAGAGCAACCTTCCAATCGCAAGGAACCACCATTCGCCTCGGACGGCAGCCGACAAACACTTACAAGTCTCGTCTCGACCCAATAAAGCGGCGTAGAAGCTCAGAGTCCTTATAAGAAGTAGAGCACACGCTGTGCTCGGCACCAGCTAGTTTGTGCTACGTCATCAAGGCCAAAGTAGCTTCCGCGGTGCGCAACTGCGACAGCATGTAGCTTCACCTTGTGTCTCCTTCTTCTTCTCCTACGACGGCGTTGGAACACTGCGCCAGCCACGCTAGGCTTGGCAACGTAGTGCAAAATAATCGACGCCGAGTGTTTGGAACATAGTTACGCATCGGTGAGTGGCTTGCGCCCGAAAAAAGTGGCGCTCAAACTGGGCCCCGCTTTACTTAAAGAGAGGAATGGTTGAGAAAATCTGACAGCTCAGGGAGCCCATGGGGGTACACTGGGAAGCCGAGTTTGAGAACCCATAACCCAGAGACTTAGTTTTTGCGGGGCCTCGAAGGATCTGAGTGTCCTGGTCTGAGTGTCCTGGTGAAATGTCAGCTCCCAGGGGGTTCCTTTTCGAGCCATTTAGGAAAAGGTGTGTGCCGGCACCAGCAACACATGGTCAACAAATTGTGTGCGGAAACCCCCTCATCTTTTTGAAAACAGTTGTCGGTTTATTGACCAGCTTGATCTGAAGTACGAGAGTGTAGAATGTGAGCCAACTGAATGGCGACAGGCTTCACTGCTCCGGCAAGGTGCCGGAGCAGCAAACCTGCACGGGTACCATTGCATGGGGCAGGCTTTCCTACCTCGAGTATGCCCCACAAAACCCAGCTTTCACCAGTGTTTAGCTCGTTCCCGTGTTACCCAGAATGGAAAAGCCAGGCTGCAAGAATTAAAACTGCAAGAATTAAAACTCGTACCGTTTTTGCCGCTTCAAGAAAAAAAAAAGGAGAAAAAAGCAAACAGGAAGTTGCTATGCATGGTGATTGTAAGAGAAAATGGAACCTGCAGAAACCTACTCTCTTTAGCATTTCTTTTTTTTTTGTTATAGAGAACAATATAAAAATTATGGAGCCTGCTTAAATTAATTTTTCACTACACTGAGAATGTTTCAGGGTGTGCCCCACGATTCATTATTAGTAAACAGCTGATGAAACTACCCAGCAAGTTTCATGCTTTGCATTCTTATCAATGCAACCTGGCTGCTCAAGTTATTCAACATTCCATTGGGCAAAACTGGAATCCGAATAAATTTTCAAAACCTAGCCGGGGCCCATCTGAGCACGAAGTTGGGAGAAAAATACCGCAAGAACTAAGCTCGGCCTAGACAAATTACACTGTGGCACAGCATTAGTGATCTAAACGAAGCATGCCATTCTATCGTGGATAAAGTGTATTCAGGTTGATTATTTTCAGAGTGCCCAAAATAAGGTTGGAAGGTCTGAAGCTCTCTTTGAATCCTTCCTTCACATTTTGTCTCGTTACAAAGGTAAACCCCCGTTTCATTAGCTGCCAGTGGATGTGAGACACATAACCTGCAACACTCCGCTCGCCCTTAAATGGGTACTCCGGCTATTTTTTTAGCTACCCCAACTATATTTTTGAAATGACCGGCCTTCAGAGGCATACCAACTTGTTTTTGGGTGGGGGGAGGGGCAAACCAGAACCCCCCCCCCGTGCCGGCGCCCTTGGTATTCCTTGGGTGCCGCTGGCCAGTGTTTGCACTGCCCAGTGGCGTGGCTGTTTCGGGGGGTGGGGAAGGCAAAACACATGCCTCGCCCCCCCACTCTAAGAACTGGGGGGGGGAGTGCCCCCCTTGCCCCCCCGGTTGATACGCTCATGCCGGCCTTCACCCTGTCCGGTACCCTATTTAGTATCGCAAAATTCAGGATAGTAATTGTGAAATCGGCAGGGGAGAATTATGCCACATCATACATTCAAATATACTCGCGTTTTTCAGCGCTGCAACATCAGTGGAAGACGGGCTTGCCGGTCAAGTGGACAGTCTAAAAATCGACTATGCCAAAACTCGTTTTGTGCTGCTGCGCAGGGGCTGGAACGAGCTTCCAGAGCATTCATTTGACACCATGGAACTGGCTGTTACCTGACCCAACCTAACCTAAAGAGTGAACCAATGTCTTCTACTGATGTCACTTTTTCATTGTTGCCAGTAAAGACGTTCACTTTGAAAAACACAGCGAGAACCAAAATTGTAAATTCAATGACTTTGCGAAAAAAAAAAAATGAATATTTTGGTGCAATATTTAGGTTACCATATCAGCTATGTGTGTTGGTGTGTAGTTTAGCAAATTTTCAGGGAAATCAGGGACTATGAAGAGAACGCCGGAGAACCCCTTCAAGTCAAGACTAGAGCCAATGCCACAAGCACGAGAGCTCAAGGTCGCTGTTTTGAAGCGGTCTTTCACAGAACAAGCGCTCAAGCTAAAGATGCGCTTCTCAAAGTCAGGAGCGTGCTAGCTCACGCCTGTAGCCTTGGCTGCCGTCTCAACGGAAAGGTTAACGGAGTGTAGTCCTGCATTTTCACATTTTAAGTTATTGATAAAAACAATAAAATGTAACTCGGGTTTCGCGTTTTCATTTTTTTACCGACAAACCCCGATAGAGAACCCCCAAACAGATTTGAAGGATGAACGAACAACCTTGAATTGGAACCTTCCTCGAGTGAGGAAAACCCAAGCGTCGCAGGACAAATCTTTGTCTCCAGGGTCATTTTGAAGTGATCGGGAACACAGCCCGCGCTGAACATAACCAGAGCGGTAGAGTTCTTCCTGCAAAGCTTCCAGTTTGTTCCCTGAATCCAAGAAATCTGGCGGGGGTTTACCTTCCGGGGTCTGTCGGTATGTATGGAAAACGTGGAACCCTAGTCATATGTACTGATATAAGAATGTGCCGTGCATTTCTGTTTCCCACAATGCTTGAACAGGCACCGGTTAAAATAATTTACGACACTCTGTCGATGCTAGCTTGTAGCAAAGAACTGCGGCGGCGTAAGCTCGGTTACTGCAATGAAGTTTGCGGCAATGTGGCCAACGAAGGGTTGAGACATGCCCTGCAAATACTAGGTGCCTCCCCGTCAATCGTGCCCTTCGAAGCAAACAATAAAAGAAGGAACGGTAAAGATCATCAGAACTATGAAAGTGCCGCTAAACTTTCGAACTTACAGCAGTATTTTGGAGAACAAACCAGGTCTACCCTGGCTACTACTGTTCATGAAGTTCGATACAGGTCTCTACGGGCATTCGTGTTTGTGACAATTACGAAGCAGGTAGAGATTGGAAGGACGAGACGCGTCTGCAATTGCCGACGATCGTTCCTTTGTCGCACATCGTCGGACGTCTCGTGTTTTGAGCACGCTATGCCATGGAGCAGTTTCACGTGATGAGGAGCTCAAACTCTAGAAAGGACCCAGACCCTTTGCCCCATGTTTTCCCATCCATAACAGCAGCGATTCCTAGCTCGCTCGAGTTTCTCGTGGCCTGGACATGAGGGGCTTTTGCGTTTAGTTGCACGACCTTCGAACTTTCCTGCCGAATTTATTAGTGCATTCTCCTACAAAAAAAAAAAAAAACGAGAAAGCTATGATGGTGTACAAATGACGGTCAACATGATGCCGGGTGACGTGCCACTGCTTTACGCCGTGATTTGACGCCCGTTACTACATCTGTAGCCGGTTATGGTCAAGAAAAATCGGGACAAGCCAATCCCACAAAGCTCTCTGCTTGCTGCGACTGTTTGTTTCCTCCTCTCCCCTGACCTCCTCTGACATTTGCTGTGCCAAAGTGTGAAAGAGCAGAGGTCTTTGTGGAAGCAGCTTGTCCCATTTTCTTCGGCCTGCAACAAACTATGGTAACGTTGTCAACACCGCGACGTCACGTGACAGCGCGATTTCACCCCCCGGATCACGTGATGTAGTGGCGCCGGGCCACGCGAGCCACGATGGCACCGACCCCACAAAGCATGGTGGCATCTAAATTCGGGTGACACCACCACCCCCGCATACCTTTTTCTATGTTGCTTCGGTGCACCATCGGCACTACAGTAAAACCTCGTTATAACAAAATGGGATACAACAAACTAATGGATATAACAAAGCAATCATAATTCCCCTTGCTTGCTAATAGTGGGAAGAAATGGACATTGGCTATAACAAACTAATGGTTATAACGAAATAATTACGACCGCTCCTTCAACTTTGTTATAATGAGGTTTTGCTGTAATCCCAACTCGCCCTTTCATTGTAAAGCACGTGCACAACCAAATTTACAAAACTCTGAACGGGCTACAAATATTAATTCCACAAACCAAAAAGTCGCAACTTGAGAATTTTCATTTACACTAGGAACAGTTAAAAATAAACTTACCAATGTCTTTTTTTAAGTCTAGTGCCTTTTATGCAGGACTATGGCAGTTGGTGGTGCAAAACTACGACATTATGGTACTCCAAGTGCCAAATCTATGGCACAGTTACTGTCATAAGGGTCTTGTAGGCTCATGAGCAGACAGTTGGGCAGTTTTGTAAGTTCAAGTTCTGCAAGTTACATTCCTCGACTACACACTTCCTGCTGGACACCAAAAGTTCTTGTCTCAATGAGCCAGAATCAAAGAAATTCCAAGTAGCATTAACAATAAAATGAATGCCAGACCTTTACACACTCAACCTTTCGCCTGAAATTCAACATAAAAAATTCTGCTCAAACAAGTCATGCTAAATACTCAGTCTGTTATGACCAACTAAATAGGTCCCTGTCCTAAACGCTTGCCTGCTTTAGTAAAAAAAAAATATGACTAAAGGCAGCCATGGGTACCAACCAGCACCAGTATTAACAGGATAAACATCCTAAAAATATTAGTAAAAAAGATATAGGACAAGGGAGGACAGCACAGGACAAGCGCCCTCCCGTGTCCTTTGTCTTTCGTGATAATATTTCCAATATGTTCAACAAACTAGGCCTCCCAACTTATTTTGTTACATTAACAGGATGTTAACCAATGAGCGCAGGGATTGGACAAGTCCCACAACACAAGCATATATTTTCACCTTAAATATTCAACCTCAAAGAGTGCGTGCAATGCAGTTGAGGTCGCAAACACTTTACAAGCAATGCAACATAACCTCGCATGTTTAGTAAGGGAAGATTAGGGATGCCTTAGAAATAACATGGCTTCAATGCATCCACTTGGCAATTATAAGTGTGCAGCTATTAAGGCACTAACTACTACATTGCGCACAAGCTTTGAAATGGAGTGACATGCAAAAGTCTGACAGGCAATAAGACAAAAGTAGCTCTGTAAATTCAAACCTTGGATCCGCGATGAAAATGGAAGCAATGCTGTTGATATGTGCATACTGTACTTGACTTGCATGGAGGTCACCGTTCATTTTTGGTAAAAACGAGAACGCCACATTCTAAGCAGTGTTTCTGCCAGGGAAGCATTTATTGTGGAATCAAGGGCATTTTTACTCGTCTTCCAAAATGGGCTGCCCCTTTCTTTCTGGCGGCAGCTCGAGTCAGTGGATATCCTTTGAGTAAAGAACCTACCAAGCTTACGCTAGGGAAAGAATAAAGTCTGTGTAAACGACAATAAGTGCAAGTTTCTGCAAACACTAAAGTTCTGCTTTATCAAATTAAGCTCGGCTGAGCAGCAGAGAAGATCTCTGCTGCTCAAAGACCTTCTCTCAATAAGGGAATGTGCAGTCAATGCTTGTGTCATCATATCTAAACTGAGGAAGGTACAAAAGAGAAACACTGCTCCATCAGTTTGCAACCATCACGATCATGCATTAATAAAGATTAATGCCGGAAAACTTGGGGCAACAACTGCCACAAAGCTGCAAACTGAAGAAAACGTTTTCCACTGGGGTGCTACAGACCGCACACTGCTCGAGCCATCCGTCATTAGTGGTGCGCCATGGCGCATGTGGTGTCACTAGTACTTGCATCACCAAATGAAAGTGACCGCATTTACAATTAATCTAACTGAGAACTTGTTTCACAAACTGGGTCAAGTTGTAGTCTGCTGCAGGTTAGGAAAAGCAGGACAGGCTGCCCCCACAACGCCCTCCCCTCTTTTCCCCTTAGCGAGCAAACCATGGAGAGGGGGGAAACAACCAATCAGAGAGCAGAGAGGTTTATGCAAGGGGCTTCTCCGGCATCTATCAAGCTGCAACAGTCTACACCTCAAGCGGCCAATCCACGAATTCTAAGCAGGCCCCAGTAGAAACCATGGGATGCAATATCACGAGAATATCCAGTGACTCTGTGCTCTGGCTTTCGGGGAGCAAATGGGGCAAGCCACAAAGCTTAGGGCTGCCCGATTTTTCAGGCTTTTAAAGCGACAGACGCGCACCCGAAATGACATTAAAACCTGCTATTTGCACGAGCCCAAGGGGTCGTCTGCTATGGCAATAGTGTGACCTCCAAGCAAGCCAAGTCAGTAAACTGTGCTACAAATAGTGCAAAAGCTGGTAAGAAGAAAAAAAAAAAGAAGGTGGCAAACCGAGTTGACAAAAGGAAACTAGCAGCAATATTACGGTCCCATGATTTCACTGGTCCGGAAACTTTTCCATCCTGCCGTCCCCAAAAAATGTCGCTAGGGTCCGAAACGTTTGCCGGGCTGCAGCAGTTATCGCCTGAAACATAGTCGTCTGCTTCCAGTAGTGTTTGAATCTCTGCAAGCGGTCAGGTACCAGTTGTTTGAACATATTTTGTATCTGGTTTGCACATGTCCCCACATGGCACGGCCCACTGGGATTGGTAACCAAGTTCGAGTCTCTTCGGTGAACTAATTCAGTCAGCATTTTGAAACCATGACCGGCAGAAAAAAAGGAACTCCAAGGCCCACAACCTTTGTACCACTCAGACATCGCTGTTCTGTGATGATCTGCATTAACAAGCACCAAACTACTTCCAAATTATGTTAAAAATTTTAAAAAACATATATAAAAAGTTTAAAAGTAAGAAACTTCTAATGCTTGATCCACATCATTTCCATTAGAAATGAGGGCAAAATAGGGGTCCTCAGACGCATTTAATTCGGATCTATAGGCCAAAGAAAACTCTCAAACAATTGCCCCTGGTTCGTTTTTTAAGAGTCAGAAGAGTCGTAAAATATGTCTGATAACATTGTTGTGCATTTCATGTCGAGAGGACGCAGATTTGCAAGTTAATTCAGGAAGCTTTAAGCAGGTTGTGGCTTATCACAGGGGACATTGGGTCTGCTACATAAGCCAAACAAACGCAAACAGTAATACTCCAAAAGGAATATGTCGTCTTAATGTGTTGCGACGCTGACTGTCGCATCATGCTGAGCAACTTCCTCAAGAGCAAGCACGTCTAACTAGCAAAGCGACCTGAGTATCAGAGCAACACAAACTAGTGCACTAACATGGCCTTCATCACAAAGGCAAGCTGGCAAAAGTTTCGAGACAAGAAATCAGGGGACCACCTCACCATAAAAAAAAATTTGATTAAAAAAATAAAAAGCCTCTATATACAAACAAATGACCATCAAGTTTTATTAAGAGCCCAAATCTTACAGGCCTCAACGTGTTAAAAAAAAAAAAAAAGACGACTTTTCTGCCAGACTCCTATGCCAGCGTTTGCACAAAGACGAAAAGAAAAGAAAAAACTGCGGCAAACGAGACAGCAACGATCACAGGAGGAACCACTCGCGCATTCTGTGAGACTGACCCTTAGCAGGCGGCACGGGCAACGGAATCTCCAGGACTTCGTTCTTCTTGGCTTCCGCCACCAGAGCCGCCGCCTTGGCCGCAGCTTCGGCTGCGGCCTCCGACGTAGCCGCAGCCAGGTCCGGGGGCAGAGCCGGACCGTATGGCTTCTCCTCCGTCTTGGCCGAAGCCGCTGTTGTCGGCTTCGCCTTGCCCGACAGGAACGAGGGCCTGAAGCACGGCGCCTTCCCGATGATGACGACGGGCGTCGCTTTGACAGGTTTCTGCGTCTTCTGTCCCTTCAGCAGCTTCAGCTTGATGCCGCCAGTCTTCTCGGGTGCCTTGGTGGCAGGCGGCGCGTCCTTCGCCGAGGACGACATGTCTTCGTCGTCGAGTTCTTTGACGGAACGGTTGCTTTCCCGCTCCGCGCGGAGCAGTTCCTCGCTCTTCCGTCGGATCTTGTCTTGCTCCTCCTTTTTCTTCTTTGAAGAGCTCCCCGAGGACTTTTTTGAGGAGGAGTGATCCGACGTGGCGGGAGACTTAGACCTAGACTTGGAGCGCTGTCGCCGCTTGTCCTTTTCCTTGTCCTTGTCCTTGTCTTTTTCCTTCTCCTTGTCCTTTTTCTCCTTGTCCTTCTCGTCCTTGACCGCGCTGCCAATCGCCATGTCGCGCTCGATCTTCCAACGGCGTTCATAGTACGGGTTCAGCAGCGTGTATTTCTGGGGCGAGAAAGGGGAGTAGGGTTACTCTCTTACAATGCACGCTCGCGACGGCAGACTATGCGGAGTGCAAGTTCGTCTGCTTCTTGCACATGGCACGGGGAACAGAACAGTGCACAAAAAGACAAGAACAGAGAAAAGAAACATGCACAACACACAAGCGCTGACTCGCAACTGAATTTATACAAGAAGAAGAGGACGTTCTGAAAGACATGCGACACAACACCATTTAACTACAATGTTTTTGCCCCATAGTCCGATCTGAAAACAAGGTTTTGGTTTGAAGCAGTGTCACTGATGGGTGGCTAATGCAGCAGTCCCCCAAGCTTTTGATGCAATGCGCTTCTAAGATTTTGCGAGTCGGTTTGTCTCAATAATGTCCTATTATTGTTGTGCCTTTAAGAATCGGAGAACACGAGCAGGAAATGCAATCTACGGGAAGATGGCCGCCCACCATGGATTTTAGTGAGCGATCATGCTCGAGAAGGCAATTGATCAGGCACCGTCCAGTTTGGCCCACATAGCTTCTACGACACATTAGTGGAATTTGGTACTCAACGCCAATCGAACACGACGCATAAGGTGGCTATGGCGTTTCTGGCACATGACATTTTTAAGGTTTTCCGCTATCGAGCGAATCTTTGAACAGATTCGCGCCATTCTTTTAAAAAGCTAAAAACACAACAAGCACGTCATACTTTTCGGCTGCCCTTTTTAAATTATGCGAGGTTTGGCGCATGTATGGTACAGCTACCTTTTGTTTCTGTTGATCTATAGGTTTCTTTCCCTAAATTCCTTTAGTCTTACGTACCGAGGCCTCCACCACCATGTTTAAAACCTGTGATGGGATGCCCGACGTATGGGGTCTCTCAACTTGAGCGTTAAAACTTTCACAAACAGTGAGAAAGCAGGACTTCGTAAGTGCAACCCCAAGTATGAAAACCACAATCTGATGCATAATGAAGGATGCCCTTTTTTGACCCAGGTGAGAAACTCCAGCAGATATGGTTTGTATAAAGAGATAACAAATAATCTAGGAATTTTAGCTTCCCGTCCAAAGGTTTTCCAACTGTGAACTTAAGACCAAAACCAAACCTAGAAAATACGCTCATAACCTTATCAAAGTTATCAGCTTCAGCAGACTTGGGATACACTAGCGCAAAAAATCGTCGACATATCGAAACACCTTTGACACTTGTGATCTGCTAAGGACACCATCGATTGCTCAATCAACATTTGCTAAAAAAATATCACTAAGCATGGGGGCCACACATGATCCTATGCACACACCTGACCACTGTATAAAGATATCATTTTTCCACCCAACAATCATAGTTTATATAGAATTGCAGAAGTTCTAAAAAACCTTCTAAACTAGAGTTTTTGAAAAAGAACTCCCCTTGCTCTTCAATACAGGACTTGACTGAGGCCAGTAAATGCTTCGTGTGGAACGGAATAAAAAGGTCTTGTACACTCTCCGGCAATATGAAAGACCCACTCGGAGCGCGTGGCCGAGGTGGTGGCTGGCGGGGGCCCTGCGAGCGCTCCGGGCAGTTCCACTCTGCTTCGAGGGGAGCACGCTCCCTCGGGGCTCAGCTAAAGCGAAACGCGCTTATCAGATTGTGCTGAGCCCCGAGTGAGCGTCCTCCCCTCGAAGCAGAATGGCATTGCCCGGAGCGCTCGCAGCGCCCCCGCCAGCCACCGCCTTGGCCACGCGCTCCCAGTGGGTCTTTCATATCGCCGGAGACTGTACGTCAACGCTGAACAAAGAGTGGCTGTCGAAATTATTGTTCTTAAAAGCTTCCACTACTGCTTCAGAAATCTTGGAAGCACATTGCATCAACAGCTTGGGGGACTGCTGCATCAGCCACCCATCAGTGACACTGCTTAAACTGAAACCTTGTTTCTAGATCGGACTCTGGGGCAAAAACATTGTAGTTAAACGGTATTGTGTCGCGTGTGACACGCACTGCGTGCCCTGCGTGTCTTTCAGAATGCCCTCTCCTTTTCCTTTTGTGTATAAACTCAGTTGCAAGTCAGCACTTGTGTGCTGTGCATGTTCCTTTTCTCTGTCCTTGTCTTTCTGTGCGCTGTTCTGTTCGCCATGTCATCATAGCAACTCGTCCAACTTACAACACTTGCACATGGATTGCCATCATGTCAGAATACCAAGCTCTTACTGGCAGATTTGAAAAAGAAATGGTGGGAAGACCTTAAGGCATCTAGCACTGAGCTCCACCCACTATCCTTTCGATCAAAGCCAATCGGAGCTCGGTGTTGTTCTGACGTCACTGCAGCCCCTGTGCAAGAAGCCTTGCTCTTCGCATAGTCTGTTGCAGGTTACGAAAGCAGGACAGGCCCTTCCCACAAAAGCCCTCTGCTAGCCACGATTGGCAGTTTCTCCTTTTCAGAGTTTGCTTCACTAAAATGGAAAGAGTGGAGGGCTTTTTGGGAGAAGCCTGCCATACTTTTCTTGACCCGCGACGGACTATAGGACAACAAAGTCCAGTGGTACACGTCCAGCAAACCCTATGCTACGTTTCAGCTTAAGTCCGGGTTCGGCCGATGCTACGAGCCAACGAGACCAATAGTGCGCCGTCAAACGCGCGAGTCACCGAACCTTCTCTGTTTATGATTCGTTCGGCAGGGATGGAACACGTACAGAAACGTGAAGGACGTTATGGTGGTGCGCTTTTGACGCCATCCGATCAGTCCCATCGGCTCCTGGCGTCGGCTGCGTCTCGACTCGAGGTGGAATGAAGTATGGCAATGGGTGAAGGTGAAACCTTCCACCTTAATCCGCAGACAGTACAGTATGCGCTTTTACGGACCAAGGGAACGACCGTGACCCGTGACGACTCAAACGCTCGCAATTCTAAACTTACCCTCATTTTTACGGTCTATAGTTACCGATGAGGTAAGAAGGGCAGGGAGGTACTTCGATTGTCCTGTTGTCTTCAACGTGAGCTTCCTACCTTCGACGACGCATCTCGTGAGCCACAAGCGCAAGCACGCAGCCATTGTGAAGTAAAAGGCACTAAGCAGGGCTCTGCGTTTTCAGTGGATGCCCATGAACCCTCGAGCCTAACCTCCCGGAGCCGGGAAAAACCGAAAGACCCTCCGACCGGAGCCGTCCCTAAGGAAGAAGAATCCTAAGCTTCGCGAGGAGAAACCTTCGCAAACTGCCTCGCCTTGTGTCGATGCGGAATGCGGCGTGCACTGCACTGTCTGCGGGGCTGCTTCTCTCTTTGGGAACTGCAACAGCCATCTCGCTTCCTTTTCTCGTTGGCACCAAGACGTTTCACGAGCGTTCGGGTAACTTGTTACCCGGAGGTTGGGAAACCTTACGCCTGCGTCCCGTTTTTGCCGACGTAAGCCTCGATAAATGCCGGTGTTTAGTTCGGCCCTGAAAAACTGAAAACAAAAAATCCCCCCAAAAAAACGAAAAACCTGAAACCCTAGTTATAAATAAAATTTCTCATTTGTTTTTTTTGTTTTTTTTTTCCCCAGAATTAGTGGCTACTGTTGTTTCAGTCGACCGGCTGTAGAGAAGGCTACTGAAGAGCGAGCGTCTGTTACGTCCACTCATTCTACTCTACCACCACCAGAATTAGACCAATCCATGGCTCAAAGTCATGAACAAAAAATGGCAGAAGAAAGGACTGGCCAGATGGGCACTCCAAGCACTGTGGTCATTAGATTATTCGATTGGCAAACTCTAGAAGAACGGGAAGTGAACACTTCATCAAGTTGCTGGAGCAACTTGCTTCCTTTCTTCTACCTCTTGCTATTTCGACTTAATTGGGAATTGTCGCCACTCACACTGAAGCATCCCACAAGAACACATGAAAAATGCAAGATCCTCAGTGGACCATTCACAGTTGTCATAGATGGTTAGCCGCCCAAGCTTGCTAGACCGACCCCCAAGCTCAAAGCATTAGAGACGCCGAGTCACCCACCGTGTAGTTCTGGTTATGCTCGACACTGTGCAGGTGATTCCGTGCCATGGCAGAGTCGCCACTCATCACCTTGCACAGCTTGCAGTAGTAGCCGGACATGCCGACCATGAACTGGACGCCTGCACAAAGGAACGGAGAGGAAGAAAAAAAAACAACCTTGCAGCATCCAAACTTAAAATGAGCCCAATCGCAAGCTTCGAAGGTGATGCGGTGCTTCCGATCTGGTTGTGCATGCATGCAATTAACAGTGAGAAAAGGACTTCTCTTTCATACAGTGTCGCACATCACCGTAACCACATCAAGTCAGAAACATGCCGCAACCTTCGAGGCTCACAAAATGGAGGTCAAGTTCGAGTTAAGGTACAGAAGATAAAACAACGCCTCCGTCATCGACGCTTCGTTTCACCGTAACTCGGCAAAGAGCAAACGCTATGTCCCCTTTGAGCCAATCAAAGCAACGGAGGCGAAGCACGTGAAAGTCTTTAACAAAGGTAGAGAGGCAAGGACGTAATCAATTTAGTCAATCAGTCTTTATTCAGCTTCAACAAAACATTAAAAGCAGTTGGAAAAGAGGAGGTGGAGGACCACCCGGCTTAGCTCTTGCCCCCCTCGGAGACTGGCCCGTCGCTCAATATCCGCACCAAAGGTGGCTTTCCTCTCCCTTTCCCACCTGCGGCTTCAACGGCACTCTGCACAACTAGTGAGGCAGAGTAAACTAATCACATGTCTCGTTGCGACGCGCTGCTTGGCCCTCTGCGAAGTTATGGTGAGACGGAGTACAGATGCCCGTGAGATCAACGCTTTTTGGAAGAGTGCGTTTCGCCCTTCTTCCCGAGGCGCCTAAAAGTAGTGCTACGCACGACGCAGCAGTAGCTCGTCGGAACGCTAGACGGGCAATGGGTTCGTCAAGCGTGGTATTGTTGAGTGAAGCATCGTCGAAGAGGGTTGAAGGGGCAGTGTCGGGAGAGGGGTGTCGATCTGACGGGTCTCGAAGACAAATAAGACATTGGATGAGACCAAAGAGAATGCAAAAAAGAAACCTTAAAATAGGGTAAGAAATGAAAAAGTGCAGGCGAACCGAAACCCGAGACATGGAGAAATAAAATAACAGACGTTTTCTTGTCCATCGTCTCCCTAATTCAGGGTTTTAGATGACGAGGTAAAATGTAGCGTTGCCTCCTTTCTGTTCCTTCAAGACGTACGATGACTGCCAATGCGACAACTGTCCTACTCGACGCCACCCAGAACGACCACTGCAAGTTAAACACCATTCTTAACACAGAATGTGTTAGATGGCCGACTCCTAGCAGTTTACACACTTCCCGAAACGAAAGAGTGTCGTAGGAAAAGCGATTGGTCACCGGTACTGCTTGCAGGACCTCTCCCCTCTACCCATCCCTCTCCCGCCGGAGCATCAGCTTCAGAGGGGCTTCCTTTAGGAAACGTTATGCACTATGATGCCGTCGAAGCACCACATGCGTGCCAAGCTCCCTCATGCACCGTCGCTGTGGAGACGCTGCAGCGCTGCAGCGTGCCACGGAGTGCGTTATCTCTCAAAGAAGAAATTAACAGGAGAGCTACCATATTTTCAGAGTAAAGGCCCGTTCACACTCTTGCGACCGAGTACGACTGAGAGAGATGAGATCCCTTACAACTTCTTAAATGTTTCTAGAATGAGGGAACACACTGACATTGTGGCGCCATCTATGCGGTGACCCTGGAACTGCATTTCACAAAAGTGAAGGTTTTGCGGGATTTTCGAGGTCAAATGTGCGTAATACCCATAGAAAGGCTCGTTTATAACATTGTCAAAAGTTTTTCGAGCCAAGAAAGAAAGGATAATGCTCGAGAAATAAAAAAAAATATGCCGGACCGCCGAGTTTACACTGCTTCCCAATAGATGGCGCCAGTGTATTTTCTGGTTTAACAAGTTTTAAGGAACCCAGGTTTAAGAGGTCGCAAGCAGTCGCAAGAGTGTGAACGGGCCTTATGGTCCACACCCAGTCCACAATCTGCAGGAACACAATTCGGCAAAAAAAAAAATTTTTCTTTAGGATACTTTGCACGAGGCACATAGTCCGCCCTTGTACACGTCGCATCAAGATAAAAGAAAGTTTTGCGCATTATTCGTGCACTGCACGACGTAATTCTTACGAGATTTGGTTGTCTGAGATGAAACTATGCTGTTGGCGTTCGAAACGTGTACTATGTTCTGATAAAATGACGGCAAGCTGATCTAAAATTTCCCAGAATATACCTTAATTCACAACATAGAATAGTAAATAAGTAAGGCTCCACGAGCAGCCTGACCTTTTTTTTTTTTTTACTGTGCTTCTTGAAATGATTATGAGTATACTACATATTCCATGTAAAAAATTATAACGCGGAGTACATCCTGATAAGTGATTACTTAATTAACGCACAACAAGGCTCGTATCATACTGGAATAATTGTCAGCTAAACCTGTCACACACAAAATCTATCGAGTCTCATCACAACTAATGATCTTAAAAAAAAATTTAAAAATCCTTGTATCGTCTGCACTGCACACTTTTATACATGTACGAAAATACATTTTTTACGCTGAAAGACTGAACTTAGATAAAAATGTGGATAGAGCATCTGATCCAATACATTTCCCGATTTTCTCTCCAAGGCCTTTTCGCAGTGCTTAGTGTTGTGGAGGAGAGGTACGCAGGCGCAGTAGCTCTCCACTGCGCTTATTCCAACCAATAGGAGGCTGACAAATTGGCCTCTGTTCTGTGACACTGACCTTGAAGTAAAAAAAACACTTTTGAGCCAGCGCACGCAAGCAGGCAAAATGGCTCTCAACCTAAAACATAAATATTGGGTCGAAAAAATATATTTTTATGGAAAAGCACATTTTTTTAAATAACTGTTTGAAAATGCAAACAAATTATTGAACCTTTCATGAGGTGTATCTAAGAAAAAAAAAGGTGTGTAGCAATGAGTGGTCGCATTTTTAAACGAGAAAAAGTCTACGCATGTTCAAAGTTTAGATCTCTTAGCATGTCTAGGGTGCAGTAGATTAGTTCATTGCCACAAAAAGAACCCAAAAAAAGAATCTTTACTGCCTGTTTAAAGGGACTAATAAATAAATTTTGGGCTGGGATAAATGTTAGATTGATATTTTACTAATCACGTATCCTTTATGCGCCAAAAAAAAAGGGGGGGGTAGGAAGTGAAAAGCCGGAGTTTCGGGATGCAAATTAAAAAATATAGCGGACAATCTTGTTGGACGCGAGGCATCGCTTGGATGTGTGCACTCGTCAACAATCAATCCGTCGACAAATATTTGGATTCGCATTTGTGGCCAATGAGTGCCTATCATCACTTGCAAATGTCAAGCTCCATGGTGTGCTTATTAAAAAGCACGGTGAAAGCTTGGAGTCATCGCTCCGGAGCCCAAGCATGTCACAACGTCACAACCATGCGATTTCTCCTTTCGCTTTTGAGTTGAGGAGGAAAGCTGAAGAAAGAGGAGTTGAAAAATCATTTCACATCAGTTTTGAGTTTTCATCTTTCTCATTTAAACCAAAGAAACCAATAAAAACTGCCAAAGGTAATTTTTCGAAATTTGGTTTGGGCTGTAAAAACGTTTGTATCACAGAGAAGTAGTGTGACACAACTAGTAAACCGCTCTGTGTTATGCTGAGGATTGACTCCACAATCGATGCAGGCTTCTCTTTGCATTTTTTCCGGGGGGAATGCCGTAACATCCACAAAAAGAGCCAACCTAAAGTCGAAAGCAAATCGAGTGAAAATAAGAAGAAAACTAACTTCAGTGTGCGATAAAAATAAAGGCAAAAAAATACTAGTTTTAAATTCTGTAACCTGCCAAACTTGCGATCGCAGGGAGGACAATGAACCAAATTCAAATGTCCTTTCCCGTCAGCAATGTTCGCTTCTCTTCTGCCGTGGCTAATTAACACCATTTCTGCCGAGGTCACCATTACTAAAAGTAGGCTATCTTCTGGTGTTTCTGAAAAGATAGCAAATCATGTAAAAAATATGGGTGGGTCATTTGTCAAGGGTGGGGTGGTATCTCTCTTGACATTACGGTATTATTGGCGACAAGTTCAAACCAATACTATTGGGACACAGTCTGTGTCCCAATATAAGCCCTACTACTAGAAGCATATTAAAAGCTTTATTCAAAAAAAAAAAAAAAAAATCCACTAAATATGTTTTTACTTTTAGGGACACATCTAGGGGTCTGCCCCACTATGCAACATGCAGTTTCCAAACATTGAATCCAATACTGTTTCATGGTCCCTTTGCATAGCACATGGAAATATGTGGCACGAGGGGTGATCCACAGGTTTTGCCTCCTACCGTAGGCTGTAACTTTGTTGATCAGTGATGGAATTGAAGGATGATACATCCAAAAGAAAGTTTGGAATCTCATCTTTCGCAGGACACAACCAACTTTTTCAACATAGCCCCTAACATCGGCGACTCACTTCCGCCACCGGTGTACTGCACTCCGCGTGCAGTCGTAGATGGTTGAGGGCTGCTGTTGACGAGACCAACGCCGCCGCACTGGAGGAGCTGCAGTTTCAAGATCCCTTGCCTCATTCACCTTACAGCCCCGACCTCGTGCCATTAGACTTTTGGCTGTTTGCCGATGAACATCTGAAGGGTGCACGTTTTGCGTCCAACAACGAGGTAATCGATGCAGTGCACTGTTGGTGTCTTCAACAGCCGCCCTCCGTCATCTACGGAGGGTAGTGCACCGGTAGCTGAAGTGCATCCCCACCTCTGGGGGCTATGTGCTCCTGGGAAAGAGGAGATTCCAACCTTTCAAAGGTAACATAATTCGATTCCATCACTGGATAAAAAGGTTGCGGCCTAGGAGGCAAGACTTACTGATCATCCCTCGTATGTCACTGACAAAGGGCGAAGAAGACCCACCTTTGACGGTGGCGACAATGGTCCTCTTGTACGGCTTGCAGATGGGTTCCGGCTTCTCAAGGTCGGCCCAAGGTCGTTCGTGTGCCGGGATGGTCTGGGAGGAATGCCACAGGGCGCGGTCGGAGAAACGACGCCGAGCCCACTCCGCGTGAGAGACGCTATGTTCGTTCCTCGAGTCCGGCCACCCAAGACTCAACCTCCCAACCCCCCTCTACCCCCAACATCATGCATGCAGCGGCAGCACATCCTTGGTTGTGCCCATTAAGCGTATGTGCAATCCTGTCTGAAAAATGTTATTTCTCACAGGCTTTCAAGGTTCGCCGAAAATAATGCTAACAGATCACCACTATATGTGCTTACAGAAATTTGTCCGCCATCGAGGGAACAAATGTTGTTGTCTGCAACTTCGTTTGGGCATGTCCGTAATGTTGTTCAGACAACACAGTTTTATCACTAGACCTGCTCCAAAAATCCCAAAGGAATGCTGGGAATGTCCTTGCTCTCGCAGCATCGCTATACAACACTAAAGAGATTGAGAGAGAAAATGGCACAACAGCCTGACCGCACCCGCCTACGTTGTCTGGTACAGCCAGTATTATACTGTCCCTTCCCAGAATTCCTTGCAACAAAGAGAGCTGAACTTAGTGCAAAACGTCAACTGACTATTTCGACAAATGAGGAGCCGTAAAAAAGATTAAAAAGCCTGCTGTTCTTCCTTCAATAAGAAAATCGAAGAAAGAGTGCCTACTTTTAGGGATACACATAGGGATGTGCCCCTAGAAGGCTGTTACCCCCCCCCCCCCCCCTTTCAACTAACAATGACCGTTCGGCCCTCGGCTGTAACTCTCACGTTAGTATTTCCTCTTTCGCAAGACTTCTCTCTCTATCTCTCTCAAAGTGCCCTTACAAAAGGGGACAACTCCCTAAATGTGTCCCTATTTTCTAGGGACACATCTAAGAATGGGCCCCCAGAAACAAGAACATGTCCCTGCGGTGGACAGTGCTGTCGAGCACAAGCAGGAGAAGTGTACACGAAGCTGTCGTTACATTGAAGTTTCACGGTCCCCTCGGCTTACTTCAGCGTCCCTGCTTTGGGCGAAAATGAGGGTCCTCCAGGGCCAAGAAGAGTGTTGCACCGACTCCAGTGGGCCCTTACAAGCCTGGCAACACTCACCTCCTTGTGTTTGGGGGAGTGAAGATGCTTGAACATGTCGTTGACTGAATGCATCACCATGTTGCATGGCTGACACCAGTGCTCCTGTGTGTCTTCGTAGATGAACTTGATCCCGGCTGTGTCCGGGCTCTCTGCTGCTTGGGCCTGGGTGCATTCAGAAACGGAAGCAACAAATAAAACTGGGAAGCAAGAATGCAAAAAAAAAAAATAAGAAAAACTTACCGTAAAATACCGAGCAAGCGCCCACCCAAAATATGAAGATAATCGAGAAAATTGGGGAATGAGCGCTTGTTAGGTCATTAATTTTATCTACATATCTACTGTGCATATTTTTTTCAGATGTTGCAAAATTTGGGGTGGGCACTTAGTAGGAAATGGGCAGATGCTCGGTATTTTACGGGAAGGAACTTGCCAATAAAAGAATGAGAGGAGCAAGGAGGGGAAGATAAAGTTGAGCGTGTGGGGAAAGGAATAGTGACACAACACGAAGTCAAGATTTGGGGGAGAAAATAAAAAGTAAGACAACAAACACCCTTAAAGAAAGCATTGCTGTGTGCATGACACGGGACTTTTTTTATTTTTTGCACTGTTGAGTGCAAATATACAAAACTGTGTTCTGTCTTTTTTGTTGTTTTTTGTGAATTTCTGTTCTTTGTTTGGGTCACCACATTCACTATTTGCTCTGTCTTGAATGTTTTTGATTTTTTTTAATACATTTTTGTTGAGAAGATTTTGGGTTATTTGAGATCCCTTTTGAAAACCTTATGAGACAAGCAATTAATAAATGCCAGTCTCAGCAGCATATATAAATATGAGCTCGTTCTAAGCATGCACAGTGGACGGCATGCTCAAATATGGCGTCCAGTTAATGCCCCCATCCAAGAGCGCAAGTTCGTCTGCTTTTTGCACAGGGGCTGCAATGACGTCCGAATGCCAAGCTCTTATTGGCCAATTGAAAAAAAAAACAAAAAAAACAGCGTACACACCTCAAAGCATCTAGCATTGAAGTCTACCTACTATACTTTAAATCAAAGCCAATCAGAGCTTCATGTCGTCCTGACGTCACCGCAACTCCTGCGCAAGAAGCAGACGACCTGTCCTCCGCATAGACATTGCTTCGTCACTGACCCTAGTTTTGTGCCTCAACGGCGCCAATTACTGTCACAAACATGTTGCAGTGGAGAGACCTCTGGCATGATGTTCGAGCCAGCGTCCGTAAAAATCAAAGCAGACGCTACGCCCAGAAAGAATGCACACCCAGGTGCCGTAAGAATAAGACACTTTTTTTTTTGCTTTGTTTCTTTTTTTTTTTTTTTTTTCAGCTGTGCCATTTAGGCGGCGCAGCTGAGGATCAGCTGAGGCTGCTCGGGCGCAAGTCAACAGGACTTCACCCGGTCGATCGCGCCCCGACGTGCCCTCTCACCTCTTCCTCGAGCCTCCTCTTGTAGTTGAGGGCCTCCAGCTTGACCTTCTGGGTGACCTTGAAAATCTTGCGGGAGATCTCCTCCACGCTTGACGTGACGTCCATCACCTGCTTCTTGACGTCCTCATACATGCTGCTGCTCTCCAGCAGGAATGGATCCCGGTGGCCGTCCCTGCACAAGGACGACACAACCCAGGGTGTCTAGCAAATTATTATTTTAAAATTCCCTGACGTTTCCAAGTTTTCCCTGACAATTTCAGGTGAAATTCCCTGACCACTGCAGAGGTGGTTAAATATATACGACCATTACAACACAAGGCATTGAACACTGTGAGGATCAGTATGCACAAGCTTAATCCAACTGGCATATTACGAAATACCCGGGTTTGTCCAGTCCGAAATAAACAAGCGCTTTCTTGCCGCCGACATCGTCAGTGAAGAGGCCACTTCCGGAAACACGATGAAAACACAACGCTCAACCACACACGTCAATAACCGAATGGCAGCATGGCCAAGTCATGGCCACCAGATGCATACCTTCGGATACTTTCGGCTTAAGGCTTGGATCAGATTGGGGTCTGCGGCTTTTCCCATTTGTCACTAAATCTAGTGGCTCTAACTGGATCTAGCGTAGTGTCGTGCCCTCAATCCAATCCAAGGGTTGGACTAATTTGCCAGCTGTTCCCTTTGAATCGGGTAGCACACTCTACATCGGGTAAGCAGAGCCCACGCTCCGCTCTAAGCAGAATTCATTGCCAATTTTTCTGCACCCAATTCTTAAGTTTTTGCTTAGGGCACTCGATGGCATTTCCGGCTCATTTCCCCTGACTGGGCTCGCTTTTTGACAGGTTCCCTGACAATTCCCTGATTTTTCCCGGTAATTAAAATTTCCCTGACAATTCCCGGTTTTCCAGGTCGCTAGACACCCTGCAACCGCTACGGATCGCACTTCTGGGCAGACGAAAAACCTGTTCACACGTACAGGGCATTTCCGAGCGCTGTATGGGCATAAAGAAAATGTTTGCATTAGTAAGCCAATAGATTAGGTGCAATTAAACGCTTCACAAAGGCATCTTTAGGTGGCGCATTAATCATACTCAAATTTCGTAAGGGTAAGCTGCTGAAAAAAAACACATGAGAAACTTGTTATTTCCAGAGTTTGGTAAAGTACATGTAAAAAGTACTTGATGTAAAGTACAAAATAAATAAAAGATTATGTACTTCAAGTAAAGTACCTGGTAAGTGCACCGGGTGCAGTGTACTTGAAGTAAAGTACTAAAAATATAATGTACTTTAAAAAGTGCAAGTACTTTTTTAACAGAATCTTTCATAATGTCCTCTCATTTCCATATACAGCATTTTCTTTTTAAACTTTTGTACATTGCCCCAGGGTTAATCGGTGGCGCATCACTCATTTTCAGAAATGGTGGCGAATATTGGATAAAGTCACGTGGCCTTAGAGCCGTTGTTTTCCCCTCGCTAAAGAACTCTACATAATCAACTTATAAGGCGTTTATTTGTATAAGTCTTGTAGCCACCATTATTCACTCAAAGAAATTACCAGATGACGTCTCGAAAGACCATAACACATTTTCCCTTGGCAATATGCCAATTTTTTGTCTTCAAATCTGGGGAATGTTCTCTGAATTCAAAAGTTGTAGTTCTTTCCTCAGAAAGTACAAGAAAAAATACTTTAAGTAAAGTACAAGTACATACCCTGAGAACATACCTCAAGTAAAGTACAAGTTTCCTAAATCTGCCATATTTTCCAGAGTACAAGTTGCGGTTTTCTTCAAGCATTTTTCTTGGTGTGTCTTATACAATAATGCAACTTTATGTGTTTTTTTATTAATTCACAGTGCAATACAATTGTTTTTAGGCACTGCGCATCATTGTTTGTAATGCACCGTAACTATGTAGCCACTGGTGGTGTTGCCCTTCCAGGAGACACTGGTGTCGCCGCACTCTTCTGCATTTTTCATGACGGACTCCGAAAGCGAGAAATTTTAGTTTCCCCGAAGCCGCTCAACGTGGAAAGGAAAGACAGAGAGAATAAAGCTTTTACAGCATGTGATCAACATTGCCTAATCCAGCCATGGTTTTGTACTATTCTGCTTCAGTCCAGTAACACTAAAAAACAGGTGGGCTGGTACACATGTATAGCAGAAAATTTCGTTGTGTCTTTATCAGTTCCAGTTTGATGAGCAGTCTTTATCTGCCATGCTCCAGTCGTGTTGCTACCTATAAAAGGAAGGATTGCGGCTAGCGGATCATATAGCAATACCGAAAGGAGTGTGTCAAGATTGATTTATCTGCCTGCGCATCGATGCTCGAGTCCTCTTTGTGACTTGGCCTAGGCTAGGCTTAGTAGTCCGAAGCTTGGTTCACGAGTGTCTGGCATGCTAAACTTTTGTTCGCTCGGCGTGTGTATGCTCGAATAACACTGGACTGTACCCGCCAGACAGCGCCGTGCTACGGGCATTTCTTTCAAGTTGAAACGTTGAAGTTGCGCTTCAAACGGTATGTGTAACCTGGCCGATCGTGTGAAACTACGATTTCGCTATACCAATGCGCGTAAAAAAAAAGCTTATCCTCTGAACTATGCAAAGTATGAGTACTTTTTAAACACAATCTTTCATGATGCCCTTTTATTTCCATATAGTTTTTTTTTTTTTTTAAGCTTTTGTGCATTGCCCCAGGATTAGTAGCACATCACTTATTTTCAGAAATGGAAGCGAATATTGGATAAAGTCAAGTGGCCTCAGAGCCATTGTTTTACCCTCGCAGAAGAACTATACACAATCAACTTATAAGGCATTTATTTCTACAAGCCTTATAGCCGCCATTACTCACTCAAAGAAATGACCAGATGACGTCTCGAAAGACGATAGCGCATTTTCAAAAACTTTTCTGCGAAAACGGCTCAATATACGGAAATGTGGCTTATAATCTGGAAAATATGGTACTTGAAGTAGTACTTTAAGTACAATGTACATCAAGTATTTCCTAACACTGGTTATTTCCTGTGTGCGGGAGGAAAACAGAAGCAAACCACCTAATTGATGCCGCTACTCACATATGACACCATATGGTAAAAAATCTTAAACACTAATTAGAGATAAACACACTAAAGGCTAAAGGATGAACACACGTCAGCCGACGAAAGCTTACGTCAGCCGACTTCCAGATTCAGCGGGATATCTGTTCTTTACATTAAGCATGACCACTTCAGGAGATTGGTCTCAAGATTGGCCTAGAGTTGGCACAACTGTCGTGCTATCATCATCATCGAAGCGGGGATAGAAGTATGGCTGCCAAACAGGCTCTCCATGTTTGCGCGTGAGATTCTTGCATTCAATTCTACGCAAAGCATCAGTGGGAAAACAATTTTAGAGGAAAATGATGTGGCACTGTTCAATGCTTCAGTGAAGGTTAAATCGTGTTACCAGCGTACAGCCTAAACTTAAATAGACGCTTGTGTGGATGCGTCGTCTGCTCTAGGCAGACGTTGATAAGCATAGATCACTACAACGGATGCCCATTTCTAAGTAAACTGCACATCTATGCTAAATACTTGTTTCTTTTAAAAGAGATGTGTGGTTCACTAGCATGGAAATGCAACAAAACAAGGAATTCCAAGCCGGATACTTACATAACACCGGTACTGTGGGTTGTGAAATCGCAAATTCTAATAATTTTTTTTTGCACAACTTTCAGTTTTTGCAGTAACAGAAATACTGCGCATTGAAAGAAATTAGTAACTATCGGTAGTTACCGTGCTATTGCTAGATTCCATAAGCAAAAAATGTACCGCTGCAGCCAACGTTTCTCTTTGCTGTGCCTTGGTGGGGTAAGCTTTCTGGGGTCGGAACAATTCTACTATGTTGCGATGAGGAGAGTGTCTCTTCTAGTTACGATCTGCAGACTGTTTGTTGGCAGGACAACTGGGTTAAGTGAAACAAACTGTTCTAATATACAGTGGTGGAGTTGACAAATTGTGATTTGGAGCAGCTCCTGTAGCAGCGAGCAACGGGTTTTGGAGCAGAGATTCCCACTTTTGGAGCGAACAATTTTGAGCTTTCATGTAAAAATTTTTCATACAATCTCTTTAAAAGTTAGCCTGTGGAAAAAGCTTCAGTTGTTGAAGTGTTGAGAGACTATTTAAGGTATCATACCTACAGGAGACCTGGCCACTACAGATATTTATTTATTTCTTGAACAATCATACGCGGGTAATTTTCCAGAAGTCTCAATTAGGAGCGCCGATGGCGTCTTCAGTTTGTGTTTGACGTAAAAAATATGTTTTGGCTACTCTGTAAGGTTTGTATCACGGTGAGGTAATTGTTGCAAGTTCGTCATCAAACGGAGACTTCTGTGTCGAATGTGTCTCACACTGCCGTCGCTCATATTCAACCTGCTACTGTTATTAGAGCAGCAAAGCAAAGCACATAGCTACTCTAACTGATCACAATGAGTAGCGTTACCTATTCATGTAATCAATGTGAGCACAGTTCACAAAAAAAAATATAACGCTTTGTTAGGCAAGTGAAAATAATGGATTTTGGGTTCGAAGCAAATTCAAAGTGAATACCGTAAAATTCCGATAATAACCCACCTAAAACTGAAAAAAAAAAAAAAAAAAAAAATGGTGGAAAATAAAGAATGAGCTAACTTTCGGTGTGCAATCAAATTGAAAAAAATGCTGCTTTAAGATCATGTGTCTCTGTCAAACTTAGTATTGCGGCGAGGGGCAATGAAGCAAAGATTACTGTATACTTCCCAATCAGCAATGTTCGCTGATATCCCGCCATAGCTTACTAGACGCATTAACGCCGAGGTCATCATTGATCCCAACGCCATGATTACTAGGAGTCGGCTATCTTTCGGTGTTTAAAAGAAAATAGCGAATCAGGCCAAAAATAGGGGGGGGTTACCTTTCGGAGGTGGGGCATCTCTCGGGATCTAACGGTAGTGGTTTTGGCCAAATATTTTTAAATCGAATATTGAACGGTTGCAGCGCCTTTCTCCATGCCGTTCACTACTATTACAGCATGCTTAAACAAAAATTCAGCTGACCTTGCAAAGGTTGTCCCCAAGCTTCTAATTGCCCATTTATGAGCTCCGTTAAATTTAATCTAGCTATAGTTATAGAGTGTGGCCTCGGACAGTCCCATGCCTACATTAGGATGGCAAGTAAATGACAGATTTGACATAAAATTAAACCTACAACCTAATTAAGGGGATTTATAAATCTTCTTGCCATATGAAAATATTTTCTTCAATTCTGAATAAAAACAAAACATGCACAAGTAATGAACACAGGTTGTTAAAACATCACTGCCCTTGCATAAAAGCTACAGTTAAATTTTGAAGATTATACTGCAACATAAATACCACCAATCACAAATGACGAAAATAATCCCTGGAGAAGGGGAACAAGAGGGACAAAGGACGAACACAAATCTCCAAACACAGCTAGGTGACTCGTTAATGTGGACTCCGTTAATATGGACACCCTGGTATATGGACACCATTTTCGGGAACAAACTGGGGAAATACAAGCATTTTTGTCTCGTTAATTACTGACAACTCACATTATGGACGATCTTTGGGAGGAACGGGGGCGTCCCATATTCGAACCCATATTAACGACACATCCCTCTACTATCCATGGCACTGTTGATAGTCCACTATTTATCCTTTCTTACACTATCTATACTTTTGAGAAAAAAAATATTAATTATATCAATAGTCTTTTTTTTTTTTTTTTTTTTTTTTACAGTTTTGCATTGCTAAATTTTACGCACCTCAAATTTTGTTTGCCAGTGTCATCCCCTTTCAGACGGAATTCAATGGAAATATTTGGCATGAGGTCTTTTTAGGCGATACTAAAGAGAACCACATGGTTTCCTTTAATACTGAAAATGAACCAGAGTTGCCCTGCAAAGCAGGTCCAGCATATCCAAGCGTCTCTGGTACGACAGGCGAATCGCAGCATGAACGCTTTTGTTTCCTTTTTCCCCTCTTGCACAAGGAATACCGAGCTTTTCTTTACTAAAAACCCACATTTACGACATTTCAGCACGATACATGCACCACCTAAAGACATCTTCGTGAAGTTTCGATTCAATCCGTTCGTTGGCTTGTTTGCGCTATTTTTTTACGCCCATACAGAGAGTGAGAATGCACTGTACGCAACTGTGTGCAATGCTAAAGGCTGGTTCAAACAACTGCAACTACTTCCGCCAAGAATTCCTGCAAACGCGTTAAGGCTCGTCCACACAGTTGCGTCGACTGCGTTGCACTGCGTAGCGCCGTGCAGTACAGCGCCTCCCCATTGGCTCGTCGTAAGGGTCGCCATAGCAACAGCTCGCCGCAAGCGGTCTCAACGAGATGCAGGTGGTTGCAGTCGCACTTAAATGCAACCGTGTGAATGAGCCTTTACGACCACAGAACACAACTTGTGTTCCCTGGCGCATCTACGAGGTGGCCCTGGAACGACATTTCATCGGAGCGAAGGTCTTGCGGTATTTGCGAGATGATATGTAACAGTCGCTTATAACACAGTCAAAAGTTTTGTTGAGCCAATAAAGAAAGAATGACGCGCGAAGAAAAGGTAGGAATCGTACGCAAATCGAGTGTGCTTCGCAACTTCCCGACAGATGACGACGTAAGAGGTCGCAAGGATTTGGTCCTAAGCAGTTACAAGCTCGTGAACCGGCCTCGACTCTGGGCCATAGAAAACAGCATTGGGTTTGCAATCAATGTATCGGGACTGTATCGACGCTCCAATCCATGTGACCAAAGAGGTACACCCCACTCGAACCTCTCGAAAACAAATGTGAGCGTAAGTAAGCTCATACCTCTTCAAAGTCTCCAATTTCACGAAAGAACACGCGGTGCTGAACCTTGTTGGCCGCGTGGCGATCACCCACTCGCGGCACCGAAAGAGCCGACAGACAAAGTAGGAAACGCTCACACCGAAACGTTCTGCAACGAGGAAAAGCCGGATAACGCCGGCATACGAGGGAACCCACCTTTCATGCTGCCGCCGCCTCATGATGTCGTTCTGTATCTTGCCCAGCCGCACCAGCTCCTGCTTCAGCATGGTCATCCTTTCCCGGTAGCCATCCTTCTGCTCCACCAGTCGTAGGTAGTGATCGATCTCCTCCTGGGTCACCCCCGTCTTCGTGAGCTGGACCCCCTTCGGAGGCTTTGCGTCCCCCGCCTCCTGCTTCACGGCCTCCACGGACTCCTCCTTCACCGGGGTCACGATCGGCACCGCACCCTGCAGCGGTACCATGCGGAGGTTCGACCGCGCGGCCGTCGACACCACCGGCGCCACGTTGGGCGGCGGCGGGTATGGGAAGCTCGCTCCGGGTGGCGCCGCCTGCTGCTGGTACCCGAAGTAAGGTGGCGCCGCCGCCGCGGCCGCCATGTTGAAGTTGGGGGGTGGGACTGACAGGTTCGGAGGCGGGGCCAGGGGCGGGGCCTCGTAGTAGGGCGGCGGCTGGGCGGGCGGGACGGCCTCCTGGAAGTAGGCCTGCGGGGGCGGGCCCACGGGTGAGGGTGCCTCATCCCTCCGCGGGCTCTCGCGGTAGCGCGGCGTACGGCCCCCTGCGCCTCCAGTGCGCCGGGAGCGGCGCGGCGGGCTCGGGGACCAGTTGCGGCGCCCCGAAGAACGGTCCGACGCCGGCGAGCGACTGTTGCCAGGAGACCGCGAGTAGCGGCTCCGCGACGGCGTCGCACCACCGCGGTAATACGGGCTCTCGCGCCGCTCGCGACGGTATGATGAGGACGGCGGCGACGGGTGACGGTACCGGTCGATTGGACTCCGGTTCCGGTGCGAGGGTGGGGAATGGCCGCGCCGGTACGACGGTGGCGGCGAATAGCTCTCTCGTCTCCGCTTCGCCGGGCTCGGGCTCCGCGCCCTCCCATACGACCCTTCCTGCGACGGACTCCTCAGCCGCTTACGCTGCTCGTACGCATCCTCCCCCGAGTGAGCGGCGGCGGCTGCCGCCTTCTCCTTGCTCAGCATCATCTTCAGCTGCATCAGTTCCTGCTTCATCTGCTCGATGGACGTCGGACCGGCCGTGGCCGCTGCCCTCGATGGGGCGGGCTTGGGCTGCGCACGGACCGGCGGGGGCGGGCTGATGCTCGGTGAGGGCGTCCGCCGGCGCGGCATTGACCTGCGTGCTTGCGCAAACAGGAGGTCGTCGTCGAAGGTGGAGGGAGGCGGCGCCCTCCGCTGCGGCCCCGCCTCCGCGAGCCCCGTCCTTCCCCCGCCATCTCTGAAGGCCGCCATCTTCTCTGCGGCGAGTCGCCCCTCTGCCACCGACTTGCCGCGGCGGTCGAACTGGAGATTGAGGTCGATGGTCAAGGCCGACTCGTCGGCTGCCGGCGGAGTGTCGCGGTACCGTGGCTTCTGTTGCTGCTGCGAGGACAGCCAAGAGTCTCGCTCCGATGGCCGGGATTGCTGCTGTTGCACTTCATGCCGCTGCTGTTGCACTTCGTGCCGCTGTTGTTGTGCTTCGTGCCGCCGCTGCTGCTCTTGCATCCGATCCTCTTCAAGGAAGTCATCCATCGACGGCTTGCGGCTCGAAGAACCGTGCCCCGAGGGACCGTGACCCGATGGACCGTGCAGGAACTCAGTGTCTCCGTAGAGAAAGGCATCCTCGTCGTCTATGTTCTCGTCGATTCCCAGTCCGGGGATGGTGACCGTCTGCTGCTGCTGCTGCTGCTGCCTCTGCTGACCCCTTGTCTCGTCTCCCCTGTACCTGAGGTCCGACCGGCTGTTGTCATGCCTGGAGTTCGACGGCGGCCTGACCTCCGAGCGGTAGTCGGAGTGCATTTCCGGGCGGTGGTCGAAACGCGAATCCGACCGGGAATCCGAACGCAGCGGGGACCGCGTGTCCAGCCGCGGATCGAACTCGTCCACCCCCGGGAAGATGTCGTCTGCCACCTTCTTGCGTGGCTCGTCCAGGGGCTGGAACGAAGCCGTGAACTTCTTGTTCCCGCCGGAGCCGGCGTGATGCTGCTGCTGCTTCCTGGCGCCAGGACCGTCCTTGCCCGAGATGGGAAATAAGGGCTTTGGCAGGTCATCGTACAGGTCTCTGGAGTGTGAGTCGTCGGGGTCCGAGTTTTCCGGAGAGCGCGCTTCCTCCGAGTAGCCCTGGATGGCCTTGAGCGCCAAGGAGCTCGACCGCGGGGAGTCCAGCTTGTCCAGCCCCAGTTTCTGCTTTTCCTTCATAGCCATCTCTAGCAGCTGAGACCTGCAGTGGAAGGAAGAACATTCTTAAAAGGACGGATCTAACAAGCCCACAGTATTTACTGCTGCAAAACGGTGTAACTTTAGAAAGATTTTTATACATAAAAACAGGGGACGGGACAACTCATCTGAAAGATGTGTTGTACCGTCCTGTCTTTATGTATAAAACTCTTTCTAAAGTTCCATCATTACCAACGCAGTCACCAACAAGTTTGTGAAGGGGTACTGCAGACAATTGCAAGATTTCTCTAGAAATTGTGTCTTTAACACCCTTCAAGGGATGCTGAACCGAAATCTGGATTTTACAAACCATGACGGCAAAAGCGAGCAACGGGATGGTACAAACACCAAAACTTCCCTCATCCAGCGATATCTTGAACGGATGACCATATTTTTTTTAAAAAAAAGGAGGCGCATTTGACAGAAATGTTAACGTCATGGTTCTCCGAGAAGAAGACGGAATGGCCTCGCGTCTTCTCTGCCTCGCCGCCTTGAGGGAGCAAAGCGAATAGAGGAGGAAACGAAGTATATTCACGTCACGTGCCTCGTTGGCCTGGTTCAATCTCGACCTCTTTTTCCAAAAATACGGCCGTCCATTCGAGATATCGCCTTACGAGTAGTGTTGTAGGGACCGTAGCGTCCCGCCTACATCACCTGCATTGTTTTTTTGAAATCCAAATTTTGGTTCACCATCCATTTAAGCATGCCTACAAAGTTTTTTTTTTTTTTTTTTTTTTTTTGCTTTCAGTTCTGAACGTGTTGATACTTGAAAGAGATTATTAACTAAATGCATATGAAATACAAATAAGTAATTTTTTTTTTTTTTTCGATCACTTACATTGTTTTTATTAGGGGATTGTTGTATAGAGCAGACTGTATCAAAGTTTTAAAAAATATTACATACAGATATTTTATAACTCAATCTAAACGCGCCTGCGATACAAGCGCTGGGAACGAAATGAGGCGCACGTCTCAAGAAAGTGGTTTCATGACAAGAACCTTTCCGCAACTAATTTCAACAATGGTTTACTTCTCTTTCCAAGCATGAATGCCAAACAGGCTTGATATCTTCAGTAGAGTTCAACCATCTAAAACTACAATCTAGCTATTATTTCGTGACTAAGAAGACTTTTTATTTCGTTCCCAATAATTCAATCTACCAACCTCTACCTGAAACTCCCAAAAGACCCAGAACCCCACCACAAACTTGATGCCGAAAAGCAGATGGCAAACCAAAGTTGCCATCTGCTTTCGAAAAGCAGACGAAAACCCAAAGTTGTTGTTTGCTTGCGAAAAGCAGACTGAAACTCGCGTCGCCGCCTGCATTCGAAAACCAAGCGAGGAGGGAGGGGACAACAAATGTTTTTGGTAACCTAACAGACCAATTGCTAGATTCCCAAGCGCCCCAGCCCCCACTCGAGGAATCATGGGAACGGTGTTCCTTCAGCTCCCTAGTGATCGGTAATTTCGACCAATTCTATGGTTACACAGTTTTTGGCCGTAATTCGGAGTCACCCTGAAAATGCCTGTCATATCATTATTAAAATTTCTCGTCAATGTCAGCATTTTTCATACTGTGCATGCGATCCACCTTTCAATCTGGCTGAGCAGCATGAAATTTCTTACAATATTATCATTCTCGCGATTGTCGTTTTAGCAGAAATTGCTTTAAAAGCTAAGAATTCACAACAACAAAAACTAGGATTGAGCTCGAAGTCAGCGAGGCTGTTTACAGCATTTTTAGCGTTTCTAACTTAATATCAGTGTCCTTGAAGCTGTACAAGAATGACAACAATGTGGGAGATTTCTGCAGCTCCGCCTGGTTGAAGGGTGGACAGCATGCACAGTATCGAAAACATTGACATTGATGACAATTTCTAAAAGCGATATGACAGGACCTTGGGCACTATACGACGCTTGTTTAGGGTGACTTTGAATTACACTCAAAACAGTGCAACCGTGGATGTGGTCAAAATTACCGATCACTATGGAGCTGTAAGAACACCGTTCCCATGATTCCTAAAGTGCGTGCTGGGGTGCTTGGGTGATATAGCAAATGGTCTATAGCGTCGTTACACTAGAGCAACAAACACCAATTTTTGGTCTAGCAACACCACAAAGTTCAGTGTCGCTGGTGCTGTCCCACTGTAACGACCAACACCCCCGACAAATGCTGACAAGCACAGACTAACGACCGACGACGGACAAGTTCTTGTATATCGTTGGCCTTGAAGCGCCATAAGCAGTCCCATTGAGGAACATCTCTCCGAGACAAACTTATTCTCATCGCCTGCTTGTACCCTCTGTTGCCTCTCTTACCCTTCTACCCTTCCTCCTGTTTCTCCTGCGGCTCGATCCGCCCCTCAACCTTCAGAGGAGGCCTTGGCGGCCACTGATCGTTCACGCAGTTCCTCTCCCTCGATTGCTCATAGTGGTCGTGGCTTGCTTGCTGGCGGTCGTGTTGCAAAAGACAATTTGTATGGCTGGTTTTGCTCACGAAAAACCTGGTGAATTCGCATGGCTGGTTTTGCTCACGAAAAACCTAGTGCACAAGGTGGTGCTTCAAGACGCCGAGGTCTACGTCCCTGCATTGGGATGGATACGCCGACGTTCGAGGACTCACCACAGTAAGACTGCTCGCCATGAAGTACGACACAATGTTCGGGCAAGCCATTCCAGCAGGCGAGAGACTTGTCATCACGTTCTGTGATAATCAGTTAGCCGTATTGTCCCCAAAACAATGCCTGCCCTCGATGATTTGGATATAAGGTTATAAATATCCTCAAAATCGGCATCAAATTCCATGACGCTCACCTCGAATGACCCACACAAGAAAAGATTTGGGAATTCTAGTACGAAAAAAACTTTTTTGTCGATTCTCACGACGGTTTGCAAAAAGTCGCCTACTGCAAATCGAGACTAGCGGAAGCTTTAATTAAGAAATAAAGTAATTGTCTCTACTATTACTAGGGATGTCGCAAACCACCCTAGGTTCGATTTCGAAAGGTTTCGATATTTGCGAAGCGAACTGAGGTTCGATTTCGAAAAATTTCGATATTTTCGTACCGACCGAGGTTCGAATTAGAAAAATTCGCAACTTTTGACCACAGCGGAGTTTCGAATTCGAAAATTTTGAAGCTTTCACGGTTTCTAAAATTTCGAATTCGAATATTTCGAATATCGTTTTCCTTCAGGTTCGATAAATTCGAAGATTTCGAAATTCTTTGGAAACAAAATTCGAAAACTTCGAACGCTTCGAATTTTTATAGACATGAAGTTCGAACAATTCGAAGATTTCGAATTTCTTTCTGCATAAAGTTCGAAAAGTTCGAAAGTTTCGACTCTCTTTTAACGCTAAATTAAAAAAAAAAAAAAAAAAAAAAAAAAAAAAACTTTGAAGATTTAGAATTTTTTTTTTAATCCAACTTTTCAAAGTTCGAAGTCCGATTTTCAAGTTTTTCCACAGTTTCAGTTTCAAAGAACGTTTTCACGGCTCACTGGTTTTCACAAAATCAAGTTTAGAAAAGTTAGGGTGTGATATCTAGATTCTGCGAAGTTGGTCAGGCAAATAAATGAGACGACGAGTGTCCCGGATGTGCTGGAATATTTGTCAGTGCAGAATTGTGGCCGCTAGCCCCCGGGGGGTGGGGGGGGGGGGGGTTAACCTGCATCACGCAGTTGTGATTACACGAACACACTGTTTTACGAGACTCATCCAGTTCGAAACGGCCAGGGGCGATCAGGAGGTTGAGGCTCAGAAAAACCTTGAAGCGACCTGGCAAACCTGCTCGCCACCCCTTGCACGCTGGTAGTAATCCGATCCGGTGAAGTTTATAATTGTCCTGGAGGTTTATTTTCTGGGACGGAGGAACCACCTCGCAAAAAGCACGAAAGCCGACACAACTCGAGGTCGAGGAGCGTTCTGCCATACAAGTGGCGTCGGAAGAGGAAAAACGGGGGAAAAGAGGGTAGTGGGGGGGGGGGGGGGGGGCTTCTGCTTTTTTCTCTACCTTGCAGGTATTTCGGACTATTAAAGAAAGCAAAACGGGGAAAGAGGGCGTGGTCGAGCTTATTTTAATCTGAAATTATTTATGCATATGTATAGCTACTGTCGCTCTTCACTGCATAAAAGGTTGCGTAGATGGTCATTGTTAGAAACTCGTTGTCAGAAGGCACTACTCGTCACATGCTTAGTGGTTCGGAAGTTCAAAGCTGTCTTTTCGACCTAAATACCTATGCCGATAGTAACAAAAAAACAAAAAAAAAAGAAGAAATGCGGGAATAAAAAGCAGGAGAAAAAAAAAACTATCAAGAATTCGTCGGAAGTGTTCTATTCTTGCATATTAAGAGGTTCAGAACTTCGAAACAAGTTTCTTTTACCAAAATGTGTACAGGCTAAAAGAAACACGTCCCAAAAACGTGAAGCGAAAAAAAAAAAAAAAAAGTTTTCTTTAATGACGTGCTGAACTTGAACACTATTAGAAATCTTCTCCCATGAGGTAATTTATTCCTTAACGTGAAAAAGCAATAAATATATTATTTTGTATTCTGCAGATGTCAATGATATGTACTGTCTGTGGTGTTAATTTAAATGCGATACCTCAAACAACTTAGACGAAAATAAATATCAAGTTTAGGTCAAAATTGCACACAGATACATTTGAAACTAAACATTTGAGAGAAATCTCTCTGGTTGGAATTGGTTGGTTGCCATATTTTAATTATACAGATACATGTTTGGACATTTCTTCGAAACTCACGTTGAATAACAATAATCACATTTTAAGACGGCACTTACCTAAGCTATACATAGATCATTCTTAAAAAAGTATAACATGTCTACCATAAATAGCTCCGGCTGCAGCGTGCTTCAAATCTGGCACAAACGATAATCGTCAAAAACCCGTCGTCCTTCCTCGCCCCTTCGGGGATTTATTTCTTTAAACCTAAGCATGCCAGAAAATTGAAATAAACGACATCGTCTTTCTTAAGGAACGCAACACCGCGTGTAAAAGTTTGAGAAAAAAAATTACGAATGTACCCCACTACTTGAAATCAAATGAAACCGTCCGCCGGTCTTTCGAAGTTCGACGAACGTCTAACTTTTACCCTAAAAGTTCGAAGTTCGTCGAACAGCTGACTTTTCAGAATTCGAAAGTTCGAAACTTTTCGAATTCTCTTGATAAATAAGTTCGAAAGTTCGAAATTTATCGATTTTTTGGTCAGTCAAGTTCGAAAGTTCGACAAGCATCGAACCTTGCAGCGCAATCAGTTCGAAAGTTCAAAAAGATAGAATTTTTTAGCGTAATAAGTTTGACGGTCCGAAAAGCGTCGAACTTCTTAGCTTAACAAGTTCGAAAATTCGACCTCCGTCGAATTTCACGATATAGACAATTCGAAAAATCGAAATCTTTCGAACCTTTCGAACCGCTTGATTCGATCATCGAAACTTTGATTCGAAAAAAGTTTGCGGCATCCCTAACTATTACCGTGTTTGTTGGCGCGTTTTCCACCTAAAGAGCAAAACATAAAAACCGCGCCACCGTACTCAGTTTGTCGGTGTACTTTGAAGTGTTTCATTAATTCCAGTCCCACAAGGAAACAAGTTTCCTTGTCCCCATATTTTGCATTGTTTGTGCCAGGTAGGACGGCAGACTCCAACGAACAGGCTGTCTGTCGGTGTCATTTGTCGCTCACTGTCATTTAGCTATCGTTCGTGGCTGTTTGTCGCTCCAGTGGGACACGGCTGTGATTGCACACTGATACGTCTATACTAGAGCCACAAAATAAGCTATGTTTTAAGATAACAACACTCCAGCCACATTAGAACGTAGATTCAATGTTGCCAGTTGCCGTCAGCTTTTGATGACGTGCCTGACAAAAATTGCAAAAAGTGCTTTCTGTCTTCCTGCTTGCTGAAACAGCGTACTCCAGTGAAAAATGATACCGCCATCACCTCTTAACACCATATCAGCCACTAAAAAAGTCACATCCCAGAACAACAAATGTCGCAGACGGCGCCAGTGCGGCTCGAAGCACCAAGATGGCTGCACCCACGAGCTGCCGACAGACAAAAAAAGTCATGTGACTCGGAACGAACCAACGAGCATCTTGGCGGCATCAGACGAGAGAAAAGAGTGCTCACACCCTGAGCAGTTTTCTATAGTTGGGGACAAGCCAAGCTCCTCCCACCTCTTTCCACTATAGCAGAGTGAATGCTGGGAAGGAGGTGAACTCCTCTTCAACTCTTCTAAAGTGGAAAAAGTTGGGACGAGCTTGACTTTGGTCTCTACCATGATGCATACCTGAAACTACCTCCCGGCGTCTGCGGTGCTTGCGTGCGATGCGGTGTCATGGGTGCTTGCGTGCGGCGCGGCGTCTTAGGCTCGGGTGGGGGCGAGTCCCTGTCGTCGAAGTCTCGAGAGAAAGGATTGTCTCCTCCCCCGACTCCACCCCCTGGAGGAGGACTCGAGTTCCGATGGCTGCCTCCCCCTTGTTGCTGCTGCTGTTGCTGTTGTTGCTGCTGCTGCGGCGGTTCTTGATTATAGTACCTTCGGTTGCTCGGCGTGGGGTTTGGAGGGGGCTCCCGCTTGGCTTCCTTTCGCTCTTTAGATATGACCTCGCTCACATTCTTGACAACCTGCAAAGGTGAACGAGGTAGTGTGTTGTAGACCCTCCCACTAAGGGCTCTCTGGGTGGCGCCGATTTGTTCAACCGCAGTGCCATCTTCGTACAACCGGGCATTTCAACGGAATCGTCAAAGTAGGAGAGGGAAAGGGCATGCGTCCAATCCCGACAGCAGACGACAAACCGGCCGTCTTCCGCGGGCATTTTCGAACGATTCGGTGGGGAAGAAGAAAAGGGAACGCACCATTCCTGTCGATAAGGATAGATAACTGGGCGAGTTGGTGAGAGTTCATGTTGAAAAAACAGCGCGACTAATACGAGGACACAGAGACGAAGAGAACACAAGACAAAGCGCTGACTATCAACTGGTTTGTATTACACACTAAGGAAGAATGACAATGAAATGAAAAACATGGAGTCAAATGTTTGCGCGCTTGCTTGGCGCCTCGTGAAATATGTCCCTTTCTTCTTTTTTCCCCGATCGTAGATTGGATTTCTTCTTTCTTTCCTCGGGAGCTTTTGTCACCCTGAATCCAAAAACTTCATCTCGCTGGAAGTCAGAGTCACCGATGGTTGGCTCACACACGAACTGTCGTTCTTCGTGATGTTGTAGGCTTCTATCATCTCTCGACATGTTTGGTCGCAGTGTTGAAACAATATACTGGTGTTTTCGAAGCGTGGTTCGCAACCGCAATCTCTGCAATGTATCGCTAGATGCGAATTAGCGGTGCCCTTCAAGGAGCTATGGTGCTCTCTTAGTCTGATGTTTAAGCACCGGCCAGTCTGCCCGATATACCAGTGCCCACAAGAGAAGGGAATGCGGTAAACCACGCCTCTTACACACGACACGAACTGCATCCCATGCTTTACCTTACATGTGTTATATTCTGATCTTGCTTTACCCTCCTTGCGTGCACGTACAGCAGAACATAATCTACTTAGTTTGTTTTGAGCTGAATAAAACAACGTTCACTTCGTATCTGGACGCGACTTTTTTAAGTCCGTGTGAAATGCGGTGAAGATAAGGAATGACTGAAACTTTCTTTTTTTCTTTTTTAACTGGTTCTTCTAACATGGAATTGGAACTATTCTTTACGATTTTTATTAAACTATCGCATGCTGATGAAATAATCGAGTCTGGGTATCCTGAATCCCTAATCCTTTGAATTTGGGGAAGTGAAGCTAACGCCCATTGTGTGAACACGATTTTGTTAAGGCGGATTTCAAACAGGAATACACTATCCCTCTTTTGACGAGTTTCGAATGTGCTGACTGGTAGTTTAGCAAACTCTTTGATGTTCTAGGATGATACAACCAACAAATGTGTTCTATTTTAAATTCAACGAGGAGATCTAAAAATTGAATTTGACTCTCTTTTGGGGTCTCATAAGTGAACCTAAGGCCTTGGCCAAGCTCATGGAATACTTTAAGGATGTATTCTAGTGTTTTTTCACAATTGGAGTCTTCAACAAATACCAAAAAATCATCAACATACCTAAAGATCTTAATGGTGTGATTTTTCAATTTTTGAACTAGAGCTCTGCCTATCTTCCCGAGGAAAATATCGCTCAGTACAGGCGCTACTCTCGACCCTATACAAACTCCTGACTTTTGAATGAACACTTTCTCCTCCCACCCTATAAAAGTAGATTTTAAATACATGGATAATAGTTCAAGGAAATGTTCAACTGTTATTCCGCATTGCGTTCTAAACTTAGTTTCGTTGTTATACTCCAAAATGCACTCTTGAACGCTTACCATGAGGTCATCATGAGGCAAAGAGTAGTATAAGTCCTCTACATCAATGCTGAATGCTGTGCACCCCTCTAGATTGCTGTCTCTTAGAAATTCGATAACAACCTTGGAGTTGGGGATGCGTAAAGGGTCAACGATTGAAAGGGAATTTAGTTGTTCTTGTAAATATCCCGAGATGGCGTGTTGCCAAGTGTTGCGTTCCGATACTATGGTGCGGAAAGGGATTTCCGGTTTATGGGTTTTAGCGGAGAAAAACACCATTAACGTTAGGTTTTCTCCTTTCTTGGCTGCTGACGCGACTTTCTCTAAGTTGAGGACTCTAAGTGGGACAGGTATATCGCCCAAGACGACAACGTTACCTTCCCTTGGATGAGACTTATGAGATCCCAAAAGAGAGTCGAATTCAATTTTTAGATCTCCTCGTTGAATTTAAAATAGAACACATTTGTTGGTTGTATCATCCTAGAACATCAAAGAGTTTGCTAAACTACCAGTCAGCACATTCGAAACTCGTCAAAAGAGGGATAGTGTATTCCTGTTTGAAATCCGCCTTAACAAAATCATGTGTTCACACAATGGGCGTTAGCTTCACTTCCCAAATTCAAAGGATTAGGGATTCAGGATACCCAGACTCGATTATTTCATCAGCATGCGACAGTTTAATAAAAATCGTAAAGAATAGTTCCAATTCCATGCTAGAAGGACCAGTTAAAAAAGAAAAAAAGAAAGTTTCAGTCATTCCTTATCTTCACCGCATTTCACACGGACTTAAAAAAGTCGCGTCCAGATACGAAGTGAACGTTGTTTTTTCAGCTCAAAATAAACTAAGTAGATTATGTTCTGCTGTACGTGCACGCAAGGAGGGTAAAGCAAGATCAGAATATAACACATGTAAGGTAAAGCATGGGATGCAGTTCGTGTCGTGTGTAAAAGGCGTGGTTTACCGCATTCCCTTCTCTTGTGGGCACTGGTATATCGGGCAGACTGGCCGGTGCTTAAACATCAGACTAAGAGAGCACCATAGCTCCTTGAAGGGCACCGCTAATTCGCATCTAGCGATACATTGCAGAGATTGCGGTTGCGAACCACGCTTCGAAAACCCAGTATATTGTTTCAACACCGCGACCAAACACGTCGAGAGATGATAGAAGCCTACAACATCACGAAGAACAACAGTTCGTGTATGAGCCAACCATCGGCGACTCTGACTCCCAGCGAGATGAAGTTTTTGGATTCAGGGTGACAAAAGCTCCCGAGGGAAGAAAGAAGAAATCCAATCTACGATCGGGGAAAAAAGAAGAAAGGGACATATTTCACGAGGCGCCAAGCAAGCGCGCAAACATTTGACTCCATGTTTTTCATTTCACTGCCATTCTTCCTTAGTGTGTAATACAAACCAGTTGATAGTCAGCGCTTTGTCTTGTGTTCTCTTCGTCTGTGTCCTCGTCTTAGTCGCGCTGTTTTTTCAACATGACCATTCCTGTCATTTAGGCAGTTTTAGTGGACCGTACCGCTGGAACTGCCCAAACGTGGAGGCTCGTATCCCCCTCTCCTCTCACGCTAGCAGAACGGTCTACAGTCGCCGACAGAGCGAGAACAGCAGGGCGTGCCTTTCGAAAGCTTCCACCGTGCTTTGGCTGCGTACACGTTGGAGCGTCGTCAGAGGCCGGAAACTCGCACTGGAGGCGGGACAACTGAAGCTCCTCCTCCCTGCCGTTCACACCTCACAAGAGTGCATTACGACCGGAGTCCGTTGCAACGCAAGATTTTTAGGAGAAGTTCTGCCTCGGGCACGTGCACATTGCCTCGTGCTGCGTCTTGGCTGCGCGTTATCGAAGGTAGAAAGCTCGCATCGGAGGCGGAGCTTCTACTGCAGACCGCGTGCTGCAACAGACATTTTTTGTAACAGATCTGTATGTGCAGAAAATAACACGACAGCTCTCTTTGATGTATGTGCACAAAATGCGACAGTTTGTAAAAAGACAACCGTAGGTATTTGTCGTTCATCTCGGATGGTGCAGAGCAAAGTGTAGAGAGGGTCTGGCCATTCGTTGGGAAGTATGGAAGGCAAACGATGAGGCACCTTTGGCCGAAAGCGTGCTGGGCATGTTTCAGGGCATCTTCGCAAATTCAAACATGGTCAACCAGAAGCCGCGAATGACACCGTGGCAGTGGTTGCGAGAAACAAAAAGGAAAAAGCGCGTCGGAATGACTCTAGGTAACTGAAAATAAGGTGCATGTGATGTTTCGATCATGGCCGTGCAAAATGGTGGAAAATTAAAAAAGCATGCGCAACTAGCAGAACGATCGACGTAATCCGTACGCCAGGCGCCGAGGGACAAACATCTGCCGTCTAAGCGGTCAGGCTCCTTCCAAGCAAAATGGAGTTTGGGACGCACATTCGTTCCTTACATCTTTCTTTCACAATCATTATCGAAACATCACTTGTACCATATTTTCAACCATGAAGAGTCACTAAAATGAACTCTTACTTGCTGATGAAAACTTCTTCTCGCTATGACCGCTGGGGAGTTATTTTCGGCTTCTGGTTAGCCAAGAGTGCATGTCCAGCCCTCCATCCGCGTCTGGTGCACGCCCTTGCTCTGCCCCTACCTTCCACTGACCAAACTCCATGTACGACTCAGGGACGGCGCAAAGGTAGTCATAAAAAAAAACTACCAGTGTAGTGATATGTGCGGATACCAATGAATGTAAGTGGGATTTTGTGCTTTCTGAAATTATTTCTGGAGACATTGAGAGAGTGTTCTACAGAGTGCGCTACTGATTGTACGTCCGGCATTTTATCGGACTTTAATTGCATTCAATTTCAAATTTCTTTAATTTTGGCATTTGGCAAAGTTTAATCACAGAAAGCCACTTTAATAGAGAAAAGCCCTTACTGCAAATCTCAGGACATCTCCTATTGTGAACTCAAAGCCCGAGGCAGAAGTGAGCACAATCACTTGCTTCGTGTCGGCTTGTGTCGTGACCCAGAAATGCAGCAACGTTGCTTTGAATGGTCGCTACTGATAAGCCCACCTTTGTCAATCCTCCAAGGCAAGTAAAGAGACTGGAGTGGTCTCTCCTCAGAACCACCGTTTTTACCAAGACTAATGTAAACTGACCCAGCCATTTTTTTTTTTCTTTCTTCTGTCATTTGCCACCTTGAATAAGGGGTCTTAAGGATAATTCGAAATTACCTTAATATCCCAAAAGAGGCCCCACCTCCGAAAGGTAATCCTCGGCCGAAATGTGGTTGTTTAGTTACGGTGGAAGATAAACACAAACTGCTGAATGAGAAAGACAATTGTCTATATTCTATTGCCCCTCAATGTGAAAACAAGTTTGACAGGTCACAAAAAACAAAAATAGTATCTTTTAAATGTTTTTCGATTGCACACCAAAAGTTAGCTTACTCCTCATTTTCACCTGATTTGCTCTTGCTTTTATTTTAGGTGGGCTATCTCTCAGGATATTAAGGTAGGAACATTTTACTGGTGGGGTCTTGTTTTTTAAGCTGTTGCAGTTTTATTTGGACACATGATACCTTAATTTTAACCAGTGCTAAATTTTTTTACAACACACATGGAGATTAATGTCTTTCTCTTGTTTGTAGAAAAAATGAGTTGATGAACAGAACCTAATAGACAATCACATAAATCAGCCCCACCACCACAAAGACACCGTTACGTGAATGCTATTGTTTGCATATATGAACGAGCAGCTGCCTCATTTAATTGTTACTAGGAACAGCACCCCAGCGAAGAGGTATATTTCCAGAACAGCAACTGTTCGTGATCATTAAGCATGGATGGATGGATGGACGGATGGTAATGGCTATACCCTTTGTAATGGGCAGCAGCTTGCACCACCTAGCCCAATATTTCGTCATCCCTTTTATTTTAAAATTTTTATAAATTTTGTTTTAACACAACCTTTCCCTCTCCCCCTTTTTTTTAAGTGTTTCCATTGCTTAGTTTTATCTGTATTTTTCCCCCTCACTAGATCTTTTCCACCAATCTTACCATCTCCTCTTAGTTAGTGCAATTCTTTCCCTATCCATTCGTCCATCCATGTCTGCAAATCCCAGTGCACCCTCCAAGTCCGTAGTCATCCGCCCCCAAGAAGGTGGGACAAACCCTCGTGCACCTTAAAATTACATGTTCTATAGTGTCCCTTTAGCGGTTGCGTATGTCGCATAGAGTGTCTATTTCCTGGAATTCAGCCCTGTATGTTTTCGTTCTTAGCACCCCCGTTCTAGCTTCAAACAGCAATGGGCTCCCCAATGAATTATTATAAGCTGTTCCTTCTTTATTTCTTGTTTTTGTATCCTGTATATTGTTACAGCTGATTCCCCCTGCATTCTCTCTTCTCACAATTTCCTGTTTCCTTTTCTACTGATATGCTCTGATCAGCCCCATCCAACATGTCAAAATTGAAAAAAATCTATTGTTGTTTTCGATGTTTATTTATATTTTTTTTCAGCACTTTGCTTTTTTAGAGTCTGCGAAAATTGTTTTGCAGTTGTGATGCACTCGGGTACCCTTATCAGAGTCCACGGAACGATCTACTAACTCTATAATTGCTTATAAGCATTGCACGAATTTCACGCGGACGTGTGTGTTCGCTTGAAATCGACGTTAGAAAAGACAGCGGGTGCAAATAAAGAGCGCTGCTACGTTGACTGATCACCATAGGCTCGCCCAATTTACCGACAGTGAACGTAGGTACAATCTATCGAATCACCGCAAGTGTCAGATTCGGCCTAAAAATGTAACCAATAAGAAAACAAATAACACCTTTTGGCGGGCTAGTTGGTTCATGATTTTAGAAATAAATGAACTGCGCAAAGGACGAGGACAGAGGTAGAAACGAGTACGACACACAGAGCGCAGTTCATTTATTTCCAAAAAAAAAAGAAAACAAAGATTTCGACTACGGTTGTTACGGGTTCTTTTGCCGACGCTTTCGCGAAAACAACAGTCGAAGAGAGTGCGCCGGCACCGACTGCGCATCCCGCGAGCCGGCAAACACAAAACAAACAGACAAAACAAACAACCAAGATCCCCCGCATAAAAAAAGCGCCACTCACGTTCTGCAGTTCTTTCTTTGTCGGCATCTTCCTTGCCCTGGTGACTTCCCGCGACCTAGACCGGCTCCTAGTCCTGGACCTAGACCGAGACCGAGAGCTCGAGCGCGAATACGATCTCGATCTCGACCGAGACCGCGTCCTAGACCTGGCTGACGGGTAGTAGCGTTCCGACTTGTACCGGCCCGACGATCTGTCGTCGTCGAACCGCTTGTTGTAGTTGCCCCTACCCCGACCCCTGCCCCTAGGTTCGTACGGTTGTCCGCGAAAACCTCGGCCACGACCACGAAACTGGCCCCTTGGAATAAAGCCACCGCCACGGCCTCTGCGGCCTCCTCTGAACGGACGAGAAGACATGTCTCGTCCCCTGGATGAGCTGTCGTTCGCCGAGCTTTTCAGATCCTACGCCGGCGGTGACGACGGATTCGACATCAGGACCGAGGGGTCCTCTTCAACGCCGCCGCGGTCAAGTTCTTCGTTGCGACGATGCGCGATTAGGTTTTGAGTCGTGGAAAATAATGTTCCCGCACTCGGCTAGTCTTGCGAAAAATCAAGCCGTAATGGCGTCGTGCTTTTGTACCTCGTGGCCAGACGAATACGCCGAGAATTTGGTGCGAATTTTAATCAACTCTTCTTTGTTTGCATGTTTTCCTGTTGATGTTCGGTGTGCTCAGTATACATTAAAATGTCTAAAGCGTTCATCTCAACCCTAAAATGAGGCGCACTGGACAAGAAACACTGCTGCAAACAAACGCGTTGAATATGACTCTTCATAAATGCAAATTTTATCAATTATTTGTTTATTTCCCATTATACATATTTTTATTAGGAGAAAAATATCTCTAGAAGGGGGAGTTTGTTGGGTTTATTGACGCGTTGAGCCACTGACAGTGCCTTTTAAATTCAATGACAACAACCCTAACAACGTTTTATGTGGTTTCGCTTTCGCTTCAGTTGTTGACATTTCAATGGCCGCCGTTAGGACAAGTTGCCGCAAGCTGTCCTAATGCTCGCTGAAGTGGACGTTTTCGTGGGAAACAACACACTCATCGATCCAGACGTGTTTCAACTATGGCTCGAAGGATATTCAGGTGCTGAATATACTTCTCATTCAGTGCTAATGCTTCCATATTCAGCGACATGAACGCGTGACTACCGTCCACAGCTCAAGATGCCGCTGTGACTCTCCACCACAACGAAGTCATGAAGGAAAGCGACATTCCGCTGGAACTGCTCAAGAGCGATGTTCTAGACCACTACAGGACGTTACAGATGCTCGAGCGACTGCTGCACAGTCCTGTTCACCTTGCAGAGCAGTGGACCTTTCAACTGACGCCGCAGACCCAGCGAATGTTGATTGCCAAGTATGACGGTTTCTTCTCCCTGTTTGATAGCACGTAGTCAGCCGAAGTTTTTTTTTTTTTTTTTTCTTGTATGTTTTACTGAAACCTTTGTTCAGCTCATCTTAGTGAGAAAATATACACTTGGGATTAATTACAGGTTCCTCTCTCCGGTCATTTTTGTTTTAGAGCGCAGCTTAGGCGCCCGTTTTCGGCTCGCGTGGTGTCCGCGTCGTCGTAACCGTCCGGTGCATTGTGGTAAACATCCCATAATGCACCGCGCCGAAGCGTCGCATGTGAAAGAAGGATGAGGAGGAGGGGCCATACCTTTTCCTCAAGAGCTGCGCTCTAAATCGGCGTTACAAGAAATTTTAAACGTCTCTTTGTTTTTTTGTTTTTTTTTTTTTTAATCTGCTTTACATTGAAAACATCTTTTTCTGTTAACAACTACAAGCTTAATTTGTACTAAATCAAGTAGTGGACACTTATCTGATTTCTGGGTGAACCCCAGAACCGGTGAAATGATTCCCACATTGCTTATTAGTTTGTTTTGGAACGATTCCCAGACTTAAGACCCTCAACTTCGGTCATGTAATGTTATAGGTACTACGACTTTGACCATTCTGTCATACGAGAATTCCTGGGCAAGAAACTGTCATCGAGGAATCGAAAGGACCTGGACGAAGTCAGTGAGAAGACTGGAGTTGACATCAAGAGCTGCAGACGGCAGGTATTTCAGATAAATGAGCATCATGAACAGGAAGTTGTGTGGATGATATGTGAGCTGATTTTACATGGGCTATACAAACTCTGAACAACTAAAATTGCTTTCGTCTATTCTTAGTTCGACAACATCAAGAGGGTCTACAAAGTCATCGAAGAAATGCCTGGCCCGCTGACCAAGAACATTCAGACACATTTCTTGCTCCCTGAGCAGCTGGCGAGGTTGACACATCTTTTTATATCGCAAGTTTTCACTGCTCAACATGATTTTGCCTAATTTGTTGATTTACTGACGCCTGTTAAAATGGCCCTGCAGGAAGTACGCAGCCGTCGTGTACATCACCCACAATCGGTTCGAGACTGGCAAGAAGAAACTCAACTACCTTACCCTCGACAACTTCATCTTCTGCGTCGACCAGATGATCAACAACTGGAGCTGCCGAAATCCAAGTAACTTGCGGTTACATGCTACTTCTCTTGCAGTGCATGCATGAGTTACTGTAGATATCATTATAATAACGCGCACTCACATAAACAGGCCTTGGTTAAAATTTTGGGGTGGCGCAGCTATTGGCTACTGCAAGTTCTCCCAAGCTACATGAAAATATGGGGCTGACATCAGTCATAGACCAGCTACCCTAACTTACAGTCCTTTGGTTCAGGCTGCACACTCATCCTAACTGCATGTCACGAGGTTGTAGTACCATAAAATTTTGTGCTTGAATGTGCCATCCTTTGTAGTCACTTTTTTTTACAGCGAAGCTGTTTATGGGTGCTAGGGTCCCGTGGATTTCTCGTGTGCGGCAACAGAAATGACGTCATGGCTTCGTGACGTCACACGACTTCGTCACGAAGTCATGGCACATGACGTCAATTTCCCTGCTAAATTTGTGGGGAAATTTTTCCACTATATTTAGCGGGGAAATTGACGCCAGTGACCTCAACACCAATGCAGTTTCCCCACTAAATTTAGCGGAAAAATGGACGTCACGTTACCCGAAGTCGTGACGTCACGAAGCCGTGACGTCATTTCTGTTGCCGCACGTGAAAAATCCACGGGACCCTTTAAGTGGGGAAAATGACGTCACGACTTCGTGTCACGTCACCCATGAACAAATTCAGCAGCACGAGGAGAGGAGGAGGAAAGGAGGAGGAGGGAAGTACACCACCCTCCCTTTGTCGTCGTTCTAAGCGCTTGCGTGCCTAGTTTTTTTCCCCTCTGCCAGGTGGCGGTCCCGTTGTGTGTGTCTAGTTTCCTCCGGCTCCTCGGGGTGGTGATAGTCTCAACATGTGTGTGCGTACCGTTCGTCACGACGGCCACCGATCAAGACAATAAATGTGTTCATACCTTTGTTCAAAATTCCGTGTCACATCTGTGTCGTGTACTAAACAGCTTTGCTGGTCATCCAACTCTACAGAGTGGAATGACTCATCATTTTTTTTTATTAACTTCAGAATTGGTTATATAATGTATGCATCAAATTTATTCAAGCGAGCGCCCATCCTCATAATTTTGCCATAGTTGTCTGTTGGTGGGAACTGCTGGGAAATGGATTTTATGGTACACGCACGCATAACTAATTGTAGCCAGGCACACTCGAAATTCTATGTGGACAGGCCTACCCACATATTGACTCAATGTTGGCAGTTATTCGCACCAGTATTTCATTGTGTTCTGAGTTGAAAGATCTTATTTCCTCCTGGCCAAGTCACAGTGCTAACTACCAGGGGACAATGTTGGCTGCAGATTGGAATGCGTGACCATTAAGGTAGAACAAGCCAAGTCAATCTTGTGGCTCATATGTCACATCAGACACTGCCAGTGCTTTAACAGCTGGCTTCCGTGTTGAAATGGAAATAAATTAAGACCCAAACATGAGTCTAGAAAATGAAACAAAATGGTCTACATATAAACATAATCAACAGGATCTTTGGCAACGTTTATAGACCACATGCATTTGAAACGTATAGCACACCGTGCCACAGTTGTCGAAAGACTCGTAAACCTGTCCCAGATTGCAAGTATGAAGAGTCTGGCATGGAGATGGATCGAGAGTTCCTGCAGCAGCTGCGGGAGATGAAAGCCCTCCTTGATCGCGAGCACTTGGACAGGCTCAAGGATGCTGTCACCTTTTCGCTCTGGGGCCGGGTCTCCAAGCACACCCTGCAAGACTTGGAATCCAACTTCAAGGTATCCCCATTCCAGAAATATGCAGTGTCTTCAGTGTTGGGCAAAGTACACCTCAAAAGTACTTGAAGTAAAGTACAAGGTAAATGAGAGATTATGTACTTCAAGTAAAGTAGTAAGTACACTGGGTGCCATGTACTTGAAGTAAAGTAAAGTTACTAGTACTTTTTAACACAAGGAGAGAATGACGTCAGCCCCGTAGCTTCCGCAAGCAATTCTTTCGTGGAGGTGTATCCTTTTCTAATATTTTTAACCTTGCTTGCACCGTCCAAGCGAAAAGTAGCGAGAGTTCTAAATTCTGCGGGAAGGCCACTTCCGGCACAAATGAAGCAATGCATCATCTTCTTGCGTTTCTGCTGAGAGTAGAATATCCCTCCCAGTATTTGTTTTGAGTTAACAAAACGTCATTTTCCGGTACAAATTTAACAGAAAAATATTTGGGGAATGGTCTTTGAAGTCGGCAGTTGTACTTTCCTTGCAAAGTACCAGAAAAAATACTTTAAAGTAGAAGTTCATACTCAGAAAACATACTTTGAGTAAAAGTTTTCTAAATCTATTTATGTTACTTTAAGTACAATGTACCTGAAGTACTTCCCAACACAGAGTGTCTCCCTTCTTCACTTCAACACACTATGGCATCAAATTGTTTTTCAGATTGAATGTTACATTTCCATAGAAGTCTAGTCCTGCATAAAAGCTAGTACTGCTGCCTTGTTGTAATGTCTGCTATCACTAAGCTCTAGACAATCCTGATCTCGTAAGGCCTTGCAGCTTTAGTTCAGCCTGTCCACTGATGTATCCTTATGCAATCGAACATGAATTGACCTAAACCGACTTGACTTCTGCCCCTTTGACAGTCTCTCACACGAACGCTCGTCAACATTGCTTATGGCCTCAACCACAGCAAAGACCTGAGGGACTTCTTCATAGACATTGTTGAGAAGGTAAGTGTAGCTAGTGTCCTCTAGTGGATGCTGCCATGAAGTCTTGCGTAATAGTGTGTGCCACTTGCCAGCTAAGAAGCGTTACAAGAGTGCACATAGCACATTCAAAGGGAATCCATCATTCTAGACAACACAATGTTGCAGTATGCGTATGGAGGGTTGGAGTGGACCGCTGTTTTACGAAATGAGATATTCCTTCAGGAAACTCTAACGCGAGTACAAAAAAGGGTATGTAGATACTTTAATAATTAGCCGGTATAACCAATGTCAGTAGATGGATATTCGAGTGATCCGTCATACTTTTGAATGAGCTTGTACCACCCATCTAGCTTCCGTCTGCCATTTTATTGGTTCTTTCGAGCAACTCCAGCCCATGCTAGCCCGGCCATTATTTCTACAATTAGTAAGCGCTGCAATTCTTTTTTCCCTTTTATTGCAGATCATTGAGCCATGCCGGTCGGCACACTGGACTCGCGAAGAACTACAGGTGGTGATGGAGGCATTCTCGAAAAGCCCTCAGAGTGCCACTTTTCCCCAGTGAGTTTCATACCTTTTGATGCCCATAAACGTAACTTAAGCAACTGCAGCCACTAGCTTCCTTCATCACTCTCGGAATTCACAACGCCTTCAGTTTGTTTCACGCTCTTGTGCCTGTGTTTGAAAGGCATGCTGTAAGAGAGCGGGGAAGTGCCCTCCCCACTTTCAACGAAAACTGGGTTAATCTGGATATGGGCGCCTGTCTGGCCAAACTGGTAAAAATTAAGATGGTGGCCAATAAAGAGCTTTGAAGGCAGGGTGAACGGAATCGGAGAAAGCACATTTATTTTCACACGGCACCCCCGTCATTGCCGCTGGCAGTCTTGTGGCCACCGCAATGGGGAGAATGTTTTGGGTCGATGCCCGCACTTTGGAGGGATTGGGCGCTCGACGCACAATTTACAGAATTCCCAAGTTCGGGGAACGTTAATAGTGCGCGCTTCTGCGGTATTTTACAATAGGTGTCAGAACAACCTATGCAGGATTCTTTGTACTGGAGTAAACCCAATTTCACCCAACATTTGAACCCCTGATATATTTTTTGTAAATCATGTTTGTTCCAGTTTTCAGTCCGAAATAGAGGAATGCTTGAAGAACGTAAAAAATGTAGCCCAATATCCAATAGCGCATTACAAGCGAAAACAGCACCCACCTTAAAGGGGCCCTGCAATCATATTTAAGCGTCTACCTTTTTTGGCGTTTCCACGTCTCTTGGGGTTCGGGCAAGCCAGCGGGCACGGAGAGAGTAGCTAAATATCAGTGCGTCATACTTTAACCGGACGACGCGGAAACCTACTCCACCGACAAGGGCGACCCGCGGTACCGAAAGCGCGCAAAATGTGACGTCTTTGGTCCTGCGCTTACTACTGGTCAGAGCCGCTAAAAGCTTCTTTTTAGTCGAAATACAAAATAAAAGTGGCGCAAACCATTTCAATTATTTATAAAAGTAGTTTTTGTTCAGTATTTTAGATCAAAAAAGAAACGAATGCAGTTCATAAAGTATGGAAACAAGAAACGACCCGTCGACATACCCGCCACCAAGCGGTGGAAAGGGCGGCGCATACTAGAAAGGAGTAGTGGGATCTGGCGCCGACACGGAAAGGTCCCGGATGTACGCGGCGGCGCTGCTATCGTTTGGGCAGGAGGATCTGACCGGCTCCGAGCGTTCCGAAGGCCTTCGGCGAGAAGCTTTGTCTTGCGGTTTCGCCGTTTCGCGTTATGGCAGCGCAAAGTAGCGCCCATTCTGAACTGATCTTTACCCCGTGTTTGCTGTCGTTTGTGGCCAATGAAGTGTCATGCCGAATTAGTATTAGAATTAGCAATGTGAGCCGCTCTGACTGCCCGCTGCATACAGACTATTCAGAACACGCTTCAATGGCGCCCTCTCGCGCCGTCGAGTCGGAGTGCGGCAGCCGTGAGCGCTCGATGAGCTCACTACTTCTCCTCTAGTTCACGGCTACTCCCAAGCACCCAAGGACGTCATGGGGGAGGTTATCTTTTGCTTGTTTTTGTAATTTTAATTTGCCTATAACTTTTAAAATAAAGGGAATTTTGAGAAAAGAAACGTTGCACTAAGTTACTAAGCTCAGTCCGCTCAGGTTCGGTGGAAATTAAAAATTAGTAAAAAAGTCATTGCAGGGCCCCTTTAAGTAAAACTACTCACAGTCATCTTGTGCCCGAGACATTCTTGTTTACTTTGTGTACATCGTACCTACAGTTAAAGATACGCCTTTTGTTTGCTTTGAAAATCGAAACTAGAGTCTGAACCCGAAAACGGTGAACCCCGCACATTTGTTAGTTGTAAAACCCTAAGATATGCCGACTAATATTTTTCTGCATGCGCACTCCTCACTTTCCTTTACAGTGAACTGCACCTCTACGAAGTCTGGGTGCGCTACTCGGAAACGTTTGCCAAATGCGTCTGCCAGATGTACTCCCCCTGAGCGACAACCACCATAAAGTTATGCTTTTTCCGCTACCATATTGTGCGTGCATGTGTCAAACTCAATTACTGCTTTATTATGGAGGCATATATGTGTAACAGGACAGCTGCTGCATTGGCACCAGTTCTAAGATCACACCACATGCTCTACAAAGATTTTGTTGCCTCTTTTATCTCCTACTGTTACTTGATGTTTCATTAACAGGGGTGCTCGCTTGCTGGTGAACGATTTCTTGACAAGCTTTGACAAAGGGTGGCACTCAGTTGGTCTAGCAATGTTTTATCGAACGAAGTTCGGTCCCCGGCTTTTAATCAAAAGACACTTTAGCAAATGGTCGGCCGCTGTGAAGAAGCTGCGTGTACAGGTGGTTCAGGTGGGTTAACATTCTTGTAATGAGTCGCCGTAGACTGTTGCCGCGAAGCGTCATGAATGGGGGGGGGGGGGGTTAACGCGCGCCTTAGTGGTGCTTGTCCTTCGCTAAATCATTGATTCGCTCAAATGACTCCTGTTCCCCAAGACATCGTGCACTCGTGATATGGACCCGTCTCAAACTTGCTTCATGTCAAATTAAGCAACGGTCACCCAGGAAAGACATCAATCAAACTATTTGAGAAAGCTTTTAACTACAGGGTGATTCAAGGAGAGGCCAGGCTCTTTAAATCGACCGCAAAATTCGGTTTCTTAACCTAACGCTCTACTACTTTGTGCAGCGTTGCCCACAGATGGTGCATTTTTTTTGTAAAATTTGCAAAGAACGAACTTACCTGGGGAAAAATTAAAGAAAGAAAAAGGCTTAGCTCCTATGGAAACGCAGCGAAGCCACCTGTCTTCAGACAACTCGGCAGCGTTTCGCACGGGAGACGAGATGGCGCAACGAACGAGCATAAGGCGCCGAGTGCCGGCGTCTTTAGCAGACAATCTTTTCGACTCGAAAGCGGTGCGCGTTTAGCAGGCGGCGACAGTCGCAGAAACAAAAACAGGCGCAGTAACAAGGAACTGCTGTTTCTCGTCTGCTAAAGACGCCGGCTCTCGGCGTTGTATGCTTGTTCGTTGGCGGCAGTTGGCGTCGCGACCGCTTGTGCCATCTCTTGTCTCCCGTGCGAAACGGTGCCGTGTTGTTGCAAATTTTACAAAGAAAATGCACCATCTGTGGGCAACACTGCACAAAGTTGTAGCGCGATAGGTTAAGAAACAAAATTTTGCAGTAGATTTAAAGAGCCTGGCCTCTCCTTGAATCACCCTGTATAGTCACTGAGAAGACGAGAACATCAAGGAAGTCTTTCAGTTGTCTCGCCTCCAGTGCAAGCTTCATACTTTAGCACCTCGTGGGCTTAGACATACAGATGCCACTAAAGCACAGCGGAAGGCAACAAGCGCATTTCTGGAGGCCGAGGATCCATCCATCCATGGATGAATGGATGCTGAAGGCTGTATTGTTTATAACGGCTGGTAGCTTACGCTACCTAGCCTAGAAACCGTAAAAACCTGTCGGCGACTGCAGGGTGATGGCAAATCCATGTATACCGTTATTTGATACTGAAATTCCATCGGACGAAAAACGAATGCCACCACAACAGAGTAGCCCGCGTATCTCCGCAGTTCACTTGTCCCGAAACGCAACGGTTAACAAATGAGACCTTTACTGTCAATATTTACCGTAGACAAAGCTTGGGCTCAAATCGACGGACCGTGCGTTCACGGCCACCGCACAAAAGAACCGGCGGCACATCGCCAGCAATCCAAGCGCGTCTGTAGAAAGCACTTCGCTTCACAGGCGACCGTCGGGCGCGCGCTTCAGGGGATGCCCGTAGGCGTGATGAAGGACAGGTAGTCTCCTGTGGCCCCCCACTCTGCTCGCTTGAGCTGGAAGAACACCACCCAGACGACGAGAGCGACGAACCATACCGTCGCTCCGATGCCCGACTTGATCACGTAGCCTCGGATCGTCTTTTGCTCGTCGAACGGCGGTCTCACGAAGGCCTCCTTGAAGAACCAGACGGCGTTGACGAACCACAGGAACGGGAGGATGAAGAAGCCGCCCCTGTAGTACCACCGACATAGACGGAGTTTCTCGTCGTCCTTCACTTTAGCCAGGTCCATTTTTCTGGAAGGGATCAATTTGCTGGCGTAGGCTCGACGGCGGTCGTTGCCGGTGGTCTCGGCGTAAGTACTCTCTGAATCGTTGTTCGTCAGCCGTTCGCTTGATAAGCGTAAATACACCTACCAAAAGCACCGAAAACAGAAGATAGTCGACGTTGGATTGCATTGGCTACTTGTACTTTTTATCTAACTCGTTACTCAGTGTGGCCAAACAAAAGACAAATGCGCTAAAATTGACATTATATTTCCCTTTATTTTCTGGCTATTTTGCTGTTTATTTATTTTTTTTTTTTGTTGTTACAAGAATGCAGAGAAAAACGAAAGAAAAAAAAAAGGAATTAGCTAAGTGGTGCAAGCAGGCGCAAGCCACCGCCCGAATGTCCATTTATCGATCTATTCCTATTAAGCAGAGCTATGCATTAATGTGGCGACTGGGCAGCAGCGTGCGCCACCTAGTCGCCACTTTCTATTCATGCCGATTGCCCGCCGAATTCGAATGCTCATTTACTTCGGCCTGCGGCGTAGTCATCGCGAACACGAGATCGCCGGCCATTTCCCTCGCAAATAAAAGACACCCCTAAATGGGCTTATCGGTAGCATCTACTTGGGTTACAAAGTGAACTATTTAAAACCAGTGGCGTCATCAGCGGCACCGCTGACGACGCCACTGCTTCTTAAAACCACCTCTTAAAACTTCAGAAATTTTACTTGAAAGGGGGGGGGGGGGGGGGGGGGGGAGCCCCCCCCCCCCCCCCCCTTCTTCAAGCAAAATTTTGAAAGTTTTTGAGAGGCATGGGGTATTGTCAAGTACTTGAAGCTCTCTATGTCGTTTTTGGAGATCCCCCCTGAGAATATCAAGAATTCACAAATGTACTAACATATGTAATGGTGCAATCAACCTACCATGCTGCTGCCATATTTGTCAAGTCTTATACATACATATCACGACCATGAGGAGCAAAAGAGTCGACAATTGCTTTTATTTATGTACAAATAGAAGATCAGCAACTCAAGCCTCCCCCTTTCCAGTGCCACCACAGATGCACATTCCTTGCAATAGGCAAGGAAAAATCCCCGCAAAATGCCCACTACAAGTAGGGAAAAGAGGGAAAATTTTTTTTTTTATATAGGCGAGCTAAGCACTTTATTCCCCCGCAGAAAATAAGGGCACCTTCATCTGTAACCCCTCTGACACGACTCCCAATTTTTACGTCATCAGACCGTAAATATACGATGTACCGGTGCTCGGATATATATATATATAAATATACATGCAGAGCTGTCTTGCACAACACAGGTGACGTGCGCATCTTCGATGCTCCAAACTAGAACCAAAAAGGGAACTATATATGGCAAAGCTGGGGGTGACAGAAGATGGTGCCCTAGACACCTGAATAGAGTGAAAAGAAATAAACGTAAAGCAAGAAAACCGGGTACAGAAGGAGAGGCCTCTTGTTTTGCAGTTCTTGCACGCAGAGCAGTGATCCAGCGCTGTAGGTGGCCCAAACAACTCCGAGCAGCTGGGAGAAAACAGCAAAGACATGTGCTGAAGGTTAGGGCACAAACAAACTAGTAGTAGTTGAACATAGAAAAAAAAAAAAAGAGACTGGAAAAAAGAATGGACGGACAAACACAGAGGTTTTTGAGACCTGTGTGTTTGTCCGTCCTTCCTTTTTCACAGTCTCTGAGTGTTTTCAGTATGTGAAGACCTGTGTCCACTTCAAATGCAACTCCAAGATACAACACAGCCACCTGTTCATGTCCGAAGAGATGATTCAAGCATGGAGGGCTGAAACACGCACTATAAGCAAGTTTCTCAAAAATGTGCGCACAGCAGCTCAGAGCATGTGATGTGAAAACTCGCGCCGCAGAACCCAGGATGCTGGGTTCAATCCCCACCCCTGCCCGTTTCGACCTGGATGAGCATCGTACCAGCGTACGGTCGTGTATCACAAATGCATGATCCACATTAAAGACCTCAGGCTAGCGGTTGTGCTGTACTCGCTGAATTCCTCATCTACAGCTGGGAGACTCGTCGCCCGTTAAGGCAGACCAAGTTCTAGACTGTACAAACATACACACACCCCAATAGTTTTGTCAAAAATGTGCGTGGAAACAATAAAGTCTGGCAAAAATGAGTCGAAGGAGCTTGGTGACGCCGACATGATTCAACCAGAGGAAGATTGGCGATTCCCTCGCTGGGGAGAGGAGGCAGGGGTGATGTTTTCAGTTTTTTTGCCCAATCCCCCAAAGCAGTGGCGTAGGCAAAAGGTGGTTTGAAAGATCAAACCCCACCCACTCCCAAAAACGTTTTCTTTTTTTTTTAGTAAAGGAAGACAAATACTGAATGACTATTAAATTGTTCCAACCAAACAGGGGGTTGGGAACGGCCAAGTTCATACTTTTGAATTGTACGGTACATCGACTACTACTTGCAAAGATGAGACAAAGCCGTGCCGCGCCCACGCGTTCCCAAAAGTCCCGGATTTTGTGGGATCGTCCCTAGTTTTCATACGAATTCCCGAGACCCGACTAGTCCCAGTCAGGACAGTATTATGTCCCAGATTGGCAAAATCAGGGCCCAGTTAAATATTTTATGCGATTCGCGCGCGCCACACAAACTTTGGTCAAGAAGCTCAAGAGGGCAACGTCGGCGAGGCAGTGAACTGAAACAGTGATAAATAATAATTGCGATAGCTAGCGTTGGCTGGCTGACAGTGGAGAGCTTTAGCCACTAACCGCCTCACTGTGCGGAACTTTAGCCATTAGCCACCGCAGCATGCAAGCCATGGCAAGCCAATTTGAGCACGCCATCTGATGGCGATTCTGGGTACTTTCGTGTCTTGCACTATACTTCATTCACTCTTAAAAAGGCACTGGCAGGTCATATTTTCTTTTATTATTTGAAACGATTGAAAACGATGCCTGGACATTACCCTCAGATTTAGAAGCTTGGGAACTCAGTATTTGTGAAGTAAAGAAACAATTTCCAAAAGGCGAATTTGAAGTTCCCGCGCGATCCACGCCAGTGCAGTGTTGTCAAAGATTACGTTGTCCCAGGGCCGTACCCAGAAAAAAATTTGGGGGGGGGGGGGGGGGTTTTCGGGGACAACGGCGGCCATTTTGAAAATGTCTATTGTCTTATTTTCGCCTATGAAACATGTGCATCGGTGGCATATAATGGAGAGTTATAGCAAACTGGAGAACCGGTCCCGGTTTGGTACCCGGTAGCCGACCGGCGCCACTGCGCGTGCGCAGAGGTGGAGATTAAAATCGGCTGGCTGCAAGTGCACCGACCAGGGCCGTACACAGAAACAAATTTTGGGGGGGGGGTCAGAACCCCCCTAACCCCCCCCCTGGTTACGGCCCTGCGTTGTCCTGCAAATCAAGTTTCTTTCTCGCCGCGAAACCATCCCAACCGGAAGTGTCGTGTTCTCGTGCGTCCCGCTCACAGTGCCGCCTACCACTGTGAGCAGACGAAGCTTCAGTTTTGAGTTTGAAGTACCTTTAGGGCCCATTCGGCAATCTCAAATTCTTTAAAACGGCGCGACGAGGTTGAAGAGGACGTGCAGTGGACTTTTGTGAGCGACGTGAGTGGCCATGTCGTACCGGTGCTGCGTGAAAGGCTGCCCCAGTGGGGTCACAACCAAAACTATGGTGCACAGCAGGCACGTAGCCAGGATTTTGTTCCGGGCGGGGGGGGATGCCCATGAAAAAATGCTGTATGAGGGGGAGGGGGAAGAGGAGGTCCCAGCAATGGAAGATTTGGGGGGGGGGGGGGGGGGGGGGGGCGCCCAGCCCAATGGGCCCAGGCCCCATGGGCCTCCCCCACCCCTGGCTTCGTGCCTCGTGCACAGGCACCAAACCCAGTCGTTTCGGCGATTTGACGATTTCCTTTTTGAAGACTGCGAGGTCGTCAGGCACCGTAAAGAGAACCTCGTCCCATTCCCCAATCATCCTCACTGCTACATGTGCCGGGCGCCGCCATGTTTTCTGAGAGAGGATAAAAAAAGCTAGAAGGCGATGTCATTTCCCGACTCTGATTTCCGATATTTCAAAAGAAGGGGGCGTAGTGCGTTCGCGATTTCGCTAAAAAAACATGTTTCATGAATGCCGTCATTAAATATAGGAATGTTGCTCACAAAACTTCTAAACTTCATAATCGATTTGGAGACATGCATTTCTAGCGTGAGACCTTGTTCTGTGAAAGAACACTTCAAAGCAGCGACCTCGAGCTCTCGTACCTGTCGCATTGGCTGCAGCTTCCACTTAAGGGTAAAGTATAGCGCTGAGAATGCTGCTGAAACCTCCCCCCTCAAGACAGAGAGTTTCTGTTATCATCATCATCATTTTATGACACCTCAAAAATGCAACGTTAATCCAACGTTGCTTACTCCCGTCCCGACTTCTTTCACTCATGAGTTGGTAAGCCAACCACCATACCCGTTCCAGGACAAAAAGTGTGACCACAACTGCAGCACTACAACTGAAACTTTATGTCTTTCTTTAAAGGGGTACTTCGGCGATTTTTTCATGGTCACCGATTTGCCTCAAAATCGGCTCAACACACCAATAGACATGGCTCTACCAGTTGCCTAAGTCTTGTATGAAAAAAAAAAAAAAAAAAACATTTTGCAAAGTTATTGAATTTTCTAATTTCGTTCTCATCGTGCTTCTTGAACCGGGAACCCCTATTGGCAACATTGAAGTGTGACAACAGAAATGGTACAAAGTGGGGAGTAAGCCATGTTCCAAACTGATTACAAAACGTTTGATGGTGGGAAAAGAATGCTTTGTAGCTGATTCACTGAGAAGCATGCAAAAAACACTCGACGTACTCTGTTTAAGACTACCTGCATGACCCGAAAGTCTGTACCATTTGTGACGTCACACCACTGGAGAGCGCGCGAAAATTTGAATGCTGGTTTCGACGTATCTTTATTTACGGTTTTCTCAATTGCTATTGTGAATTTGGAGAAAATAAATAGCATACCGTGAAGACTAAATTCCAGGTAGTCAGATATGCAACTTGTTTGGGTAACCCAAAAAACGGCCGGTGTACTCCTTTAAAAAAGTGATAAGTGGCCTAGAACACTCGGGCTGTATTCAGTGTGACTGCCAGTGACTTCTAGAGCAGTGTAATTCATCACGAAACAAGAACAGCACGAAAATGAGCGAGAGACGAGTAGAAGAGGTAACGACAGACATTTCGCTTCTACTCATCCCTCATTTATTTTCGCGCTGTTCCCGTTTCATGATGTCAAACCAACTCCCCCAACTTTATGCGTTGTTGCAGTGCAATTCACTCGCAACAGTACGAAGACAGACAGAGAAATACAGCCAAGAAAGAAGTGACTACCTTGAAGACTAATTCCACATGGTGGAAAGGGCGGACCAGAGGCAGTGTGGTTGCCGTGACAACCAGAGGCAAGACGGAGTAGCCGATCACACCCAAGCACTGGGAGTAGTTCACCTGCAGAAACACCACAAAGACAGGTCAATCTTTAGATGGGATGGTGCCCGACATTTGAAGACGAGGGGCACCTCGAGGTACAGAAGTCTGCGTCGCACTCATAAACAAATCGTTGAAAGCTCAATTCAAGCTTGCTTGAAGAAACGCCGACTCCATCAAGAAACTTACATGTCAGAGAATAGCCTCACGAAAAAATTAATGCTGACAAAGACTGGTAAGCCCAGAATGTGTGATGGGCCTTCAAGGGGAGAAGAGGAGGGCGTCTGAACCGCAGCAAACCGAAGATTCACTCTCTTTTCTGACGTACGCCATGGGATGACGCAGCATAACAAGAAAGGCCGCAAAGCTCGCGACCACGCAAATGAGTTTGCTTTTGCACGCTCCGACCACCGAACCCTGGACAGCTCAGTCGGCAAAGCGCTTGGCTCACAATTTCGAGGTGGTGAGTTCTCTACGGATGTAACACTTTTTGGTGTAAATATTTTGTTAGTCAGCTGTTACAGCCGAATTTTACAGAACTCCCTGAAAATGAGCTAATAAAACACATTCTGTTGTAATGATAAGAAAAAAAAAAAGTGTTCATACCTCCCCACCGAGAACTCTCGCCAGAAGGAAGATGACTAGTGAACCGAAGATCCACATTGTAATGATCCACGAAACCACCTGAAAGCACAAAACACATGAAGAGAGACGACTGATAAGATCCTAAATGTTGATTCAAGTCTTGTGATTTCTTGCAAATTTCTTCTTCACACGCTCTGATATTCTAAACTTTCGAATAACGATCTGAATACTGATGTTTTCGATTCAACCTTTGAATCGATCGCAAGTATATTAAGAAAGTAAAAATATTTTTGAACAATTTCTAATATTCTTCCGAAACTTTGCAAAAGTTACCTCATTTGAATTCCAAAATTATTCGAATAGTACAAATATTCAATTTTTGCCCGATTCCTTTCCAACATTAGCTCTTTGCTCACGTCCACAGATTCCTCACAGGGGCACCAGAGCCCAGAGTCCAAGATAGCCCAAGGTTTCCTGAACAAAACAAGACCCAAGGGTCCCTTCAGGTGGGACAATATGGCTGCCGCCATGACTTTCACACTTGCTAGAGGGTAAAGTTAAAAGAAAACAAATATGGTTCAGCATGCAACTAAGAACAGAATGTGAGATGGGAAATGCTCTAAAAAAGCAATGACAATGCCCTGTTTACACATACAACACGGTGCACGTCAGCACCATTAATCAGCCCTGGGAATAGCACTAATCTTGCTGATTCCGTGCTGACTTAGCGGTATATTAGTGATACAGCACTGATACAGTGCAGCATCAGTGCAAAGTTCAAGTCAGTGTCGCACCAGCACTCTTCCCAGTGTTGGTTTTGTGCTGCATGTGGTTTGAACCAGCCTGAATAAGACATCTGAAAAAGACACAGCGGCCAAAAGTGAATGAATGGGCTGAAAGTGAGAGAATGACCAAAAGTGATATGACGGCTGAAAGTGGGAGAACGGCTCAACTTGAAGCAACGGCTAAAGACAACACCCGGTACGGGACAACAAAGGACGCTGAAGATGCTTCACTACTCACGGAAAGCTGTCCGTAAAGGGAGACAAGGGAGAACAGCAGCACAACCAGCAGGGGCCCCCAGAAGTCCGGGCTGTCCCTGACCAGGTGCCGCTTGTAGCCCATGAAGGGGAAGGGGAACAGCACGCACCGCACCTTGTAGTAGATGTCGCGCAAGTCCACGTCCAGTTCCTCCCTGAAACAATGGGGCCAGCACTTAGCATCTAGTTTCTTGTTAAGAAATTCCTGGTTCCTTGCCATGTCCTGCAAATGAACGGCACCGACACCCGAGGTACTGTACTCAGCTGCAGAGCACACTGTACACTAACCATGATGTTATGTGACATCACAATGTCACATGTCACAGTGTCATGTGATGTCATGGTGTGACACCGACGTCACAGTGTCAAATTTAGCAGAGGAATTTCCCAGCCTCCTCCCCACCTAGGGGCAACATGCCATGGGATTTGCCAAGAAACCTCGCTGATAACAACCGTTGCCGTCAAACATAACACTGATCTCTTTGCTCGACAATGGAATGTTTCAAGCCCGAAAGCCTGCTGCTAGTCTGGGACACCTCTTCCGAAGCTCACTTTGGCATCCCTGAAAGGAAAGAACCTCGAAAGCAAGAAAGCGAGCGACAGCAACGCCCGAGCGAGGCGCTCACAGGAGAGGGGCCTTGTCGTCGTCCTCGGCTTCTTCTTCCACGTCGAGGAGCCAGCCGAAGCCCTTCTGGTGCAGGAACGATGTGCCAGGGAGGGAAGGCCCCCCCAGCCCTGAGCTGCCGTCCCCTTTGCCTCCCCGGTGCGAGGAGGACCAGTCGTCCAGCGAACCCGTCAGCGGCTGGTACTCTGTTGGGACGAGAGCAGATGTCTGTCGGCGCTAGCAGCCGTTGAAGGGAAGCTGAAGCACGTTTCACAAGAATGGAGTTAGGAGCGGCCTACTACTATATAAAGCTTTCAGTCTCCCGAATTTCGAATTTTGCAAAATTTATTGTTATCTGGTGGCTCAAAAAGCAATTTATTTCAACAACGAAAAAAAAATAATAATTGTGTTGTGTGTATGTTTATACAGCCTAGAACTTGGTCTGCCTGAACGGGCAATGAGTCTCTCAGCTGTAGATGAGAAATTTAGCCAGTGCAGTACAACAACTAACCTGGGGTCTTTAATTTGCATCACCCATTAGCGATACTTGACCGCACACTGGTACGATGCTCATCCAGATCAAAACCAGCAGGGGTGGGTATTGAACCCAGTATCCTGGGTTCTGCAGCGCGAGTTTTCGCTCCACGTGCACCAAGCTGGTGTGCGCTAGCCCACTCAGCCACCAATCCTCCTCACTTTCGACAAACTATAAAGGCAGCCGCGAAAATGTTTGTCATTGGGCACCTCGCAATTATTTCTTGATTTATTGGAATTTCGATGATGTGAACGCAATAACTGACTGGCACAAAGCGGCGACCCATAAGCCCCTCGATTGAATTTCCGCCATCAAAAGCCTCAAGAGCCAAACCCGTGCCAAGCGATTGATTGGACCACACTCCGAAATAAACGCTTACACAGCCGTTGTGTCTAATTCATGTGTCGTGTTGTACCGACATCCCGAACTTACGGGCCTCATATATTCTCCGGCCAGTAGTATCTTCAACTTCTTCCTTCGTCAGCCTCAAAAAGGCTGCCATAAGTTTGGCACAGGTGGCATATACTGGGATGATGATAGTGCCAAACACTGAGTGATCAAAATTGCCAGACTGAATATCAAGCAAGGGCCCACCCAAACTACTCGAAACAATCCTGAAACACTGGGGGTGGGCGCTGGTTATGTCTGCAAGCAAAAATATACTTGAAGGGACATACATACATGATAGGTATAGTTTGAGGGGGCTACAATACTCTTGTGCAGATTTTGGAGTGAGAATTGCTTCTTTTTTTTTTTCCGGAACAATGCATTCAAGATTGAGAGAGGGAGAGAGAAAGAGAAACTCCACACAACTTTCCCACTACAATCCCACTGACAACAGTAGAATAGTTTGTAGGAAAGCTTACAACGTAGCGAGCAAGTTGCATTTCCAGAACATGGCATTGACATGTCACATTGACACCTCTTTGAACACGATGGTAAAAGACTGGTATTTATGACATACAGGTAGAATCAGTGCACACTGATGACTGCATTTAAAAGGGCCCTGCAACATTTTTTTTTTATGTAGCATTGAACCTGAGCGCACTGAACGCAGCAACTTAGTAAACTTTTTCTTCTTTCGACATTCGCTTTATTTTAAGAGTTATAGGCATATTAAAATTACAAAAACAACAAGATAACCTCGTTCATGACGTCTTTGGTCCTCTCTTCCCCCTTTTCCCGTGCCCGCGGTGACTGAGGAATGTGGGGAGGGAGGGGAAGACGGGAAAAGGAGATGAGGCCAAGGAGAGAGAGCTGCCTGGGAACAAGGTAGCTCTCCCTCCTCGGCCGACCAAGACCAACAACGTCACGATTTTGTCAAATGCCGCGCACGTTCAACACCACGGGGCGCCCCCGTAGGACGAGGTTTCCGCATCGTCAGGCTAAAATATGACGCGCTGATATTTAGTTACTCTCTCCGTGCCCGCTGGGTTGCCCGAACCACAAGAGACGTGGAAACCGCAAACAAGGTGGACGCTTAAATAAAATTGCAGGGCCCCTTTAATGTGTCAGGTTTTACACTGAGGATCAGTTTTTCCTCTCATACGATATTCCTCGCTGCATTTTTTTCTAGCCTATTAGAATGGACCAAGTTTAAATTTGATTAACCTGAAGAGTATACCAGAAAAAAACTACACAGACAAGGGCGACACAAGCACACCAGATGTGCCGTCACTTGTCTCATCTGTTTGTTTATTCTTTCTGTGTTTTCTGATTAATTAAATTGTAATTTTATTAACGACCTTGTTTATCAATGTGTAACCAGATGACATTCGCCAGACAGCGTAAACCAATTCCTTTCTTAAACAAGGTTCTAGGCGTTCCGCTAACAAAGGTAAAAACAGTAAAGTACCTAGGCGTTCACATACAATCTACAATAGAGTGTGCACGATTCCACAATCAAACCGGGATAGATAAGTTGAAATTCAACCAACCGCCTACCTTCATATCCCATAGATACGAAGGTCGACTCAAAGAAAATGAGAGAACCTGCATCCGCAACAAATATTTTAATATATTCATTTTTCCCTAACAGCATAACGCAGTAGAATGAATTAGCTGATAACTTTGTCTCAATCCCGTCCAATGCTCTCTTCTATGACAAACTGACACACACTAGTTAGGACGGCTGCCATGTGTAAGGAAATAGAAGGTGCCCAAATGATGTTTTTGTTTTTCTTGTTTTTTTCTACATCTGACATCTGTGCGATAATTTTCAGCATTTCTGTTTCTTGGTTATCTGTTCTTGTTCTGCATATTATCTATTGCATATCTTTTTTTTATTTTTTAAGCAGTTGCTTCAACCAAAAAACATGCTTTTCTTTGTTCTGTTTTTACTTTTCCGTAAATTTCGCGGCTTGTGATATATGTTTTTGACTGTAGCCACCCTCTCTCCTGCAATAATGACCCTGGCGCTGCGGGGCAACCTGGAAAAAATAAAAACCTCATCATGTCCCACACTGATAGTTTTTCTGTGCGCATGTAAAGCTCTTGTTTGTTTGTTTGTTTTAGAACTATCAACTACCCGAGCACGGAAAAAGTCAGCGAGACCAAAGAAGCAACAAACCGAGGACCATTCCAACGGAGGACGATCGACTCCCATCTTACCAGAACTGGTCGCAGACGTCGACATAAAGACGAACTCGTCCAGGTCCTTGCCAGGCGTCGCGCCGAGGGAGCCGACGGCTGGAACGCTCTCTCGCACGGGTGAATCCCCGTCCAAACTGCGCAGGGCGTCCGCGTCCTCGGAGTCCATCGAGATCTTGACGTACCCGCTCGAAGCCGTCGAGCTCGCGTCTGAACTCTGTCCATTCTCGCCGTTGGAGCCGTGCACTTGAATATCCATCATGACATTCCACCCCTCTTTACCCTGCCGATTCCTCCTTTACGTTAGAGCAATGCTGCTGTCACTACTACGCCACGACACTGCGACACGCGAATGACATGCTGTTATTAGGGAGTTTTCGTAGACCGCGTTTCGCCCTCCGCTAAGCCCTCCGCAACGAAGCAGCCGCTACTGCGCCGACGCGCCGATGGCCTTGACTGTAGAGTTCCGGCTAGCGTAGCTGGTTGCGGAGAGCGTTGCGGGACAGCGGAAACGATCTACGAAAACTCCCTAATACTTGTGTCTTGTATGCCCACGCCTCTGAAGGCCGCACTACTCTTCGTTTCACCTCTTAATACGGATTCAAAATTGAGTTCACATGGGATTTCTGTTGTTCTCCTGAAGTCTATCGGGAGGGATTGCCCGCAAGTCTGGGCTTCCTAGTGGGAATATTCGCGTGAAAACTCAGCTGACTACGTGTACCATTTCCCAGCCCACAGCGTAAACGCGTAAATCACGGAAGAGGAGCTGGGACTTGTACCGGATTGGATTGGACGCTCGTTTGGCTAAGGATACAACCGATACAACTTGACCGTAAGCGGTGTCAGGTGCCAGCTGACAAATTAAGCAAAACAAACAATTAACCTAAAATATTGAAATCAAATCATCAAAGAGAAGTTAGTTTTGTTTTTGGCTGTAGAAGACTAAAACGTTAGCTTGAACACATGACTAAACATTTCGTGACGTAAGTAGTAATGTGGTCATGTGATTCCCATCAGAGCGCGCGAAAGTTTTTTTTCGCGCGTTTTGTTGGGTCGTGTGTGTCTCTTGTCCCTGGTCGCGTAAAATGAGGTCGAATAGTTGAGCTAAAACCTCCCATCTCACCACGTTCACGGTGATCGCGCACGGCGATGGGGATCCAGGGGCTACTACCGTTCGTCAAGAAGGCATGCCGCGAGGTCCACATCAAGGAATTCAGCGGCGGCACCGCTGCAGTGGACACTTACTGCTGGCTGCACAAAGGGGCCTTTTCCTGCGCCGAACGACTTGCCAAGGGCGAGAAAACAGACGGGTAATGACGATTCACATCTCAATTCGTTAGATCTACAATTTAAACGTCAGTAGTCGAACTGTGAATGGTTCCCAATGCGTTTGGTAGGTCGCGTCGGCACTAGCTGTCAAACGAGGTCAGGCGAGCGCCATGTCAGCTGAGACGCTTTCCTCGCGTTTGCTCGTTACTGTATAACAAATTGTGTGGTGTTAAAATTTAGAGAGCGGAAGATCAGTCAACCCCAGTGAGCGTCTGATTTCCCCGCTGTAGATGAGAAAATTAGACAGTCTTTTAAGTGCATCACGCTGTAGTGATGCACGCCGCTGCGACGATCATCAGTCAATCACTCGATCAACCATCTTCATTTTTCCCAGGCGAGAGGGAACTCATCTTGAAAGGTCCAAAAGCACAAAGGGCGAGACAAAGTCGCCTCGGGGTGCCGACGGCCTACATCGGGGTCGAGGTCCAGCAGCACGCACAAAACACACACACTGTCACACACAGAAATACAAAAGAAAAAAAGAGGAAAGACAATTTGCGCTTATACAATTGACAACGGCAATACATCACTTATACATCAGCAATAGAAACAGGAAAAGAACAGAATATTATACATACAATACTATATTTACGTGATAATAATAATCATTCTATTCGCTTTTGGAAGGGTGCAGGTGGTGGTGTACAAGGCTGGACAGATAGGTGAGAACCCTTTCTCAGATCGCCGGCAACCCGCTACCACCTGTGGAAGACAATAGCATAAACAAACCACTGTCAAGACCGGTTATAACGAAATAGCGGCTATAGTGAAGCGATCCCAGTTTCCCAATCCCATTCACACTTTTTCAATGCATTTGTGTCTGTTTTTAGCAAAGGAAATTGAGTGGCTCCCCCAGATATAGCTACGAGAAATCTTGTGATAATTTTAAACAAGCATAAAATTCTGAAAGTTTACTAAGTCTTGGACCGCCGCACTTTGGTGCCGCAACCAAGAAGCCACCCAGAACAGGCTGCAGAAGATGGTGGAAAGGCTGCCAGTGGCAGTCTCTGCAACGTCGTCTGCTCCCCGCTTCTTATATGGGAAGCGGCTTTGCAGCATCGCACGCGGAGAAGCCGTCGTGGCATGCCGATAGGGGCATTCCGAGCGCTAGCGACAACATACCGGCGGAGATGACGGAGACACATAGATTTAAGAGAGGGAGCGGTAAGTACGCCTTCATTTAAATTGTCACGTGGGCGGAGAGGCGGACACGTCTGCAGAAGGTGAACGCTTTTTGAGTTTTCAGTCCTTGCATGCTGCAGCTCGTTTTGCAAACATGGCCCACAAACCATGTGACCCTGATCAAGCAGTTGCCCCATCTCTTAAATCTAGGCTCTCTATACCGACGACAAACAAGCTTGAGCGCGAACTCAGTGCCGTACGTGCTTCTTTATTTGCTTCGTGATCCGTGTCAGCATCTGGTCGGTGAGGTCGCTCTTGCGCGAAATTCTACTTTGCTCGAGCACTGATTCGGTGAAACATCGCCACTCAACAAGGAAGAGTCCCAGCACCGTTGGCACCTCGGCGGGGAAGACGAAGGCAATCTCCTTGAATAAAAAGCGTGCCATCCTCGATGGAGTGCACATAAACGTAAAGAATGCCATCCACCGCCAACATCCCTTGTGGGGCCGTCGCAGCTGTCGACACGGTTCATACGTAGTAGCTAGATCTTTTTTCAATCGGAGATTCTCACAGTTGGCAATAAGTGACTCCGATCTAGCAGAGGACGCGTGCAGGGAAGCCTCGACCGCTTTCTGCTGACTCGATAAACATGTGCCCGTGACAGCCCGTGTTATCTTTGTTTATTTTTCATGTTATTTGTATGAGTTCATATATAACAAAGAAGCAAATATAGCGAAGTGATTTCCGATTCTCATTGACTTCGTTATAACCGGTCTCAACAGCAGTCACAATTAAAAGACATAACCACGGTGAAAAGGCGGGCAGAGGGTGGGGTGATTAGGTGTTGATCACGAGGATGCCTATGAAGCCCCATTCACCTTAGACAGCTCCTTCGAGCCTTTGTTCTGTCAGTAGTGTCAAAAACTCTCTAACGGCTGCTGGGAGCACCGAAGTATTCACGACTCATAACTGTCTATAGGTGGCGCCACTCGTTCTTCAAAATGGTACCTATACACCAACTCAACTCTCCTACGTCACGCCGCGGTGGTGGCGCGCCGGACGCACTTCCGGTCTGTGGCGGTGGGCAGAAGTCGCCGTGCCAGACGTGCATTCCTGTGTTCCCTTGGAAGAAACGAGACAAAAAACCTGCTATCTCGTCAAAATGCTGCGACGGGGGTTGTACCAAGAGAGTCTGGAAAGGTTTGAAGATCAGTTTTCATGTGTTTTTGCCCCCTCCGTTCGTCCGAGAACGTGGATAGTAGCCGTGAAAAGGGCAAACCAGACGCTGTCGAACTACGATTGCGTGCGCGGGCAACACTTTGTGGTCGCCAGATGTATTTGCTTTGTTCCAACATAAACGAGAGAAAACCGCCAAGTTGTCCGAACCACCCACGGGTTCAGTGCGTCTTCAAATTCACACGGCCGCCTGATCGTTCGAACTTTCGTCTGCTCTTTCAAACGTCTGCTTTTTGTCGTCTGCTCGTTCAAACAAAAGCGGCCCGTAGACCAAACTTTGACCCGGTGATTGCAATAAGAAGTAATTGCACACCTCAAAAGACTTAAGTAGGCTCGGTGTAAAAAGTAGATACAAGATGTCGAACATTGGTACCGATGGTCATCACCGACTTGTTACGCTTGGTCTGTTCCCGCTTCCGATTTTCAGTATCGACGTCGATCATCGCCGCTACCTTCTACACTTTTGCAACACGAGCGACGTCGCTACCGAAAATAGCTGGAAGAATCTCATCATGGTTTTGGCGTCCATTCTGCGGCGTTCATGCGAATGAATCGCCGCACGTCAAATTATTTACGGAAAGTTTAGCGGCGTAACGAGCCTTGATAATTTCGCTTAAGTGATTAAAGTGGTAAGAAATTGCGATGAGGACGTAGAATCGACAATTCCAACGCGAAAAAGAGTAGGCAGACTCACACAGACGCCGACAACGTGACATTCGAGTGGTTTGTTGACGCGGGACGCGGTGCTTCTTGCCCGTACCCCATTACGCATGCGCTCGAACTGTCGTCTGCTCTTTCAAATTTGGCTGATTTTTGTCGTCAGCTCGTTCAAACGACAGCGGCCCGGAAACCAAACGTTGACCCGGTAATTGCGATAAAAACTAAGAGCAGGCCTCAAAACACTTTTGAAGGTTGGTTGGGGTAAGTAGGCTAAGTGTAAACAGATACAAGAAGATGTTTATCACTATTGTTACCAGTGGCCATCACCGACTTGTAATGCCCGATTCTACTTGCGGTTTTCAGTATCGACGTCCACCATCTCAGCTACGGTCCACGCTTTTGCAGTCCGAGCAACGTCGCGTCTGAAAACAGCGAGCAGAATCTCATCGTGGGAGTCGGGCTTTAGCGCCCATTCTGTGGCGTCCACGTGAAATGAATCGGCGCACGTCACATTATTCACGCAAAGTTTTGCCTCGTTAGTTTTGCTGAAGCCGCTCAAATAGTCAGACATTGTTAGGAGGACGTAGCATCAACAATTCCAACGCGAAAAAGAGCACGGGGACTCCCACCGACGCCGACAACAACGCAATTCAATGGTTTGTTTATGGGCGACGGCGGGCTTCTTGCCCACCATCCACCGCGCATGCGCGGCGCCGGTGGCGTCCGCTAGGGGCGCTCCGGTTTGTTTGTAAACATGAGTTGGTGTATAGTGAGGGTCAGGAATGCGTGCTGGTATACCAGTTGCTGAGCCTTGGTATACCAGCACGGCCTAAAAAAGGACAGGGTGTTCCCTTTTAGCTGCACCAAATATTTAAATACGGGGACAAGTTATATAAATGCGGTTTTCACCGTGTCTTTATATGGCTCGGCGGTCTTTAGATGGGAATATAACCATCACTATTTTTAGACTAATTAACTAAAATTTGATCATTAACTTTTTAATTATTGTAATTAAGATATGTAGTTTTTTTTTAGCTTTACAGATCTGTTAAAAAAAAGTCGTGAAAGCTACACTTTTACTGTTTGTGCATTTGAGTTACATTGCCAGGGGGCATAGTATAGGGGGATAATCGTAACAGTCAGTCGGCTAATTAAGTAAAATCTGTTAATTACATTTTTAATTAGTGAAAATAGACATGGTTCCATTTAGAAACTTGCTGAACGTCATCCAAAACCACTAAATCAATATTTTTTTTAGATACTTTAAACACGTGGGAAGCGTAGTAGTGCGCTGAAGGTACCACTCATGCAGCAGGTACAAGGCTGGGGCTCTGATAAGAGACGGTAAAATCACATGGGCATCTTATTGTTCCGGACGCCTTGCTCTTGCTGCACAAGTGGTAACTTTAGTGCACTACTACGCTTCTCACGCGCTCAAAGTCTTTCTGAAAATTACTGATCTAGTGGTTTTCGATGACGCTCAACAAGTTTCAAATTGGAAACGTAGGTCTATTTTTACAAATTAAAATGTTAATTAATAAATTTTACTTATTTAGCCAACTGATCATTACGATTCGCCCCCTATACTAACTCCTCCTGGCCGTATAACTCACCTGCACAAACCGCATAAGTGTAACTTTCATGGCATTTTTTTAAACAAATCTGTAAAGCTTAAAAAAAAAAACACCTTGTACGTTCATATTTCAAACTTTGAGGCGGTCGTATGGAGGAGGAGGTCGATGGGTCAGAAGAAGAAAAAGTGAAAGGTTCGCAGATCACCCGGAACAATATTCATTTATCAAATCGAAACAGGCAGGGTTGGGGATCAAAACCCAGGATTCCTGGGTTTTCCAGCGCGATCTTGCACACCAGATACTCCAAGTGGCAAAGCCAATATTCACTCGGCTGCCAATCTTTATTGTTTAACTTTTTTTTCTTTGTGATCGTGCAGGTATGTGGCGTACTGCATGAAGATGACCAACACACTCGTAGCGGCCGGAGTCCGACCCATCCTGGTGTTCGATGGTCAGCGGTTGCCGTCCAAGCAGCTGACTGAGCGAAAGCGCCGAGAGTGAGTATGATTACTTTCATTTGTTATATTTAGAAGACGCGTTCATGTTTCTTCAAGTCTCTATCGTAGAACGAGGGACTGGTGTCCTGGGAAGGGTTGATCGCTAGGTTGGAAGTCATCATCATAATAACCACGATCTGTAGAGAACTGTAAACGTTTTGAGAAGAGGCGGTGCGCGGAAAGTTTTTCTGTAATTTTGGCATGGATCCGACACACTTGGCTTTGCTATCTGTTCAGATCACCCGAGAGTAACGCAAGTTTCACCTTCAAACTGAACTAGTAGTGGCGTCTGCACTTCAAGTAAAACATATAAACATGGAAAGTGTTTGGTTTGGGCTAAAGAAATGTTGTGCATTCGCCTAGTCGCCTCAACATTTATGTGTAAAGCATGGGTTCATGACAAGCTGTCTTTCAAACAAACATTTTGCACCAAACAAAAAAAAAAAATTTTTGTACCTTTTGTTTTGTTGGAGGGTGTTTTTTTATAAAGTGGCTGTCCAGTGTCGCATCTGTAGTTCGTTTCACTTTATGTGCGAGCGAAGCTGAAAGTATACAAGCACAAGCGTGCTGTTCTGAACGATGCCTGCGCTGCGACAGGGACGTTGAAAACGCGTTGCTCGCTCTTATATCTTCTGCTACGCTCGCACTTCAAGTGAAACGGAGAAAGGTTTTCCTCTCTGTGCCATACTTTTTTTTTATGTAAAGGTTAACTGCTCATTATTCTTGTTGACAGGCAGCGTGAGACCAATCGCCAGAAAGCGAAGCAGTTCCTGATCGAGGGGCGCATCAAGGAGGCACGAGAATGCTACCAGAGGGCAGTGGACATCACCCCCGAAATGGCGCTCGACCTCATCAAGGTATCCATTAGGCGCATGCAGCAACCTTCCTTACGCTGCAATGAAAGGCAGAAGCTCCACTCCATTTCATCGGGAGCTTAATGGATTGCGGGATGAATGGATGGATGCTAATGGTTTTACCCTCTATAACGGGTGGTAGCTTGCACCACCTAGACTAGAAATCAAAAGTATTATTCCTCCCCTTGCCCTAGGCAGTTTGAGATATCATCAGGATGACCTTTGGGGGATCGAGCAAAAAAACACAAAACATCACCCCCCGCCTCCTTCCCCCAGCAAGGAAGTCGCCGATTTTCCTCTAGTTAAACATATTTTGTGTTACCCCAACATTGTGCCCACTGTTTGTGAGGATTGAGACTTTGGGCCGGAGCCACACAAGAGGGAGTCCCAATTATTCCCCTGTCCCGCCTGTCCTCAGCTGTACTAGTTAGCCCTCAGCGGCCGACTAGCTTTTGGAGTGTGGCTGCTTGCAATCCCGTAAAGAGCATTGGACGACTTTTCCTATGGGCGTGTGTACAGGGTGTCTGAGAAAAGAATTTACAGTTGTTTCCTTTTCACGGCAAGAATAAGTGAAGCATTGCCGAACGCTCAGTCTCTACCCAGATGTAGCGCTAGCGGTCGGAACCAGATGCCAGTTTCAGAGCTTGCCATTACCAAGTTCAAGAGTGATAACCGATTCTTCTGAAATTTTCAATGAGAAAATGCTGTTTGCTCCCGGTAGCCAGCACCATTTGGCTTCATGTATTTCTGGGCTCTGTTGACCCCCATTTCCTCATTAAAAATTTTTTTAAATAATTTATAACTTTTGTGTTGGAGAACTGCAAGCCCTGTAAACTCTGTCATCTGCTCCGAACCTACAGCGCTACGTTTGGACAGGAGTGACTGAGCGTTCAGTGTCACATAGTTTACTTTTGCAGTAAAAAAAAAAGTATTTACTTTTTTTCCCAGACACCCATTTTCTGGGTCCCCATGAGCCAGAGCAGGATAAAGTTCACTGTGGCCCTGGTGTAGGTCGGCTTCCCCGTCAGCCTCATTGCCGCTGCTGTCTGCCGTGCACGTTCGTCTGGGTTCGGTGACTGCGTGTCCTCTCTCTTCCGTCCCGTCTTTGTGCGCCGTACGTTTTTAATCGTGTTCTCCCCCCACCACATTTTCCCTCTGTCGCAGGAATGCAGGAGGAGAGGAATCGACTACATTGTGGCACCTTACGAAGCAGACGCGCAGCTGGCGTACTTGACGCAGCGTGGGTTGGCCGACGTGGTGATCACGGAGGACTCAGACCTGATACTTTTCGGCTGCGAGAAGGTGCGGAAACCTTGAGAGAGCCAACCGCGTCTTCGCAATATTTTCTCCCTGTAAGGGAAGGGATTCAACCGTCGCACGCCCGGCGGCTTAGCCGAGGACTGCGCTTGGGGGGACGGCACCAACATTGTTTTCATTTCTGACACAGCGCGAGGCTCACGTAGCCGAGCGCCACGTCGGCGTTTGACTGGAGATCGCGTGCCAACGTGGTGCTCGTTTTCTAATAGTTGCTCAGTGCTCGATTGGGGAAGACGACGTAAACGATCCAGTCCACAGATCCTTTTTCGGGTAAATGCCAAACTCCGTGGAAGACAAGTTGGACGAAGCGTCCAACGTAGAGATGCTTTTTGCGTGTCAGTCACATAGAGCCGCTTCCAGTCGGTGCGCCCTCCAAGCCGACATTGGTGGCCTCTATGTTTTCATTCCTGAATTGCTGTTGGGGAGGAGGGAAGTGAAAGCTTGCAATCTTTACGGCTTGTTCGGACGTTTTATGACGAGACAGTTGCCACGGCAGCTTGGGATCTCAGACGTCATTTTTTTTTAGTAGACCTTAGCCGTCCGTTGACGTATAACTATGAGCCAAATGCTCCCCGGCACGTGCATCGTTGTTTACAAGGTTCTTCAACCTCTGCCCCGCTTTACTGCTTAATGCCGAGACCAGAAAAGGTTCCTTGAGATCGAAATGTTTCGAAATCCCCGTTGTAGCAGAGTGCAAGTTCACGCTCGGACGCAAACGTCCAAACCGGCCTTTAAGATCTCCCTTACACGCGTTGCACGGACCGCCAGTAAACATCTACGGGAAGATGCGTCCCGTCTCTCGTCAGTGCGACTTCCCTTTGCTTTTTCGGGCTTTACTCCGTCAGAGCCTCGTGTTTCAGGTAGTGTTCAAGATGGACCAGGGCGGCTTCGGCACGCTGTACGAGCGGTCCGCGATAGGCAAGTGCCTGGGAAACTGCGCCGACCGCTTCACCCACGACAAGTTCCGCCAGATGTGCATACTCTCCGGCTGCGACTACCTCCAGAGCCTTCCGGGGATTGGCCTGGCCAAGGCCTGCAAGTTCTTCGGGCTCATCACCAACCCAGACCTGAAGAAGGTGGGTGTCCGTCTTGTGCGGTCCGGCCTCAGTACGGCTTAGCTGTCTTCGGAGCTCTTTAGACTTATTTAGTAGTATGCCACGAATTGCCCTTGAGAAGACATTCTTTGTCTCAGGAAAGGGAGTAAGGACGTGAGGGGAGTGTGGCAAATCGTAAGTACTGGCATCGGTGGTACCGAGAAAAAAAGAGGGACAGAAGAGCGAAAAACCAAAGCAGACAATTTGTAGCAGATGATTTGAAACAAACAGGAGCAAAAGAGCAGACAGACAAACCGAAGAACAGACAGACAAGCAGAAGAATAGACAGATAAACCGAAGAACAGAACAGACAAACAGAGGGACAAAGAACAGACTACAAAGCGGACGATTGGGAAAACGATGCAGACAACACATTAAGCATGTTCATTTTGGCACGACGCTTTGAAGATTTTTTTAGAGTGCTTATCAACTTTAGTTTTTCTTTGTACAGTGCATGATGCTGGTGCTTTCTCGCAAAATAAAGCTAGAGGGGACTGCTGAGTACCACTGACCTTACAAGTTAGACTTTGCTGCTTCTTTGTGTTAATAATGCCCGGTAAGCAATCTGGCCGGTCAGTACCACCGATGTCCGTCTCCCTGCTCCTCCATACTGGGAGGCAACCGAGACAGATGGGAAGACGGCAAACCTCGTCCTCTAGATCAACTGCATGAACTCTATGCGTGCAGTTGAGCCTCAACACAGGTTATTGTTTATGAAGTTTCTCTGGGCCGATTTTCACCCTTGTTACACGAGCCATCGTAACTGTCGGAGTATTGGAATTTGGCAGCCCCAGCTACAATGGACCTTTTGTAGAAACATCGGTTCGAGAGTAAATGGTTCCAGTACTTTCTCTCTCTTCCTTCTGGCCCAGCAGGGAGGGAAGATGGTTTCGTCGTGTCGACTTCGGGGCGGAAGATTACGCACGATGGGGACAAAGGCGAGTTTGGGGGAGCCGTATCTAGATCACAGCGCCGCAATGGGTGAACAGGATGTAGCTGACGTTTTGGGTGTAGAATGGATGCCAGAGGCCTTGCGCACGCGTTGTTTTCTCGCCACTTAGCCTCAAACCCAGTCGCGTGTCTAGGTGGCAGCACATATTCGCCAAGAGGTCCATTGAACTCAATTGACCTGAGATGATATTACACAACTATTTTAGTCTCAATTGAGACCAAAACAAAACCAAATCTGATGTCATGTGATCTCTCTAAATCAGTGCTTCTCAAACATGGATGTGGCCATGGGGGCCCCTTGGGAACATGCCAAAGTGATGGGAGACTCCGTGCCAGCATGGGGAGGAGCGGGGGGGGGGGGGGGGGGGGGGGGTTGAGGGGGTATACAATAAAAAAAAAAAAACTAGACCCTTTTTCACCTCAAGAAGAGAGCAAGTTTTGCGCGTTGTTCATATGCAGCTCAAAGTTGCGCCGCACGAGATTTGGTTGTTGAAGGAAAAAGCAATGCTTTTGGCGTTTGGAATGTGTTTTGTCTTGATAAGATAACATAAATATAATCCAAAATTCACCTTCATATGTCTTAATTATCTACATAAAGGGGGAAATTAGTAATTCTCAACGGGGACCTGGACTTCTTTTACTGTGGTTCTTGGGGTGAAAATGGGTATAATTGCAGTGCGAAAAAGACATCTTTTACTGTTAGAGACAGGAGAAGTGACAAGCATCAAGTAAGAGGATGAATGGATGGATAGATGGTAATGGCTGTACCCTTCATAACAGGCTTCACCCAGCCAGGGTCAACAGAGAAATTTTTTCAACAATGGAAGGGGGGTTGAGGGTTGAGGCGAGGGCTTTGCGTACCCCAGAAATGTCTTTGCACACCAGAGCGGTTCTGAGAACCATTGCCCTAAGTAATGAGAAAAATTTATTATAGACACATTTTTTTATTCTTGATGAGCATTTGAAATGAGATACATACGCGATTCCTTCTTGGAGTAAAGAAATGAGAATTGGAACGCTTCAAGCCAGTGCAGACAGGCAGTGCGCTGTTGTGCTGTCTCCCGCAACCTGCCAAGATCGTTATAAAGGTAGCTCTGACCTCCACACATGTCCTCTCCTACAATATCCACTGTTACATATGTGTCTGGATACCTTACTCCTACATTCCAAAAGAGTAGGTAGTTGAGTTCCACAGTCATGTTATCAACCCACTGACAGTCGGCGCCGCCATTAACTCCTGCCAATCGCGATTGAGTCAACTGCCGTTGGCTCAGTGACAGTGGAGAGCACTTGCGTGACAGGTATCTGTAGTATGTAGCGAATTACCCCTGAGAGGTCATTCTCCGTCGCAGACGCTGCCCAAGCTGCCCTCGTACCTCAAGATGCCGTCACTGACGGTGGATGAGGACTATCTGGAGGGCTTCCTGAAGGCAGAGAATACCTTCCTGCACCAGCTCGTCTTCTGTCCGCTCCAGAACCGCCTGGTGCCCTTGAACCCATACAGGCCGGGCATGGTGCCCGAAGAACTGCCCTACGCTGGACAGTATCCTTGAAGGGGGAACGCACGTCTTCGAGCCTTTTTCTTTATGTTTTGGCGAAACTTTATGAAACTTGCACGAGCTTGTTCAGCTCTTTGCAAATAGTTTGTATGTCCGGTCAAATATTTTCTGTCAGTAGATTAGGCCTGAAGATAAATGAAACTTGCCTATCTTTGTTTTCAAAGGCAATAGGAGAAAAAAAACGGCTCTACACCAAGTTATGTGTGACACATGGCTAGATACTATGAAGTATAAAGAACGCAGTGCTGAATGTACCTTTTAGATAGAACCATTAGTAGGGATTTCACTAAACGAATTTCAGTGCTCAGTCTGTGGCAAGTAATAAAACGATAGATCAATTGAAAAATTTGCTAGACTGATGTCGGTAATTTGCTCTTATCATTGTGTGCTTTGCACATCTTGCTACGTGTTGCAAACAAACTTGTTTCTAGTTGCCCTAGATACTGAGATATGCATCCTTCCTGCAAATTTGGAAATACTGGTTTAGACATAACTTCTTTCATTTCAGGCACCGTTTTAGCATCATTTTCTATGAATTCAACTTACATAGATATTATTCACTGATCTTATGATTCAAGTATTGATAGAGAAAAGTAGAACATTTACAAATAAGAAAAATAGCTGTAAATTCCAAAATTGCCACTTGCAAAAAAAAAAAAAAAAAATTGGCCCATGATTTTTTTTTTAACACAAAATGTGTTTTAGGGCTTGCCTCCATACGATTAGCTTATTGTTACGAAAGAGTGTAACATGCAGGCAGCAAGTCATAGCAGTGGCGGATCCAGGGGAGGGGGAAGGAGGAGAGGAGGGGGGGGAGGGGGTGCGACGGGGGTGGCCGCCCTCCCAAACAAGGTCGACCCTCCTCCCTCCCCCCTTCTCGGAGGGCAATTTGACATGGCTGGACCCCCCTTGCACGAAAGAGAATGAGAGAATAGTATCCTTAAAAATTTTTTGCCACCCCCCAAAACGGAGCTCTGGATCCGCCCCTGAGTCATAGTGAGCAGATACAACACCATCGCATGATCTAAGGATCACACGGTCATAGAAAAGGCATTCCACACCCTGCTGTCTCTTTAGATGCAGAGCTTTCAATGATTTTCACAGTGACCGCTGCTGGTGGTAAGTTATTTATTCTTGGGGAGTTATTTATTTATTGAACATAGTACCCTCAGGCCAGAGGGCATTTGCGTGGTCGTCTGCCGCAAAATCTCCCAGATATCTTGAACACACTTTATGAAGAAAGGGCACTCGGAAATGCAGTGCGTCAGTCCTTGAAGCTTGTAGGACCGCGCACAAAAAGAATTTTGGACTTCATCCTTGACATCTGCGACAAAAAGATATGTTTCGGACGAGCTCGCCTTTCAGATGGCCATTGGAAACGTTGACGTCAACACGGGAACCCAAGTGGACGACTATGTTCCTTTTGATGGAAAGGTTTGAACTACTGCTACACTGTTGCCAATTGTTTAGAAGAAAATATACTTTGAAAGTAAAAGCCACAGGACACACACCAGACTATTTAAGTTGGTGTGGGAGTGACGACATTGATACCATTGTAGTTCATAAAATTGTGCCTTTAAAAAAAAGTTGTTGTTTTTTTTTTTTTTTTTTTTTTTTAGCATTGGAATTTTATTACGTAAAATGTGCTTTTTATGTGCGAGCGCCAATTTTCGAGGCTCGTTTTACATTGCTAAAGTTTGTTGTGGACACCCTATACGTGCGTCTTTGTCTCGTTAATTATGGACGACTTACATTACTAACGATTTTTTAGGGTGATTGGAGGAGTTTATGCTAACGAGACATCACCGTATTTCATTGTTTAACGCAGGTCCTCAGCCTAGAAAAAAGCAAGGACATTGACAAGGAGACAAAGAATCCTGCGAACGGCGACTCTAAGCCCAAAGCGCCAAGGTTGGGGGCGTTTGAGATCACAAAGCGGAGATCTGCTCCCGCGTCGGCTGCGCCCAAGACGACTCCGCGACCTTCGAGGACGCTGAAGTCGATGGAAAACATCGGCGTTGGTCAGTGATTGGTCAATCTATGCACTCTTTGACCCTGTCCTGTTTCTATCGGTCATTATCGTTGCCCTTACATCGCTGGCAATCAAGGTAACAAATCTGTTACACGAGTAGAGGTGGTGCAATCAATTTTAGATCTCAAGGTTTACTGATCAAACAATGCGATTAGAATATTTTTTAGGGGCGAAGCTCCTTAGGGTCTATCCTTGTCCGTCCAGCCGGTGTCCATGCTCACATAAAAAGAAAAAATGTTTGCGCAGTCAACAGGATGCGAACCTGTGCGGGAGACCCCAATGGATTTCTAGTCCATCGCCTTAACCACTCGGCCACGACTGCGGGACGAGTAGGGGGCTCTGAGATGTGGTAGTAACTCAAGAGCTGGGGATGTCATGGATGAAACTTTGCATGTAGCCGCTCAACGTCTATACAGGAGAGGGCGCTGGGATCAAATGCGTATATAATAGCGTTAAACTTTGCATGTATTGGCTGAACGTTTATAGACGAGAGGGCGCTGCGGTCAAATGCTCAAATGCGTATATAACCACGTTCCATACCACACACTCTCTTTCTGACATGGACCGTTGACTTAAGCGGTGGAGATGCGTTCCCACGGCTCCTAGCGGATCCAAGCTGATCCGCTAGAAGAACCACTGGCTGTGCATTTCACCGGCCACAAAGCAGTAATAATGAAGTTGAAACGCAACCCGGAACTCAGCACTACCTATGAGCAATAAAAAAAAGATCAGCACCATCAGCACTACCTATGAACAATAAAATCCGTATCATCATAACCGCCAGAACTTCGCCCCAATCAACATCATTCACCGCGTGGAGATGCAGTCATATTTTTGTTTAACATAACCCACTATACTTCCATCAGAGCCAATCATAGATCGGCGTTCTGACCTCACCACAACCCCTGCAAACGAAGCAGACCAACTTGCACTTTACATACAAGGGCTTTTTTTTTTTTTTTTTCTCTCTCAAAATTGTTCAAGATGACGATGCATGATTAAGTTTGTGATTGACAGATCATGTTATTGATGATTTTTGCATGACACAAGTTTATTTGTGCGCTAATAAGACAAGCATGTCTTGGTGCATGCTGCGTTTGCATGCGGATTGTGCACCGGGTGCTTATTAGTGAAATGAAAAGCTTTTCTTTCACCTGGAATTTTCCCATGTGGAATATGCACTGGGTGTGAACTATAGTCCGGAAAATCCGGTACTTTTGAACCTATCGCGCTGTGAAATTTGACTAGCTTCAAACTTTCTGGTCCTTTTTGTTGGTATGTCTTGTGAGTTTGGGAACAGGCAATTAACGAGTTTGGCCAACCCCAGCCCACATCTAGGATTCAAAGACCATTAAGTTTCGGCTACTTCAACCAGCGTGCGGGCAATTCAGGCACGTGTGCACCGATTTTTCAATCGAACCCCATTACCGTAAAATTCCATAAGGATGCCCTTCCAAAACCAAGATATAAATGGTGAAAAACATGGGTTGGGCAATCTTTAAAGATGAGACAGAAAAACTTATAAAAAAGGTAACAATAAACATAGGGCCAACCGACACAAACCATGCAACATGCAAACTCGTATTGCAGGTCGCGAACACTGCAAATCCGCATTTCATGCCACGATAGACGCGTGAGAATTTGCCGCAAACTCCCGCGTCACGGGAGAGAATATCGCAGATGGCAGACGCAACAGATTCGCCTTTCATGGTGCAATCAACATGCGGAAACCTGTTGCGGGTGTGCATGCCACGGGAGCCAGTATCGCACGCGCCGATTGCGGACAAAAATTGCGGGAACCCGTTACAAACTTGCTTGTCAAACATACCGGTACTACATGTCATGCGACATTGATGAGATACTTGACGAGACATGTGATGATGTCCAACGGGACATCAACACATGTGTGTGCAATGTTTCAGAATTTTCATGTTTTGGATATTTCGCCAGAAAACCAAAATGGGCGATCTCTGAGGTGAGGACGTTAACATGGGATTTTACGGTAGTCTATAAACATCACTTGCTCTTCTGCATCCTGCCGGTTTGACCTTTTACGCTTCGGGTCCTCAGTTCTCGAAACAGATGATGAGGATGACTTTCAACGCAAATCCTCGTGGAAAAGCCCCAAGCGAACTTCCGAGCCCAACAAGCCGAGGACGCCGAAGTCTCCGTCTCCCAGAGTCCAAAACCAGCCCGAGAACATCTTCAAGGTCGCTCCCAAGCCCGCAGTCCTCCGGAGCAGGTGGGGATTTCACCAACCCTAAAGCGACAACTTGCAAGGACATCATGTCCTTGCAAGTTATCCGTGACTCTGTACTTTTTCTTTTTATTGCAATTGGGTATTTTGTACAAATGCTCGTGTGGAATTATGGTTCATTGCAGGTTAAGAAAATGCAAAACAAGCTCCACTCTCACAACCCTCCTCTCTTTCCACTTCAGCAGAGTTAATGTTGGAGAGGAAGAAACCACTAAGCACGGCAAACAGAATTTTTGTGGGAGGTTGGGAGTTTGCCCGCTCTGCTTTTCTTGACGTGCAACAGGCTATATAGCCACAAGAATCTATTGTTATTTTCACCATGGGGAAGGACGGCAGCTTTGCATTTCAACTTACCTCTGTGTCGATTGCCTCTTTTGAAATATTGGAACTCGATTGTACGAAACCCGGTTATATGATATTCTCGATTTAACTAACAAATTCTAATTTCCCCACCGGCTCAATGTTTTTATAAACTCAAAACAACAAAATAAATTTAGCCGTCAACTCAATCTAGCAAAAAAATTTTAAAAAAATTATTTTGTTTAGAATGTTTTGAAGTTTCGTGCTGGCGTGCCAGCATTAAGATCGCAAGACCACATTTTTATTTTTACTGAAACACAAACTTGGCGCTCCGGGCTTTTTGGTAAATTATGCCAGATGGCTCTAGCCGTTTCACGGCGTTTCATTCACGTCGCACGCAATAGATTGCGCCGACGGAGCTCGCAGGTCGCTCGGTTTTAGATCGGTTACTTTCGGTAATGATCCGCCCTCCCGCTAGGTCTAACGACGGGCGCGGCGGATATGAAGGGCAGGGCATCGCCAAGACAAGAAAGGCAGAGAGGTCTTGAGTCGTCGCACCTCCAACGCGAGCCTTCCACTTGGCACTCCCATGTCTCGTGATCTTCGAGCATGCATGCACAACCAATGCGTGACGGCATACAACGAGTGCACACTGGATGCTAGACATCAGAAATGAACAATGACACCGTGCGCTTGTTGTATCAACAACTTCTGCGTCGCCGTAAAACAAAGCCTCGAAGAAAAAAAAGTGTGACCCTCAAAAGAAAATGCAGAAATCATTCGTGCTTGCATCAAAAAGGGCACTCTTTTCGCGTCTCTGGTGGGGTATGTGGACTTCAATGCAAGCCCCAGCTGGGTCTCACAGTTTGCCAACAAAAATACGCAGATTCTCATGTTGAAAAAAAAACAACCTCAGTTCATTTTTTCGAGAGTTTCAAGATTTCCCTCACGCACTTGCAGGGCCGGTCGTCCTCACAAACTAAATTTATACACGAATAAATCACATTTCTGGCACGTGAGCGCTCTGGGAATGGGGTATTGCGGTAGCTTTCCGGATGCCGTACATTCAATCTAGGTTCGTCGAATTTAGTACCTGAAAATGCCATTTTTGGTTTCTTAACGAAGTTCTTGATTTAACTAAGTAATTTGCGGCACTCTTCTGCTTCGTTAGATCAAGTTTTATGTTTGTGTTCTCATTGGTACCATTGTCGCATGCATTGCTTCTTTTCTCGCATTTTAATGTTGCCATTTTTGTTCGGTTGTGTTCCAAAGGTTCTTCTCGTCACCACCGGCAAAATCATCGCAGACGAAGCTGGACGGGACGAAGTTAACCGAATGGCAACGAAAGGTCGACAGCGAAACCGTACCAGACGTCGACCCTCCCCTCTCTCCCGTCGTCCGCCGACTCGCGTCTCCGACGAAATTCCAGTGGGGCTCCACCACCAAGGCAAAAGACTTGCAGACGACGCCGGTCTCTCGCCTTGCGGCCACTCCCTTCAAGAAACTTCGGCTGAGCGATGACAGATTTACGACTCCGGCTCGGAACAACAAAACGTTAGCAGACAAGGAACAAGACGCTAAGCAGACGAACGACGCCCCCGTAGACACTGGGGACAGTTACAAGAGGCTTAGAGACAGCGAGGACGAGATGAATGACACAGACACGTCCAAGAGAATCGACAAGAACCGAAGCACGTCTCTTCTAGATCGTTCCTCCGGTAGTAAGGTTGTACCGCGAGTGCACGACGACGAACATGAACTGGACGAAGATCCGTTGGGAGCGGTGACAGCTGTGGCTGAAAGTGGTCCGCAGAGGGGAAAGGCTCCGTTTAATCCGTTTGCCAAAAGGCTCGTCGCGCTTCCCCCACGAAAAAAGACAGAACAAGGGTTGGAGCTCGGTTCTGACGCAGAGTCTTCCGACGGTGAAGATCCATTGCTCCGTTACTCTATGGCAGCGTCCTGCAAATCCGACCCGAAGATAAAAGCAGACGACCTTGACGAGAGTTTATCTACTTTCTTTGAAGATGAGTCGCCCTTACCGAGGTCGAAGCAAGTTCTGTCTGAGACCAGCGACGCGGTGGATTTCGACCGTGTAGCATCGAGTTGTTGCTCTTCGTTTGACTTTGCCGCGACTCCAAAGAGTGCGCCAAACGTTCGAGAGGAAGGAGAAATGATGTGGTCGTCGTGCGAACTGAAAGGCGGGACTGGGGATAGTGACAGTGATGACCTCACAGTTGTGAAGGAGTTCTTTGTTCAGAAGACGAGAGTCGTGCTGGGAAACGGTGTGGGTGCGAAGCGGTGTGCTCCGAAGAGGCTAATCAAGAAAGGTGGGTGTATTGTCGGTCTTATATATCTGAGTGAATGCTGCACTCTAGTGTAATTGTGGCTGGTTAGTGCTGCTTTATGTTGAGAGATCTGTGTAATGACCCTCTGGTGCGAGCGTGGCTATTTAGCACCTCATGTTGAGTGGTCTGGAAACTATAAGAAATCGCACCAAAATTGCCGCTCTCGCTACGGCGCTTCTCCACGAAATGAGTCAACATATAGCGCGGGGGTTCGGACTCAGCAAAGGATGGAAATACCAACCGCGCAATGGTCCGCATACTGTGTCCGTGTACTGTTCTTCCTGATGTCGGCGATTTTGGTGTCTCTACCACAGCTTCCCGTGCGAAGCAGGATCACAGTAGGCAAAGGGTGTGGAAAGGATCACAGTAGACGACAACCTATGTTGTCGCCTACGTTGTGCCACTGCCACAACCACTCAATCCTCTTCTCTCCCGTGGCATGTCATTGGAAGCATGCCAGGAGACTCTTTCCCTCTTGTAAGAGGGAAAGTGGACAGGACGAGTGAGCAAACCAAGCAAAAAAGCATGGTGGGAACCGCGTCGCAGCATCATTAAATTGTTCAAATCCAATACAAACGTCCACCGTCCAAGCAAAAGACTGCTGAATGCGTCAGGGCAATAAGTGCTAACGCATTTAAAACAATGTGGACATAACATGTTCTTTTGCTATCAAAGTTCAAGCTATGGCTCTTTCAGGAGTAGTTCTTGTCAGTACTGTGCTGAACCCCAGAAAACTGTGCCGAACGATTGCACATGCAATTAGCGGCATTTACGGGAAAAGGTGCTGCTTGTCATTAATTGCATCGTCAAAACTTTTTATGAAAGTGCTGGTCTTTTTCAAAGTGAAAATGTGTCATTCAAGAAATATTCAGTTTATGAATATTTCAGAAAATATCATGCCTCCTTCTTACTTTTTCCTGTGCTACTTCTTCCCGAGGCTGCTGAAGTAGGTTTGGTGTGGCCAGTAAACATCATCCACTTCCAACTTCAAAGTATATTGTGTGGATAGAATTGGTAGCTTGTCTTTACCCCTTCAGATAAGGCAAGATAAATGTTCTATTCGAGGAAAGCGAATTCCGGGGCACGTTTTGTGATCTGGAGTGATGTTATGTATCCGGTGCCATAGGGTGTTAGACTCACCAGAACGAGTTTTTACGAAAAATAAGACGTTTACGGTACATACATTTTATTGCGGTTAATGCTGTCTTATGTACCTTCGATTTAGCGACGGCTACCAAGCCAAGACGACTCGGCCTCTCCAAGGCTAAGCCCAAGAGGGACGCAGCCCAGCCCAGCATTTTGGAGACCCTCGCAAGATTCAAGTTCAAGCAGTGAATGCGTCATCACGTCAGTCACTTATCTTCTTTTAGGATTTATGCGTTTGACCCCCGACAGACCACAGGACAGGTCACCAATGAGTCTATATATTTCATGATTTTTCATACAATAGCTGCTGCATCGTGATTGAAGTGACTGCTTTTTGTTTTTGTGTAATTGGAGGTTGCAAGTTAGTGTAGCGCAAATAAACGTTTTCCAAATTTTCGCTCCCTGTTCGGGTTGCCACAGGCAAAGGGGTGCCCTACGATTGGTCAACTTTCTAGCCGCTACCTCGCAGTTGCGATCTGGACACTAGAAAATGTTTCAATGCTGCTAGCTAAACATGATTCTTTTTTCGTTCGACATTTTACTTGTTGAAATTGTGCACATGCCCGCAGGACATACAGGCACTTGTCTTGTCTCAAACATTTTTGGAATGACAAACGGGTTACTTTTTGGCTAGATTGGAGAGCTTCAACCGAGCGGAAGAGATTTGAGAGCAAACCAGTGGCCCAGAACAGGGGTTATCAGACGTTTTGGTCTTGAGGTACCCCCATCCGGCTCAAATGGGAGCCGAAGAACCCCTTTCGGTCTGCATCAGATGCAATAGAGCAGTGCAACAGCCAACAGAGCTTGTAAACAATAACGCACATACTGGGATCTGTTTGGTTCGTAGTTCTGCATCAGTGGGCGGCCAAGATTTAAAATGGTCCCCAACCCATTGACTACCGTGCGCGGTGAGAGCTTCGAGGCCGTTCATACTGCACATTTCATGCACAAGGATGGAGCTAGTATTTGTGCTATTGTTTGGCTGGTGTAAAATCAAGCTTTTTTTTTTTTCAGTAAGAATAAACAAGAAATGAAGACTCGTTTTTCGGCTCTTGCAGACTGTTAGTCGACAAATCGCCGGGGAAAGAGTCATATTTCTCATGTGGAAAATCTGAGGCATTTGGGCATGTGGAAGAAGGAGTTGATCGCATTCTTCAAGGACTTTCCAGTGATGGGAAGGCGGCTCCGAAAAATCATTACCATCTTTGCTATTGAAAATATGTATAATTATATTATCCAAAAGACTATGCGTATTACTCACTGCCACTATCTTCTAAGTAAACACCAAAATTTATTTAAAAAATTTTAGCAAAAAAATGGCTCAAGTAAACAAAAAAAAAGTGTCTCCACCTGTGGGTATACCCACCTTCACTTCAAGGCACTGTGCGTGGTTAAAAATCGCACATCTGCAGTTTAGCGATTCAAGACTGGTAGCCAAAAGTTTAAGCTGGTAACATGTACTTACGTGCAGGGACAGCTGAGGAAGTTTGGGAAACCAGTGTGGGCACTCTGGAGTACAGTTAGAGAATGCATGCCATAGAACAGCAGTTCTTAAATTTGGGGAAGGGGGGGGCCTTTGCAGCCTCTGAAAGCCGTTTCTAGGTCCAAGCAAAACTTTGACAATGACTGCAAAGCTATATACACCAAGCCATTTGTGTGCCCAGTGATTAGGGCAAATTATTTTTTGTTTCCATGCTTCAATATAGGTCTGCAGTCTTCCTAATCCTGGAACATTGGCAGTTGAGAACAGTGCCCCTAGGGGTGGATTTGCAAAACCAAAGGTCTATCCCAGGGCACCGTAATTCTATGTTGTCTCTACGTAAGCTAAAGCATTTTCGCACTTCAAGCAGCTACGAGCCAAATGCACCCATGGTCCCAGGCAGGACGAGAATGGAAGGGAGGTCAGTCTGTTGTCCCGCCTCCAGCCCGAACGTCCCACCTTCGGCATCGTGCAACGCTTAGTGTTTCCCCAACCGTGAAGCTTGAATGTGCAGCAGAAAGCAATGAAAGGGTGCTGGAGGCTGATCATCCACGAGATATGCCCTGCCCTTCTCACTCTGTCAGCACCAAGGTGTGCAGCATGTTTACCGTCTCTAGGCTGTTTGAGAACCCCTGTGCTAGAATATGGGATTGTCACTTTTAGGGTGCAAGAGTCCTTAACAGAACCTAAAGGTTTAGAAAAATTGGAGTTTCGCAATGTGCATCAGACGTATGTTGCACATCAGAAGAATCAAATATTTTGAAGTGGATGCAACCAGACAGTGGAAACCAATTGATAGCAGCTTGAGCACACAATGAATGATCATGTCTTTATTGTCTCACAGTAGGCAGTGCTGGGCACATGTGCAGTCGTTTTTTAACAGCTAACGCTACACGAGACAATACCAAATACACAGCTCTGAAATATTATTTTTTTTCTTGCGTGGTTAAAAATGTTACGCACCATAAAACAACAAAACGTTGCCAAAAAAGGCAGTTACTGCAACGATAACAATTAGTTCGCCCATTTGTATATATACCGTAAAAACAGTTTAAAATGGCCCAGTCGCAGATCGCTGAAGGGATGGTCACGTCAGCTGGTACCTCCTGAAGGTTTCCTTGGCACCTGAAACAGTTCCACACAGGAATATGATCCAGGCTCGCACAGGGCTACCTGCGAACTTGCAGACTGAACTAACCAGTTAGCCCTACAATTCCACATTTTTGCTCAGACAGACAAATTTTTTGGGAGTAGGGGTTTCTGGAAACCATTCCAGGCTTTCCAATGACGACAACCACCTAATCGTAAACAATTTTCTAGTTTTTGCTGTTCAGGGAATAGCTTTTACGGCAACAAATGCATTGCTTGGGCGTAAGTGCAACGGTCAGACTGGGGTTTTCAAAATTTTCACATTGTAGCCTCATCAAGCATCCTGCTTCAATCTCACCAGTGTTCTCCGACCTGGTGCAAACTAATATTAGAGCGAACCCTCCTTAGTAACGATGAACTGACCCTGAGCTCCACATGCGAGTAACTTTATACACTACCTTGTGTGGCCGCCCTGTACACTATGGTCTTCCCAGTGCTGTCCGTACTGTGTCCCTGAGCCACTATGAGGTACAGGTCCCCCTCGAGAACGAACAGGCCGATGTCGGTCAGTTGAGTCACGGCGATTGCAGCCACAAGCCCAAAGCCGCTCTCCCCTGAAAGCAAATTGAAGAATGTTGGGCAGCACGAGGCAACATTCTTTCCCGCTGGCATACAATCACAATCCATTGAAATGAAGGAGTAGCATCTGGATACCTAACTAGAATTGAGGGGCTACGTGCAATAATGGTACAAGTGCACTTGTACCATTCGTGATATTCACGGTCCCAGGTGTTACACCTATACGTGTGGCACTCCACTTTCGGGAGCTTGGAACACTGTACACTTATATACTCAAAGTTCAAACGCTATATTGACATTGAGATGCACAGATAAAATTATTTAGGGACTTTTTGGCGAGCTCTGCATTTGCACTTGTATGACTATTGCTTAATTGAAGCTTTCACAAATTAAATGTTATAGCTTAACGTTTAGCATGCTAGGTTACCCATAGAAATGTTAACAGCTGCTAAAAGGCTAATCATTGAATTTCTAGAAATCATATGGAAGCCACAAATACTCCCACTAATAACTTCTGGTTAGCTTTCAGCATGACAATTTTACTGCAAAATATGCAGCCAGACTGAAGAAATGGTCTAGCTCAGTTGCTACTGGGTAGTCTTGTGCGAATAGTGGATTTTGAGGTCGAAGCGAATTCGAAGCGAATAGTGGTTTTGGCCGAACATTTTCGAATTGAATATCGAATAGTTTTTCCACACTTTTCACTACCACTGCGTAATGCTTAGATGAAAACCCAGAAAAACTTGTGAAGGTTGTTCCACTTGTTTCCGATGTTTTGGGATGGCAAGTAAACGACAGATTTGACATAAAATGAATCCTATAGAGATGGCCAACTATACCCAATTGAGTGAATTTACAAATCTTGCTATATAAAATATTCTTTCTTTAATCTCGAGTTAAGAAAGAATGAATCGCGCATGATGAATGCAGGCTGTAAGGGCATATCTGCCCAGCATAGTATACTCTTGCATAACAATAAGTTCAATTTTTGAAACTTTTACTACAATGTAAAAACTGCACTCACAAAGTTTCCATTTATTTTCAAATGCAGACTGCATGCGTGCACCATCCCGCTTTGAATGTATGCTTTTTTTTCAAGCACGCAATGGCGAAATTTATACTTTTCCAAGTGTTTATCGCGGCAGGTTACCCCGTTGAGTGTGCTTCTTACCGAGCACCGATGTAATGTAGAGAAGCATCACCCGCGGAGCTCGCTTTCGCGGGTATTGCTTTTCCGCAGTGCTCCGGTGCTCACTAAGAAGCGCACTCAACGGGGCTAACCGAACGCAATCAACACTTCGAAAAACACGAATAGTGCAGTTTTTCTTGAAGCGAATATCGAATAGTGCATTATTCGAAACTACTATTCGAAATTCGGAATATTCACACAACCCTACTATTGGGAGCAAGTGACCAAGGGGCAGTTGTGAATAACAGACTAAGCATTAGGTATGCACGATGAAGTAGGTCAGAAAGCCTTAGAAAGGAGGGATGGTGGACGAACGGAAGAAGAGGTTAATGGTATATTTAAATATCAGATACCTTGTAGTTTGTAGACCACAACCGTAGTGTGGTTTGCAGCAGCCATGTAGACGTCGAGACGAGCTCCGAAGTGCACCACCGCCAACTTTGACACCGAGACCACCGAAAGGGTTTGGAACAGCTCGAAAGGAGAGCTCTTGCTTGCGCATGTGCGGTACACCTGCGATAGATGCAAGCAGCGGGGAGTTCAAGACAAAATTTGAACATAAAACATTGTTTGAGTGCCATGGAACATGACATGTTTAGGGATGGATGTTGCTCTCAAAATATATTGGAGAGAATGACTTTACAAGAGCAAATGTGCTCGGAAGCAAGGAGGGTGGTACAATTTTACTTTACAATGTTTTGTTTTAGATAGCACAACTGTTGCAATGCAAGGTTCAATGCACATGAAATTATTTTCACCTTATGAGGAGCATAAAGCTGGTTCCCAAAACAAAGGCTTTACTTGCAATGAAACTGAACACACGAAGTGCAATTAAAAGATTTGTACATACTGGGCTTCAAATACACATGTCCACGCACGAATGAGTCATTTTGAATAGCAAATAGCTCACCAAGTACAAAGACACGTCCATTATTGTGTAAACTCTAGTCCTGTAGCAACGTAACAATGCGCATCTATCGTTCTTTGAATTTGCAACTTGAAAATGAATAAACTCCAGAAATATGGTGGAACCACCATTAAGTCACCTTTACGAGGCTGGGTTCGCCGCAGTGACTGTAGACATCAACGTCAGTGAACACGGCATAGAGTCGCTCGTTCTTGCTGAAGGATTCGATGGCTGCGCCCCCGTACACCCTCTGAATGACTGTCCAGCGGTCCCGGCCTGTCCGTAGGTAGACAGCTGACCGAATGTTTTCGACAAGGCACGCTTGTGGGTCATAGGTCGATACGACGGCATAAACCGCCCCCTTGAAAGCAAACAGCTTGACAGCTTGGGCACCTACATTTAGAAATGGGGAAAGAATCTAGTTAGCATGATCGGTGTTTAGCATCGACAGCAACAGGGAACATGAGTCAAGGTGCACTTTAGTGCCAAGGGTGACTATGTGAAGCAATGATGTATAGCAGAGGTTCCGAATCTCTTCGATCGGGAGGGAGTCATAGGCGGTTCAGGAGCTTACAGACAACCAGTGTTACACCCCAAAGGGTGTACCACTACTGTCAAATCCCACAAGAATGCCCACCGAAACTGGCTAAATGGTGAAAAACATGGGGTGGGGTATCTTTGGGGATGCGACAGGAACTATTTAAAATTGGTGATAAACACAGAGGCACCTGCTACAAACCACCACAACATTAACTGATACCACAGATAGCAGACAAGGCAAATTCGAGTTTCACGATGCGATTAACACTGGAATTCGCTGCAAAATCTTGTTTGGGAAAGCATACCGCAGGCTGCAAACACAGCAGATTAAGTTTCACAGTGCAATAAACACGCGAGAACCCGCTACAAACTTGTCGTCACGGGAACCGATATCGCGTGCGCAGATCACACTGACAGACAAAAACCCTGGAACCCGCTACAAACTCGCTTGTTAGACTTACCGGTACCGCAGATCACGCAATAGATAGGTCATGGGATATTGCATAACATGGTGTTGGGCAATGTTTCGGAGTTTTATGTTACGGGTATTAAGCGAGAGGAAGGGGATGGGCGATCTCTTGACTGTGGGGGGGCCGCGTCGCGTCCTTACAGGATTTTACGACAGCTACTGGAACTGTAAAAGAGCAAGGTTGGGATGCTAGATAATTTTGGTGTTTGGGGGAGCTCTGGGAAATCTGGGTTCTATGATGGCAGTCTGGGGGAGGAGGGGGAAAGCTTTGAGTGTTTTCACTGTTGCTGAGGCAGCTGTTCTATGATGCAACCTGCTTGCAGTCTGGAAGACTTCTAGGATATCTTCCCCAAACTTTGAAGATTGTTTTGCCATCCCTTTAACAGTCCTGCAGGTTGTCTCGTTGCCCCTCTAACAGTCCTGAAGGTTTCACTGTCGTCTAATAGTGTGCCACGTACCCTGTCCTGGATTGATGGTGCCAATGATTGTAGGTTCAGAGCGTTGCAGAGTGAAACTGAAGACGTCCAAGACACCGTTCTTTGTCAAGCTGGCAACGATGGCACTTGTGGCATCCGCAGCCACGGCAGACATGCTGTGCACGTCGCCGAAGTTGTACAGGACCGCAGTGCCATCAGTCAGGATCCCACCTGTAGGTGAATAGGGGCAGACAATTTGGCTAGAGAGCACATACGAAACAAATAGTAGGCTCTTGCCTTATTTCTTGCAAATTTTAATGTCACCACAAGGCCGAGAAGGCAAAGGAATTCAGTGTTAATATGCAAATAACCATCCGAATTCGAAAGGTGCTGGAAAACTACAAAAACTAAATGCTGCAGTGGAATAAATATACCTATATGGTCGGTCAGAGCTCTTGGAAACACCAAGAGCACACAAGATTAGGTTTGCCATTTTGTAGCATAGATACAAATCAGCCCCTCCGTAGCATAGTTCATGCATAAAAAAGAATTATAATGCCAGTCATCTGTTGCTCTTAACATGACCTTAAATTCTTGTACTTTGATTACAAGGTCACCTGATGTACAGTAAAAATAAGGTGCACGCCTGTAAAAAGGGTGCAGACATTTGGGCAGCAATGTCTCAAAAATGTGAACAATTGTAAATTAACTGGTATGGACGTTTGAGAGACCAACACAGCTATGTCTCGTCAATATGCACCTTTCCATTCCCCCCAAAAATTGCCCATAATGAGACAAAAACTAATATTTAACCGGCTTGTCCCCGAAAATGTTTTATCCATCCATATTTGGTGAGACATGATCGTCAATGATACACCCGACGGGGATTTCTGCGATCCGACTACAGCATAGGAATGTCCCGCCAACGTTTTTCCTCTTCATAATGCGGACGAAATCAGACCTACGTTTAGCCCTGCTGTCCGGCAGCGGCTCTTCCAGCCAGAGCAGCTTTCCCTCGAGGCGGAAATAAATCCGGCGACCCTCGTCGGACGTCACGCTGCTCTCCAGATGCCACCGTTGGTCCGCACCACTCCATCCGAAGTGGAACGCCTGCGCCACCGGCTGACCCACGTGGCTGTCCAAGAGACGGAAGTGGTATACATTGGACTCTGCATCCACCAGCGTGGCTTCCACGTCCAGCGACTGGTGCAGAACAAAATGATCCACCGACGAGTATGAATCTGAAGAGGAAAATGAAGACGACGAGGTCAGAAGTCTGGCTAGTTGGTTATGCATGGTACCGACATGTTACCAGCACCAAAAGGGACCGGGAAAGAGGTGTACACGGACAGCGCAACGAGTGCCATCCATGCCTCGCTCCAAGTCTTGTTTTGTTTTGCCACTTTCCGTACGTCGCGAGCGTTTTATATTGGACGACAAAAACCGGAGATCTAGTATGGCAGTTAACGACGGATGCCTGTAGCTTTAGCTCCCCACCATCTGGGTTCCGATCGCTACTGTTTACAATTGCCTGCCCACCCAGCTTCCCAAATTTTGAGGACACTGTTTTAGTGCATTTCCTATTTTTACCTTCCTTCATTCTTTTTCGGCTTAAAAAAGCTTTTCACAACGTTGTTAAAAACAACGATTTCTCGTAAACAGTGCATTTGTTTGATTTGATCTCGCATATTTCGTAAAACCGTCGTTCTAATGAAGTACAGTTCTGGGGTCGCCTCATAGATGGTGCAAGACACCTCTGCTGCGACAGATGTAGCCAAGGAGACACTTTGCTCTGGAACACAGCGTAACCCACTGTAGAATACAAAGGTCACTCATTTCTTCATCTCTCAACCAGTGTTTTCCAAAGGGGGTGAAATGTGGGTCATCCGGGAGAAAGTGTTGCTCACCCGTCAGGAAGCAGGACAGGCGATCAAGAACAGCCTCATGTTCGCCGATCTTCTGTCCCATGACTGTGGCCAGCTGGTTGGCGGCACGTTCAAAGAGCGAGAGGTCCTTGTGCAGCTGGGGCAGCTGTACTTTGTTGAGTGTGCCCACGAGCTTGATGTTCTTTTGTGCCACAACCGTGTTGAGCTCCAGAGCAGCCGGAATGGTCTGCGGGACGTTGAGGTAGACTGCGTCCCGCACAAGCTTGTTGAAGTCTATGCCGTTGATGAGACCTGTGCAAGGCATTCAGCAAACATTGGGACTTGATTGTATAATTGTCGCTTTGGGAACTATGCAATACAGCGAAAGCTGCAGGGCAGAGAGTGTTCCCGACCTGTTCAAGAGGGAAGAAAGAACGGGAATCCCAACCCTTCTGCCGTTCCTCCTTTCCCACCTCTAGAACAGGTTGGCATACAATCACCTGTAGCTCTGACTGTACTGCATGGTTTTAGTGAGAGTGAGTATAATTACATAAATTTACATAAAATAACATTAGGAATTATAATATCCATACTGCAATAGTAAGGATGGAATTTTCTATGAAAATAAAAACCTAGAACGTAAAATTCTTAGCTAAGCCAGATATAGTATTAGTTGAAATGGCCCCCCTTTTTTAAAGGGACCATGAAGGCTATCCTTACAAGTTTTATTTGACGACCGAAGACACTTAATCAAGTTCTAGTCTGAACAGACGTTTGGGTGCTACACCGATCGAACGGTTATGGTAATAATTGTGCCGGGAACAGTGCTGGAGACCCCTCACCCCCCAAAACGGCGGCAGAAACGTGAACTAAATTACTGTGGGACGTCGATGCACGACGACAACGGGCTCCTCGTCAGGCAGTTGGTCTAAAACAAATGGCGCGCTCTTGGCGTTGCGGCAGCACGTTGGGCGGAGAATCTGAGAGTCCCGCTTCAAGGCGGCGACCGAGGCAAGATGTTGACAGCAAGTCTGGGGTGCCCTCGTAAAGTGCCAATTCAGAGTTTCGAGTCCTGAGAAGGGTCCATTTCTGCCGACGTGAGGTCACTGGACGGGAGCAACTCAGCACAGTGATGTCCTTTTAAGTTTACAGACCGCCGTGCACTCTAGCCAATTGACGGAAGCGCACCGAGCATTCACTAAAGCCTACCGGAAACAGACAGTGCTCTTCGACGTCACGTCCAAATGTTTGCTTCGTTGTAGCAAATTTATTTCCAAGCACAAAAAAAGAAAAAAGTGGAGCTCGAAAAAAAATGAAACCTGATGTAACCAAAAACACCTTTTAAAAAAATTTTAAATTACCTTCATGGTTTTTTTTAACAATGCCTCAAGTTTTAACAAGTTACCCGCAAACCTGTACATAACCAGCAAAGCAAAGCCGTGGGTTCTTGCACTCTCGCATTTATTAATTGGGAAACATTGAACATCAAGGAGCCTTCAAGTGCTTACCTTTAACATTGACATTTGGAGCAATCACATTGGAGGGAGCAATTGTTGTCAACACAGTCTGTGGCGTCTCGAGAGTGACCACCTCCTGGTGAAAAGATGCCCCGTTGACACGGCGTGGCAGAACATTCCTCGTGAAAACTGTAGACTGAAATGAATAAAATGAAAAACGAGACGAGAGGTTACGTGGCATGTCAATTCCGTCACCAAGAAGAGCTACCTGAAGGTCCTTTGTTCCTGGTACTGTCTGGTTAGAATGCACAAACAGTGTGTTCTTCAGGGCTTGTGGCAGGTTGTGCCCGTTGACAAGATCGGACACCGGCACATGGCCCGGCACTTGCAACTCGTCAAACGTTGGGCTATGAAGCTGCTGGTACGGGCAAGCTGCAGTGAAAACGGCAGGCACTGGAGTAAGGAAGGGATGTATTGAAGTGGACAGACTAATTCCCACTATAGTGAAGCAGTTTGTCAAGGAGACTGAAGGAAAAGCAGGAAAGACAATGGAGCTACTTGCAGTTGGTGTGGCAGAGCTGTAGAAGATCATCCGGTACACGAAGCCCATTCAGAAGACCAAGAACAGTCAGATTCTTGTGGACCGTGAAGTGGTCCTTGAAAGTCTTTTCTCCTGTGAGCATGATGAAAGCCCATAATGAGACTTGCACAGTGACAGAATCTGAGATGCGAACTAGCCAACTCACCATACAATTCACACTTCCCGTTGATCCAAACTGCATCCGTCAGCACCATGTCAAGCGCTACGCCATTCACATGCCCTTTCAAGTGAGCCTGTTTAGCCTTGATGGAGCCCTCAAGGAGGAGATCATTGAATGTCTTGGGTGCAGTCGTCTGGAGAAGGTAAACAAGCACCCTTACCTGCAGAAACACTGACGGTGAACAACAAAGGGAAAGGAGCACTCACAAAATGACCGTCGAGGAGAACAATGTCGTTGAACAGGGCGGAGAGGCTTCGATTGTCGTAGTGGCGGACGTCGAGAGAATTGAGGAACTCGACTGGTCCACGGATGACCTTGGTACCGTGGATGTCGTGGTGCCTGGCATGGCAGATTGCCCTATCCTTTAAATAGCGTAACTTGTGACCGTTGACCAGTCCTTCCACATTGATGTCAGTCTCAACTGAGGCCACCTAATATAAAAGCCACACATCAGTCGGCAAGCAACTTCACTTACTTAAAAGGAAATCTCACGTTTTGGATGTCCAAGTCTGAGTGAATGACATTTTCTCTGTCCTCTTTGGCGACCAGCATGTCCAACACAGACAGGTCGATGCCATTGACGTGACCTAAATGCGGGAGATCTCCAAGAACTTTCACATTCTTCTTGAAATGGTAATGACCTAGGGAGGAAATACAATGCCTCACTTCAACCTCGTTCTCGCAGTAATTACCACTTACTGCAATACAGTGTGCTACAAGGTCCATGACAATACCTTGAACACAAGGTGACCTTAGAGAAATAGCAAAAACAATGTTTTGAAAACCTCGTGCACATAAATGATGCTTTATGGACGAGCTTATGTTGTGCAAAGTAGGCTTGAAGCTAGCTTTGTTTAAGAGTGATGAAATAAATTTATATCGAACTAAATAGCCCCCAGTTCAATCTCAAGATTGTCGCCTATACTCTGAAGGTATAGGCGACAAAACAATATCAACAATGGTATTTAGTTTTCAATCGGCATAGAGCATTGTAACCCAGATATGCCATATCATTCGATGGAAGCCATGAACTTTGATCAGAAGAAATCCTACCTGAAGGACATTAATGTGCTGCAAGATGGACTTGTTGATGTTGGAAGTTCAAAAGCCACTTACAGGCCAAACAGTCACAACTGGACATCAAGTGGAACCACTTCAAAGGAAGCGGAACCAGTTGCAATTTAAGTACTCCCACCTTAGAAACCACTTGCAGTTCAAGTGGTCATAAGCGGGACCACTTGAAATCTTGCTTCATATTTTCATCTGGGGAGTCATTTTGGTATGAGCTGTGTGGGCGTGGCACCAGCGTGCACCAACGTCCCCTTAAGTGACTGTGCTAGATGCTGCTGGCACTATCGCTATTTAGACAGCTCTGGGAACATTGCTCTTGTGCCCATTATGGCTGATCTGTTGCCCCCAACTTCCTACAAAATACTTCTCGTCCTTCGTCCCGCAACCCCCCCCCCCCCCCCCCCCCCCCCTCAATGGTGTGCCTTTTTGTTTCTCAAGCTTCCTACCAAGAAATCCTTAAGGGGGGACGTGAACGCAAGTTTAAAAATTTTTTGAAAAAATTCATTTTTCAATTTTGAGGGTTTTGATTTGAGACTAATTACAGTAAATTTCATAACCATGCGTTGAATAGCCACGTTGATATAAACTTTACTTTAAGTACCATTTAGATGTACTTTACCCAACACTGGAAAAAGCTGTTTTCAAAAATTGGCATAGGACAGATACGCATCTCATACTTTGAGGTAATCACTCTTCCTGAATTATTTACATTTGAGTTATAAAAACTAGATAGCCAGAAGTCCCACATCCCCCACTGTATATTCAATCAGTTAAAATGATGCTTAATAGCTTCATTTGCATATTGTAGATTTCTTAACGAAGAGCGACACATCTTATGCAGGTACAGTATGTAAAGTTGTCCGAGAGAGCTGAAAGTTTGCACAGTATGCCATATCTGAAGTTAAATCTCCCTTGCAAATTTCGTTCCGATCACTTGAGTAGTTCAGAAGTTCAACCTCTAGCCAGTGTCTTCCCTTAAACCAAGTCTCCGACGGGAGGCTCCAGTTCAAAAAGAGGTGGATCGCCGATATAAGCAAAAAAAGAACTACTCACCCTTGATACTTTGGTCGGCAGATTTTAGCAGGGCATCGTACGAAAGCATGAGCTCGTTCACGTCGCCAGCGGCAATGTTGCCATGAACTGCTAAGCCTCCGTAGAAGACGCAGTTGCCACGGACCGAAATCCAGCCTCGCTTCGGAACAGTGTCCGCCTCAAATGTGTTGAGGTCTCGTCCATCCAACATGCCACGGATGCTCATCTTCCCGAGCACCACAAATATGTCTTTCATAGCCACTGGCGCACCGATGACTGACTGACCTCGCAGTCCGACAGCGTTTGTGTTGATGAGCTTCAAAGAAACATCATTTACTCCTTTCATAGTCGACACTGGCGCCGAAGACTTGAGAATGCCTGCGAGAAATTAAACATTTGCATCATCAAAACTGTTCAAAATTTAATTGAGCATGTAGCTAGAGAAAGCACAAGCTGTTCAATTCCTTCAGTTTTCGATTTGTAGAACTACTCCACGACACATTAAAAACCCAAGGTGAGCAATCTCAGTGTGCTAGCCAAATTGCAACACCATTTTTTGGCAAACTGGTGTCTCACTGCTTTCTTTAACAGGAGGGCAAATTGATGTAGAAATTGTTGCTTGAAACTACCATGAAATACCAAGCAAGCACCCACTCACAATTTGAAGATAATCGCAAAAAATAGGGAATGGTCACATGTGAGGTCATCAATTTTACGTCGACTATATGTACTGTTCATATTTTTTCAGATTTTGAAAATTTTGGGGGTGGGCGCTTTGTGCTGAATGGGCAAATACATAGTATTCTCTATGGTAGGGAAAGTGAGGGTACTCCAACAAGATAAAACAATTGCTATAAAACAAGAGGTTTGAGGGTTGCTACAAAATACGCGCTTTGGCCGCTAACTTCGCACCTGCTGTCCAAGTCATTGCAGTTGAATTGCCCTTTAAGCTAGGAACAGGGCTTGGTTATAAAGCACACAGTAGCAAGAGTCTAATTACGTGTAACTAAAGTGGCCAGACTAGCGTTGGAGTGTCGTAAACACCGTAGACAAATTGATCTTTTTCGTACCTGAGAAAGTCTTCGAAGCAGTCACAACTTGTAGCCGGGTCCTGGACATCACATTCTGCAAGAAGTCTTGTACCGGTCGGCCATTCATGAGCACAGCATTCAGCGAGGACATTGTCGCGTTGCCAATAGAAAGTGCTCCAGAGACTACTTGATGCCTCGACAAGGTCACCCTCCTCCTATCGATGTCTACAATGTCCACTCCTCCGACGAGTCCCTTAACGCTCACTTGAATTCTCGAATCTAGCAAAGCAGCAGAAAGGCCATGAACCATGTGCTTGGTGCCATAGACTTGTTGGGGAACCGATTTCAGCACAAGGTCTTGCGGAAACAAGAGTCCCTGGATGCGTCCCAGTGTGTAGAGGTGTCCCACTCTTACAGTGTCCAGGAAAAGTGGTTCCGCCGTGATGTTCTGCTCGCTGTGTAGAGTGATGCGCCCAGCAAACACTCTGAAAACCGGGACGTCGTCAACGATTCCGGTGGCTGAAAAACAAAGGTACATGCAAAACCTTTAATACTGATGCACCAATAGAAAGTCCAACATTTCAAGTAGAACAGTGAACAAGGCTGGAGAACATTTCTACAGCGCGCTGGATTTCACACTCTCCCATGTACCCAGCTAAAAGTTCTAATTTTTTTTACACTAAGGCTTGCATCAGATAAGACATCTCAGTAAGCATCACACAACGAGCCTGCCTCCCAACACTACAATTTGATACACTTAAAGGTGCATTACAAACCAGTTTGAGTGAACAGAATATAAAATATGTGGCAATGGTGATACCATGGCACACCCAAACAATTTATCTTAATGAAGCTATGAAATCTGCAATGTTGTGGTTTAAGTGAAACTATGCCAAAAAACTTGATATAACTTACTGGAGTTGAGATCCTTTTCAAAGACAACAGGTCCAGCAAGTGTCTTGGTTCCTGTAATAAAAACTAAACATTTTATTATGAAGTTAGAAAACTATTTTTCATAGTATTACCTCCTACATCCTGGTGGTCTTCGGTGGCCATGAGGTCTTCGAGAAGATTGTAGCCGTTCACTGCTCCCTTTACCGTCATCCGAGAAATATGTGCTCCATTATGGAAGGTTTTTTGTCCAGCCATTGTGATGATGGGGTCACCGGTTGGGAAGATTGCATCATTGTACAGGGAATCCAGAAGGACACTGTTGACCTTAGCATTCACTTGAACAGACTTCCGGACAGTGACAGGAGACTTGAAGATGACATTTGTCTTGACAACCTTGGTCGGTTGTTTGAAGGCGTAACTTGCGAAATCAGACACGTCAACCTGATCGAGAGTTCCTGCTACCACAACATCTCGAGCTGCCTTGATCCCGTTGGCAAATGCGAGTGGAACGTCAATTGCAGATGCATCAGTTACCCTATAGATGTCATTTGGAATAGAAATTCCATCAACGAGGCCTTCCACTGTCGTCACTGTTGTCACGAGTCTCCTAAAGGACTTTCGCCCTTTGACTATTTGTTCGACGTCTTTGAGGAAGAGGTCTTGGGGCACGGCTAAACGGTTGAGTCTTCCGAAGACATGCAGTTGCTTCCGAGCCTCGAAGCCACCGGTGAAGTGTTTGAAGCCCGTGATGCTTGCTGGCCAGTCCATTCGAACAAAGCGACCACCGATATCACTAACATCGATGCCATTCAGAACTGGAGCAAACACTGACTTGGCGTGGACATCCCTCGTGAACTTGAGGACTCCGGAAGCAACCTGGTCATCTACCACATTCAGAGACGTTGCGACTGCCTTGACGATGTCCACCCCGTCCACACTGTGGGCGGAAAGTTCCTTCACGACGTTTACGACAGCAAAGCTCTTTGAAGCCGAGACATAGTGAGTTCCTGCCAATGTGACCAGACTGGAAAGCTTAATGCCATTCAGTGTTCCTTCCAAGGCAGAGTCTTTGAGAATCTCCAGAGGCCTGGCAAAGGTGGTTAGACCTGAAAAATGAAACGGGCAGGTATGAGGAGGGGACTGGAAAGGAAACTGCACGAATATGAGCATTTCCACTTTACTGCCAATACTATACACTACCAGCACATGGAACGTGGTAACCTGATGTAATGCTCAAATAGGACATGGAGTTTCGATGGTACTCCTCTTAAGCATCGCACACTTCGCTATTTGCAACTCCAACGCCCTATAGGTGGCGGGGCGGTAGTTCCAAGATGGCGGAAGAGACTGGGATAGATTCTCCAGGATTTCCCATGCGCCGGCTCGCTGACACTGGTCAGCGTGCTAAAAACAATTTTTCTACAGTCCTATATGCAACACTGTTGCAAGGTGGAGCACAAGAAATCCTATTTTAACGCTCTCACTTTTCGTTAAAACGACTTCACGCGTCAAGGCCCACAGTCCCTGCCACCGTTTCCACGTCGCCGCCGCCCCCACTCCTCTGGTTGTTTGTTCATCCGCAAGAGGGCAAGCGGCAGGCTGGAGTTGCGAATAGGGAACTTGAAAATGCTCTTTTCTGGAAAAACATTCACCTACCCTCATTTCAGACTGCTTTTGGAAATTATATCCAAGGGTAAAAATAAGGACAGCTTCTTGAAGCCGTATTTTAATTTTATATGCTGGATCGAACCTATTAGACTGAAGAAAACTTGCCATGAAGAGTGTGGTGCCGGTCAGTGGTGACTGCTGCTGCAAGATCCAAGCCGTTGATAGAGGGCGACTGGAGTGTGTTCCTCACCCTAGCAGGTCTTGCAAGGGTGATCCTTCCAGTGATGGGTGTAGGCTTGTTCATCCTTCAAAGAGCCATTCGGGATTAGCAGGGCAATATTCTCAAAAGATTAGTGCACAATTTTTTTTTTAACACACCATTAGCTGTGAGGTTGAAGCAATTCAGTAGGTATGTATATCAAGAGTAAAAGCACCATTACACATTACAGATATTGTCAAGAAAAGCACACAGATTTGCACTATTTTCAGCATTCATCGATGCGGTTCTATGTGGCGATACAGTTAACAAAGAAAAAAGGGGTCGTAAAAGTGCCCGTGTTAAGGCGATGAGGCATAATGAATTTGTAATGTTTTTGTTTTTTTCTCATTTCAGTATCACAGTTTGCAGATGTAACATTTGTCAATACCAATGAAGTAATGATCATGTAGCGAAATTATTTCAGGAATGTATGAGTTATAGTAATGCATCTAGACTGAGCATCACTTTGATATCCCATCTTAGAGTAGCTTATATAATACAGGGTTCTACCTAGCGCAGTGCAGCAAGCTGAAGCATGCTTCAAAGAGTCGTGAAGTAAATTAGCCTTTAGTGTCCCCACGTGCAGTTATATCGATGTGCTGCACTCCGAGTTGGGTTGTGTTGCTGCGAATAACCGGCAATCTGCTGCAGATGCAATATTTCCAAGTTGTTTTATATTTGCAACTTCAACCATTTAGTTGTTTGGGTTCATCATCTAAGCACTACGTTTCCGCAAAATTTGAGGCACTGGAAACCCACAAAGTAGGCTCCAAGGTCAATCATCCATGGTCTTCTGGAAGGGCTCAAGCCAGATTAGAACCAGCTCGTTCACGATTGAAAGAAAAAAATGGAAGTGCGAATGCTCAATACCATCTGGCTAGAATGGGGAGCTCAAGTTTGTCTGCTTCGTGCACAGGGGTTTTAATTATGTCAGAATGCTGAGCTCTCATTGGGCAATTGAAAATATTTGGTAGACTTCAAGGCATTTAGCTTTCAGGCCTACGCACTATCCCTTCAAAGCCAATCGGAGCTCGAAGTCGTTTTGACATCACCGCAACTCCTGCCAACGTTATTAGAATACCTCAGTTGTGGAACTCTCGCAGAAGGGGGTTATCCTCTCACTCGCTTCAGTCCGCGTCCCATTGTTCAAAGCGCCATCTAGATTTTCGTTTATGAACTGCGTGTTCCATAGAGCACAGTGGAACGCCATCTAGACGCTGCGCTTCGAAACTTACGCATCCCATAGAATACACTGCAGTTACGAAAGCAGCCATCTGGCGCTCCGAACGTCGCGGTGAGTGAAGGGGGACGGGTTCTGCTTATGCATGCAGCATCTATGAGCATTTCTCTAACTGAGCTAATCTAACAACGTTGACTCCTGCACAAGAAGCGGATGACTCTCTGCTATGGGCAGGAGTTGGCAGTTAAGGAGTCTAACAGAGCCGTTCAGGTTCTGGCACTATGTGACAGTACTGCATGATCAATCTGAAAACAAAATCACTGCTGTGCGGCGGAGGAAGTGCAGAGGGCACAAAAAGGTGCAGCGGTCGTTCCCTCCCCCTCCCTAACACCTTAGAAAGACTATGCGAAATTGCTTGGTGGTCCGATAACACTGAGAGCATTGCCATTTATGTTGGCAAGAGTCGTCTGTACCGAAGCACAGTGGAGGCATCGGAGACAAGTGTATGGGCAGCGTGTGATGGCACGGAAGCAGTGTTTTCCGCTTGACCATGGAATGTGAACGAACAACTTGAACTACCGCAACTGTCCGACGAAACTCTCGGAGGCCTGTGCACGCTGGCGACAACCTCGTTGAAGCAGCGGAGCAAGTCCTACACCTTCGCTGTGGAAGTCTACACAGTGCAGGTTGTTGAATGTGCACAGGCCTCAGAGCTTCGTGAGACAATTGCAGTAGATTGTTTATATTGATCGTCCACAATCCACGGTCAGAAGGCAGAAAACACAGCTGCCGCACCATGGCACACTGCATTGTCTCCGTTGCCGTCGCTGTGCTCCGGTACCGACGACTCTTGCCAACATTGAAATGGTGATGCTCCCAGTGTTGTCAGACCACCAAGCGATTTTGCATAAGGCGAATTTCGCATATGTCCACATCCAAAGAAATTCCTGGAGAGAACTAAGTTTTCATAATATTTAAATTCTTAGTAGACACTGTTAACAGTAAGTGACTGCATATGAGCTTAAACAATGAAATGCTATTTAGGTTCAAAATGGTGGTACCAATGGCTGTTTGCAAGGTATAGTTTATGAAAACAGCAATATTCTACCCACAGTAGAGTGAAAAGTAATTGTAAGAACATCATAGCAGTATAAAACAAAATGTAAAGAAGATGACTGCCATACCAGTACAAGTTTCTGAAGAGGTCAGTGGTGAGGACGCCTTGGATAGTGTCAAGATTGGCCTCTGCAGTCTTTAACAATTGTGTTGACAGACATCCTTGGACTGTTTTGGGCATGGTGATTGTGACCGGCTGGCTTTTGAACACGGCGTCTGCAAGACAGTTCGGCCGTCTTTGAGTTCTGAGCACCAGGCAAGTCATTGGAAGGTAAAGCCAAGATGCAAGCAAGCTGGTTGCCCCATCTGTCCCCACACTAAAGCCAGAAATGCAGCCTATAAAGGGGCAGAACTGCCAACATTTCATGCTCCTCAATTATAGTTTCAAATCTATGCCTGACCTATACAATTGCTATTACACAAAACAGTAAAAGATGGCACTACTTTTAGCCTCAGTCCTGCTGCTTGCATATTGCAATACAAGTACATAAGTTCAAGGACCAATGGAACTTGAAGCTTCTCTACAATATAAACTAGTACCTAATGCTCACAATAGTGAAATATTGATGCATAATTATAAAGGTAGTATATCTTGCAAGCCATTTACAAATTAGCAGAGTTGCAAGGAGGAATTGTGTACCTTTGAGGGACGATGTCAGCCTGCGGAGGTTGAAACCGATTTCACTGATGGCTCTCTGGAGCTCCGGCATTCTTGCGTACAGTTTGTTCATGGACACTGGCGAGCCTTCCATGGAGAGACCTTGTGGTAGCTTTGCAAAACCCATGGAGACTGGTCCATTGACAAGGACGGACCGAATTACTTGCTTTACGCGGACCACATTCACTGGCGTCTTTGAGCTGATGGCGTGACGCAGTGTGTTCGATGCTTGCCCGAGCAAAACTTGCTGCTGGTCCAGTTGCTCCTTTGACAACAAGGAAGATTTGTTGTTAGATGTGAAGCAAGCGAAGAACATGTGGCAGGGTTTTAATTAATGTGAAACCTTCAGCTAGTTGCGCAGCATATCATGAAGCCCAAAAAGTGAAGAGACTGGGCACTGATGGTTGACGGGGGGAGGAGGAATGAAGAGACTGGACGCTGATGGCTAACAGGGGAGATCACATGGCTAGAGGAGTTCCTCTTTTGCACCGACAGAGGAAGCTTAACGCACTAACAGGGGAAGGTCACGTGGCTACAAGTTTGTGAGGAGGTGTTCACAAGCTTGAGCAGGGGCACACTGACTGAGGAGTGATTAGCAGTATCGCGTCATTCCAGAACTGCTATAAGTGGGTATGGTACCGGTCTTGCGAAGAGCGCCGCGAACTTGGGCGTTTAGGTGCACAGAATCTCCGACGAACCGCTGAGCAATAAGCCAGAACGTTTCACGTATGCAATACAATTCCAAAGCTCTTTCTGAGCAGGTTTGTAAAATTTTATATTGTCCAGGATAGAAAAATACATGTGTAGTCTCATTGTGCCCACCCTAGGAAGGCCAAGAAACTGCATCCTTGAACTGAGTTGTACTACATCAGCACTTTTACAACAAGGCTCCTTTTACGGCATTTGCCTTGGGAGTTTTAGCATGTGAAAATGAGTCTAGCTGGAGCTGGACTATAGAAGTTGTCCCAGCAGGATCCATGGGACCAGTTCGGTAGTCCATTTGGACTGACTTACCAGGGAGTGGACATTAAAACCAACGAAGGACAATCACAGGCAATCGACAATGCTGAATATAACGGAACTAGCAACATACCTTGGCAATTCTCATTCGGAGAACCAGCTGTGATCCCTTTTCTTGAACGGGATTGGGGAGGAGGACGACCTTGGTGGACACCATGAGGGACTTTGCACCTCCCTTAAGAGCATCCGTGAAGAAGAGCCAAGCATTGTCCTTGAGACTGAATGAAGAAAGGCTGTCCTTGAGAGCCAGGAAGCCTCCAAGAGGAACAGTCCCTATGGAAAGATTTGCTCTGAAGAATTAGCTGGCAAATTATGGCACACAATACTTTAAAGGAACTTCTTGAGAGCCGGAAAACCTCCAATCTGCTGGCAAAGATGGTACAACACTTCAAAGAGAATTATGCTCGAAGGATCACAATCTTTAATAGAAAAGAATTCACTTGAACCCTTTACTCAGCCAAAGCAGGACCCTAGTGAAAAACGAATTTGTGAGAAATTTCTTGAGTCCAATAAACACATTAATCATACAAGATATATAAGAACATATACGAACCGTAATAAGAACTGTACAAGATATATAAAACATTAGGAGCATATAAGAAACTTCTCACGAGTTTCTTTTATGGTTATTATATGTTCTTATACATCTTTCATAGTTCTTCTATAGTTCTTATATGCTTCTTATATGTTATATATCTTGCATGATTCATATGTGTTTATTGGACACAATAAATTTCTCGTACAAATGAGATTTTTCAACAAGGGAACCATACTGCAGGAATGATTCAGCCTTTCACTAACCTCTTTGAATCTCCATGAACTGCCTCAGTTCGGAAGACCATGCAAACAGCTTCATTGGGTATGTTGCATCATTCGTGGCCAGTGTTAGCAGCACGTCATCCCTACATGAGCCTAGAGCAACAGGGTGCCACTGGAACCCGTCACGAATGGAGAAAACTTGGCTTAAGTGAAAACCTCCTCCACGCCAGACGTAGAGAAACTGGTCCTTGAAACCCGCTATGGCCAGGAAAGACTCGAAGCCGACTCTGAAGAGGGCGATGTCTGTCAGGTCTGCACCATGCAAGCTAAAGCGTTGAAAAGGAGCAAGCAATACTGTTAGTTTACTCTGTCATTAAAGTGAAAAGTCTGTAGTGCTGGAACTTCTTTGAACTCTAGTGAGCTCAGTGTAGGACAATCGAGCATTTGGAGGACAATGATTTTGTAGAATATTTCCCTTGAAAGTGAATCTGCTTGAAATATTGATCTGGGGATATCAACTGCATCAATATCTTTGATGCAAGCAACAAACTGCAGGAATCAGTAAAATATATGAGCATATGTGCTCGGAAATGGTTTAAATGTTTCCATAGATGTTTGTTTCGTTTTTTTTTTTTTTTTTCCTTTTTTAAGTTGCTGCGTGCTTTAAAAGTTGCAATTTATGCACTCACATGTCGAAGACCCTGAAATTGCTCGCCAGTTCGTCAGACCGATACACCACCACCGTGGTGGCATTGCTCACGGTGATGTAACCGTAGCCGCTGATGGTTGTAGTCTCGAGGTCAGTTGCCATTGGCATATGGAGCTTGACAATATGGCTCAGCACCATTCCTCCTAGGAAAAATCGGCATTGAGAGCACAACCTCGCACATATGGCACAAGCGAAAACTGACTAGAGAAACAAAAAAATTCGGAGTCTGCTGGCTGTTTTCCGTGACTGTCTTGTCTGACCACTGCGATCTGCCAAATAACTGGTCGAAAATTGGGACCTTTGTCAACAATATTTTTAACACAATTCGCAGCATTGAAAGGATTTTCTATGTTGAGTTTTTGTGCATTGGCTTTCACATCTAGTTTTCAGATTGCTTTTTTTTTTTTTTTTTGTCTTCGATTTTAGCGCATCATGAGCACAGTGAACTAACAAAGCGAATGAAAGCGAAAGCGTGCATTTTCAGCGGGGTCACGTGATTTGTGTGAATTTCCCGGGGCTCAATTTTCGAAACATGAACGTACAGAAAAAAAAAATGGAGAGAAATGCTTCTATAAAGAAGCCAACATACCCTGGCGAATGTCGGTGAAGCCGATGTCTGCAAAGGCAGATGGGAAGAGCACAACGAGCGCACCTTCTTGTTGAGACTGGAGCCAGCGAATTTTTATAGGAACTTCTCCCAACGGCAACGAAAAAAGCTGCGCGAAAAGAAAGCAACACAATTTTATAAGAGCCGGCATTTTTTTTTTTTTCTTTTTTTTCTTTTGGTGGCCGGCGGCATTTGTGTTTGCGAAAAAGATCTAAATTTACATTTTCCCCATTAGCTGAGAGAAACTGCACCTAAAGTCACATCGGCTTCGACGCGTCATCGTTCCAAGGAGCGCCACCCCACAGAGAAGCCTTCTCCTGGCACTGCGGCCCGCGGGCCAATAAAAGGGAGGGGGATGGGGGGGGGGGGGGGGGGGGGGGGGGCGCGCGCGGCCGCCGCTCTCTTCTTGGGTCACGTGTCAGGCGTGGCCAGGAAAAAAAAAGGGGGGGGGGGGCAATTCCCGCTCCTTCTGCACTACTGTATCACGTGTTCTATGCTCTGCTTTCAGCCATGTCGCCCCGCCCGGCCGCCCAAGCAGGCCAATGGCAATGATCATAGACAGGGGCCAGCCATTGGCCGATGACTGGCCTTTGGTCATTGGCCAATGGCCGTCAGCCATCGGCCAAACATTGGTCGATGAATGGCCACTCTTTGGCCATTGGCCAAAAGACCATCGCCAGCCATTGGTGAGTGCTTGGCCAAAAGTTGTGCGGCTTGGGCGGCCTCTGCGGAGGACAGCAAGGCACGCTCTTGTAGGAATGCGCTGCGTCTAGGAATGCTTTCGCATTTTTGCACGTAAGCAGTTTTAAGGGTCCTGTAATTTGTTTATTTTACACACACCAGATAATTACACCCTTGAGGGTGTGGAAAGGGTGTTCCAAGTTAACCCATGGTTACACCTGTTCAGCGCTTATTTCTAGCAGTATGCCCTTTTTTTTATCCCACATAGGGTGCTGTGGCATAGAAGACCCTTTATTTTTTAAGGAGTAAAAACGGTGTGCAAAACTGTGCTGTTTCTCAAAAAGGTGTAAGCGACCGTACACCCGAACGGCTTTTATGTGGAAGGGGGTTCCGATTGTATTGAAGGAGTAATGTCTATACTAATTCCTCCGATTTAATAGATCCATTCCTTGAACGCTGAGATGTCGAGCTTTAGGTTAAATATTGACGAGAGCGAAGCAGTTGTTGCTCGTAAAAATCTAAAATGTTGCTAAAATTGCGAAAACCCGTTTTTCTGCTTTTTATAAGGGGGGGGGGGGGGGCTACTAGCATATTAAAGGTGTTCCAGTAACACCCTTAAAATGCGCGTCCTGGGACATGTTCATTTATGTCTCGTAAGGTCCGCTGCGGACACCGGCTAACACCCCGAGGGCTAGCTGCTAAGGCGTTCTCCCCAATGGTGTCATCTTTACTCCCCAGGGGGTGCTCTAGCTACTTGGGTTTTGTTCCGGGTGCGACGTCCCTGCTGCAACGTGTATTCGATGTGGGGACTTCTAGAGCTTGAAAAACTTTGGCAGAAGCCTCCAATCCCAAAAATGCCATTTCCCCCGCTAATTATAGCTGCGAAATCGACGTCACGTGACCCATTACAAGTCATTTCCTTCGCTAAATTTAGTGGAGAAACAGGTTTACTCCCCGAAACGACTGCTTAATGTCCGCTAAATAAATGCAAGCGCATTTTATGTATTATATAGGGGCGGTTTCATTTGGATTCAGCCAACGAGGTGGTCGTATTTTTTATTTTGCCTCAAATTTTTACATTTCGTGGCACATGTTCCAAGAAGAACAATCCTTCTTGACATGTTTAGTGTCAGAGCAAAAACCTGCAAGAAGCGGGAAAGAACGAGGAGGTTTTGACGATTGTCGTGTGTTGCGTTTTTTAATCACTCTCAATCTCGAAGTATTCAAAAGAGAGCGTCTATATTTTTTAGTGCGATATATATGCAAGTAGGTAAAACGACATTATAATTACTATTTATTATTGGTCGCTCCAATCTTTGTAAAAAATCCCAAAACATGCCTCCGCGAACGACTGTGGCCTAAACTGCGAATTTTGTTTTGAGTCGACCATGTTTAGTATTGCTTTCAAAATAATACCACGTGTAGGACTTTTCATTGCCTTCCAAATTAAACAAAGTTTGTGCCTTTATCATGTTCCAGTACTGAGACATAAATTATGGAACAGAAGGTTTTCACCTTTCGTTCAATTTCAGCACGCTGTATAAAAAAAAAAAAAAAAAAAAAACTTTTTTTTTTTTGCTGTCGCGTTGTTTTAACACTTTTCTTCTACCCAGAATACATTCCGTTAGAGGTATATGCACTGGTTTTGAGTTTTGAAGCCTCCAAATGTGCTAAAAAAATTATTCTGTTCTGTTATCAACACGAATTCCGCATTAAAAATATAAAATTTCGCATTGAAAGATCTAAGTTTCCAACAGAAAGTGAATTTTACTATTTTTTGCAATATTATACTTTGATATTTCTAACGTAGTATAGATTATGTCGCGCATAGCTTGGGGTCTCTCCAATCATGGCACCGGCGAATATTGTCTGAAAACCCGCTTTCCGCAGTTGCGGGTGTTTAGGCGTTTGGAATAGCAAACTTGTTATTATACGCCTAACGACATCAATGTCTTATGATTATTCATTAAACGTCCCTTAGATTATTATAATAAAGAATGAAATATACAGCTATAACCCATTAACCCATCAGCATTTGCTCTTTTTTTAGCATATTTAGAGGCTTAAAACTCAACTAGTGCATATACCTTTAACGTAATGTATTCTGGGTAAAAGACGGGTGGTAAAAAGAACGAGACTAAAAAAAATATATATATTTTATATGGCGTGCTGAAATTGAACGAAAAGTGAAAACCTGTTTCATAATTTCTCAGTACTCGTACACAATAAAAACACAGACTTTGCTTAATTTTGAAGGCAATGAAAGGTTCTACACGCGGTATTTTAAAAGCAATATTAAACAAAATCTACTAAAACAAAATCCGCAATTTAGGTTACAGCTCGCGGAGCCATGTTTGGGGATTTTTACAAAGATCGGAGCGACGAATAATAAATAGTAATTATAATGTCTTACCTACTTACCTACTTACCCACACACGACAATCGTCAAAACCTCGTCGTTCTTTCCCGCTTCTTTGATATTTTTTTTCTCAGAACTATACATGTCAGGACATTAAAATAAAGAGGATTGTTCTTGAAACGTGCTCCACGAAATATAAAAGATTGAAGCAAAATAAAAATATGACCGCACCTCGTTGCCTGAATCCAAATGAAACCGCCCATAGATACAACTTCAAAAACAAAATCGCAGTCTTGTTTTTCTTTTCTTGTTTTTAAGACTTGGATTGAGAAAGGATGATCTATGCACCCACCATAGCCTGTCCGGCGAAGTCCACTTCATACGCGACCAACTTGGCGGTCTGCCCGGCCTTGATGACCAGGGCGAGGTACATGGTCTGTAGGTTCTTCTCGTTTCTCACGAACAAAATGGCGTCGATGATTTCATCCGAACCGGAGTTGAAACGGAACATCGCGTCCCTGGTCCGAAGTTCTGCGTTTGGGCTGTTGAAGCGCCACACGTGAACGCCGTTCCGCGTGGTGGCCATCACGTGGTCGGTGTGGTTATGGTGAATGTGCGTCCAACGGGCCGCGCCGTAGACGTCTGTCCTGATGGCCGAGAGCATCAGCTTCGTCACTTGCAACTCTGCACAAGATGGAGAGGTGTATACGTCGCCGTGTGTTCAGTCCGTTTTCGGCACCACCGCCCGACATAATTATGATATGGCGTTTTATGCTAAGCCTATCTGGCGCCAAAACTAGGAAATGTTGCTGAAGACCGCGTGGTTTTTATTTTCATAAGGCAAGAGGCTGACGTCAAGGAAACGTGTTTAAATTTTTTCCTCTTTAAACTTCAAAATTATTTTGTAAATCACGCTTTTCTTTTCTTTTTTTTCTCTCTCTCTTTCAATTACAAAACCGCGAGATACCGCGGGAACTTCGGTCTGAAGGTTTAGCGGAGAGCGGGATGAGTCGCTTCTCCAGCTTTAGGTGAGACACAGGTCAGGTGTGAGGAAGCTGACCATATCGTGTGGACTATTTTAACTTCCAGATAAGGGGGGGGGGGGGGGGGGAGGGGGCAAGAAGATAGCCGAATGACAGTAGCGCTTGCAGGGAGTTAGCACGCAGCACGCCTGCTCTCATATCGTAAAACTCGAAATTTTCCAAAGACCATAAAAGTTGCGTTTTATTTTTTTTTCAATAAAGAAGGTAGCGGTATAGTCACCATGATGAGGCTATGGCACGACTCACCTTCTCTGTCACTGACGCCGACCTTAGTCCTGTAGTTAGAGTGCATCAGCTGATCGTTGCTGAAGAGTGGTGGAACATCTCCAGCGCTGGGGTACGCCTGATGCGTAGTGTGGCTCTTGACGACTTGCATGGCGGCTTGTGTCAATCGTGCGTCCATACCACCGGGAAGTAACGTCTGTGTGCGTGATGAATCCATTCGGTCAGCATGTTTTCATAGTTCAAGCGTATTTTTACATGAGAAAACTTACATAGTGATAGTCACACATGGAACGCACCTTTGAAGGGTACAACCAGGTAATGACACCATCATTTTAAGTACTGAAAGGTTAAAATAATTGGCTAAGATATCGCTGAACTTCTCAGTGTTTGCCGTGGTCCCTGCTTCAATGGTGGAAATAACCGTTACTGTTTATGCTTGAGCGCTACATCTTCTACAAGCCTCGGACGGTAATAGTTCGTAAGACTTACCGATGCCACGCCCCCGATGTGTGCTGTCAGCAGTGCGAACAACAAACACATTGTCCGGAAGCCAACACTTGCCATCACCGACTTCCATAGCCGTTCTGTCATCGCAGAACGTAATTAAGAGAGACACTTGCAAACCTTCCTTTACATGCGAGCTTCAACGAACTGGAAGTTCAGTCTGATTGAGAGCTGAATAGCGGGCTAGGCTGAATGTTGAAGGGTTACTGTTGTAGGAGTGGTAAAAGGCTGGATGGACCAGACGACCGATCCAACCGCGGCCTGCCCGCTGAACTGAAGAGTAAGAAGCCGCGACGACTGGAACAGCCTTTTTCAGCCGCAGTTGTTCAGCAGAAATTTAATTTCCTGAGCACAGCCGCGACGCCACGAGTAAAAAGCGGTCCGATTGGCTAGCCGTGGCGCGTTGCTTGCCACGTGACCAAAGTGCGATCAGAATGACTAAGCAATCTCGGAACATATGTTGCCTTCGATAATTCCACCCTCCCCCAATCCCGCCTTCATTTTATCACATCAGCATTTTAATAGCGATGGTGTTTCAGGAACTGTGTGACCAATCTAACAAACCGTAGAGTGAAATAATAATATCAGGATTCAGCGCCAAGCACAAAGGGCTCCGTCGTACTCGCAGCGACTGATCACTGTCCCACTAGAGCGACAAACAGAAACAGTCGACACCGAGGAGCCTCAAGCGCGTGCAGAGAGCGCGACTGATTGTAAACCTGCCAAAAATACCTTCGCGTGCTTTCTGCACGTGCTTGTGGATTGTCGGTGTCGGTTGTTTCTGTTTATCGCTCTAGCGTGGGACTCATAAATAAATGAAAGACACCGGTGGGCAACTCCGAATGACAAAATGAATGTCATTTACGCTTTTCGCCCGTATACGAATCAATGAATGTAGTAAATACTAGTGTTTCTAGGATCATGCACTTTATGATTCATGTAAAAATAAAACGATTACTACTACTAAACTACCGAATAATCGTTTTTAGTCCGGTTTTGTCTTTTCCAGGCGCGTCTCATAAAAAGAATAAGACGACGTTTGCGTATTTCCTTTCAATATTGGTGAGCGGCCGAGATAGATTCCGCAAAGGTGCTGAGTCACTGTCCTTGCGCGGGTAGCGAAATCGCTTTGTAGACGCTTTGACAGCACACGAGATTCCTAGCTCGCTCTCGCCCTCGGACTGATACCGTCAAGCCCGGTTTGGGAGATTTATCTTTCAACGGCGCTATCGGACCACGCCAGACAGAACGTAGTGCAGTCGCAGATAGTGAACGTCTGCGTATTTTCAAAAGGATCTTGGGGCGCGCCGCTCATGAATGCTTGCCTCTTTCGCTTGCCGAAGAACAAAACTGCAATTAAGTTTTAGTTTTACACCAACTAAGCTGCGGAGCCTGCGAAAGTGTGTTGTTAACGAAGCGGAACTTGTTGAAAAGCACGCAAAGGGAACTATTTCTTCCCGAACGTAACCGATGAAGCCAATCAAACGGCGCCAAAAATACATCCTTGCAAGTTGCGGCGCTCGTCTGATTGGATAACCCAACACATTCTGTTCACCCCCTCGGGTAATGCAAGTCCTGATTTGGAGCAGAGCTTGCCAGAAATTTGTCCCTGCTAACTGCGTACCCGGAGTTTTTATTGCATTCCGGTCAGGAGCACGCCAGAGAAGGACAAGTTTTCTCAAGGCCACTGGTCTCGCCCTCGGCTAGGTAGGACAAGAGAAAGCATAAAAAGACAACGCGTTGCTTCGACTTGCTTCCAACAAACGCATGTGCGTCTAATTTTTTTTAATATTATTATTTATGTTTTTTTAGGGTAGAGCTTTGTTTCTCCATTCGGTCAGGCAAAGCCTAGGTAATCTAGTAACGTTGGGAAAGCCTAATGCTCCATTTGCAAAAACACGTAGACGGCGCGCTTCGCGCGAACCCGAAACAGAAACCAGAAAGCCTTCGGAGCGCACGCGCGCTTTTAGTTGCCCAACGTCCTTTCAGATGGCGCCACCATTTAAAAAGTTGTTTTTCCGGGGCGCTTCAAAGTGAACTCGCTGGGCCGCGGGGCAACTATCGGCAGGCGGGTCGTCGCGCTATCTTATCTCGGATGGTCCGAGCTTCTTCAATTGCTGCCTTCCCACCAGACTTATTCGCCGTCGTCAGACGCAGGACCTTGAAAAGCTTCCCAAGTTCGTACGTCCTCAGAAGTTCATCGGCTTCCATATTTTTTTGCGGAGTTGCCAATTAACAGGTGTCGATCATGTCCGACAAAGTTCTCGTCATCGGCGGCGGTGGTCGTGAGCACGTCATAGTATGGAAGCTCTCGCTGTCTCCTCGCATACACACAGTCTATGTTGCTCCAGGAAACGCCGGTACCAGCACGGAATCCAAGGCAGTCAATATCGATCTCGACGTCAAGACAAACAAGGCCGTGGTGGACTGGTGCATCAAGAACGGCATCGCTCTCGTGATCGTTGGGCCCGAAGAGTACCTGTGTCGGGGCCTAGCCGACGATCTTGAAGCGGCCGGAGTGAGATGCTTCGGTCCCAGCGCCAAGGCAGCCGAAATCGAGGCAAGCAAGGCGTTCGCCAAGGACTTCATGGCCAAGCATGGCATCCCGACAGCCCAGTACCAGAACTTCCAGAACGCCGAAAGCGCCAAGACGTACATCACCAACGCCAACTTCCCGGCGCTTGTCGTAAAAGCCAGTGGTTTGGCAACTGGCAAGGGGGTCATCGTGGCTGCTGATAAGAGAGAAGCCATTTCTGCGGTGGACACCATCATGAAGGACAAGATGGTCGGTGCAGCAGGAGACACCGTGGTGGTCGAAGAGCTTCTTGATGGAGATGAAATTTCGGTGCTTGTGTTTTCCGATGGAGTCAACTATTCCGTCATGCCCCCCGCTCAAGACCACAAGAGACTCAAGGATGGCGACCAGGGACCAAACACTGGAGGTATGGGAGCCTATTGTCCGTGCCCCTTGGTTTCGTCTCAGGTCATGGAACAGATCAGGACGGATGTCATTGAGAAGACCCTCACCGGTCTGCGAAGTGAAGGAAGGAAGTTTGTCGGAGTCCTCTTTGCTGGTTTGATGCTGACCGAAAGGGGACCTAAGGTACTCGAGTTCAACTGCCGCTTTGGAGATCCAGAGACAGAGTCTATTCTTCCGCTTTTGGAGTCTGACCTGTACGAGACTCTGTTGGCCTGCACCGAAGGTAACCTTCCAAAGGCACTTCCAGTCTGGAAGAAGGACACCTATGCTGTGGGAGTAGTCCTTGCAAGTGGTGGCTACCCACAGAGTTACCCCAAGGGCAAGGTCATCACTGGGCTTGAAAAGGCAAGGGAGCACGGAGTGCAGATCTTTCACGCTGGTACTGCAAAGAGCGGGAACGACATTGTCACATCCGGAGGACGAGTCATGGTCTGTTTGGCCCAACACAGTGACCTTAGGACGGCCAAACAGTTGGCACAGCTTGGAGCCGAAATAGTGAGGTTCGACGGAAAGTTCTTCAGACACGACATTGCCTTCCGGGCCATTGGCAGGGTGTCAAAGAAGGATCCCTTGACGTATTCCATGTCTGGAGTCGACATTGCAGCTGGAGATCGCCTAGTGAAGAGCATCACTGCATTGACAGATTCAACCAAGCGGCCTGGTACTATGGGCTCGATCGGTGGCTTTGGCGGACTGTTTGACCTCAAGGCGGCTGGTTACGAGGACCCCATTCTGGTCTCTGGTACAGATGGTGTTGGTACCAAGTTGAAGATTGCCCAGAGTTTTCACTCTCACGACACCATCGGCATTGATCTGGTGGCAATGTGCGTCAACGACATCTTGGCACAAGGGGCAGAGCCGCTTTTCTTTCTCGACTACTTTGCATGCGGCAAGTTGGATCCTGGTGTTGCCAAGCAAGTTATTGCTGGGATCACAGAGGGTTGCAGGCAAGCAAGGTGTTCTCTGATTGGTGGAGAGACGGCAGAGATGCCAGGAATGTATGCCATTGGTGATTACGATCTGGCCGGATTTTCTGTCGGTGCAGTTGATAGGGACAAGGTGCTTCCACGCAGCGACATCAAGGACGGGGACATTGTCCTCGGCTTTCCGTCATCTGGGATTCACAGCAACGGTTACAGTCTGGTCCGTAAAGTCGTTGAACGTGCCGGGCTCCGTTACACAGACAGAGCTCCATTCGAAGAATCGAGGCAGCTTGGGGAAGTCCTTCTGAGCCCAACCAAAATCTATGTTCGGCTGCTACTCAATGCAGTTAAGAAGGGCTACATCAAGGCCCTCGCTCACATCACTGGTGGTGGCCTCACCGAAAACATCCCGAGAGTTCTTGCGCCCGGCTTCGGTGCCTTCCTGGACTGCAACACGTGGAACATCCAGCCAGTTTTCAAATGGCTCGCCAACGAAGGAAACGTCGGAGACGAGGAGATGCTGAGGACATTCAACTGCGGTCTCGGCATGGTCGCCATTGCGTCCCCCGAAAATGCACAGGCCATCATCGACGAGTCTGAGGGCGAAGCCCGAATCGTTGGACAGATCCTGAACATCGAAGAGGGGTCGCCCAAGGTGAATGTTCGCAACTTCCAGGAATCTCTTAACACTCGCGGCAGCAAGGTCGTGAAGCGCAAGTTCGCCGTCCTCATTTCCGGTTCAGGCACCAACCTCCAGGCTTTGATTGACCACATCGCGAGGATGGACGGTCGCAGCGCCGCGGAGATCGTCCTGGTCATCTCCAACAAGGAGGGAGTCCAAGGCCTTGTCCGTGCCCAGCAGGCTGGCATCCCAACCAAGGTCATCAGCCACAAGGGCTACAAGAACAGGGTGGAGTACGACATGAAGATGCACGAAGCCCTCGTTGCCGCGGGGGTAGAGTTCATCTGCCTCGCAGGGTTCATGCGGATCATCACCGAAGACTTCATCAACAAATGGTACGGAAAGATCATCAACATCCACCCGGCGCTCTTGCCTTCCTTCAGGGGCCACGACGCCCACAGGCAGGCACTGGCCATGGGGGTCAAGATCACAGGATGCACGGTTCACTATGTTGCCCCCGAAGTGGATGCCGGAGCCATCATCGCTCAGGGGGCCACAACGGTGGAATTGGACGACACGGAAGAGACGCTGTCGGAACGCGTCAAGCTGGTTGAGCACCGGATCTTTCCAGAAGCCATGGAGATGGTGGCTCAGGGGAAGGTGATGCTGCGGCCCGACGGGAAGATTGTCTTCAAGAGGGATGCATCCTGAATTGGCTCTGCTACGACGTTTCTTTTTTGTTTATTTACAGACGTATCTATCGACTGACAGAAAAGCGGCAATACTTTTGTACTGCATATAAATGAATTTCAATAGTGTTCAAAGTTGTGGGTCTTGACAAACATAAGCTGATTTACTCAAGTTTACAATAAACTTTTCATTAAATGTACCAGTTGCCTTCTAAATCAATATAGCACTGTATCTAGCAAATGCAAGTGCTGGCGGGGGGGGGGGGGGGGGGGGGGGTTGGGGGGGCTGAGGTAAATATTGTTTTAAAACGGTAATAATGTTGCCACCAAAAATATTGTTGGCCTTTTTACATTTACTTTATTCTGAATGTCTTGAGCCAATGTAGCACTGTATCTGCCACAGTGCTAGAGGTTTGACCCAAAGGTAAATAATGTTTTGAAACATTGGTAAAAAAAAAAAAATGCACCAAAATACTGTTTGCCATTCGGCATCTATTTATTTCTAGTATCTTGTGCAAGTTGCTTGTAATATAGACACTAGAGGATCTAGAAGGCTTAATCTAAACATTTTTCATATTTATATTTCCCTTGCTTCCATCTCTGCATGGAGGCATGGCAAGGTTATTTAGCACTTCTTTAAATTATTTCGACCAAAGCGCTTAGAGCCCAGCACATGCTGTTGGCAGTGAATGCAAAGCTATTTTAACCACAAATCTGAAAAGTTTCAGCAACCAATGCCACGCTGCATTGTAAGCTGCCATTCCAAGATTTGTCACAAATATGCCTACCTGCCGATTTCGGGGAAACCAAAACCGGAAGACTTTCTAAGTGTGTGGGGGGAAAAGGGCAAGGTAGAATTTTTTAAAAATAAATATTGACAAGTTAACATGAAGACAGCTTTATTATACTTATATTCTATTGCTTATGCTAGCGAGATGTAAATGGGCCTCCCTATCATTGCAGCCATCTGCTTCGATGGCAAAAACTTCTTGTTTAAAGGGCAACCACGGTCCATACTATAGATTTTGGGATTATGACTGTTTTTAGTGCAGTCAGCGTCCCTGAATTGCAAGGCGTAATTTTTTTCTCGTTATTGTGTGTTAAAGATATCGACGCCTCAAAGGTTTGTTTGGGGCGCGACCAACAAAAATGAAACTAGCCGCTCGAGGCCCCGGCAACACTGGAAATCAGCCATGTGAACGTGACGTCAGGATCGTTCACGTTCAACGAGTACGCAGGCCGAGTGGCACCTATTTCTGTTAAGCTAGCCGTCTAAAGATAAGAGATAAGCTGATTTTGTTTTAATTCTGAATATGTGGTAGTTAGACAGCATATGTAGCAAGAGTTAGTGCGTACGCCTAAAAGCTACCGACTGGAAAACCCGTGAACTCGTGCGGTACTGTACTTGGCTGCCGCCGCCGTGCGTGCACTATGCCGTACTCGTTGTTTGTATACCCAAACATTAGCGACTGGAAAACGAGTGAACTCGTTCGGTGCCGTACTCGGCGGCTGTCGCCGGGTGTGCGGTCTTCCGTACTTGTCGCTAGGCCTAAATTGTCATTGGGGCTCCGTGGATGGAGCGGCGTTGCTTTACGCCGCGCTGCCAGTGACTTACAGTATTAGGGGCCCTCACGCTTTCGTGCTGCGGGTCAGTCCCAGACACGAAGCTTTGAGGCTCTCCGGCGCGGGCCACAGCGCCCAAACACACGTGTGCTGGGCTGTACACGTCTGTTTTTTTGTTCTTTTTTCCTCGGGAGCATAAAAGCCGAAGTGCAAAGTCCACTCGTTGAACAGCGTTCACCCACACCTTCTCCAACTTCCGGTCCGTAGGAACTTGTGAAAAAGCACCTCTGTGTTGCGCAGCGGGTTGTTTGAGCAGCCCACAGCGCTACAAGTTGCACTCGACATCCTTCAAGGAACAGCTGGGCAGTCTTGGGCGCACAGAGTTGCTCGCTAAAACGAGTTTTGGAGTCCTCACAAGCAAATAAACAAAAGGCTATACCGAAGCTACACAAGCTACAGATAAAAGCAACGGCTAAACATGCCAATCCCAAGCCGAAGTGGTAGCGGCTCAAAAAAGCGCACTCCGCGCAACGCCCGGACTAGCGCCACTAAATAAGCTACGCTTCAGAGTAGGGGTGCGCGAACCGGCTGAGGTTCGAGTTCGACCAGGTTCGACTTTTTTGAACTTTTAGTGGACAATGCTGATTGGCTATTTCAGCTAATACAGTACAAAAAATAAGTTATTAACTTCTTCAGTGATTAGAAATGGTTTCTTTTAATTTCAACTGTTCATAAAATAATCCTTTGCATAAAAAAAAAATTCTCCAAACCTAGACATGCTCGTATCAAGGTCTGACCACACTGTCCAAAAAGTCGGGCCGGTCGAATCTGGTGAAAAGTTCGAGGGTTCGTCAAACCGGTTTGACCCAGTCGAACCCCGAAAGTTCGACCTAAAAATCCGGTTCGACAAAAGTTTGTGACACCCCTACTTCAGAGTAACGACACTTGGCCATATTGTGGCTTAAAATCATGGTTGCCAGTTACTGAAGCTTTATCTCAAATCACAGGAAACTCTTTTCCGTCGTCTACGAACGTTTAAACAGTTTACAACAGAGCAAAGCAATATTACAAGAGCTTCCTAACACCGATTCTAATGCTGAGGAAGTCGCACGTTTGAATCATGACGATCGGCAGTTGCGTCTGCCCTGCAGAAGCCCCAAAATGGTGGCGCCCACAACAATGTCGTGGAACGGAGTACCGATACTCTAAGCGCAGACCGGAGGAAAAAAAGAAAATGATACTGACGTCACGATGTTGCTTTAGCGATCGGCAACCCGCTGGCCACCTGCTAAGGATCAGCGGCTCGCGGCGGGTCGCATTTTTATTATCGGCATTAGTTGAGAATGCGGCGGCCCACGGATGTAATATTTTGGCTAGGGTCGCATTTTGTGTCACTACAGCGATACCAGTAATTTACTTCATTTTGAGTTTTGGCCGGAGTTGCCCTTTAAGTGCAGGGGGGTAATTTGCATTTTCCGAAAGATTTTTTCTGCTAATCGTACAACCGTACAAACTGGCCGAAATTCGGGAGTCTCCCGAGAATACAGATGACTTGGCAGGTATGCATATGGCTCGTTATACAGGCCTCCATTAAGCACCGTTCGCACACTTGCAACCGAGTGAGACCAGACCAATTTTTAAGCTTCTTGCGATAGCTGCTCCGCAGCAGCCGTCTTGAGTCAAGACGGCTGCTGCGGAGCAGGTCCTCCGCCACCGTCTTGTCTCACTCGGTCATACTCGGCTGTAAGCGTGTGGATGGGCCTTTAGAATGAAGGGAAATGAACATCTAGCAACAATGTAAAGGAAATATTTTTTGTAAGTTTGCTATTGCTTAATAAACCTTAGGTAAGTCACAACACAACATCAATACAAATACTCATTCCTTTTATTCACTCAAAAGAAAGAAAAAAGGTCTCAAGCATATGCATACAAAGTACCGGGTCACTTCAAAGCCGTACCTTCCTATTCAAAGACCGTAATGCTCCCAGCCCTAGTCAATCAAGTATTGTGCCAACTGCCACAAACATCACCTTATTTGAGTTAAATGCTTTTTGAACAGCACTGCCCCTCGTCTAAATCTTACAGCAACAGTAGTCCCATGCCGCTAGAACCTTAAAACCACTAGAAGACATGGTAGCCAGCTGTGCATCAGGCACTATACATATGCAGCCGTACACCTATACAAGGTTCCACTTGCCTAATCTCACCAAAAAGGTTCAGATTTGGAGAATGACCTACTACTACGTCCCATGACCTCCAAGGTGTATAGCGACTCCCCCTCCTGTGGGTGTTTATGACAAACCCACTCCCTCTGAAGCACTCAAACTTAAATGATGTGGAAATACAGACACCTCAAACGTCATGAGTCACCAGACGGATGTGAAGAGAAAGTGTAACTTATTTCTAGAAAAGAAAAACAAAAAAGTATAAATAAGAGCTTAGTACTGTTTTGAGATCAAGGAAATCGGATATATTGAGGTCACAAATAAAAACATGCATTGGCCTTCAGACCATTGTTAAGGCTTGGTAGAGGCCATGCCAAAACATGGCAGCTCTTCCATTAGGGAGTTTTAGTAGATTGTTCCGGTAACTCCGACGATACCAGATGCTCTGCCAACGCCGCGGCCATGCATTGCATCGCTGTCAAAGGTATTGGAACATTCTGTTATAACTCCATAATGGCATTTAATGTAGCATGGCATGTCTCTAAAGTTGCTGAGGACATTTGTGAAGGACGCACAAGGATGCTCTGGTGCATCATCAAATAAAGAGTCTGCCACACACACACACAAAGAAAAAAGCAGCACAGCAATCCAAAACGGGTACTACAATCACCAAGCTCTCGCAACGAAGTCGATAGAGTCAAAGGAACAGGACCTCGCATTTTTAAATAAAAATTGTGCGGCTGTGGAACCACCCCAACTGCCATGCTTTATGTACCGGGAGCTGTCAGTCATTATTAAGTTAAAAGCATAGAATAGCAACAGACAGTCAAATAGCAGACATACATCGCTCCCGTACCAGCAAAAAAAAAAAAATATATGCTGCACTCTGTCCGTTTTCTTTCTTTCATTTCAAACGCCATACCGAGTATCAAAAGCATTGTCATGTGGCACTTTGCCCTAAAAAAACCCGCCCCGTCATGCATGGAAACTCCGACACTTTCAAAACAAGAGATGGAAGAGCTGCTACATAAGTTCTCCAGTGCTATGACAAAAGAAAAACTTTTCTCCAAATTGTCTTAAATATAGGTTCTGATCTGTGTTTGCTCATGGTGTATCTTATTCTAGGTTTTTGTTTTTTTGGTACTGTGGAACTTCTCGTCTGATACTGCTATAACTCGGGCACCCCCTGAAGTCAGACAGGCAGACTGAGCACGGTGCATGTCCCCAAGTCATAGAGCCCAGATGCACATAGCAAGTCCTGCAACTTATTCATACAATAAGCACACCCAAAATCTGTACGACTTCTAAAAATGAAAGCTCAAGGATAACTTATCTGTATGCTCCAATCGACGGATAGCTAAAAAAAAAAAAAAAAAAAAAAAAAGAAGCAATTTAGTACTTTTTTGCAATAAGTTATAACCCAAACTGCTCTGACAGACAGCAGACGAGTCTTCAATCTGGAGTACCTTCTCAAATAAATTGCGGAAGAAAATCTTTATGTCGTGATATCACAGATTGAAGGTCTGCGACTGGAATGTCTGCATGTTGCAGATGGCCAGACAAGTACAAATGGTCTTGCTAACTAAGAACAGCAGCAGCCCTTAAGAAAAATTAACAGTGCTCCAGAAGAGGCACTTTCAGATGCTTCGAGAATAACTAACTTCGGACGACATGCTGATAAAACTGAAAAGAATTAAGGAAACACAGGGTTACACAAACTGAATTTTGCAAGACATTTTAAAATTGACACTCTTCATTCCATCTTCAACCAAGGACATCTGAGCCACCATTCAGCTGACCTTCTGCATTGCATGGTTCTTGTCCTTGCCTTCATGCTCCAATATGCTGCGCCTAAAAGAGCACCTGGAGCCAAGCCTGTGGATTCCCCAGAAACTGCAAGTCCGTTGCAACTCCAAACAGCAGCTCCAGCCAAATATTGACCCATTCTGAAATTCAGTCTGGCCACTTCGATTGACAATATGGTGTCTGTGCTGCGCTAATGGCAACATTGAGGCAGCTGATGAAATAAGAAGGTAAAGATGCGCGACCACAAATGTGACACGCAACTTGTGCATTTAAGACGTCGACAGGATGTGACAAACGCACTGGCTGCAGATGTAGAATACCCTATGATATTTCCATTACTTGCATTAGTATGGCAGCAGTTAGACTGCTAGCTCAGCTGCTAGATGGCACAGATTCTCCAAAAAGGGCCTAATTTAGCCAGACAAGATTCATATCTGATGCTCGCTCGAGTTTCTAGCTGCATCCACAACACCGATGCAAAAGATTCTTACAAATTAAAACATAGCTTAGCCTGTCTAAAGTATAACGGTCAAGAAGACACCACACCACCAGAATCATCCTTCAAAACAGAAGACTATTTCCCTTTTGAGCCGCATTTATTAAGAGGTGCTACCGTTGGATTCTGAGCACACCAAGTGCCTTGCATCCTTCATCTTGTAGATCGTTGCAATAATTCTCTCCAGGTTTACTAGACCCTCGACGACAAGATACCAGCACAGTACCACGTGGGGTGTTCGCAATGGATCCCAGTGCCGCGAGACGAGCCGAAAAAATTGCCTTCTGCGCGTGGAAGGCTCGAACTTTACCTGATTGTGCATTTACGTGGCACGTTTTATGTGGTGAAATTTTGAGGTGTAGCTTTTTTCCTGGGAAACACGAAGCCAACAAACTTGCCGGGGTTGACGAAGGATCTGCTTGCGGGCGGCCAAGTCGGCGAGGGTTGCAACCTGCGGCACCGCCCGAACGCAAGTTCAGTGAAAGTTGGAGCTTTTACGACGCCGGGATCTATTGCAGACGCCCCAGAGATTTCAGAAGACACGTTCGGGCTTTAGAAACCACCCTCCCCCCCCCCCCCTCCCCACTTTTCTGCAGACTCCTTTGGCCTCTGCGTCGAGACAAAGCCTGCGTTTTTTCGAGCCAACTACCGTACTTCATCTCACCGCATCCTCGCGAATAGTGAGGACTACTACGGTCCCAGGGAGCCAATCGGCGCGTCGGAGGGAAACACGTGACCACACTCCATCTCGACAGTTGCGTGCTGTACCGTCGAAGCCACGGGCAGAAGGAAGAAAAAAAAGTCGCTATTGTACAAATTTCGAGCGACGGGCTAATCGCCAAGGAGGACAAAAGCGACGTCTGGTAGAGACAAAAGAGCGTAAAAGGGGAGTTCCTCTTTCCCCTCTTCTCCAACTGCTTGGGTTACGCTCTTGCCCCCGTACCTTTGGTTGGTAAGGGCCGTCGCAGAATTGGCCCTCAGTCGCTCCGATTGGCTCCAAGGGGCCACAGCGTTTGCTCTTTACTAAGTTACGGGTCAAACGAAGCACGCCAGCAGCGGTGGAGGCACAGCAGGCGGTGCCGGTTGCATCAGAGCGCCGCCGCAAGAGACAGACGAGCGGAAGACCCTTTAGCAGGCAAAGAGACGGGCACGGCAAGGACGCGGGGGCGTTCCGTCCACGCGTCACTCGAGGCGGAGGGCCGCAGACGCGTAGCTGACCGAAGAGTCGCTCGTGCTCATGCACTGGCTGGACTGGGCATACTTCAGAAACTTCAGCGCCATCCTGTGACCATTCCCTGAAGATTGGAGGGTGTCCACAGCCTGCGCGCCGATGATGCCGGCGAGAGAGAAAACGAGAATCAGGCCGTGTGCCTTCTTCCACAAAGAAATCGAGACGGTGTTGAAGAGCATAGAGAGTTGAAAGTCCACACACTAAGCATCTCTTTATCCCCTTGAATTCCATGAAGGGGGTGGAGGAACTTTTTCTGTAGGCCGAACGTAAATTTCGGTCTCAGTGAAACTGTGGCGTGCTTTGTGAAGAATATTTATTTGTCGTGGACACATAGTTTAATGGGCAAAAAGTCTACACGCCTCCGAACATTAGATCAACCTTACTCTGCCTTTTTTTGCCCCCTAATAAAAAACTACCTTTCTTGTTTTCACAGTCGTCGAGAGCTCGTTAGTGATTTCTAGATCTCGGCATCTGCCACGAAGCACGAGGTCGAAATACATGCTCGCCATTCTGTAACAACGAAGGAGCACGCCAAAGTAAAAGTTGCCTAAACAAACCCTTTTGCGTGCCGTCAAAATGTGACACTGCGAGGTAAGAACATTGTTTTCGTTGCTTGCTCGTACGTGGCGCTACACGAGAAAGGCATTGACGGTGCAGCCGGGAGCGGCGGGGATCAAACCAAAACTGAAACCACACGGAATCACGACCGAGCACACTTGAGCATGGTGTTCAAGGGATTAAGCTCCGTGTCCCGCTTCACACTGCCACTCAAGGAATGTTGCTTCTTAGTGTGTGCAGAAGGGACGACGGAACCAACGGGTTCTCCGTAACGAAAGTGCTGCGTTTTTCGAGTTTATTTTTCGTCGGAGTCGGAGGACATTTTATGGAGTTTTATTTTTTCGTCGAACAAAATTCGGAGTTTGTCGAAGTTCAGTTTTGTTCGATTCCCAACTTTCCCGAATTCCGAGTTTAATTTTGCAGTGTTCCCTATTTTTTTTTTTTAACTAAAAATAAATGTTATTTGGATGTAAACATATGGTAGACGTAAAGAAAAAAGAAATGTGCTTGTAACAAATACTAATAACTCTTCACCTGGATTTGGCATTGGCACTCTTACCATTGGCAATACTAATTTGTCCCTCAACAAGACTTGCAAACAAGTACTGCTTCGATAAACATCGATACCTTAAAATCACTCAACTCCCGAAGGTAAAGGACAACGAAGGGGTTTGTGATACAAGAATCAATGAAAGAGTAAAAATACTTGGTGACAAGGACAGGCAGCACAGTTCTTTCAACTATAGTCGGTTACAAGTCAAGAAGTTAGGAGAAGCTTCACCCACAAGCGTGATGCGCTCGTTTCAAATCTCTCCGCAGTCGAAAGAAGAGTTCACTGGAAACGCTCCTTGTTCCGCTTCAATGAATTCCCACTTGTATCCGATCCCACTTCTTAAGAAAGCGACCTTTGCTTCCATCGGAGGGGGAAAACTTAATTTCCCTCTTGTGGCTTCCACAATGCTAAGTCAAAGTCGAAAGATAAATCAAATATGTACAGAAAGGCAAAACCCTCCTCGCGCGTTGGCTGCAATGTCACGGAAACAATGGGACGCTATTGGATGCGGAAGTGGCGGAGGAATATACGATTCCCTTTGAGGGGCATTTGCCGCTATCTTCTTAACCTGTAACCAACTATAGCAACGAGCGTTTACCGACGTCTCCTTCAATGCATACACTTTCCCTCCCAACTTCTTAAACTAAAATAAATACAAGGTGTCACACACACAAAAAAAAAAATTGTTTTTTTTTAATGCTAAAATAAACTAGGCAATGCATTGCCGAACGCTGATTCTCTGCCCAAAGGTAGCGCTAGGGGTCACAACCAGATGCCAAAGTTTCAGCCTGAATGGACACCTTATTAAAAAGTTGAAAGTGATTTCCTGAGAATTTCAATGGGAAAATGGCGGCCGACGGAGTTTTCAAATACATGGGGCTCTATAGCACCAGAAACCGAAAACGAGCGAAGTTGGGCTTCATTTTTTCATTGAAATTTTCAGAGAATCACTTATAAGTTTTGAGTTCGGTGTCCATTTCGGCTGAAACTTTGGCATCTCGTTGTGACCTCTAGCTCTACCTTTAAGCGGAGAATGAGCTTTCGGCAATGCCTAGTTTATTTTTGCAGTAAAAAGAACCCTGTAAATTTTTTTTGCTGACACCCTGTACATGAAAAAACACCTTTCCTTATTTCCTTTATTTCAAGGTTTTCTTCCTTTTCCAGGTGTTTTATTTTTCGTTTATGTATCTTCTTCATTTTTAGAAGTTTTACCGAAGGAGACATCAATAAATCTTTGTTGCCAGTTGAAAGAACAGTGCTGTCCGTCCTTGTCCCCAAGTGTTTTTATTCTTTCTTGGATTCTTGTCTTGGGGATAGTCATTAGGAAACTATGTTTTCTTCGTAGCCCACTCCATCGTCCTACCCTGCGGCTGCATGGGATGCTGTGGTAAAGGGTGTAATATGGAAGCTTCCAATGACCACCCCTCCCCCGCCCCTCTTCCCCCTTGTATAAAACGTCCATGGTTCATAGCTTTCACTGTTACAAAAACACAACCCCTGCTTCCTCCAGAAACAGTATGCTTTACTAGAAATCGAAACGGTTTCCTTTGTTGCGACCCCAGTGTACAATAACCTGTGCTCCGAGCAAACTTTGAAGCGATAAACGGCAAGACCCCTTTCGTCAACGATCGGAGATTCGAAGGGAAGCTGGAGTGGCATTTTCCCTGGACGACTGACCCTGTGCTCCGACCAACCTTAATACCGTCTACACGGGATCCTACCCATAACCAACTTAGGCTCAGTGGACTTTCAATGTATTGTGGAGTCCGCAAGCTAATTGCATAAAACTAAATATAGAACTATAGAACCCGAAAAAGAAGTCACCTTGAGGGTTTTGTAATGGCAGATAATGTTTTACTGAGACTAAGCTTCTTCAAGCTGTCCCGTAACCCGGAGAGGTGCGAGGTGGTCGAAAACTAAAACATACCTTCTCAAAGCGGCCCGTCCAATGCCAGACCCTTGTGTAGAGTCGGCTTAACAATGATTGACGGCTCTATCTGGCTGCCAGCATTACAAAAGGCGGCAGCCGCACCAGGGAAAGCTCCGTAAAGGCTACAATACTAATGCAAGTTTGTTTCTACCAGAACAACATCAAGAACATTTGTGTAACGTTTAATCCAAAGAGCCCCTACGGAAATGCTTCGTACGAAATAGTAGCACTCACATTGAGGAGAACGCCGATGGGATGTCGTCCGCAGATGGTGTTGCCATACTTCTTGAGGTACGCCGTGAACGCCGTCGGACAGAGCTCCTCAATGATGTTCATACCCTGCGCGAGCGTACAAGTTGCTTTGAATCAAACTCATTAATTTTGCTATGTCTCCAGGACTGAGCGACCCACTTATGGATCAATTGATTGACTGCTTGAGCAACAAGTAAAAGTGGCAGCAAATGGAGCGCCCCTCCTTACCTGCTTGTCCAGCCTTTCGATGGATTGGTGAATGTTGCCCCAGGATTTGTCGTGGAACTGATAGTGGAACCTAGCCCCTGTAATGAAAAAAACAACAGCCGAGGAATGTTGCGACGCTTCACACAAGTACGTCGTTCCAGGACGACCGAGGCAGCCGCTCCCGTATATTTCAAACAGTTTCAGCGATCCTGCAACAATGTCGCAGAAGCTACGGCGCTGCACTATGAATGCAGACTTGGATGATTTTTGGTTTAAGACCAGTTTCACAGTCTCGTCCATGAATAAGAGGAAAAGCAAGAGCAAAATTGTTCACGCTACATTATACAGGCAACATTGTTGTACGACTAATCCCATAGCCTTAAAATAAAGTGCTCACTACTCAATGGCCTACCTATGGGTACAAGTATACAACACATTAGCCCAGAGCTAGATGTGCCTATGACGTATGGTTTGAGTCTAAACAAAATCGTGCACATCTATTTTATTCTGTTTTAGACATGGATTTTATTTGGGTGAGCTGTTGTCAACTGCTCTCAACCCTTTCCGCACGATTGTGTGGCGAGTTCTGAGTAACAGACAAAACATTTTTAATTTTTAAGAACTGATCAACATATAGCTCATTATGATATATCAAAATGTTGCTGATAAGCTGTTCTTTAAAAGAAGAGGGTGGCTACAATAATGTCTGGAAAACGTTTTCAAAACTTAATTTTTTAACTCGAAATTTATATAAAAATTAGAACGAGTCAAAACATTTGTGGCTCTATCAGACAATGCCACGAGTTAAAAACATTTTAAACATACAAAGTGTGTTCCATACCCAGCACCATCACTTCTGCTCTGATACTGTATTGTTTGTTTTTTTGTCGGCAAGTTAGCTTTTGTGGCACCATTGTCATTCAAACAAGCTGCTGCATTCGGCGGTTCATATTCCAAGCCTCGGAAGTGAAACACTGCTGACAGAGCTCAAACCAAACAATATCACACCATCCATGGCCCTCACTGCTATAGTCGTTTAAAAAAAAAGCAGCAAAAGCAGTAAAATTGCGCGATCGAGGCTGTATTTGTCAACGTCCCCAACGTCCCCCGGACACCATGTTTGGAAAGTGCCAATGCCGCCCCCGGCTCGTATGAAAGCACAAAATCAAATCGAAATCAAAACTTGGGTCATTCGGCCATCCACGAGATTATGTAACGTGTCCCTGAACACCGCAGTTGAGCTTTGGCAACGTGCAGAAGCCGTCGATCGGGGGCGATCGATGGCCTACGCATGTGGTACGGAAAAGTTGAGTCGGTTGTAATCCTCGTATCTCTGAACGAGCGCATCCCAGAGAAAAGAGAGGGCAGCGCATCCACACACCCCAGTGGCAGAAGTCGGAAGAGATGACGAAGAGGTTGTCCGGCTCCGCGAGGTACTTGCTGAGGAGACGACCGTAGAAGGCCTCGTTCTCCGGGGTCAGCGACCCGACGATGATCGGCACTATGGTGAACTCCCGGCTGCGAAACGGGCGCGACGCAATGAGCGCCAGAAGGAGGACAGCAAGGGTGTGCAGCAGACTCGCACGGTACTCGTCTCGAGTGACCAAATCGTTTGTAATCGATTGCTTCTCCGAGTAATGTTGCAGTGATTTGATTACCGTAACATCCCGAGATAGTCACCACCTAAAATCGGGAGCAAATCGGGGGAAATAAGGTGTGGGCTATCTTTCGGCGTACAATCAAGAAAAGTTCAAAAACGAAAAAACTCTTTTTTTTAGATTATGTTTTTTTGCCAAACTTATTATCGCGGCGAGGGACAATGAAGCAAACATGACCGTACTTCCCAGTCAGCAACGTTTGCTTATCTCCCGCCATAGCTAACCGGCTGCATTTACGTCGAGGTCATTGTCGATCCGAACACTAAGATTACTAGGGGCGGGCTATCTTTCGGTGTTTAAAATAAAATAGCGAAATAAGCCAAAAAATAGGGGCAGGTTACCTTTCGGGGGTGGCATCTCTCGGGACATTACGGTACCTTTATTAGACAGTTATTACGAGAGTAATCCGATTACATTTAAAAGTAATAAAATTGTTTGCAACCATTACGACTATTCTTTCCTCCCCTTCCCAATGACGCCCTTTGTCTCTGCAACCTTCACACTGAGGAATCCTTGAACCAAGTCTCCGACAGGCGGGGACGGCCTGTCGGATTCGAAAGATGGGTAGTTTGCAATCCGGTGGTCCTAACCCTAACTAACAGTACGAAAAGCCCGTTTCCAAACCAGGCAGGAAGACGTACCATTTCGGAAATCCGATGCAATCAGAAAAATAATGGTTACCTTTTTTAGTAACGATCCATTACTTTTCCCCTCAAGTAATCGAATAATTTAACAGAATACTTTTTAACCGAGAGTAATTCAAACTGATTACTTTTTTTGAATAAGTATGAGATAAAATACAATGCCTGAAATGCATTGTATCTGATTACTGATACCATCATACATACATACACATACTGATACTATCTGATACCATACACACACACATACTGATACTATCTGGTACATACACACATATAATGATGCTATCTGATACACAAGTCAGCACGCGGTAAACACACCAGTTGGAAACGTGCACCAGGCACCACAACATGGGAGGAAAAACGAAAGGGGCGGTTACACTCACTCCTCCATGACCTTGGCGATGTACGGCAGGTGCATCTCGAGGCTGTGTTCGTTCTCGTCGACGTGAAGGCTGACCTCCTCGAAGGCTCCGGTCTCGAACAGCTCCTCGTAGACTGTGTACGAGCGGGAAGAACAAGGCACTCAACGTTGCGGGATGGATGGCTGCGTGGGGCTGAACCTTCCAATTTGGGTGGTGGCTTGTGCCACCTAGCAGGTGTTTAAGTCGGAGAGAACGCAGGAACGTAGAGACATCCGGTGGCCGCTCTCTGACTTATGACACGCCTCGACTGACACGTCGCATGCCATGTTGACGTTACACACGACGGTGTGCGCACACAAGTCTGTTCCTCAATGATGAAAGCAATGGGGAAATGCTGACTAAATGGTTTTGATGCCATTCCAACAGATAGAGAGTGACACATGTTGTCGTCTGTTTGTACCTAAGAGTATGCGACACAGCACAAACATGCGATCGCCGGTTTTCCCCACTTATCTCCCGCAGCCGAACAGCTGCCATCAAAGCCACAGGTGAAGTGGGACGTGCTTATGTGCAGTGCTGACTAAGGTCGTAATGTTTGGTACTCAATGCTAACTTGGAACAACAGAAACCGCGTCATACTCTGCACTCTGTCGGTTAGCATTGTTGACGAGCAACAGACATCTCAATAAAATATCAAGTGGCATCACAAAAAAAAAATAAATAAATAAACGACTTAATGATGCAATTGACTCACTTCATATTTGCACCAGGTAGTAAAGGCTGCAGGAATTGGCCTTTATGAGTCGGTTGTAATATCAAGGGCTTTCCCAGCCAACGATTATATAAATATGTGCACAAATCCTGCCTTGAACGTAATAACGTCGAGTCACTATAGACCATTTTTTTTAACTTACTCTCACCGCCAGCCACCTGGTAGGCATATCTGCTATGGGTGACAAAAAAATAGTATAACATTTCAACCTGCAAATTGTAAAAATAATTAAGGGAAGGCAAAACGAGAATGGGTGCAGCTGCACTTGTATCCTAAACGCGTTCTTAGGCGTGGCGACAGCAAAACAATGATTTTGCCCATACTGGAAGTAACAATATTTCAAGATGGCGGCACCCTTGCGAAAAAAATCTATACATAGCTTCCCCCCTTACAAGGATTAACAGCACAGCACCGCTGGACTACACAGCTTCGGCTCACCGTGCCCTGTGGAAGATGGGCACGACACAGAACTCTCTGCGCGACTCGTCGAATCCGACGAAGCAAAGGTGTCTGCACCTTTGTGGGTCCAAATATCACCCTGCACTCTACGCGTCTAATAAGCTTCTAATTATCATTGTTGTTATTATTAGTACCGAACGCCACTCGCCTTCCTGGTCGATGGTGAGGTCGTAAAAGGGCGTCCGGTACACCTTGGCGGGCGAGAGGGCACAGCCTCCGAGACGTGCGTGGTGCGAGGGACCCAGGATGAACACTCGCCGTCTGCAATCGACCGAGAAGGCGGTCAACGCTCGTCGGCAAGAACGAGTTGTCGAGGCACCAGCCCCGCGAGACCACGTGATTAAAACGCGGGGTTCTTCCGAAAGATCCGCAAACGTTCCAGTCGGGGACGTTTGTTGCTGTCCGTTCCAGGTATCGGTCTGTCTTGCATGCATACTACGTTTCGCTTTACGGAAAACTGCGGCGGGTTCGCCGAGACGGTTCGCAGCATCCACCGCGGTCTATCGTAAGGTGGGACGGAGTACCGGTAGAACCCTGTCCGTGACGTTTTTTTGTCTTTTTAAACCTTTTTCTTCGGAAAATGTTACTGGCTTGAACGCCACTTTTATTTTTTGATGCTTTATTTCTAGCTGCTTCTTCTCCTCCTTGCGATGTGGAGGAGGAAAGAGGAAAAGGGGACAAAGTTGGGCGTGCTCCGTGACACACTCAATTATTTCTAGCTATTTTAGCCCGCTGCATAGAAGGCATTTATATCTTTCGGGCGAGAGTTTTGCGACAAAAACGTTGCTTTTTGGGTGCACCTATTACCTACAACGAAGTAGCCTTATTTTAGTTGACCCCCAACAATGCAAGGATTTTCGTCCGTCGCCCGTCTTCGACCAGAGTTGCACGAAAATGTTGTCGACTCGAACCGAGAGAAGCTACACACTTCATACAGTTTCTTAGAGCTCCAAGCTAATAATTAATGCTGACACTTTTATTCCAATACTAAACATCACTAGCTTCCTCACTGTAGGTAATCTCAATTGAGGAAGGCTGGAAGCACTAACTAACCTGAAAACAGTTTGCTCAAATGTATAGTGACTGCTGAGATGCCCTTACTACACACCGCAAAAGAGAGCACGAACACAGTATCTCGCACTTTAAATATGAACAATTGTATCTGCTGAAGCTATGTCGAGACAGATTAGGAGAATGTCAAAGTATGTTTCATTTGCATGCAATTTGGAAACTCAATCACTCTGTTATCTACAACAACAAATAGATGTAGTAGTGGCACTTCGCACTCACACATGGTCTGGGTCCACCTGCTTGTACGCGTAAGCGGCACAGGCTCCGCAGTACTGGTAGCCCGCATGCCTGCAACGACCCAAACACACATTTGTGGTCACTTGTCACATAGATGAAATCGCATGGCTAGCATGCATCTAAAATTTTCAGCCCTCAGATTTTTGCAGAGAGGTGATAAAGCCACGCTCACCTCTTCCCACCTTTCTGTGTAAGTTAGTCTTCAACGGTGGAGATTTCATTGGCACGGTTTGCAGACAACGCTTCTGGCCATAATCAAGAGGCCCTCCCCGAAATTCGGAGCCATTCAGTGGCTCAGATATCAGTTCACCTTTCATCATGTTCGTGAAGCTAGAAATGCGACCTTTCGTCTGGCACTATAACTTTCATGTGGCAACGACAGATGGAAGTCTGTTCTTCGTGACGCAGTTTTTTCTTGATTGCGTTTCGGTTTCGACGGCAACAAGGAACCTGCTGGTTTGTACAAAGCGTTAGCTTTGTACAAACATAGCAGGTTTGTACAAAGGTAAAGCGTTAACTCGAGTAGCTTGCAGGCCAGGCACGTGCCAGCAGACTGATTGGACGCAGATGCAACGCTCATACCCAATTTGTGCGTCACATTTTTGTCGGCACCCAAATGCACAGGCTTCGTGCTATCCGTGCACGTCTTCAACTTCTTCCTTTACTGTCCATGAGGCGGCCACCATTAACATCATGTCATGGATGCCACACGCTTGGACGATGATAATGATGGAAATGACCTGACCAAATTTCAAAAAGGGTCAGATGCTGTCCTTTTTAAAGTTGGAGTTTATTTTAGATAGCAGGAATCTTTTTCCACTAGTGCTGTCACACTTTCTTTTCTCTGGGGGTGTTGACTAACTAAACAGGAGCAATTCTAAAACACACTACTATTTCAGGTCGTCAATGTCGAAATAGAAGCACACATCGAAATTGCTCCCAACTCAAAACGAGTCCTCCAATGTAAAAATTAAGCTTTTTTTTCTGGTATGTGTGTGTGGGGGGGGGGGAGTGGAGTGGAGTGGGGGGGGCAGTTTGGCGTCCCCTTAGGACGAAAGGAAAAAGCCTCACGGTGCAATCACAGCTCTCGCCGGTCCAAAGGATGGCATTCCTGCAGCCGATAACCAATTCTCGAGCTGGTATTTCAATTCTCGTGCTGAAAACAACAAAGAGAAAAATGGGCTGGTTTGAAAGAATTTTAAGAAATAATCTTGCACGAAGGAACAGCGCAAGAACTCTGGTGTGCGTGCATCCACAGATAAGGAAAGTTGAGGTTGGTTCACACATTTAAGTCTAAGTGTAATCGAGCGCGCTGTGACAGAACACGCTTGCACACTGCTGCCATCTGTCAGGCGGCCCTGGAACACCACAGATGTGTGTATAACTAGAATGATGGTTTTGCGGTGTTCTCCCAGTATTCCCAATGCTCAAAGCATTGTAAGAATGATTTCTAGCCCACAGCGAAAGAATGAAGCATAAAAAACTGAGAAAATATATTGGCAGGTCAGAATCGTTCCAGGGCTACCTGGCGGGTGGCACCAGAGTGGCAGACTGTTCTCTCGTAAGTGGCTACAAGTCAGTGCAGCGCAATCGATTGCACTCAAACGAAAATGTCTGAACCAGCCTTCGAGTTTTCAGTGCCACTCCATTGCGCTGCCACTTTCTTAGTGCACTCAGAATGAGCCTCTGCTTCACTTTCGTACCCGTGCACGCTATGCAGCCCGCAAAGTTGAGACATCAATGCACATTTTTTCATGTTAAACGGTGAGTGGGCACTTTTTAAAACTGAAATTGCTGGTCACTGGTCCGTTCGAAGTTGGCGTGAATCAATTCTGTCTGCTTAGGTATAACAAAAATCTGTGCTCCGGCAAAAATTCCAAACGTATAATTTGCAGTCACACGATCCACGATCCACGTTCGACCGGGATCACTGAATTGATCGAGACGTCTGTAGTCTCTGTGTACTCAATCTTTTAAATTAAACGTTTGACTTCAGGAAGCCTCGGGAGCATACTTACCACGCGAATACACGTTTTGAGTAAAAACATGTCAAGTTTGAAAGGCAGATATTTTTTATGGCGTTTTCTACGTACATGGGGGATCAAAATAAACTATTAAAAGTAATCAAGTTAAGCGCCTAAGCTAGGAGCTGTGGAGAATGCTTATGGACAATGATCACAAAGGACCAAATAAGCAAGAAAAAAAAACAAAAAAAAAAACAAGTAAACAGATACAATATTAACTCATCGCACATGACAACACGAAGGGGGGATCATCCGAGAATCGCTTCAAATGAGCCCCGACGCCGAGACCCGCATGACAAGCACGGGAAAACAAGCCGACGATCTCCGTACAAAAACATGACTTGAGCAAAACAAAGGAAACTCAGCAGGAAAACAAAGGATCGCAAGCGAAAGAAAAACAGCTGTGTCAAACCAGCGCAAGAACGATTGCAGTCTTACGTGAATCGGTGTACCAACTTCCCGCGTGGGATGCCTTCCTTGCCAGACGCTGCGATGACATGCCGGTGCCAATTTTGATAACTTACAAGTCGCTGAAAAACAAAAAAAGAACTAGAAACACGCTTCGCTGCCTTTTGAACTTGCGATGTGAAAGGGTCCGCCGTTGTTCCAATCAAACTCTTGCACGGATGAGGACAAGGCTGACAAGGCGACGGCGTATCGGGTGTGTTCGTTTGATCGTGTTGTGTGGCCCCGCGTTCGCTTTGGTGTCGTGAGGAGTGACTCGAAGGGTCATTCACTGTACAACTTTCGCTTGACCTGTTCAAGCGAAAGTCGTTTAAATAGGTGACGTCAATGGTTCATTGAGTGTAGCGTCGTTTAAACTTTGACTGTTTTAATATAAACGAACGTGTCCCAGTCCCGAAGCGGCATCTCGTGGGAATAAAAGAAAATAAACTAATGTTGAACCGGATCAAAACACCTTTATTTTTCACGATAGTAACAGGGGAAAGCATTATATAAGTTCGAAATATAGTTAATTTAATTTGATATAAAATGAAACTTCAAGACAGAAACTAACTTCGCGCGTGCACTCGTGCGGCGAGCGTGCGCATTCAGGAGCGGGAAGATTAAAATCCTCACAAGGGACACTAGACAGTAGGGAGTTTTAGAATAACGTACGCAATTTTAGCACACGCTAGCGCTAAATTTAGCGCTTGTATTAGCGCACGCGACGCGAGAGAGTTTTAGAATATATCGTTTCTCCGCCACGACGCAAAAGCCCAAGCATCTCGCGCTTGCGACGCCACCAAGATACAGTAAAAATTTTTATTTTACACACGAAGTGATGTAACTTTAGAAGAAAACGAGTTTTTTGGTCCAGAGTAGCATTTTAATTTGTTTAAACATGAGAACGCGACGCGAGCGGTTGACCGGTCGTGTCCGCTTGCGTCGACTCGGCAAGAGAGGACTCGTGTACTGACCTTCGCACATCGTTCCTTCGCCGTGAAATGTTCGCGCGTCGCAAGCATCAAGTTGCCGGTGATCGCTGCCAAACCGAGTACATTGTCGTCCCGTATTGAAAATTCCAGTCGCGGGAATGCCGCCGACGTCGCACTCACGACGCCGCCAAAGCAGCCGCCGACATAATCCTGGAAGCCGCCATTTTTTTTTTTTTTTTTTAACTCTGCTCGTCTTGGCTTAAGTCAACTTCTCATCACGAATCCTCCTTCGAGAAGCGCAAAGACTCTTTGCGTACGCACGCTATTTCCGAGAAATAGCGCACGCTAAAATTGCGCACGCAAAGCGCGAAACCTGGTTTCCGTTCGGAGCATGCGCAGTGGCGACGACGCTATTCTTTGCGCACGCAAAGCTTTAGCGTGCGCTATTCTAAAACTCCCTAGTTTAAGTGGACCGTACGCTATAGCTTAGCGTACGCAAGGAGATTGCGGGTCGTGAGAGCGCATGCGCAGACTGCAATAGAAGGGCTAGCGTATTGCGTACGCACGCAACGCTGGGGATTTTGCGTTGCTGGCTAGCGTGCCTTGCGGGACGCTCTCGAGAGATCTCGGACCCAACGAGAGAGCCAGTTTCAAGATGGCGGTTGCCTCGACTGGCGCAGCAAGGGCGACGTGGTGTTTTCGAAGTTCTGTGTTACGTGAAATAGACCTTATTCATTATTAGCGCCATATCTCGGCGGCCTCGGGTACTATCAGAGGTTCGGTGCCATCTTTGAGGCTTCGCCTCCCCGCCGCCCGCCGCAGTACGAATCCCTCCCCCGCGTTGCGTTCATGCATGTATGCATGTTCCTGCGCTTTTCTTTTTTTTTTTTTGTATATTGATGGTGTTAGCTGCTCGAGAATAACTTGCGAATACTAAGCTCAAGTTTGTTTTCAGCGGTTTCACTAAGAATCTCTTTTTATAAAAATGAGCTTCAATCCAGCACCAGAGCAGGCCGACTCACGCACTTGTTTTAGGATCGTGCGTTAAGTTGCCTGATCCGCCGATTATGCCTGTTCGCACAAAGACGATTTATATGATATATTTAGCAGAGCCGTCAGCTACTGTGTGACAGTTTGTTTTTATTTAGCATTTGCGGCTGCGGGTCTAAATAATGCGAGGAGTTCCTCACCCAGTGCGCATTGGCCCAGCGTGTGCAGACCCGAATTGCAGAATTCTATGATTGCGGCCTTGAACATTAATTTTGGTTTCAGTTGTCTTAACCTTAGGAATATTGAAGATACGATTCCGCACACACACACACACGCACGCACACACGCACACACAAAAAGGCATGAAAACAAATATATTATATCGATTTTTATTTAGTTTCTTTGGGAGATCATCGAAAGGTAGCTCAAAACATCATTATAAGGAGAGCGTGTGATACATCGCGAATTTACGATAGTAGTATTTTTTATCGCAGGTAAAAAATAAAAAAAAAACGCTGAAGATCTACACTAGCATGCTCATGCACCAAAGCGTATGCGAGGCACAAAAGCGTAAAAGGAAATGACCGGGCCTGTCGCGGCAATGCAAGTATGCGGAATATAACGTATGAAAAAAAGAAAAAAAAAAAAAAGAGAAGCGATTTTACGGAAAGTTGGAACATTTTTCTTTTATAATCATAATAATAATACCAGCAAATAAATTCAGTACTAGTGCATATATACTCCTTGGCCCCTTGAGAGAAAGTGCATTAATAAATGTCAGCGACATTTTAATGTGCTCCTCCTGGTAGCGTGGTTAAATAGAGTTAAATTTTATGCTTACTAGCAATAGAATATGACCAGTGCTCATAAAAGTGGCTGCTTGCGGTATTGGCTTCAAATAAAAAAGCTCCTCCCGCAGCGCGAGCCCGATTTGTTGGGAAGCGAGCAAGCGCGACTGTTGAACTCGCCAACAGGTCCAGGTTAGCGGTCAAGAAGAGCCCGCTTCTATGCTCTCGTCTACGTCTCGGAAATGTTTCTCGAAATGTAAGAGTCGCGTGATAATAATGATACAACGTAAAGTAAGCGGGCGTTCACCTTTGCTTTTTAGCATCGTTGTCTTTATCATTCATGTGTTAAACGAAGTTGTAACGTTGCCAAGCTCTTCTGCACTTTGCATCAGCCTTCAATCGGATGTAAAAGACTTACTTGAGCGAGAATAAGAAAAAAAAAAAAAAATAACAGTCTCGAACCAGTGTATCTTAGTGATGTTGACTGGACCTCGCCATTCCTCTGCGCGAGCGAAGCTACGATGCTAGCCAGCATCGAGCTCCCAAAAAATCACATCAAATAATAGATGCTCGCTGTTGTTACATGCGAATATCATGAGCCCTTCATGCCATTGTGGAAAGTGTCACATATTAAAAGCGGTTTAAAAGTGTTGTAAAAGCACACAAAACTAACGCGCGGGTGGCTCTTGTTAGGAGCATGAATAGTGCAGGAAAGCGCTACGGCTGTTAAAACGTTGGCTATAATACCTTTAACTTGAAAAGAAAACAATAGGATTCGAATCTTTACATCGGTTGTTTTTCATTTTTCCTCGTTGAATACGATAGCGGAACAGAGCAGTCGTGCGGTCGCTGAGCGTCGCTTTCACGCGCCGCAAACGGCCACAGCGCTTTGCCAGTCGCCTCAAAGATGGCGTCGGAAGGAAGGTTGGCGCCACGTCCGATAGATGGCGCGCGAATCTGAATAATGTCTATTGCGTGGTGTTCAGCTCGGCGATTCTTTCTGGGACCTAGCGCGGTCGAATCATATCGCCCTGCAGCTGCACAGTGGAAATGTTCGCCGCTCGCAGTGTGCGTCTGCCATCTGCTCAACGCTAAGCCTATTCCCACAGTTAATCGCCGACGCACGAACGACTCTTAAAGAAATCGCCGCAGTTCTCGCTATGCGCTGGACATCAGTAGGTCATGAATTTCATTCCGCGATAGCATTGATAAAAGGTGCCGTTTCCACGGGACGACTGATGGAGGATCCATGATCGAATTTGGCTACGCACTCGTACTCGTAGCTACTCTGTACCCGCTTGACGGGTACAGAGCGCGCTTGACGAGGCAGCTGTGGCTTGGTTTAATCTGAAATAAAATGATTGGTCACTTTTTCTTTTTCAATATTTCTTTCCGGGAGCATGGTTGCGCTATAAGCACGCGGAATTCTACGGCTCTATAGCAAATTTAACCAAGATCATGCGCGGTGTTCACTCGAAAACGTAACGCACAGCTAAATTTGGCCCGAGCAGGTCATTTTTAGCGTACGCTATACTATTGCGTATTGCGTACGTAAGATCCAGCAACGCTATACTAAAACTGTCTACTAATAGGGCATTTTACGCCAAAGATTTCTGCTCGCCGACGTTCTTATCTGTACATGATCTATAAGAGTTCACTTACCCAGAGCACAATTTGCGACCCGAAATTCGTTTTCTTTCCGCCCGAAAAGAGCCGGTCTCAGTCGCGCTCGCTCTAGTTTCCATGGTCACTTGGCTTTCAAGCTATGCATTGCGTACCAACTTGAACTATATTCAAAGTCGTGGGTTATTAGAAATAGAAAAGAATATGAACACCATTTTTGTGACCTCCAAAAAGCTGTAAATACATTGATAAAAAAAAAATGTTGCAGAGATCACAGGAGTGGCTAAGGCAAAGGGAGGAAGTCGAACTCCCCCCCCCCTTTGCCTTAGCCACTGCTGTGCTTGGTTTTGCACGGGGCATGGAGCAAAGGGGGAGCGCGGACTATCTCCAACTTACATGCTTTCGGGAAAAGTGTTTGTGGGGTAGAAAAAGCTCAAATAAATAAAATGGGCAATATTTCTTCACTCATGTTTATTTGATGGGATGCGGAACTTGATCTCAGATGCATAGAAAACGGATATTTCGAAACATTTGTGGGGTGAAGGATGGAAATTTCAAGCTCAAGTATAGCAAACTATCCTCACTAAAATACAAAGTCCAATCAAACCAAAGCGACCATTATAAACCAACGCAAGGTAATAACATGTAACAATGTCAGTGATGTTTAAATTTCAAATGTACTGTAATAAAAATTTCACTTTAAGCAACGGGTGACTCTGCGCTCGCGCACACCTTGAATATACTGATCAGAATTACGTGCTTCCAACTAGAAATTACCACGAATAAAAAAAAGTAACTGTGACTAGTTATTTCAGAAAGCAATTTACAGGCTCTCTTGACCATCTCATTTATGCCAAGCGCCTACACATTAAGATGTAGCCAACTGCATTCACGGCAAGGAATATCCAAAATGTCCTCCGCTTAAACTTCAATATAAGGAGTATTCACTGGGCGCCATATTTGTAGGTGCTGTCTAGAGCGCATGCTCAGAACGAGCCCCCATTAATAGGCTGCCAAGACCGGCAATCTTGAGGGTGCGAAATGCACGTATACAAAAGGACTGTGGAAGCTCGCCATCAGCACGCGCTCAGCAGTCGCGCACACAGCTATGGCCGCCAGTGAATACTTCCTATTGCGGTAAACATTCAAAAGCGCAAGACCGAGCAGTCGCTCATTCGAAGAGGACGCTCTCAGGCATCTGTTCAACCGTCATAGTGAAAAGAACGAGAGCTCAGCTTTTACCGTTAATTGTTACGGGCAGAATCGATAGGATCTTTTTTGAGGAGACGATGGACGTTTAGGAATAGGGCCTCCGGACAGAGGGCGACCGCGCAGACGTGACGGGCCTTTCGCGTTTCTCCCTCTTGCATTTGGCAGCATATGAGCAGCTCGCATTGGAGCACAGAAACCTAAACCAGGCCTGAATAGGGCTCCAAAAACTTTTCAGCGCCGGGAGCTGCTCCGCTTTCCAAGATGTTTACAGGCAGAAGCGACAAAAGCAATTGCACGGCCACTCGATCCCCCCAGTCCTAATCGAGTGGCCGTGGTAATTGCAACGTACGTCGGTCCCATCTAACTGTGTGATCAGCTAATCCATGAAAGGAAGGAATACGGAGCGCTGAAAATGCTCTTCTGTGCTACCATTTGGGGATGTTAGAGCGGTGACGTTTGCAACTCGATCGCGGCATCTGAATTTCAACTTCCGCTGTCTCGGCCAATTTAGTGGCAGCTTGGAGTAATGCCTAGTGCTTGTGAGTGGACGCTTGCTCTGATTTGTCAGCGACGGGATTTTTTTTTTTTTTTTTTTTTTTTTGCTTTTTAATTTTTTTTTTCGACAATATAACTTTTTTTTTTTGTTCGGCCGGCAGGCGTTGGTAATGCAGTGGTGCCTCAGAAAGTGGAGGGAGTTGTGTGCTGTGAGGAAGCTTTCAAAGTTGGTGGACCGCAACTACGACGACAGGAGAACAGTGAGCCATCACGCCCGTATTCCTTTAAAGGGAAACTCCGCTTCATTTTTGATATTTAGAAAACTATGCAGCCCTCTTCACTATAATATAGGAAGACCCCATGTCAAATGTTACGATCTAATTCCGTCTATATATTTAATAAACTGGCCAGGAAACTTTCAAGCGAGCCAAGTCGCCGAAATCTGCCAACTCTATAGCGTGCGACGGGAGGCGCAATCGTCAGCGCAGTCAATGCGACGGAGTTGGAACGGCCAACGTTGAGCCACTACGTCAGAGGCATGACTACGTCATTCTCACGTTTTGTTTGTTTTTACTTCTCAGAGCGAAATTGAACGATGACGTCATGAGTTTCTCCTCCCAGTGTTGGGAGACAACGAAGAAGATTGGATGGAGTGTGGGCGTGTCTCGCCTATGCTCCTCTGATTTTGGACACCGGGTATTTTTTTTAAATTTTAACTGGAATCAACAGCCCGTGACGAACGGACATCTAGACTATCATCATTTTTGTTTCAAGGTGGGCCCTTGTTTTTCACGAATTTCGAGGCTCCGAAGTGTTCGACGAGCGATGTCGTGAGCTAAGCCTAAGCTTAGACCCATCGGCCAGAAGTCGTCGGCGGCGGCTGAGGCTCCGCTCGGAGACTGATCTAGCCATGATGGAGACCGTGGAAGGTACGGAGATTGATCCGGAAGAGTTGAACGTGCCAGGACAATGGTACGTTAGTAAGAAGAAAGGAAAAGCGGCCCCCCTAGTGGACAACGAGGCACGCCATATGGAACGGCAGCGAGCCGCCGAGAAGCTCGCAGGGAGGAAGCTGGCGGCAAAATCGGTTGAAAGGCAGTTTGCCCGAGTTCCGGACGGCGCCGACAAAATAGTCATGAGGTCGCACGGCGGTCTCACACGTATGATAAAATACGGAAGTGCGTATTTGGCCGACGTAATACTTAGGGCTGCTGGTGTCAGCCCAGACGCGGCCGGGGAGGACGTCATCTTGATGAACGTGAAGCAACATTCCATTCTCGTCGCCACCGTCAGCGCAGAGAGGAAGAGAAAATACGCCGACTTGAAGCTCCTCATGTTTGAAGGGGAAAAAATAGAAATGACTACGTACATCGCTATGCCGGAGGACTGCGGGAAAGGCGTCGTTCATGAAGTCCCTTTGTCCTTCTCGGACGAAGATATTTTGAAAAGGCTGCAAATCTACGGGAATCCTCCGGTCCTAGGAGTGCGAAGACTCGGAAGAGTATCGAGGACAGTTTTAATGCTCTTCGAAGACAGAGAGGTACCGCGCTGGGTGCGACTCACGCCCGTGGCGCAACGCTGCGTACTCTACCGCAAGAAGTACGAGGTTTGTAACGCCTGCGGCCGGCTCGGGCACCGCGAAGACGTCTGCCCGGACCCCGAAAATGTGAAATGCCGTGGCTGTGGCATGGAGAAACCGCCACAAAACCATTTATGCGAGTCCAAGTGCCAACTGTGCGGGAGAGGACACCCGCTCGGGGACAAAAAATGTAGAGAACTCTATCATGTTCCTTACGAGGTGAAGAGGAAGATATGGGAACGCAAGATCAACATGCAACAGCATCAGCAACTTCAGAAAAAGCAGCAAGCCGGAGCGACCACCGAGGGGAATCTCCGAGGTCGTTCCAAGGTCAGGCGCGGAAACGAGGACTTTCGCGCCAGAAGCGACTCCTTCCCGAGGCTGGGGGAGACCACCGGGGGGAAGCAGCAGCGCAACCGCTCGAGCTCCCGCACCAGGGCGCACTCCGGATCCAGACCCGGGGGGAGATCGAGTTCCCGGGTCCCGGCGAACGCGTGGACAAAGAAGCGGAGCCCGAGCAGGGATCGAAAAGGTGTAAGCTTTGGCAGTGAGGTTTCCCAGGCAAAAAATAAGAAGGACGAGGAGATCGATAAATTAAGGAAAGAGGTTGGGGAGCTTAAAGAGGTCGTTAATAAGCTCACTCAAGAGTTACAGAAACCAAGATTGCAGAAGTGTACGAGGTCCCCCTCCCCCCCCCCCCCCCCCCCCCCCCCCAGAGTTCAACCAAAATTGGTACTGCAACCAACCCCCCCGGCCTCTAGGGCTGAGACTTCCACGCAGCATGCGGCACCAGGGAAGGAAAAGATGATTTTAGAATTGGCTAGACCGCCTCCACCGAAACGCAAAGGGGAAGACGCTGATCCGTTGGTGGCACTGGAGAAAAAATTAGAAGCCAAAATCGAAGCCAAATTCGATTCTTTCATGGCCCAAATTATGGGAGCAATAAGTCAAACTCAAAGCCAGATACAAGCCCTTACGGGTGAAGTTCAAAAGCAAAGGGCAGAATTAGTTGCCATCGGAGAACGGCAACAAAAAGCTGAGGAAAAATTCGACCCGCTCCAAACTGACCAGAGGCGCACGAAGTGAGTTGTTAATCTGGCAGTGGAACTGTCGCGGCTTCCAACGCAAGCGGGCGTTAGTGCAACAATATCTGACGCTATTAGATGAGAAACCGCTAGTGATAGCCCTGCAGGAGGCGGGCAAAATAGCAAAACTCTCAGGATACCAAGCTTTTTCAAGTGACAGGGGTGAGAAATCTCGCGTCACAACGTTGATTAAGAGGAATATCGCAGCTATTGAGCACGAAATAAACTCGAAAGAAATTGAGGCAGTGCTATTGGAAATACTTACGGGACGAAAGGAGGAACCGAGCGTCTTCCTCTTAAATTTGTATAGTACCCCCAAAGCAGAGAAAGGTGGCATTCAGGGCCCTCTTCCGCAAAGCGATTAAGGCAGCCGGCACCAACCCCTTGCTAATAGTTGGTGACTTTAATGCGGCGCACCCGGAATGGGGTTACGCTAAACAAGATCCTAAAGGCAGGCAGTTATGGGAGGATGCGCATGAGCTGGGACTCACACTACACACCGACCCTAGTAGTCCATCCAGGGTGGGTAACAGCGTGTGCGCAGACACCTCCCCTGACCTGACATTCTCCAAAAATGTGACAGATCTGACGTGGCAAAATTCGGAGCAAAATTTCGGCAGCGACCATTTTATTCTGGCCTCGATCATTAAAAAAGGAGTGAAGACGCGTTGTGCGCGTCAACCGAGGATTACCGAATGGGAATTATTTTGGAATAAACGAGAGAAAGCTGCCACTGGGAGGATCACAAACATAGAGAAATGGACGGAGATCCTCAAGCGTCACGTTGGGGAGGCCACAAAGACACTTGAAGGGGACAATGCCCCTGAGGTAGCTGATAGCAAACTGCTTCACATGTGGGAGGCAAAACACGGTATGGAGCGCAGACTAAAGAGGCAAAAATGGAACCGCAATCTGAGAAGGAAGATTGCTAGACATAACAAAGAAATTGAAAATTATGCGATCAAATTGTGCGAACAAAATTGGTGCAGCCGATGCGACGAGATGGAACGGGGCATGAGCCTTGCCAAAACATGGGGTCTGCTGAGACACCTATTAGATTCGACCAATTCGAAAACTCAATCAGGAATTAGATTATCAAAAGCCAGGCACGCGTTCGAGGGAACAGACGCAGAATTTATGGACAAACTAGTCAACATGTATATTGGTGATACCGCTAGTACCCCCCTCTTAGAGTACGACGGAGCTCCCAACGAGGAGCTCGACGCACCCATCACGGAAGCGGAGGTCAGGGCAGAAATATTGGGACTAAAACAAAATCGGCCCCGGGCCCTGACGAGATAACTAACAAAATATTAAGAAACCTGGACAATGACTCCATCAGCGCTCTGACGGAGTACATGCAAGATATTTGGACTAAAGGTCACCTGCCTCGGCAGTGGAAGTCGGCAAACGTAATTCTAATCCCAAAGCCGGGCAAACCCCCTAGACTAGAAAATTTAAGACCAATTTCCCTAACCTCATGCATGGGGAAATTGATGGAGCGCGTAGTCCAGACCAGATTGACGCGCTTTATGGAGCAAAACGACCTGTGGCCGTGCGAGATGGTCGGCTTCCGGCCGGGCTTGAGTACGCAGGACGTGATGCTCCGACTGAAACATGACATAATCGATTCGCGTTCTAGAGACGCCAAAGTAATTCTCGGCCTGGACTTGACAAAGGCTTTTGATAATGTTAAACACGAAGCGATCCTTTGCGGTCTCCAAGAAATCGGGGTAGGTACGCGAACGTACGACTACATCAAGGACTTTTTGTCAGACAGAACTGCCTGCATAAAGTTCCAAGACATTGAGTCACACACACTAAAGTTAGGGAGCAGGGGCACGCCGCAGGGCTCGGTTCTCTCCCCGTTCCTTTTCAACGTGGCAATGAGGAGCCTCCCAGCAGCTCTGAGGAAAATAGAGCTAGGGGCTGAATTTCAGTATTTACGCGGACGACATCACCCTCTGGATTAACCAGGGGAGTGATGCGAGCATTGAGGAGCGCTTGCAGGCGGCGACAGACACTGTCGTGAATTATGCTGCCAATAGGGGCCTCTCATGCTCTCCGCAAAAATCTGAATTATTCGTCTATAACCCAAAGTCTCTCCGATGCAAACGCAGATGGGATTTTAGCATTAAAGTAGAGGAGAAACCAGTTCCAAAGGTAGATCAGATCAGAATCTTGGGACTGTTCATTCAGGAGAATGGATATAATGATGGTGCAATCAAAAGACTAGAAAGATTTGCCACGCAAGCCCTTGGACTATTTAAAAGGGTCGCGCTGAAAGGACGAGGCCTGAAAGAAAGAAGCTTGCTTAAACTAATTCAAGCATACGTAATAAGCCGCGTGAGCTATGCCACGCCTTTCTTAAACATCAGGTCGGAGGAGAGAAGAAAACTAGACTCGCTCATCCGACGATGCACAAAGAGGGCCCTGGGCTTACCAATTAGCACCTCCACAGTGAAGCTCCTCTCTATGGGAGTGCACAAAGCGGAGGCTGTCAGAATATCGCAGCTCGAAAGACTTAGCCGAACAACCACGGGCAGAGCTATCCTCGAGATGGTAGGCCTACAAACAGATAGGGGACTACGAGTCAAGTCAAGCATTCCGCAGGACTGCCGAGAAAACCTAATCATTCCCCCCCTCCCTCGTCACATGCATCCCATATTCAACACGGAGAGGAGGGAGAAGAGAGCAGAAGCACTAATCAGACGCTTCGATTTAATGGACAGCAAGTCGGTTGCGTATGTGGACGCGGCAAGTGGCAAGTCGGGTGCGGCGGTCGCCTCGGTGGTTGACGGCCGAGGTGCTCCCGTATCGGCCGCCACCATTAGAAGCCGCAACGCAGAAACGGCTGAAGAAGTTGCGATAGCGCTCGCTTGCGTTGGAACGAAAGCCAATTTTATTATTAGCGATAGCAAAACGGCCATCTGGAATTTTGGGAAGGGTAGGATCTCGCCGGAAGCGGCAAGGATTCTTACCGGTAGACAGCTAAACAGAAAAATTAGCCTAATTTGGACCCCCGCACACACGTCCGTTCCTGGCAACGAGGCGGCCCACGAGTTAGCCCGAGCTCTCTACTTCCGGGTAACTGTGGAGCCGCCCGACTGCCGGAACATGGACGAGCGTCTGCAAACTTATACGGAGATTGTGGAAAATTATAGATTACAAAGGAAACAGGTGCCACCACCAGACAAAAGTCTAAGCAATAGGGAGGCAGTCGCATGGCGGCGTCTGCAAGCTGGGAACTTCATAAACCCAGTTTGGGCATACCATGTTCGGATAGATGACAGGCAACACGATAAGTGCAAGCACTGTGGGGCGAGAGGGACCCTTGACCACATAATCTGGGAATGTGCTAGCTCCCCAGGGGCTAAAGCAAATATAAATTGTGGAGAAGCCTGGGAAGCTCTGCTGCGGAGCGAGGTCCCTGCTCTACAGCAGCAAGCCATCCGCCTGGCGGAAGAAGCCGCGAAGAGCCAAGACCTCTTTGCCTGCTTCTAACCGCGGAGGTCCCTGGCCCCGTATCCTAGGCCTGCGTGCCGGGGACGAGGACTAGGTGTCTCCTCATCTGGTGGAACATTAAAGTTGTTATCTATCTATCTCTCCCAGTGTTGGCTGAGCGGAGTCCACGTGATCACCGTAACGCGGATGCGCTAGTTTGCGCTGCCCTGCGCGCTTATCGGTCTGTTCTCCGCTCTCCCCAACGTTACTAAAACACTCAGTTGGGAAACTCGCCGTCGAAACCTGGGCCGCTGGCGTCCACCGAGACCGAGCTAAATGCGACAACAGCGCCACTCTTTATCATTTGTCTGTACTGTGGTCACCTTGAGCTTTTTGAAAGCCTGTTTTTGCGTAAAAACAAACGAAAAAGACTCTTTTTGTATGAAATTTATTGGAGTTTAGTACCAAAAGAGGGGCGCGTTATGTTTTTAAAATCTTTAGTTTGCAGGGTTTTGCGGCACAATTAATATTGTTTTTATACAACCATGCCTCAGCGGGCCTTTCAGGTAGCACGTCCCGCCCTAGGTGCATTTTAACTTCGGTAGCTCAACGCGGCGCGTCCGCCGGGGAGACGGGGGTGGCACCCCTGTAACCTCTACCGCTATATCTGTTCTTAACGCCAAAATAGAAGTCACGTGCAGTTCCTCGAGTGGCCGCTGCGGGAGGAATGGTGTCGTTGTGTTCGTCATCAGCTCGGTGCTCGAAGACAGTTTGGGGCCACTTTTTCAAAGCTGTCTCTATGGGAGTTTCCCAACTGAGTGTTTTAGTAACGTTGGCTCTCCCTCTCCTCTTGCGTCGTCTCCCTCTCCCCCGGGCCATCACCGTCCACGACCCCACGCCATGTGAAGCGACCTGCCCGCGTCGCGTGTCCTGTCCCTCGCCCCCCCCCCCCCCCCCCTCCGAACGTCACAAGACCACGTGGTTTGGCGTGACGTGGCCATGACTCTGACGGCACGAGACCAATGTTGCCTGACGCATCCGAAGTTTCGGTTTCTGTATCAGCTGATGTTTAAATTAAGATTACACAAATAATATTCCACATTTCGCGAATCCGAGGACGTAGAGCTGTTTAGTAGTGCTTTGTGAAATGGAATCACATGTGAGCCTAAATTTTTCGGAATTGAGCGGAGTTGCCCTTCAATGAAGCCTGCTCCGTTTTCAAAAGTGACAAC